CACGGCTATTAGCGGCTTAGTGGCTATTAACGGCTTAGCGGCTTAGCTGCTATTAACAGCTTAGCGGCTTTAAGAAAACGGAAACAAACTTGCAAGAACTCGCAAGACAGTTTCGTCTTGCAAAGCAAGCCCATAGGGAAATTCGTCTTGCTGAACGACTCAAAAAACAGAAAACTCTTTTGTCTAGCGAGTTTTTCGTCTTGCGAGGCATTCGTCTTGCGGGGCACCACTGTAGCTCAAATGGCACCAGACATGTTCATGGAAGTTCAAAGGAACCCCCCTGCAGAAATCATTTCCAAAACTACCCAATAAGGACTGAGGGATCCTCCAGATGACCTATTTATTGAGCATTCATCCTGATTACGGTAGCTTGCATAAAGCTTACATGGAATGTGGATGATATCCATTATTTATTGAGCATTGGTACTGGTTTGTTAAAGGGGTATCTATAAGACATTGAGCATTTGTTCTACACTCATTCCAATTTGTCTGTGGGGCACTTATATGTTTTCTTGTTAATCATTTGTTAATTCCACATTTTCCATTGCATTTTTCTGCCACTTTCTGGACCGCAAAAAGTCCAGTTCTTTTTTTAAAGTGGATTTCTGGTGCTTTAATCCATTTTAATTGCATAAACCTAAAGTTTGGGTATGCAGTTTGGAGACACCCTGAATATGCTCAGTGGTTATATAATGCTGACTTACTTGGGGGGAGGAGAGAAAACAGGATGGAGTATCCTGGAAAAGTGCTTGACAGTCTGGCTACAACTGTGGCTCTGTACATGACATATCCCAGAATCAATGGAGACTGTCTACTTGTTTTTTCTACACAGTCAGCACACAGTCTAGAGCTACAGAATATTTTTTACCCCTGGAAAGCACTTATTCAAACACTAGTTTCATTCAGAAAATAGTTTATTGCAGATTGATTCTGCATTACCTCAATTTGTTCATTTGAAAGCAGATGTAGGCAAAACCAGATATGGGGTGTGTGTATCCACACTTGCCCAACAGCATTGTGGGTGATTGTTTAGTGTGCAAACACTTACACTTTGGAACTCCCTGCATATCGATATCAAGCATGCATATTCACTGAATTCTTTTTGGCACCTGCTACACTCTTTTTAGACAAGCCTATATAGGTGCTTAGAAAGTTGATGTGAATTTTAGCTTGTTTTAGTGGTTTGACTTTTTATATGTTCTAAAATTATTACTTCATTTTTTTCTTCGTTTTCTTGTTTTATCTTTTTGTAAACAGCTTTAAGATTGTTTTTGTTACATTCAAGAGGTGTAAATTTTATGAAATAAATAAAAATATATATATACCAAGAATGAATCACCACTTCCTTCATTCACCTGGGACATGTGCAGGGAGAAAAATACATTGATAAGCTAACCAAGGAGAGGGTTTTAAAATACATTATCAAGTAACCACACCCACCTTTGCAGACTCAATCTAGATTGAAGGCAGCATGTTGAGGATGAGCATGGATAATTCTGGATTGAGAAAAACTGTGCTTTTGTTCTGCAAATGGGTTAGTGTGTACAGTCTCTGAACAGGAACAATACAATATTTTGTTGCAGGTCCATTTACTTTATTTATTTACAACATTTCATTCATTAGAGTAGTAACAATGGAAACCACCAGGGTTTTCTATTTTTCATGTTTTAACATACAAATTTTCATTTTCATAGTGTACTGTGGTTATAGGGTATGTGATATGCACTATGATTTTAAAACTCTCAGAGAAGTGCAGTTGCTAAATTTATGCCACTCCTCTAGTTGAGAAGAATTCTGAAATCAGCATGCTTACATTTACATTAGCTAGTAATTACAACAAACATGGTTAAATGGGAGCAAAACCCGTCTTTGGCAACAGTCTCAATTTCAAGGCTATGTTTTGAGAAAATTACAAAATTTCCTGTCAAAAAGGGAACTGAAGTGTGCAAATGGTTGCTCTGAATGAATGTCATGCAATGAACTCCTATAGGAGCATTGCATAATTTGGCACTTTAATGCTTCTTTTGTGCCTCTCAATCCTCCTCCTCCAATATTTTATCTGCTAGTAACACAGTTAGGGACTGAATTAAACCTCCTGCCCAGTTACCTATGAGACCTTAAACAGGGTACAGAATTTTACAGCGACTGAGGACACCTGCAGATTCACAACCCGATTTCATGATTGAACATATCCTCCCCCTTCCCCAGTGACTTTTCAACCCATGTGGGATTTAGTCTTTTTTTTAAAACAACAACAACGCATTTTCAGTTTCTGGGGGCACTGCTTTGGAGAAGGGCATACTGAAGGTGGTGTCGCTTTGTACATGGAAAATGATCAAGGAGCCCTCCAGAACAGTGGGAGGATTTTTGCAGGTGTATTCTGCAACATGCCATTAACGCAATAATAGCATATTAATAGTGGATTTGTACTGGACCATCCAAACATCACTCTGCTTTATTAGTTGTTCTGCAATGCTTCTCCAGTGCTGCTGCATTACTGACATCTGAAGGGACACTCTTGCCAGAAGCTGAGTTGGAATATACCCCAGTTCAGCAAAGGTACCACCAAGGCCAGGAAGCTGCCAGCATGGTTAACACACATAGTTAATCTATTGGAGGCAAAAAGGCATATTGCCCCCCCAAAAAACCAATTTAAAATCATGATAATCAACGACTTATTAAAATAGATTATAAGCAGGAAACGGGCTAGGGTAGTGGTTGGACCTTTGGAGGAAAGGGAGGCTGCATAAGGGAGGAATAGGAGATTTCAGAGACGCTGAATGATTTATTTGCATCTATATTTACTACAGAAGACGTAGGTTAGATCTTTGCGCCTAAACTTTCTAAAGAAAGGAGTCAGAGGAATGAAGACAAATAATGGCAATACCTCTAGGGCATATGGGCAAATTAAATGAAATCAAGCCACTGGATCCAGAAAATATCCAGATAATAATTTTTAAAGAACTCAAATAGGAAATTGTTTATCTTCTAACAAAATTATGTAACATCCCCAAGAATGGCTTCTGTACCCAAGAACTGGAAAGTGGCTCGTGTAATGACTTTTTTTTTAACACTTTCTGAAGAGATCCAGGAAACTACAGGCTGGTTAGCTTAATGTTTGTTCAGTCAAATCCTCCATGTTTAGAGGTATTATGAACAGCAGTTGCTTGGTTGGGGAGAGGAAAAAAATAGCAGGAAAGTGTTGCTATTGCCCTCATGAGTCCCAATGAGAGGGGAAGCAATATATCAGTAATTATGATGATGTGCTTGTGAGCTTCTCAGAGACATCTGGCTTGCCACTGTGGGAAACAGGATGCTGAAGTATGCTAGGCACAGGATCTTTGGTCTGACCCATCACGGATACATGTATGTGTGTGAGATGGAGAGTTGGAGTGTGAAAGAGATGGATAAAACGAGTGTGTGAGACAGAGAGATGTAATGACTGTATGTCTGTTAGAGAGACGGTATGTGCACATGTCTACGTGTGTGAGAGAGAAACAGTATGTATGTGAGCATGAGTGAGATACGGAGGGCATGCATGTGAGAGAGATGGGAGTGTTTTTGTGCGAGAGAGAGGTGGGCGGCAGTGAGAGATGGATAAAGAATGTTTTCGTGTGTGAGATAGAGTGAGCAGGGAGCCTGTGTGAGAGAGGGATGCAAGTGTGTGTGTGTGGGAGATAGTGATGGGGTGTGTGTATTAAGAGAGATCAATAGAATGATGATGATGATGATTTATTAAATTTGTAGACTGCCCTTCATCCAACTATCACAGGGAAGTTCACAGCATAAAATGCAAAATGAGAACACAAAATGCATAATAAAACAAAGAGACCAATAACTCCACCCCCAACACATTGAAAAGGCCATAGAATGTTAATCAGCCAAACGCCTGGTTGAAGAGAAACCTTTTCGCCTCGTAAAAAAGAAGTGTATAACAAAGGCACCAAGACAGCCTACCTGGGGAGAGCATTCCACAAACAGGGAGCCACTGCGGAAAAGGCCCGTTTTCATGTTGTCACCCTCCAGACCTCCCATGGAGGAAGCACACAATGATGGGTCTCACATGACGATGGCAGGATCCAGGTTGGTTCATATGGGATGAGGTGGTCCTTGAGGTATTGCAGTCCTGAGCTGTTTAAGGCTTTATAGGTTGAAGCCAGCACTTCAAATTGGGTCCAGAAACTAATTGGCAGCCAGTGTAATTGGGCCAGGATCGGGGTAATATGCTCAAACTCTTGCCCCAGTGTACAACCAGGTAGCCAAATCCTGCACCAGCTGAAGTTTCTGAACTATCTTCACAGGCAGCCCCACTTACAACACATTGCAGTAATTGACCTGGAGGTTACCAGAGCATAAGATGACAGAAGTCCAAATAGGTGTACAACTGGGCCACCAGCCAAAGTGGATGGGAGGCACTCAGGGCTGCTGAGGCCACCTGAGCCTCAACAAAGGATCTACAAGAAACCCCAAGTGACATACCTGTTCCTTCAGAGGGAATGTAACCCAATCAAGAGCAGGCAACCTCCCATCCATCCAGTCTAGGGAATGTGTGCTATATGTGTTATGTGTGTGAGAGAAATGAGCTTGGGTGAGAGTTTGAGTGAATGTGTGTGTGAGAGTGATGGAGCTAATGTGTATGAGAGAGACAGAAAAAGAGGGCTGGAGTGAGCTTCTGTTAGGAGGGAGAAATGGACCGAATGTGTGCAGGTGTGTGTGAGAGAGATGGAGCGACAGTGAGGGATGGGACGAGTGAGTGTGTATGACAGGGTGAGGCATGGATGGTGAAGCGAGCCTGGCGCGTGTGTGCACTTGCGAGTGTACGTGCTTGTGCTTGTAAGACAAGGAGCGTGTGTGTGCACCACCAGCTCGCCCGCCCGCCCGCCGGCACACATTCCGGCGGGCGGAATCCCCCCAGGGCCAGCGAGAGGGCTGAGGCGTGGAGGGAAGCGCGACAGGCGGGCGAACCATGGTGGCCGTCACCTGACGCCGCCGCAGCTCCGCCGCCATTTTGTCTGGGAGTGGGAACGCGAAAGGGGGAAAGAGATCGGCGAGGAGGAGGAGGAGGAGGGAGGCGTGGTGTAGGAGGAGGAGGTAGAAAGGGGACGGGGTCCCAGCTGAGAGGGCGGACAAGCAGGCAGGCGGGCGGAAGGGCGAGAAGGAGAGGATCTGTCTGAGGCAGAGGCGCCCGCCAGAGCGAGCCGGAGTCCTCTGAGGGAAGGAGGGAGCCTCCGTCCGCCTGGCCTCGGTTGAACCCCTCAGCGGCAGCACGAGGAGGAGGCTCCAACAAGGCCGGTGCACTGGGCTGGGCTTCTCCTTGGTGGGGCGGTGGCCGGCCCTCCTCCTCCTCCTCCCTGCCGCCCCGTTGCCCTCTCGGCCCTCCTCCTTCTACTCTCTGGGCTGCCGCCGCTGCTGCTGAGGGGATTTGGGCGCCGGGGAATTCCTCGCCCTGCCGCCGCCGCCGCTTCATTTTGGGGTCCAAAGGGGAGCTGGAAGAAAAGAGCCTCAAGGCCGCGCGACCACCAGCACCACCACCTTCCTCCTCCTCCTCCTCCTTGTCGTCGACATGTCGGGCCAGTCGATCACGGACCGGATCACGGCGGCGCAGCACAGTGTCACCGGCTCGGCCGTCGCCAAAGCCGTCTGCAAGGCCACGACCCACGAAGTAATGGGCCCCAAGAAGAAGCACCTCGACTGTGAGTAGCGCAGCCGTCGCCGGGCCCGCCAGGCGAAGGGCTTGACGGAGCCTGGGTGGGTGGGCTGGTGGTGACGGCTAGTCCCAGCTGGGGAACCCCTCGGATAGGGCTCTCCCTGCCGGCCTTTCCAGCCCCCGGGGGAATGACCTGCCTAGGAGGGAAGGGTCGCCGCCGCCGCGGGGATTGACAGCGCAGCCCTGAGCATGGCTGTTCAGATGTCAAGCCCCGCTACGCGTTCAAAGGGGAAATGCTCTCTGCTAGTTGGGGTGTGTGTATATGTGTGCGTGTGTTTTAGGATTTCAATGCAAAAATCACACGAGGAGTGGGGCTGGCTGACTTTCCAACCTCGCCCCGTTTGCGGGTCAGAGCGAAACCGTCAGTGTTGGTGGGTATAGGTTTAGTTTTGAAAGGGCTGAGCGCAATGCCGCTAGTGGCAAGGAAAGCAAGCAAAGAAGGGGGGGGGGAGGCTGCAGCACGACTAACAAACTAGGTTTGATAGGGTTTATTTCTGGAGGTTAAGGTTGCAGTTTTGTGCTTGCATACCTGGAAGGAAGTCCCGTTTAACTTTATTTTTGAGGAGGTAGGGTTTTAGGATTGGGCTGTTCAAACACAATGGCTTGCTGAGTGCAATGTATGTTTAACTTTCGGTGTTAAAACATAACTCTCAAATTGGCAGTGGTGGGTGTGTTAAACCACTAGTACTAGTTCAGGGTTGTCAAGACAGACAGGAGAAATTCATTTAGGAGGCTTGAAAGAGACATTACCAGCTGGGCAGAATAGGGTTGTTTTGTGGTTGAAATTGTACAAGATAGATTCTTGGCAGGGTGCAGGGGAAGGATATTAAAGCAGGAAAGATTTGTTTTTTCTTAGTTTTATTTTCCCCTCTCGCTTAATCCCAGGACTTGATAATGATGGCAGTTCATTTCCAGTGACACATTGACTCCTTGATTGTTGAGCTAGTTACCAATTGTATTCTTGGGGGTATGTGGCCTTCTCCATCACTTGATATTACAGTACCAGACTTTCTGGTTGTGATTACTTTGGTAGTTGGTTGTGTATGCGACATTTGCAGTAGGAATGAGATCCTGCCAGTATTGCAACAGTTGTCAAAAATTAGTGGGGCTGGGGACTTGGAGTGAAATGTTGACAGCCCCTTTCTTTTGCAGACTAAAGACTTGCTTTTTCAGAGCCTCTTACTAGACTGAGGACCCACTTTTTAATTTCAACCTGTACCCAGGTCTTGTATATGTGCTCGGGACTTGGGCTTGGGGAGAGATCCAAAGTTCAGTAGTAGTGCTTATTTGCTCATAGAAGGTCCTAGTTTCAATTACCAGCATTTCTTGTTAAAACAGAAAGGTGGTGCTGGGTGGAATCAGTTATCAAGTGATGAGAAAGACCCCTGTCTTCGACCCTAGAAGATCATTGCTAGTCAGAGTAGAAATTCTGTGGTATAAGTCAGCTTCTAGTGCTTTGATTTTTTTCTTTCTAGGAAGAGCAGGTGCAGAGGAGGACAGCAGGGCTTCTTACAGTTGTGTAGAAGAGAGAATTTCAGGTGATGTGGGGTAATTGAAGCGGGCCTGCAGAAACCACCTTTGATGTAAAACTGGGAGCCCTGTCTTTTTCTGCACGTTTTCTCTCCTGCTGATCAAACAAAGTCAGGTTTTCACCCACTTGTGAGTCCTGGCAAAGTGGGAAGTTTAAAGCAGATGTTTTAAAATGGGCTAAAAGGAAAGGTGTGGTGGATGTAAAATGCTTTTATCAAACAATATCAGTATACTTGGCTATCCTTGGCTATCCTATTTACCTGTTGCTGTGCCCACCCGCCCCCCAAAAGCAAAGTAATGCTGTTGCTTTCATTAGTAAGGTCAGTAGCTTTTAGATCCCCCCCCCATCTTGTGAATTTACATTGCAACTTCCAAATAACTGAAATTAAAATATCTGTTCCCTAAGAAGTCAGTGAATGAATATTGTCAAGTGACTCTCATCATAATGGAATCTGCCTCCAAATAAAGAACATTCTTAACCTGATGCCTCAAAGGTCTGAAGTCTTCTGTTAACACTTTGACCAGATAAGATATTGCAGTATGCTTACTTGGAGTTTAGCAGTCTTGTTTTACATGTATGGTTAAAAACTGCAGTCCTGGAAGATGAAAGTTTTCATCCTGAAGTTAGAGTAGCAAGCTAGTTGAGAAATTGCCCAGTTTGTCTCACCTCAATCATAAGTTTGCTGGGAAGTCACTATCTCTTGGCCTCAATCTTTATCTGCAGTATGGGACTAATACTAGGCTATTTTACGTGGATGTTGCAAGGATTTCTGAGATAATGTATCTGAAGTACTTTGAACACTCTAAAGTGTTTTATACATGTTCAGTAATGCTGTTTCATTAGTGCTGTATGTTTCATAATGTATTCAACAGCATGCATAAAACACTGTCTACCTAGAAATCTACTTGCTACCCTTTGATGTGGAGAAACTGTGTTGACATGAAAAATAGTTACTCTGCTGCATATTGCAAAACATATATTGAATCTGATTGTTGCTTGGTGTGAGTGTGTTTCCTATTACTTTCAGGGACAACTCCCTCTGACTTACCAGGGGCTCCAGCTAATATGTGGTGCAGTAACAATGTGCATTTCCCACGTCTTACTCTGTGATTAACTATTTCTTTGTGAATACTGATTTGTTTCTGATGTACTCTTCGATCCTGTTTCCGCAAATATATAAACTGTTTTGCAGGGCAAAAGCCACCCCCATTTGAGCCCTTCTTGTATTTTCTATTTTTTTTTTAAAAAAAGCCAGTATCTAGACACTCTTTACAAAGCAATACATAAGAGGCAGGCACTATTTTACGTAGTTCAATAAGAAGCATTAGTTGCTTACAGTGTTCTGACCAGTGATTGCAAAGGCACTGTGGTGACTGATAAGAATTTAAGCATTTGTTTTAATGTTTAACTTGACTTGTGATAGCCCCCATCAGGTATCCTTGGTGTCCTCCACCTCCTGCAGCAGCATTTCTGGCTACAAGCCCATTGTGTGTTTAATCCCATTCGATCCTGACAGATTATTGGGACTTCTTGTGCTCAAAAGCTGGATCTTTCAAAAGCAATAATATTCTGAAGTCTGAATAATTATGTAGTCCCTGTTGTCATCATTGGTATGCTAGCATCTTAGAATCCTTTAAGTATAACACAACATTTTGTTGTCTGGATCATTTCTCTATCTTCTGCGGTTGTGAAGTCACCCAAGGCCTAGGTCATAATGTAACCTTCATATGTGCTTTTAAAGAATGATAGTCTTCAGAATGAAAGGAAGTATAAATTAATTGTAACATCCGAAGTTCTTGATCCCAGAAGCTTAGTATGTGCAGCTGTTGCAGCAAACAACAAAGAGTGCTTTGGCACTTTAAGGACTAAACTTATTTATTGATGCTTGTGTATTTAAGAGTAGTTTACAAAGAGTGTTTTGGCACTTTAAACTTACTTATTGATGCTTGTGTATTTAAGATTAGTTTGGGCATCAAATCTTCAGTAACCATAGCTCCAATATACTGTCTATAAAATCAGAAGAATACTTTATTGTGGTTTGTTTCCTGTGAAAGGTTGAAGTTCAGATGCAAAGTTGAAATCAATAATTGAGGAATAATTGATATTGATTTATATATATTAGTAACATTGTATTAATGTAATATTTTATTTTTATATGTAACTGTGTATTTTTGTACTATTTTGCATCAGGAAATTAAGAGGTGTTGACACTATGTTATTGAAGAGTTTTGAAAGCAATATCTATCTATCTATCTATCTATATCTGTACTTTTTGCCCATTTGTTAAAATGAGTCTATAATGCGAATCTCACTCCACTGGAAAAATTAAGTGCTAATAATTCTTTATATAACATGCCATTATCATGAAGTTCAAGAAGAGCTGTGAAGTGCTTATGTGATTTCTTATACAAGAAGCATTTTTTTTTTTAGATTGTGGGAAAAATGGTTCTGTTTAATACACTAGTTTCCTTTGTTTGAAAAATGGCTTTTATTTAATGCTGACTGTGTAAGGAAAGGTTGGTGGTTTGGAATTATCTGAAGCTGGGAGCCATTGGGGTGTTTGTATTGAAGAGGTTATCAAGCACTGCTGTGCTGGTTTTTTTTTTTATAGAAGCGGAATAATCTGTTTTTTAGGATTGTTAGTACAGGGTGGATGTGGGTAAGAAAAGATATGTAAGGTAGATAAACGGTATGCACTTACTCAAAGCTTTCCTCTTGCCTTCTTTCTTCACATAGCACTTACAAGAATGTATGATCATCTCTTTAACACTTTCAAAGAAGAAGTATACCAGTTGCAGTAAAAATGAAACTAGAATGGTATCTTAAGCAATAAGTGAAAATTTGGGTCCAGAGAGAGGGTTGATCAGAAGCCCAGCAAAACTGATGTGGTCTTTCACAAACTGTGAATGCTCTCCAGCTTAGACTGCCATTTGGCATATCATAAAACTTTCACACCATGCATCATAATTGATACTTCAGACATGCCAAGATTCCTGCACTTCATGTTTTTAAAGGATTGTTTTTGTAAGTTACTCTACACAGAAGGAGAGATGATCCATTGACAATCATAGCCTCTGGTTACAAAATTCGTACATCAGAACAGATCACCTGCGTATCAAATAATATAAAAGATGCTTTTGTTTGTTTATTCATGTATCCCCTGTTTGTGGCAGCTTGGTATACTTTGTTTCCCAACTGTTTATCCCTTCATAGTTGAATGGAGATTTGTTTTGGTTTTGAAAACTTTGAAACATGGATGGGAAGCCTATGGCCCTCCAGATATTGTTGGAATCCATCCTATATCAGTCCTAGCTAGCAAGGCCGGTAGTCAGGGATAATGTAGGCCAACAGCATCCCTATCCCTGCTTTAGGATAACTATAGTAATCTTTCTCTCAGTCTGCCCTCTGTCCAAACATGGTATCTGATAGCAATCTGGTTTCTGATTGTGAGTGGGTTATCCTGGCACTGTGATTTATTTATTTTTCCAACTGCTGGACACACTTGAGAGAATAATTCATTCTGATACAATCTTGTATTTGTATCTTGCTGAGCAAAGAGCACTGGCAGTGGTGGTACTTTGCAGATGTAGTAGAGAGATAGTAAGGACACCAAGGTATTGTTTGCCAATGCAATGGACAGAACATTGAACCTGAATTAAAGGCAATTTTGGAAGTTTCGGCCCAGTCACTGAGCTGCTTTGCACACTTAATCTTAACTATGGTTTAAAGGTGAAAGTGCATTGTGCTGATGCATGGGACCAACAAACCTTGGTTATTGTTTGTGATTTGTTTGGAGCCAGGTTTAGTTGTAACTCTAAAACAAATCATAGCTTAGATCTTGCTGGCATGGCAGAGAAGAAGCAAAGCAGCTGTGATTTAGCCCTGTTTACCAGCACAAATCATAGTTAACCTTAATTGTGGCTTAAAGTGGCAGGCAAATGAGGCCACTTTGTCTCAGCCTAAGGTTGTTATAAGAATTAAATAATAGCATGCATGCTGCCTTGAGTGTTTTGGAGGAACCAGTCGAGGGATGCAGATGTAGTTTAAAAACGTGTGCCCATATAATAGGCATTTCAATGTGAAGAGAAGCAGAATTAACTTAAAACTGGGTGATCTGAGGGACCCTACTAGCCATATGTCTGCAAGAAATTATATCCTGCAAAGATATAATAGTGTATTTAACACTTATAAAGTGCATAACATGTTCTAAGCGCTGCACAAATATTAAAGGTAAGGCAGTTTGTATACATTCACATTTATACACTTTACAGCTGACTCTTTAGCCTACTTATGTGTTTTCATCTTCATTGTCCAGAGATGGCCACTGTACTGATATTGGAGAAACTTGAGAGCCCCCTTTCTATTCCACTTCTTTTTTGTTATCTTTTGAGGAGGCAGGTTTCTATGCATTGACTTGTACTGCCATTTTAGTGTATCCTTTCACGATAATTCTACTAGGAGAGCTCCAGTTTTTCTACTGACTTGGCTAAAGGAAGCTATAAATGGAAACCAACAACAAAATATTGCAATGTTGCCTCAGAACCTAAATTCTGGAAAATTATTGTAAATATGTTAGCACACTATCAGGTTTGGAGTAAATCAGCACTAAAAGTTACTTTGAGAATAAAGCTGAGGAAAAGAGGTATAGATTAGTTACAGTATGCAGCAGCAAAAGATAATCGTGAGAAAACCATGGAAGAGTGGGAGGGAAGTGAACTTTTAAGTGAATGTACACTGGAAAATGTTTGATCAATTGTATTTTATTTGTGAAAATTTATAAATAAAAATAAAACCAACCTAAATTCTAGGCCCCACCCAGCATGGAACTGGAGCCTTGGATTGCTGCTTGGGGCTCATAGAAAACACCTCTTTTCTTTCACATTATTTTGTATACCAGTGATTCCCAACTGGTGGTCAGAATTTTCAGAAGTAGGGGGCTTGGCTTTTGAAAAACAGGGGTTCCATAGTACTTAGCTATGGAAACCACTGGTATATACCAAGGGTTCAGAACTGGAACTAGCTGTCAGCCTGAACCAGTTTTATTACTGCAGGGAGGTGGGGATGAGGTGGAGTGTTCCTTAGGGATAACGGTTTGCAGTTTTCTTCAACTTTATGGCATAAATATTCTTTCTCTCCCCTCCTCCTAATACTTATTTCCAGATTACTATAAACTGTTAAGGGCTCAACAGGTCACTTCCTGTCTCTTGCTTTCTTAAATTAACACATTCAATATTTCATTGCTCAGCTGCCCATAACCATGGACTTCAGGGTTGTTCACAATTCCACTTGTCCTGTGCCTAGAAAACATGGGCCTGAGGGGTTTTCCACTTGCCCCATGTTTTCTAGGCACGGGTCCAAGCGGTATTTCATTTATCCCACCCATTTCCCCAGGAAAACCCGCTGTTTACCACTGAATCGGAACAAATGTCAATCCACAGAAAAACTGATAGAGATTGATGTTTGTTCCAATTTAGGGGTTTCTGAGAGAAAACGGGGGGTGGGCAGGGCGGACGGACGGACTATGAAATCCCAGGCAAACCAGGGGTTGGGGATGACATAGGCAGTCAGCTGTAGGCAGTCACCCATCAGACTTCTGCAGCTAGTTGGCACAGCTGCAGCACTTCCTAGCCATTGTGGATCGGGCTCAGGGGAGTTGTAGCTTCTTAGTAGGTACTGTTCTGAGGATTAGTTACAATAACACCTCTTTGGCTGCTGCACAGCAGCTGAACCATGCAGTCTGAACACAAGATATGCCTGGGGTTTGCCAGGGTAAAGAATGCCAGGGATTTAGAATACAGTAGCCTACAGCACTGCATGGCACAACAGAGTTCTGAATTGGATCCTTGTATGGTAATGGAGGAAATCAGAACTTGTTAGTCTCAGAGGCGTGCTGTGACAAGAAACACCCTAAGGAGCTCCTTTTTTTTTTTTGGAAATACAGAAAACAGTTGTAAGTTTATGATGATCTCTAGCAGATACTGTAATACAAAGTTCTTTTGTAAGGAAGATGTAGGTTAGAAGAAGTACAGTACTCCTTGTAGTAATAAAGCTGGAGAATAATTATGCAGAGCTCATGAGTGCAATACAATAGAAACCAAATTGGGTTAGCTTCCAGTGGTTTCATGTAAATGTTAAAAAGACTGGGGGCCTCTGTAACCATGAGTCCTCGTGTTTGCTTCTTGTTACCTGCACCTTTCCCTTTTCTCCTCTGTGTTGGTCTCCCAACTGTGGAAATTTATAGACCATAAGATCTTCAAGGCAGGGATCTGTACTTTGGTTAAGTTACTCTTAACCCATGCACAGTGATGATGATGCTGTAGTAGTAATAATTATAACAGAACTCAGATGAATAAAATTTCCAAAACAAGCATATGAACTAGCAGCTTTTCAGATAATCATTTGCTGGCATTAGTGGGGATGGATCTGGTTTTTTGTACCTCATCCTGTGAGCCATCACCTATAGTCTCCATTTCTTTCTAGTGTAATGTAAAGGCTTATTCCTCTTCAGAGCAGCCCTGCCCCATTTCTGAGGATCGAGGCCACTTAGCTTCAATGAGCTTCAGTCTTCCTTGATCCGCAGAAATGGAACAGGGCTGCTATTTCCATCCTTTTTCTCCTGGTCATTTCTGTGAAGTAGCAACAGCAGAGCTTTTTAAACAGCTGCAAGTGAAAGAGGGAAGCATCAAGGAAGAGTTGAATGTTGCCTCCATAGTTGCCGTTGGGTATAAATGTTGGTAAACAATTCCTGTGCTGCTTTCTGTGCACATGGTCTTCATATATGCAAAGAGAAGAGTAGGAACATGTCAGGAGAAGAAAAGGCAGTATTCAGTATCATAATGCTTTCTCCCCCAAGGAAGGTGTGTGTCACTGAAATTCTGAAGTTTTGTTATAAAAGACCAATACACAACTCTATCTTGGTCATTGTTTCAGAATTCTCAGAATCGGTAAATTAACCTTCATTAAGCCAGATGTTCATATGTGTAGTTATCTTGGATTTTGTTACTATTGAATTTTAATGAGATTTCATCATAATGTGTGATATTGAAACACAATTTTTCCTTCACTTCATTCACTAAAACTGTGTTGTGTTAATGTGCACTAGCTTCAGTCTATGTGGTCTCATGTAGATCTGAAGGTTTGATCAAATCATCCATCTACACAGTTTATAGCAATAATTTCTATGTAGTAGAGGTGGTAGACATTTTTGTTTACCTGGGTTCCACCATAACCAACAACCTTTCCATTGATGCTGAGCTGGACAAGTGTATTGGCAAAACATCTATGGCAATGGCTTGCCTCTCCAAAAGGATATGGGAGAATGTGATGCTAACGTCCAATACCAAGATGAGCACACTGCTTTGTGATAGTGAGACATGGGCAACTTGCACCTGCCAGGAACTTGGTCATGCCCACACAATGGAAGATAACAGGACCCCCAAGGACATGCTCTGTGGGGAGCCTGGCTTCAGGCACTAGGCCTGTTGGCAGACTAATTCTGGTTTGCATAGATGTCTGCGAACCTGAAGGCTGGCAACATTAACCCTGCCATGTGGAAAACCCTTGCAGACAACCACAGTGCCTAGAGACGGACAATCAGGTTGTGTATCCACAGCAGTTACCAGAGGAGGAATGACCACCGGGAAGAGCACAGAAAGAAGAAACGCTTTGGTACATCTGTAGTAGCACAATTGGATGCATTAATCTGACTCAGCTGTAACAAAACATCTCTCTAATATTGGTCAAACTTCCAGCAGTTTGGCTTCACCCCCAAGTGTGCACTCCTCCATTGTCTCTTGAGGCAGATGGATTTCAACAACAATATGTAGTTAAGCAGCACTGATGGGGAAATGATGCATTTGAAATTGCGAATGTTACAGGTGCCCATTGTGGTTTTAGTACTTCATAATCTTTATTTCTGTTGGCTTATAACACCTTGCTTTCAGGATTTGCACTGACTGCCAGTTTGCTACTGGGCGAAATTCAAAGTGTTATTAAAAAGGTAAAGGTAAAGGACTCCTGACAGTTAAGTCCAGTTGCAGCGCTCATCTCGCTTTACAGGCCGAGGGAGCCGGTGTTTGTCCACAGACAGTTTTTCCGGGTCATGTGGCCAGCATGGCGAAACCAGAGCAGCGCATGGAAACACCGTTTACCTTCCCACCGAATCAGTACCTAATTATCTACTTGCACTTTCTGGTGTGCTTTCGAACTGCTAGGCTGGCAGGAGCTGGGACTGAGCAACGGGACCTCACTCCGTTGCGGGGATTCGAACTGCCGAGCCCAAGAGGCTCAGTGGTTTAGACCACAGCGCTACCCGCATCCCCAAAAAGTTATTACTGACATATAAATCTCTATGAAGCTTAGGACCAAGTTATAAGAGACTGCCTTACCCTTTATACACCCAGTAGATTGCTGCAGTCTGTGGGAGAGTTTCTGATGCAAGTTACAAAGATCTCAGAAGCCCACTCTGTGGAAAAGCATTCGTGTTGAGATGTGACAGGTGCCCATTATCTGCACTTTTTGGAAACAATTTAATATACTTTTGATCTGACAGATTTTCCCCAGCTGGATAATGAGTCTTCACCTGCTTCATGCATGCACCTTCCTTGGTGCTTTTCTCCACATAATTGCTCTTGGCTATTCTCTTGTGCATATGATCGTATGGAGAAACACAACATCTGAATAAGCAAGCAGTGGTGGGGGCGCCATAAGGTACTGCCACAATCATTTAAATTGCTTGCTGAAGGGATTGATGCACATCTCATATTGCATTTTATACCCAGGGGTGTTTGGAAATGGCCAGGAAGAGAAAATCTTTATCTGAACTGGCCCAAGAGGTGGCTTATGTGATCTATTAGTGGAAGGGATGCTGACATTAACTTCTGATACAGATTTATATATAAACCCTATTGCAATTATATTAATGTCACTGCCCAGCAATAGGTCTATGTATGCATTTGTTTGTTCAAGAGATTTATAACCTACCCTTCCAGTACATTTGCATTCCTCAGAGCAGCTTGTCAGAGTAATGAAATGTGAAAATATATTTGTTCACTTTTATTGAGAGTCATCCAGCAAGCACATTCACAGATCACAATACACAGATCTCATTCTTCACTAAACATGCACTGTTGCATCTTGCCTTAGCTAGTAGTAAAGAAGGTTGCTTTTCTTTTAGTCCAAAATGTGGATTCTTTTTATTGTGAGCCTTCCCAAGACTAGAGATTATGTGGTTGCAGGAGGTTTGTGTGTGGGAAGCATGCAGGGAAACCAAACTAGAAATTAAGGCATACTCCTCACAAGCAGCAGTAGTCTGCTTTCTAAGAAAACTTGGGGTTCCTTTTCAGTGTGTTTAAAACTGTTAGCAATAGACATTTCTTGGAGAATAATGTTTTGATGCAACTTGCATGAGGCTGGATATGATCATTGTGATCCTAGGAAAAAACTATGATGATTAGAATCTGAGGCAAACACACCGAATTGTTCTGGTCATTATTACAATAGAAACACTATATTTTCTTCTGAACTGCAACTTGCGCTGTTTATATCTCTTGATAAATTCAAGAAGCTTGTGTACAAATCAATGTGATTTACTAGGAAATCCATAAATAGGTAAAGGGACCCCTGACCATTAGGTCCAGTCGTGACCGACTCTGGTGTTGCGGCGCTCATCTTGCTTTATTGGCCGAGGGAGCCGGCGTACAGCTTCCGGGTCATGTGGCCAGCATGACTAAGCCGCTTCTGGCGAACCAGAGCAGCACACAGAAACGCCATTTACCTTCCCGCCGGAGCGGTACCTATTTATCTACTTGCACTTTGATGCGCTTTTGAACTGCTAGGTTGGCAGGAGCAGGGACCGAGCAACAGGAGTTCACTCCTTCGCAGGGATTCGAACCGCCAACCTTCTGATCGGCAAGTCCTAGGCTCTGTGGTTTAACCCACTGCGCCACCCGCGTCCCTGATAGGAAATCCATAGATACCTTTAAATAACTGGATCTTTCACATATTCATATAGTGGATGGTTGGTTCCATAATTCAAGGGAAAATTTGAAGAAAAATAGGACTGTAAGTCTTCATAACATTTAATCTATTTTTCCTTGTCCCCCCCCCGCCCCCCCACCCACTGCTTAATGTAACAAGTTTCCTGATTAAGAGTTCTGAAAAACTTTAAAGTTTGCCACAATTTTGTTACATTTTGGGTTGGTTCCAGTTATTTGCTCAACTCTGGATTTGGAAGTATTTTTCTTACAGGCCAGCATTACTATCTTTGGTTTTCATAAATTGAAAAAGTATTTGCAGTTAAGGTTGTATAGCTTTGTCCTCCAATTTGGGGTGTCCATTTTAAATAAATCCTTAGTTCTCAAGCTATGGGGCAGCTCTTCCGCCTTTGGGGGGGGCACCTGGTAGAGGGCTCAGAATTCTAGAAAATGACAAGCAATAGATGCCTTTTTCAACCCCTCTTTCTTTCTTTCTTAATCCTTATATTATTTACATTCATTTCTCTCCTTTCCCTCCAGTATTGTTCAAGGCTACTAACAATAATAATCCTACTACATTTTTTGAAAAGAATATGTAGAATATAGCAATCGGGTTTACACCTGGTACAAAATGCAATTGTAGCAGTACAAACAGACCTCAGATGTGGATCATTATGTGTGCACAATTGGAATAATGGGTGTGGCAGAAAGCATTTCCCTGACAGTAGTTGTGAGAAACAAGGTATTGGTGGAGTAAATTAGATATTATTCCCTGAGGTTGGTTCTTAGTCTTCCAGGTCTAATGCTTTTCTTCTAATTGTCAAGACGAGCAGCAGTTAATTGATCTTGTGTATCCCCTCATTAAAGGCTCAGCTCTTCTAGACAGCAGCACCTGCCACACAGTGGTGGAAAGCTAATGCACAGCATCTTCAGTTATTTATGGAAATAGTCATATCTCAGTAGGAATGTTGTTCCATGAAACAGGAGCATCCACACTGAAACCCCAGTTGCTGTGAACAGGCGTCTGATATTTTAGGGGCTTAGAGGAAAAACTCTCCTTCAGAACGCAGTGGCCTACCAGGTATATAAGGGATGAGGTGGTCTCTCAAGTATATATTCATACTAAAACCTTGAACTTGGCCCAGCAGCAGATTGCCAGTCAGTGTAAATCCTGCAGACAATTTGCAGAATGTGTTGGTGATACTTTGCTCCCACAAGCAACCTATCTCTGAATTCTGTACTAGCAGAAGCCTCTGGATCAATCTCAAGGGTAGCCACACACAGAGTGCACTGCAATAATGTATGCACTCCAATTTTCCACAATATTTTGCAAATATGCTGAATGGAAACTTGCATGCTGACCTGGCAGAGGACCCTTGTTCATCCGCACTGTGTTCCTGAGGTGTAGCAGCTGCACCCTCACTCTCCCATCTGCTAGAGATTTGAGAACGGGGTTCGGATAGAATTGCTGCTTTTGGGAAAGGAGATCAGAGATGTCCCGCTCATTTTCTGTTTTAGTGCTGGCATTGGGATAAGTTCTTCTGCCTGTAGCTACTAACCTTTATCCTTTACCTTTAGTAGTGGTAGTAACTGCATACCACTGCATGCGAAGATCACTGCAGATTCACAGACTATTTGTGCTGGGTTAGAGGCCCCAGAAGGGTAAAATAGATTTTTAAAAGGGGCCTGAGTTCAAAAAAATGTGAAGAACACTGGGCGGGGGAGCATTGCAGGATTTTTTGGCACATGTTCACATTTATAAATTGATCCCTGCTGTTTGGAATGCATGAGTTAAAAGAAGGCAAGCAAAAGGAGAGCCTGATACTGTGGCAAGCTGTAGCAGTCCTTGGGGAATTGCCCTTTGCCCTTCTAAGTCCATAGTTGCCTTGCAAGTTCTGAAGATAGTTGTAGCCGGGATGACGGTCATCTTTGGGGACGTAGCCCTTTTGAAAAACAACTCTAAAAGAGCAAGAATACTGTAGTTGTAAGAAGTTTTCTTCCACCTACCCATGGAGGTTTACTCACATTTCGTAACTCTTAAGCTTAGGCAGGAGATCATTTGAAGGCTAATATGTAACTAGGCAATTAATACCATGTATTTGGAAATAATAATAAAAACCTGGATAATTTGAATGAGCAGGTAGGAATTGGGGAAATCAGGCAGCTTCCTATGAATTTAAGGTGTGGCATTTTTAAAGTTTTTTTTTAAAAAGAACTTTGCCCAGTTTGGGGCCGTGTGTGTGTGTGTGTGTGTAAATTTTACAGAGAACCAAGTATTGCATGCCCTCCTGTTTTTATAAAAAATGCATGTTCTTTAATTGTGATAGGCAAATTGCTATCTCTCATTGCTTTTAGTAAATAGCTTGTTTTGCTTATTTGTATTTCATGATTACAGTTTTACTTGTGCTGCTAGCTGCTCCGAGACTAAGTAGAAAACAGGCTAGATACACAGTAATAGTTATTTACCATTATTGCCACCCTGCTACAAGTTCCCTTCCTTGCTTCATTGGTTGATATTTGCAGGGTGGGGATCCCTGTAGTGCAGCACCAGTGTAGCCTGGCCCTGGGAATTGCCCTTAACTCATTTTCTATGGTTTTTCTCAGTTGGCCACCTGGTGCTTGCAGAGACTCTTTCCCCTACTTGTTCTCTGTTGGAGGGCTTAAACTAGCCATCTCCTGTTTTGCTGTAAGGTACTCTACTGAAGGAAGTTTGGATTACTCCAGAGTAAATGATTAATTGCATCATAAATGGAGATGTGAAGGCCCCCCCCCAATGGGGGGCTCCAGTTTTTCTCAGGCCTTCACATTTCTAAGCATAAATGTTCCATTCTAAAGTGAAAATAATCTCAGTGAATATAGACAGTTTAGCTTTGCTTATTGCCAAAGCATTGGGGTAGTGCCATTTCACTGTACAATTCTTTCCAGCCTGTGCAAATGCTTCCCACATCTGACCCTCCCCTTGCCTGCTGTGTGTTGTCAGGTCTCCAGAGAAACTATAAAGCTTTTATCCTTGCTTTGAAATGTTGGAAGGGGCAAACCTCTTTTGCACTGGCTCTTTGCCAGATGTATTGGTCTTAGATTCCTGCTTTGGTTTAGATGGCTTCTTCTAATAGAAATGTAATAAATAATAATACAGTGGTACCTGGGTTTTCAAATGTAATCCGTTCCAGAAGACTGTTCAAGTTCTGAAATGTTCAAAAACCGAAAACTCAAAACGGAAGCCTCAGTATGGAAAACTCAATACGGAAGCCGCGTGGCATGTTCAATTTCCAAGGCTTGTCCGAAAACCAAACCATTTACTTCTGGGTTTACGGTGTTTGAAAACCGAAATGTTCATCAATGGAGACGTTCAAAAACCAAGGTACCACTGTAATGTGGGGAGTTACTATTTTTGTTTGTTGCAATGTTGTGTATTTTTGTATTTTTATATTGTAAACTACCCTGTAGAATGGGAGTGGGTGGCGCTGTGGTCTAAATCACCGAGGCTCTTGGGCTCGCTGATTGGAAGGTCGGTGGTTCGAATCCACGCGATGGGGTGTGCGCCCATTCCTCTGTCCCAGCTTCTGCCAACCTAGCAGTTCGAAAGCACACCAGTGCAAGTACATTGGTACTTCTGGTTACGATCTTAATTCATTCCGGAGGTCCGTTCCTAACCTGAGGTACCACTTTAGTTAATGCGGCCTACCACTGCCGCTGTGCCACCAGCACACGATTTCTGTTCTCATCCTGGGGCAAAGTTCTGAACCCAAGGTACTACTTCCGGGTTAGCAGAGTCTGTAACCCCAAGTGTTTGTAACCTGAGATAACCCAAGGTACCACTGTAGATAAATAGGTATCGCTGTGGAGGGAAGGTAAACAGCGTTTCTGTGCACTCTGGCTTCTGTCACGGTGCTTTGTTGCACCAGAAGCAGTTTAGTCACGCTGGGCACATGACCCAGAAAGCTGTCCGTGAACAAACAGCTGATCCCTCAGCCTGAAGCAAAATGAGCACTGTACCCCATAGTTACCTTTGACTGGACTTAACCGTCCAGGGGTCATTTACCATTTTCCTAAAATACCCTGTGATCTTCTGATGAATGATAGTATAGAAATTTAATAATAATAATAATAATAATAATAATAATAATAATAATTAATAATAATTGCCTATAGTCAATGCTCACATCTCTTATTCCTCCTCTTGGGAAGAGAGAACACTTATTTATTTCAAGATAATACACTTTATTTTTCTTTATTGAGTTGGTAGCACACTCTTTTCAGCACCTGCTTGCATGCTGTGGCTCTGTGAGACTATTTTTAACCAAAGGTTGGGTGTCAGAAAGGCACAGAGCTTAATTTAGAGACTGGTTTTGGAAAGCTTGAAGTATTGTCTTTACCAGTGCAAAGAATTAATGAAAAAGAGAAAAGAGAGCAACTTGATACTGAAAGATATGCAAAAGGAAAGCAGCATTTGGGATTTGTTTAAGGCTGTTTCTCTCCCCCCCCCCCCCCCGTACCCCTGGAGTGCATAGTTATTGTTAAAGAAGAAATGGCAGAAACCTGGAGAAGGTGAGGTTAGGGAATGAGGAAAGAATGGTCTGGCAACCAGATTGCTTGTAGGCCAGATTCCTAATGAGAGGCTTCATAAGTGTATTTCCCATTTACGTATAACACCTGCAAAATACTTAAGGCACTAAATAAAAACATTTGCCCTGCTGTTTTTGTCACATTTCTCCATATTTGTTTTAAGTAAATTATCTTGTTTTCTTATATTTTAGATCTTATTCAGTGCACAAATGAGATGAATGTGAATATTCCACAGCTGGCAGACACACTTTTTGAGAGGACAGCAAACAGTAGCTGGGTAGTAGTGTTCAAAGCTCTAATTACAACACACCACCTCATGATGTATGGAAATGAGGTAAGACAGTAGTCAATTTGCCATAGAACATTGTGTTTAATGGTAGGAAAACATTCAGATGAGAAGTGCTGGTGATCTCTGAAATGATGGTGAGAGAGAACAATTAAAAAATACCAATCTGAATTGTCTATCCTGTTGCCTCACCTATTAGTAAGCAAGTAATGAAAGCCTGAGCTTAGCAATACCCCCCCTGCCGCCACCTTTAAAATTCTCAAATTACTAAATTAGTGACTGTATTAAATGAATGAATTGTCAGCATTGCACTGCTGGTATAGCTTTTCATTTCTGTAGGAAAAATTTATACATATACTCAAAGGTGCAGGAACTCTGTTCTGTATCTAGCAGTTGTGGAAACTATGTGTCAGGTTGCATTTGGCTAGATTAGAAATATTCCTACAGAAGTCTGAATCGGAAATGAATTTAATACACATCTCATTATAACACATATATACCTACACATGTTGGGGTGAATTTGAACAATAAGCTTTTCTACAACCATCTCACTCTTCACAGAATTGTATAGGAACTGTTTTTGGAGAATTTTTTCATTCATTACTTAGCCCTTGAAATTCTATTCATGGTGGAATCAGGAGCAGGCCTTGGTCTCATTTGCTCCAATCAACTCCCCTAAATTTCTTCTCGCAATAAAAAAAGTGCTTGAGTAGATCCCACTTCAATTTGAAAAACTGAATTTCCTTGAAATTACAGGGTATAACTTGCTTTCTAGTGGATTCAGTCTCATGGGATTGGGGAGATGCAGCAATCAAATAAGCACAGACCTCCCAAGTATGGTTGATAACTCCTGTCAGTGGTAAGAGGGAGCAGGGTGCATTCTCTATCTCACGGCTGGAACAATCCCAAGGGACAATGAGTGAATGAGTGAATAGTTCCTTAGTCATGTCATCTTGCTGTAAATGTGATGAGCATTGAAGGGGTTGGCAATAGGGGAGGAGGAGAATGTATTTGTCTGTAGTTTATACTAGCTTCATTTCCTTATTCCATGTAGTTGGAGAGTTTGCATGTGTGTCGCTAAAGAATAGCCTCAGAACCATGTTTGTATCTTTTCATAACCCTGCTGTGATGTGGGCCACACATAAATGAATTTTATGCAAAGGTGTAATGTGTAACAAGTTCTGCTGCCGTTATCCTTTCTTCACATCAGAGTTTGCACAACATGGTGGCTGTCAGTTGTGTTACACATTGGCCCTTGTTGCATAACTCAGTTCCAATTCTGGCTCTCCCGAGCAGTGATTGAAAAAATGAGGCTTGATAGTAGATCTAATTTGCTTGTCTTAGTATTAGATTCCCCTCCTGCTTTTAGATATGCCTTATACAGCTGCGTAGAAACTAGTTTCTCTAACACAGTTATGTCTATGGGGAAAAAATAAATGAAGTAATCTGGAATCTAATTCTTTCTCAAACAGCGTTTTATCCAGTACTTGGCATCTCGAAATACCCTGTTTAATCTCAACAACTATCTGGATAAAAGTGCCATGCAGGGTAAGAATTTTTTACTTTTCTATTCTGAGGCAGATTGCAATTTGCACAGTAACTTCTATGGGCTAAAGGAATGTTAGAAATTCAGTCATCTTAAATAAACCCATGAATGTATCCAAACTGTATTGGAGAGGCATGCTCTTTTATTTATTGAAGTTTGCATCCAGGTGTATTCTGCAGTTTCATTCATTGGCTCTAGTAGACCAGTAGTCCAGTCCAGGATTTGTAAGTATGGAAGTCCCACTGACTTTAGTAAACTTCACAACAAAGTAAGTATCTAGGAGTGTAGCCTTAGAATATTTGTGATATGTTTTGTATTGGGAAACAAATAAATCAAATTAATATGAGCATTTATGCTAGCTATAATTGCATAAAATTTCATCATGAACCTGACATTCACCTCAGAATTACCGTATTTTTCGCACCATAGGACGCACCGGACAATAGGGCGCACCTTGTTTTAGAGGGGGGAGAACAAGAAAAAAAATTCTCCCCCTCTCTGCCCAGCGCCCCTTCAGCGAAGCGGCAGGAGGTGCTGCGCAGAGAGGGGGAGAATTTTCCCCCTCTTGTTTTCCCGCTCTAAAACAAGGTGCTGTTTAAGGTGCGTTCAGGCGGCTACCTTGGAAGCCTGTGCACCGACCCCTCTCGCTCTCCAGGCTTCAGGTTCCTTTCGACCTGCTCTTTGGGGCTGGCGGGGGAAGCCCACCATCAGCCCCAAAGAGCAGGTCAGGGAGCAGCGGAAAGGCACAGCGGAGAGGCTGCTGCCATAGCCGCGCATCACCTCTCCAACCGGGAGAGGGTCGCGGGGGCTTCTTGCCCCACGCGCGCTCTCCCGGCTGGAGAGGTGACGCGTGGCTAAAGAGGCTCCTGCCATAGCCGCGCGTCACCTCTCCAGCCGGGAGAGGGTCGTGGGGCTATGGCTTCTTTTGCCCCGCGCGCGCTCTCCCAGCTGGAGAGGTGACGCGTGGCTATAGAGGCTCCTTCCATAGCCACGCGTCACCTCTCCAGCCGGGCGAGGGTCGCGGGGCTATGGCGTCTTCGCTCCATAGGACGCACACACATTTCCCCTTCATTTTTGAAGGGGAAAAAGTGCGTCCTATAGAGGGAAAAATACGGTATATCTGCTTAGGAATAAGATGCATATTTCTGACTGGCTCTCTGTACATTGTCATGGTTACTTAGTAGAGTTCTAAATATTCAAAACCTGAGAAATAACACACTGCAGAATTTGTGTTGTTTGTTGTTTGACTCCGAGGTTACTTATGGGGGATTCTGTAATCCTTATGATACATAGAATTGCCCACTCCTGGATCATGTCATCTCTGGTGACTTGTTTGTCCCAGGGGCAGAACACCCACTGGGATATAGCAACCTGGTTTAGACAGTTGTTTGAGGCTTCATAAACCATGGCTTATGATCTCAACTTGGTTTTCAAACCAACGTGTGCCGGCCAGAATTCCCTAGTTTGAATGTAATGGGACTTGATGCAAGCCCAGCAGATCCTTTGCATCTTGGCCCTGGCAGCCACTTCTGGCACCATACCCATGAATTTTGAAGCCTCTAAACTGAATCAGAACAGTATGTGATTTATGTGTCTCTGGAAGAGAGAACAAATCGAAAATAATGGTTACCCCCAGATGCTAGATAACCTTCCCCCTGGTTCTCTTACATGAATTATGTTTCTTTTTGATAGATGTTCATTCTATTTTGAAGAGATAAGTGTAGACTTTAACATGTATATAATTTTGATTTCCTTTTAAACCAGTTTGTTGTTGTTGTTTCAATTATAGTGTACCTCAGAAATAAAGAATCTAAATTTAAAAAATAATTTTTATCAACCATGGTAAAATGGCTTTCTGATGGTGGAAATTATTAAAATATTAGTTTATTGGTGAAATACAAAAATTTTATAAAATCTTGTGTGAACCACATAAACTTGTGTTAACCACACATAAACTTATTTTTCAATTAAGACTGTTAGAGAGTCTCACTGGTTCAGAAAGTGTTGGTTTTTATTAATTTCATGAGGCAACATTCAGAGAAACTATACCAACTTATCAGTGCTGGAAGCATGATCACTATACTACTAGTTTCAAATGTGTGTAATAATGGCAAATGTGTGAAGAAGGTCCCCAAGGAACTTTTGGAGCATAATTCACACTGAGTAAAAAGTGATAAGAGTACTAGAAGAATGAAAAGTCTAATTGAATAGCATTTCATTTCCAGGCTATGATATGTCTACCTTCATCAGACGATACAGCAGATACTTGAATGAAAAAGCACTTTCTTACAGACTTGTAGCAGTTGATTTCACCAAAATGAAAAGAGGGTAAGAATTCCATTTATTTTTATGCTCTTCTAGTGACTGGATGGGCATCAAAGTGTTTGAGAAAACAGAATTGTCAAAACAGAGTTTGGAAATTTGTGCAAAAAAAACATGCTCTGATGTGAAATTTGAAGTATGCAGTGATAGAAAAATGCAACTTTTGGAGCATTGAATCTGACAGCACATAAAATGTTCAGTGGCACTGTTGCAACAGCTTGCATAAACTTTTAGGTATAAGTTTGAACCTTTTGGGAGATCAGAATATTCTTTAAAGTATTTTATATGTAATAATTTAATGCAGAACTTTGGAAAATACTATTCTACGTATTTTATTCAAAAGTCCCACTGATTTCAATGGGCAGCAGTAGAGTCTTCTTTGTTTGATATAATCTGTAGTGCTGACATCGGATACCATAATAGTGTGTTCAACGATTGTATCTGTTTGGTTTATTTTCTATTTTATTTTGAAGGATTGATGGTGTGATGAGAACAATGAATACTGAAAAACTTCTGAAAACACTCCCAATTATTCAGAATCAACTAGATGCACTTCTCGATTTTGATGTAAGCACTGTAGCTGTTATTTATTACTACAATTCATGATAAGCTTTATGGAGGGTGAAATATGTGTTGTGATTTCACTTTCTGGTAATTTGACTTAAAAAATCTCTTTGCTTTTTACGCAGGCAAACCCAAATGAACTAACAAATGGTGTAATAAATGCTGCTTTCATGCTCCTCTTTAAAGATTCCATTAGACTTTTTGCAGCCTATAATGAGGGGATCATTAACTTGTTAGGTATGTGAAACAACACACAACAATTGTTTAAACATTTACCAGTGGAGACCTGTATAAATATGCAGATGTGGTTTTGTTTGTAATATCTTCCATGTTCATTTCTCCCTTCACTCCCTTGTGTTCTTTCCCATGTGTTTCTCTCTCCCTTCTCTCCCTCTTTCCTTCCCCCCTCATTGAACTTGCACATAATAATCCTAAATTTTGCTGATTCACACATCATAGTAAGCCAAGTCTCCTCGTTTGTTTCTCCTGGCTCCAGGCAGGGCAGAGTGAAGTGGGAGCAGTTGAGCAATGTTGCTCATTTGCAACAATCCACGGTTAATTTCTTGCTTTGGCTTACCAAGACATGCAAGCCAGCCCATTCACTATTTTTATACTTACACCATGTTCAAATAGTTTCTCTTAAACATGTGCACATAGCTAACTGATGAGCAACACCTTAATAGTCCTGCCTATTATCTCTTCTGTTGCACTCCTTCTTATAACAGTACACATAATTCTAGTGTGCCAGAAATTTATTTTATTTTTAAACTACTAGGCAGCTGAAGTGTTCATAGACATAGCTTAACACTTCAGTCTAACTTCAGGCTAAGCCAATGTCTAGGGAAGACTCATTTCACCCTGTAGAATTCAATAGCTGGTCTCTATTGTATTTTCTTTTGTTGTGTTTATCTGATTTTAAAGGGTAGTGGTGGCTGGAGCAACTTGGCAAAAACACTTAAAGCTTTTGTGTGTGTGTGCTCTCATTTTATGCTCCAGTGATGGCCATGGTAATATGTAAAAGTTCTTGGGTGTGATGACAGCAAGAGTGCATGCTTATGCTCAGAAAGTGCTTTATATATGTTTTTTATTATTTTCAGTGTAGTTAAGGCTTTGATTGATGTTCTGATTGTTTGGAAGATATGGAAGCTTGTTTGTCAGTGTTTGAATATGATTGGCTTACTAATTAGGTTCCTACAGTATTCTAAATTCAAACAAATTTAATGTGTGTGCAGTAAACCAGAAGATTGTAGGCCTCTTCTGAGACTCACACTAGCAATATATTTTGATCAGTGTATTCATCCTCAGCTGCAGATATATCTTTTCAGCTGACCTTCAGTTCTTCTTCAGGCTTTGCAATCCCTGCTTCTGTCAGTGAAGTTCCTGTGAAGGGCACTTGTTGAATAAACTTAACTGTTATTGGTGGATTCATTTTATGGTCTTGGCTAAAACTGCTGTTAAATAAAGTTGAAATCAGTTAGTGACATCTTCAAATAGTAAAGCATCAAACCTAGCCTTTTTAAGTCTAACATACCACCTTATTAATAATAATATTATGTTACTGTTCTTTTATTTACACACAATTTTTTCTTTGAATTTCATGCTTCAGAAAAATATTTTGATATGAAGAAGAACCAGTGCAAAGAAGGTCTGGATATTTACAAAAAATTCTTAGCCAGAATGACCAAATTGTCAGAATTCCTCAAAGTGGCAGAGGTAAATAAATCCAGTAGCATTAGTAGTATTTCATTTAGCTCTCTGGACTGGTACAGTAATAAGTGCTTATGATCACAATTTCATGCAAGTTTTGTATGTTGCTGAATGTAAACATCACTTAAACTATGTACATTTAAGGGTATATTTTGAAAGCTCTGTTTCTGTTCATTTTTATCAACTAAGAAATGCCTGCTGAACAAAGGTTGTGGTTTTTTAAAAACTATCTATTGAGTATTTTTTTCTCTCCAAAGTTCTGACAAGCTATTTATTACTATTTCTGGTAACTGAAATACATAAAATCTTAAGAAATACCTTTCAGGATCTCCATATGAAATTTAGCTTAGAAGTTGCATTTAAAGTTGTACCAGTTCAGAAAGCTCTCCATGTCCTCCCTGTTCCCTTAGCTTTTATGTAGACATTCAGATCCACAGTTCTTTCTTTTCATTGCCACTGCATGTAGTAATGTACATTTTTTTCCCTTTTTTGTGAACCCAGCAAGTTGGAATTGATCAGGGTGACATTCCAGATCTTACTCAGGTCAGTGTACATTTCATATTAATTTAACCCCCAAGTCCTGTGTCCTTTTGTGATTTTAATAGTTAGTGTTCCATTCTATACATTCTGAGAATTCATTTTCTTCCATATATACTATATATGGAAATACATTCCATTTTTCCTGTAACCTGTTTTGCTTCATATAGGTAATGTGCTCAGTAACAAGTAATGCTTTTGTTTTTCCTGTGCTGTTTTGGAGAATATTATTACTAGAAATTTTGAGGATTTATTTATAAACAACAACACCGCCCTTAAAACACATGGGGTAGGATACCTAAACCTAGTGCTTTGTTTTAATCAGCAATTTCCACAAACTGAGCAAGTGGGGCAGTACAACTACTTCACTTGCTGAACAGCTTTCCCCTCCCCTTGCTCAGGAGGGGACCATAGCACAACGGAAGAGGATATGCTTGGCTCAATATCCTTTTTAAAAAAATCAAAAATCAGTAAAATCTCTCTGCCTGGGAACCTGGAGAGCCTGTGCTCATCAGAGTAGACAATATTGGGCAACATAGTCAAACAGTCTGACCTGGTATAAAGCAGCTTCCAATGTTCCTGTGTGTTTCAGAGATTTTTTTAAAAAATGTAATTGAAAGCCAGGGAGGGAGCTGGATGCTCAAATAAAAAGTAGAAAATGGAGGCCTCTAAAGTTGTATTTTGGGTGCTGACATAGCTATAAACTCCTGGTTATGGAAACGATATAGTTTCTTCTATGAGGTTTGCTGGTGCTCATACACCAGGCATATTATTCAGAAGTTGCAGCCACAGCTCCAAAGACTTGATGAGGCCTATAGCTCAGTGGCAGAGCAAACTTTATCTGAAAATGGCCCAAGATTCAATCTCCAGGATCTCTAGTTATAGGATACAGTTAGCAAAGTTAGGCAAGAATTTAACTTAAAGAGGTTAGAGAGCTAAACACTGGGCTAAACAAAACAACAGTCTGATTCAATGTAAAATAGCCCCACGTGTTCACACAATGGGGGGTGTACAGAATTAATTCCTGTAGGACAGCTCTACAAAGTGAAAAATTCTTGCTAGCCAGCTCAGAATCTGATACAGTACTTCACATGCTGTTGATGTTACAACACTGCATCAAGTGGTTCCGTAGATCCCTCTTAATCTTCGTGGATCTTTCCATTTGCTGGCACCATGCTATGCTCTTCTATTTCTTTTCTTGTCCCAAATAGGCATTGCCTTTTGTACCTACTTGCGCATGTCACCCCTCTGTCCCCTTATTTTTATTGTTGCCTCTACAGTTGCTTAAATCCTGTCTGTTTCTGTCTTACCAATCCAATGAGACAGCCCCCACAATGTGTCAGTTGCTTTGTCAGCCCTTCTGGCTTCTTGACTGTTCTAATGACTTGGGTGCCTAGTAAAGGCAAGGTACTCCTTTTGACTGCATGCCCCTGAAATGGGTCCCTTCTTTAAAATGTTGTGTGTGTGTCCCCACATTTTTTTGGGTCACACCATTAATACCCCACTGAAGTAATGGCTTCAGACTTCTGTACGTGTTGAATCTTAATCTGACAAACTGGGAGCAAAACTAGGACTATTGTGTTTGTGTGGAGCCCTGCTGAATAATGCAGGCTACAGAAGCGTGGGGAGGTTTTTGTTTTTTGTTTTTAATGCAAACATGGACAAAGAAAAACAATAGGAGATATCCAATGTTAAGAGCAGACACCGTGAAATCAATGCAGATCACCCCAGTCTTTGGGTAAGCTTCAGTGATTTATTTCAGTGGGAATGAAGTGCAACCACCTTAGTGTGCATCCAGCCTTAGTATGCATCCAAGAGATGTTGAATTGATTTACCTACTCTCTTTCAAGCAGTTAACATGGCACCCCTTGTGAATCAAAGCTACAGTGGTGCACAATACAGGAATCTTCATTAATACATTGTCTAATGCCTTTGGAACAACTTTTGCAAGTTAGCTCTTTAGAACTATTACCGTGGCATAATAGTTGTTTTCTTTTACTTTGGGAGGCTTAGTTTGAGCCCTTGCAGAACAGCCAATTTTTTTTGTAAATACTGTATGTGCCATATTTTGGAGAAATGCAATCCACTCCATTTACTTGTGTGTGAGCATCTAGTAAAACAAAATGACACTCAGGTAGCTTATGGAGCTGAGCCGTTTTAAAATGAATTCAGCATTCTTCAGTTGTGCACATCCTGTGCTCTTGTTTCTGATCATTTTGTCTACTGTAGAAGTTAATGAACTGTGTGCTGATGAATCTTTTTTACAAGTACAGTGGTACCTCGGGTTAAGTACTTAATTTGTTCCGGAGGTCCGTTCTTAACCTGAAACTGTTCTTAACCCGAAGCACCACTTTAGCTAATGGGGCCTCCCGCTGCTGCCACGCCGCCGGAGCACGATTTCTGTTCTCATCCTGAAGCAATGTTCTTAACCTGAAGCACTATTTCTGGGTTAGCGGAGTGTGTAACCTGAAGCATATGTAACCTGAAGCGTATGTAACCTGAGGTACCACTGTAAATGTAAGGAACGTTTCACTCCAGTGTAGACTCAAGCATAGCAACATAATAAACTGAAAACTTCACTGTGGAATTGTCAGGGCTAACCGATTTCACTTCAAGAACTGGTATTGCTGAGGTGCTCCTACAGTTCTCTGGAATAGTTCCTGAAAACAACTCATCTGGAAGATGGTGACAGAAATGTTATAACAAGCCTCCTGCCTAAATAAAAAAACAAAAAACAACAACCTTGCTCACAGAAAGAGCAATGTTTTGCCTGCAGAAGGACCCAGATTTAGTCCTTGGAAGCTCAAAATAAAAAGGACCGTGTAGGAGATAGTGGAAAAGATTTCTGCCTTTGGTCCTGCCAAGCTGTTGCCAGTCAGAATCAGCAATGCTGGGTCTTACTGGCAAGTTGTCTGACCTGATGTAAGGCAGCCACTGTTCATTTCGCTCAGTTATGAGATTATGGTGGAAAGTAGATGTGGAGGCTTTGAGGACATTGTCTCTCCTCTCTATGAAGGTACCTTACATAAAAGTGATTTCTTTTGTATTTGGAGTGGAAAAATGTAAAGAAGAAGAAGTAGTAGTTTGCAATCCTGCATACATTTGATAAGAATTTTCACTTTAGGCCCCCAGCAGTCTGCTTGAAGCTTTGGAGCAGCATCTGGCTTCACTGGAAGGGAAGAAGACAAAGGAGGTTTCAGCTGCTAGCAGGTAATAAATAGGCAGGTAGACTGCAACCAGAGTATTGATTATTGGCATATTGGAGTGTTGAAGTATAGAATGTTCCCATCTGTTTTATAGTCTTATTTTTTATGACTTCAATGTAATGTAGCAGAATTGTTTCTTCTCAAATAGTAAGGGCAAAAGTGGGTGATAACACCAAAGCAATAATGCAAAGCAGGCTGTTAAAGTTGCACAGAAGATTTATTGAATTGTATAATTAGCCCAAAGCACCGGCTGCTATCATCTGCCTTTAAGAGTGGGTAGGTGGAATTATGGGCTGAAATGGGAAAAATAATTCTTTCCCCCCCACACTCCCTGAAAAAAACACAAAAAGAACCTGGTGAATTCCTTAGTTCTCCACCTAAATGACTTAGTACTGTCTACATACATATGGCCATCTTGGTAGCTGCCTCATACGTGTGGAATTATCCTCCCTTTGAGATCTGTCTTATCTCTTGTAAGCACTCTAAAAATCTTTATTTGGATTTACTTTGGATTTCCAGACAAACCAGATCATTTTTCATTGCGAAGTATACTCTGAACCAGTGGTTCCCAAACGACCATGGACCACTTGAGAATGCTGATGGTCTCAGTGGATTATCTAATAATTTTTCTGCCTGTTGTAACAACTGTAATATGTTGTGCTTATTTTATTGTAATTTGTTGTATTTTGTTATCCAGTTTAAGTGCATAAAAAGCATGGTAAACATGGATACTTTGAGATATCATGTTTCCCACTCATTTACTTGGATTTAAGTCCCTCTCAGTTCAGGTAAGTGTATATAGGATCCCAGATGCTATGCCCTTCTATCATTCTTTGCCAGGTTAATTTGGAGAAGACTGAAGTTGTAGTGTTCTGAATTCTGTCCTGTTTCCCCCTTACTCATGAACTATCTAGGTGATGCCTGAAGCTTCCTTCGAGTTCAAAGATCTTAAATATGTGGTCCTTTTCCTTTAAAATTTCAGAGCAAGCACCCTATCCAGTGCAGTTTCTACACTTGCCAACACAGGAATGTCCTTCACTAAAATGGACGAAAGAGAGAAACAGCAGGCATTGGAGGAGGAGCAAGCTAGACTTCAAGCACTGAAGGTACTGCTTCTGGTTTTGTTGGACATGTGGAGTCAGAAAATGTGTAAGCTAGTTTGGCAGCTGCACTTCATATACCCCTGTAAAAAGTAACTTGGCTCTGTGTCTTGTTAAAGTGAGAGGGGTGTGTGTGTGTGTGTGTGTGTGTGTGTGTGTGTGTAAGTGAGAAAGAGTGCTTTGAGTGTTTGGGAATTGACCATATGCTGCAGCCTTAGTTTTCATTTTGATCACAGCATCAAATCTCTGACCTATTTTAAAAATCTTGGATTCACAGATCAAGCCAAAGTTGAGCATTTCCACATCTCACTGAGCTTGGTGTGGAAAGAGCCAACCAAATTCTTCATGAAATCAATGTGATTTGAAAGTGATTAGCTTTGGCTGGATCATGGCCTTAACTCATGAACAGGACAGTCTCACTGATTTTCATGACAGTGGAATATGGCTGGATTACATCATAACACTCTGTAGAATGGAGATGTGGGTTAACTTCGCAAGGTAGTTAAGTTTCATTGTTGGTGTACTTGCATTCTGAAAAACTCACATAATGTAAAATTTGAATTATCTTGCACAACTCTTTTAGGAACAGCGATTGAGAGAGATTTCTGTGGTGTCAAATTCAACTTCTACATCTGCCTCTCCAAGCACTTTATCAGGGAAGAGTGTAAACACCAATGCTGCAGCTGTTGACCTATTTGCAACACCTGCTCCAACCACCAATAGGTGAGGAATATTTCAATATCAGGTACAAATAATCTAGAGTCAGAACTTCTTCATATTATGGTATTGGAAAGCATTCCCAAGTGGAAACTCAGAATGCTTTGTGGGAATTGAAGAGAACAGGCACTTCATTTGCATAAAGGTTTTAGACTCTCATTCATTGTTTTACTGAAGAGAAACTTGACTAAGTTCCTTTGTTAAAAAAGCAATTGTAACCTTTCTCCTTCCCTTTCACAATAATCTTTGTAATCAATTAATTGAAAAATTAGGATTGAATACTGAACGTCAAGACATATACAGTCATTTTTACATAAAGTATATAACATAGAAGTGATACCAGCAAGAAAAAAATGTAAAAGAAGTTGCTCAAATCTGACTTTGCAATGAGAAATGAATGTATGAGATCAGGCACCAAAGGTTGTTCATAGTGCTGTCCAAACTTCCAGCCTTAAATTAATATGGCATTCCTCCATTCATTAATAATGACCTCACCCAGTCAACAACTGGATTGTAGACTTTTCCCAATTTAGCAGTTATATCCTGCTTATCCTGCAGTTGAAAATCAACAGCCACAAGAACAATAAATAAAACCAATATAAAAACCGCATAAAAATTCCACCTTAAAATGTTACAAACCACCAGCAGCAGAACAAATATTAAAACCAATTGAAGATTAAAACGGTCAAATAAAACCAGTTACTAAAAAGGTCAGATGCTGAAAGCCTTCCTTCACCATTTATTGGAAGGCCTATAAAGAGGAGTCCAAACAAGGCTACAGAATCTTCTGCAGCACAAGCCTGGCATTGACAGTATTGTTGGGGTGACAGTGGGTTAATACTTGCTTTATTGTTGTGAACAAAATCTACCTTGGAGAGGAGGATTCTTGGAGGATCTCATCAAATCAAATTTGTGTTGTAAAGTGAAATTTCAAGTTATTTCTCTCATGTCAGTGGATGTATATGCAGGCATTTCTTGAAGTTGTCTAATGTTCAGATGTTCAAACAGCATAATAAACTTCCTCTTGCTTAAGTATGCCATTTATAGCTGACAACCTTCTTGGAACTTTCAGCATGCCCAACCTTTCTACTGATCTCTTTGATCTCCAACCTGCGTTTGTTCCAACGGTACAGAGTACTCCAGCCATAGCAACATCAGCAGGCAGTGCCTGGGGAGGTAAGTTTACTGCTGTCGTTAAATAAAACATTTACAGTCCTTGGAATTAATTGTCTTTACCCTTTCAGATTGTCATACATTCCTGAATGCACAGCTAATCTTATGTTGTCATGTAATCCAGTTGCCTTTATTAATAGCTGTGGCAGAGAAACATGTAATTGATAACAGCAGCTATTATTGTACCCCAAAATTATTGCTGTTTTTCTTCCTAGTTTTATTAGATACATAAACATCTGCAAATTTTGTCTGCTGAGGGTACATTACATAGGGTGTAACTTTGTTAGAATAAAGGCCTTGTTAGAATAAAGTTTTAAAGTCAAACAAAAAAAAAGCAGTTAGTCCCTGGTGGAGCCCCCCGAGGCCTAGGGCAGGTGTACCCGGCTGCTCCCCCCCCCCCCGCTGCAACATGGCCCTGGTGTAACATCTTCTCTGCATCTCCTGGTGTGTGTTCTGAACTGTTAGGTCATTGTGAATCAGTTTTCCATAGTAAATGAAACATGTAACAGGAGCGGAGAACATAACAGAATGTTTGTGGTTTGTGGGTATTTGTAACTGTCCCATTTTGCATTTCTGAGTTCTACATCCAAATGCTTAGCTGCTATCAGAACAACTTGAGGTAGGAAGTTTGGTCTACACGGAGTTGCCTCTGCCCATAATTATAACTTGAATGTCTTCCTCTCTTTAGGATTCTAGTTAGTGATGGAATTAAATAAGGCTGCTATATAGAACAGATATGTACAGGAGTAAAAATAGTTATGTCCTCAACACATAGAAAATTCGGTTATAGTACAGATACAGTCCAAACTGGTTGTTGAGATGCTGCTTCCCAGCTTCAACTATAGGCACAGTAAGATCATGTCACAAACTCGTACTTACAGATATCCTCTCTTGTGCATCATACACCTCTGAGTCAGAGGTTTGGGGAAGGAAAATGTAGTGCCAGAAAACCCTACAGGTCACTCTACTTATGAGAAAAGTTAACAAGTGGACAGCTTAACCACCTGCCTCCAGAAGTTAGAAATATGTCTACCAGGAAACAGTGGCTAGCATTCCAGTGCAGAGCAAGCAAAGGTTCAGATGTAATGCAGAGACAGGTTGTGAGAATTCCATCTCTACTTTATACCTAAAGCAGACTTAGATTGACAGCCAAGGATGAATCTGTGTTGGTAGAATGCAAGGTGTATTTTGTGAGCAAGCCAGTGAAGCTCAAGTAGAAATAGCAACTGCTTGGTCTAAAGACCTGGAAGTGTCTTCTGGTGTAATACCGTATTTTTCGCCCTATAGGACGCGCTTTTTCCCCTCCAAAAATGAAGGGGAAATCTGTGTGTGTCCTATGGGGCGAATACAGGCTTTCGCTGAAGCTTGGAGAGCGAGTGGGGTCGGTGCGCACCGACCCCTCTCGCTCTCCAGGCTTCAGGAAGCTATCAGCAAGCCTGGGGAGCCCGCGGGAGTTCCCGCAGGGCTCCCCAGGCTGCGGATAGCAGCCTGCTGCACGGAGCGCAGGGAGCGCTGAAGCAGAGCGCCCTGTGCTTCGGGCAGACATCGGGCAGCCCCACAAGCTCGGGGGACAGCGGGGAGGCGCAGCGCCGCCATCCAGCTGTTCCTCGACCTGGTTTGGATTCCCCGACCTGGTTTTGGGGGGGAAATAAATGAAATAATTTTTTTCCTTTATTCCCCCCCCCCAAAAAAAAAACTAGGTGCGTCCTATGGGCCAGTGCGTCCTATGGGACGAAAAATATGGTATATGTTTCCCGCTCCCAAAGAGTTGTGCATTTTTGTATGAAAGACAAAACTGGTATGAATTTCATACAGTAGTGTTTGGGTGAGCAGACCAATGAGAAACAGCCGTACACAAAACCGTGTTAAGTCCTTACCATCCTGCTTCTGTGAACTCCCCATGTTGTTCAGTGTGTCGTCTCTCTTGAGTGCTACTTGTGTTCTAGTTTTACTTCTTTCCCTTTCTTTCAACCTAATGCTGTATCTGAAAGGAACTTTCTCATCCACAAATGGTTGTGTTGGGTCTCCACCCCACCTGGACCTCTTTGATATGAAGCCAGTTGAAGAAGCTGTAAAAAGTACCACCCCTTTTGTGACATCCACCTTTACCTCCAAACAAACAGTGGAACTGTTTAGTGGTAAAACATCCTCTAATTTCTTTCCAAATATACATTATTATAGTGATTCTAATATTTCTAATTGTATTAATTCTCAGTTTCTGCATTAATTTTCTTAGTTTCAACTCAAAACCACATTACAACTGCTAATTGTTGGTCAGATAACTGTGACAATTTTAATTAAGAATCAAAATTGTGCACTTTAAATATGCAAAATTGCTTGTGTTATTTTTGACATGTTCATGACCACAACTTTTTTTTAAAAAAAGTTTATATATAAATATATGATTGGGTTTCCAAAGTTCTATAATTCACTAGATGCCCCTTCTTAAATTTGGCATCTGCTTTGTTCCTTTCTTTCTCTACACTACCCTGTACTTTTCTTATAAATGTTTACATAACATCAGCCTCTTAGAATTGCAGAACTATTTAAGGACAACAGTACCAATAATTTTTATTATCATTTGTAGGATATCCCCTTAATTCGGTACCACAGAATACTGCCTCTTCAACAGTCAATGTGGATTTTGATGCTGTATTTGGTGGCAAATCAGCAGTACAAGAATTTAGAACTGCAACAGGTAAAGCTATTTAATGTGTTTCAAATTTCTGCATTTTATAAAGCCAGCAGCTACTTTTATTTGTCTAGTTATATAGGTCATTGGATTCAGTATTTGCCTTTTTATCAGATAATTATTTTATATAATGTCAATCTGTAAAACACTGCTTTCCAGAATGCATGGAAGACAGAGCGCCAATACTTCACATGTATGGACAGCTAGTGGCTAAGGAGTGGGAAGCAAATGAATAAACCTGTCTGACAAATTTCCTTCTTGTCATTTATTGCTCAGCCATAACTTTTCTCTGTATGTTTCCTTTCCTTGAACATGCATGAATAGCCTTTCCTCAGAGTCCCGGGCTGCTAAATGTTGTCGTTGGCATTTCCATTAGGTTGGGGAGACCTGTGGCCCTCAAGATATTGCTGATCTACATCTTCCATCATCCCTGACCGTTGGTCATTCTGGCTGGGGTTGATGGGCATTGGAATCCCAAAACAACTGGAGGGCAGCAGGAATGCCCACTGTTGTATTAGACATTAAAGCTCAGCCACAAGAGGAGGGGAGAATAGTCTTTGCTCTTTTCTACTTGCTAGTTAGTCACTTGCTGACTCACCATGCTGCCTAATCATGGGGATGAAGTCATACTTTAATTTTGCTTAAATGGTGTATCAAATGGTTTTATTCGCTGGAGGGTGCCTGTCTTTTTAAACTGATGGACTTAAATCATTTAAATTTAGAAATTCTAAGCTCCTTAGAATGTTTCTGATTAAATTATCTTTTAGAAAAAAGTTACCTGCCCCAAAGTACAAGTGCTTAGTTCTGTTTCCTGCTAGTCTAATACCCATTGTGATTGTCCTTTTCTTTATTTTTGGTATATTTCAATGTGGCGTTCCGGATCATGGATTTCAATGGGTAAGTTAATAAAGTGATTATAAGCTTAAGGCTGCAATCCTATGCATGCTTAACCTGGGAGTGAGCCCCACTGAATAGCACAGAATTCTGTTCTCTGTAAACATAAATAAGTTTGTGCTACCCCTGGTCTCTGCCCTTAAGTGTAACCCAGGAAGTAAAATCAAGGGCTTTAGGCTTCTCCTCTGAAAGGCAGCATTCTTCTTACTCATAGCAATGATTTTACATAGAAAGGCCACCTGGGCATTTATAGGTTGTGAGCAGGAAACAGCTCCTCAATGAGCACTAGTAAAGGTGTTCGTGCAGAGATTAGTCTGATTGGTGTACAGGCCAAAAATGCTTCTCTTACCCTCCTCAAATGCACATGCTTCCAGAGTTTACTGGGCACTCAGTATTGTGTTCAACTACAAGGGAGGGAATGAATATGATTGTAAAAAGAATACATGCCCAGATCAGAGCCTTCAATTGAAATGAATGTGGAACTGTCTTAGATTGCAGAGGACAAAGCTCAACTCCTGTGGCCATAGGAATGCATTGTCTTAAAACATACTGAAACATAAGATGAGCCCTGTTTGATCAGAGACCTATTTAGAGACCCAGATCAGAAAACCCAAATGCAGCAGCCAGATTCTGTTTAGATCTCATATAACTCCTGTTTTAAAACAGCTGCACTGGTTGCTAGTTTGTTCCCAGGTGCTCACAATTAGTGAGTAAAGCCCTAAAACACCCAGGCCCTGAATAATTGAAAGACTGCATTCTTCCCTACAAGCCCTGTCAGGTGTTAAGATTGGCAGAGGGGACCCTGTTGATTATTCCACTGTCCCCAGAAGCTTGGGGTGGGGTGCCTGGGAGAGTGCATTCTCTGTGACAGACCCTAAATTGTGGAACTCTCTCCCCATAGAAATGTGTCTGGTATCTTCATTATACAGCTTTCAGAAAACGTTGAAGGCATACATATCTTTAACCTGGCTTTTGACACCTAAGTTAAATATATATTTAGTTCCCAACTTATTTCTGTTATTTTAAGTTGCTTGTTTTTAACATTGTGCTTTAATTGTTGAAATCTGCCTTGAGGGTAAAGGATGAGTAATAATAATAGTCTAGCATCCTGTTCTCACAGTGGCTGACCAAAGTGCAAGAACACTCCCCATTCTTACTCCCCAGCAACTGCCTCCAGCACTGAATGCTTCTCTATAGGAACCACCACTTCCAAGACAAACATTGCCAGGGGAAGGCAAACAGCCGGTCTCTAAGGACCATTACATCATGGTGTTTTAACATGCCTGCAGTTCTTAGCTTTATATTTGCCTAATGCTAAGAACATGATCCTTGCATTAAAAAACTTTTATTGATCTTTATCATTCCCCTCTTCTGGAGAACTCAGGCCAATGTACATGACACTCCCCCTTTTTTCCCACACCAACCCTTTGAGGTTGGCTAGTCTGAGAGATGATGAGTGGCTTAAGATCACCCAGGAAGCATAGTGGCCGATTGGGTTGCTGTACCTAATTCCAGCATTCAAACTACCACACACGCTGGCTTTGAAGTACTTAAGACACCTGAAGGCTATAATTGAAACATTGCTGTCTAATTTCTTTTAACTGATTATTCTGATAAAATAAACATTATGACCTCCCCATCTACGCCCACCCCAGTTTTGTAAATTTCCTCTTTTTGGTGCTGCTTGGGCAAGTCCATTTCCTGCACTGATGGTTGTGTGTGGGTTTTGGTTTGTGCTTTCTAATTTTACATCTCTAAGAAAGTGCAATTGTCAAACCACCCTATACATAGGAGAAACTGCGGTTATCTTTGTGTGCATTAAAATATTTTGTACACTTTCAAGACTGCTTGAAAATCCAGGGTTTAAGAATTCCTTTTTAAATCTTTGAAGTGTAAATCTTACATTCCAGCAGCTTATTAGAATTTTGTCTAGAATCATTTTTTCCAGGAATAATGTGGGGTTTAACCCATATCTTGTCTAATCCTTAAGCTCTTTTGAAATGGAAACTGTACATAAAAGCTAATGCTGGCTAGAATTCAGTTTCCATTGCTCTCGGTAAATAGTGTGCTTAGGTGGGTTTGCACATCCCAGCTTCGCCAAAATATACATTCTGACATTTCAGTGAGTATCACAGTATAGATGTAACTCTTATTCCTACATCTGTGGATGTAAGCAGACTATCGCATATACAACTAATTTAACTAGGCGAAAAGGGTTGTGGCATTTTATTGGGAGTAGGGGATTTCTGGGTGGTGGTACCCTTTTTTGCCTTCTGTTACCAGTTGAAATGATAGCTGCAAACCAATAATACTCTTTTTTAAAAAGGTTATCTCCTTTGTACCCAGTCTTTAATTTACAGATGATGTATTGCAACCAACAGTACAAGCTCAAAATCAGAGAGTAGCTTTAATTGGTCAGCACAGTGGGAAGATTTTGGCCAATGACCTTGATTCTTCACTTGCTAATCTGGTTGGAAGTAAGTTTAACACTTTCGTTTTTAAAGAAAGGTTTCCCTATGTTTATTATGAAAGGAATTCTAAATCTTAATTACATGTTTTTTTGGTGTTTTATTACAGATCTTGGCTTTGGAGGAACACCATCGAAAAAGTGAGACTTATATTCCTTAATTTCATAATTTCTAATTATATATTGATAAAAATGTCCTTGACTTGTGTTTGCATTGCTGAGCTATCACAGAATTTTCTAATATTCAGTGTTGTGCCAATACAATCATTCTGTGAGAGCAAATATTGCCTAACGGAACAGACCTTAACCTTCAAAAGGAGACATTCAGCAATAGCTTTTTAAGATTGTTTTGAGTTATTAAGAAGATTTATAGCCTGCCTTCGTACAAGCCCAGGGGTTCAAGGTAGTGCATTTTTTTTTTGTTTATTTTGGTTACATATTACAAATACATATACATACAGAAAAATAGAAAAAGAATTTAAAAAAAATAGAGAAGAAGAAGAAATAAAAAACATAAGAAGAAAAAGAAAGAAAGTTTAAAAAAGCCTGAACATTTTCAGTTATACATCTTTGTATTTACAAGCCATCTTTTTATAACTTCTGGCTCATCTCCCTTATTTGTAACTTCCCGCCTCCCTTAAATGACTCCTAATAATTCATTCTTTCTTATTATCTGTATTCAGTTGATAAGTCTGTGGAGAGCATTCTAATTGCCAGTGGGAGTTTAATCTACACTAAGCCAAGCAAAGTCTTGGGAACCTCTTTTTTCCATGTAATTTATGAAAACATCCAGTTTTAACATCCAGCTAAAAATACAAAATTAAGCAAATATTAAAAACAAACCCAATCTCCCCATGTAACACCTGGCTGTTCTGGTAGTCATTTCCGGGCCAGGGTTGGGGCACAAATCCCACTCCAAAAACATGTGACGCAACTGATTTCATGAATAGCACTATTGTTCAAGTATTGGAAAAGAAAGGTTTGTAAAACTTTCACCATCCTGCCAGTCTCTTCTAACTAGAGGGGAAAAAATCCAAATGTTTTAATTCTAAACATTCAAAAATTAACATATATATCTTGCTATAATCAATAACTAAAACAGGTAAAGAAGAAGTCCCAGAGTAAAAGATGTTAAAAGTCTAATTTAATTGACTATAAAACAAATCACAAATAGAATTTGCCTGTAAGTGCAGTGACATCAAACTTGCCACCATGTGCTCTGAGTCGTGCTTCACACCTTGGGTGTAGGGATGCCATCAATAAGGCACAGGGTGTGGGATGTTCCTGGCGCAGGTGAATTGTTAACATTGCTAATAAAAATATTGTTTTGACCAGGTGGTGGGCTGGTTGGTATGATTTAAAATTTGCCTAAACCTCTGGGAACTGCTTTGTGAGAGCAGTTTCCGATGTATAAAGCCAGCTGAGTTATCTGCTACCTTACCAGTGTAACTCACAAAGTTTTATGGAAATTTGGCTCTCTTACTTGCCAGGCTTTCTGAAGTAAGCACACCTTGAAACAAACGGAGGAAGTAATTTATTTTGCAGTTATGAATTTAATAAAAAGTAGATGCGGTGTTTAAAAAGTTACATATACTAAATGCTATGATCCAGGGGCCGTGAGGTGTAATTATAGTGGCAGCTAAAAGAAATTAGTGATTAACAGAACAGTTCTGTATATTGCAGTATCATTTCAGCTGTTCTCCATATGTAACTGCTCAGCTTTCAATTCGTTTTTAGATCTGATATGCAGTGGAATCAGCCTACAGAGAAGAAACTTACTGGTGGAACCAACTGGCAAGCGAAAACAAGCACCTCAACTACATGGAATACTGTCCCTATTCCTCCTGCTCCACAGATGGTAATACTTACAGTATTTTCAGCCTTTAAATTGTTTGTGTGTTTGCCTTTCCCCTGTATTTCACAAAGCATTCTTGTCAAAATTTTGAGAGGAATTTACCAATAAGGCTTTGGCATGAAATTTTAGAATCCCAAGGGAGAGGATTTGGACATAAAATAAATTGGAGGTTACAGTGCATCTTGTATAACATGTAAATACTTTAGTACCTTCTAGATGTGATTCTCTGTATTTTTTAAAGTATTTTTGTGATAAAAATATTGGCCAGAATCCAAAGAACTACTTAATTGCACACTAGGGGCTGGTGCTACCCTAGTGGAATTGTTGCCTTGTTTTTCTCTGAGCACTTTACAGCCATCATAAACTGGCTTTGAGACTCCCCTTCAAGATGTTTATATTTTATTACTTTAAATGATTTTAATGTTGTAAGCTGCAGAAGGAAAATACTGTATTCTGAAGGTAGCTAATGTGTACTAAATTGAAATGAAAGGGCTTTGGAGAAGCAGCTGAAGAGAAACAGCCCTATAAACCCTGGTACATGTACACTTCTGGTCTCCAGTTCTTTGTGGATTGGTGTTTTATTTTTGATAGGATCCTGGCAGATATGGCAAAAATTCATAGCTTTGTATTCCAGCTCCCAGTAACAGGTGCTTGATGCCTTCTAACTTGTTTGTAGTAGCACAGATTGCAGCTTTACTGTTTCGGTGTGAATTGCTCTTATGTGTATAAATGGTAGCTCTTTCTTAGATACCTATTATGCTTCCTGGTTGCTTCAAATCTGAGCTGAAAAGCATGAATCAAATTAATGAAAATATTCTCCTTAGCTATTCCTTCCTTATATGGAAAGAGAACTTTCTCTGTACAAAAGAGCAGTCAAATAATATAGCTGCCCCGTAATTTCATTCAGCCACTGTCAGGACTGGTCGTTGTCCTCTTCAGATCACCACACAAACGCTTCTTGTTCTTTTATAACTTTTTATTGTGTATTAACAAAATAATCTTATAAACAGTTCTTAACTATTATTCCTCAGAGTCACTTATTTCAGATACCTTCTGAGCTCTGCTTCTCCGTGACCAGCCACCCTCAAAATGGCGAAGGCGCCTTTCCCTTCGTTTTCCTGCTCTTTTTTCTAACCTCCTGGCTAGAGCTGGCCTGTATCTCCCCTCCTCCGAATCTGAGCTAGAACTTAACCCTTGCCTTTCCTGGGAACAGCCGGTCCCTCCCTGTTGTTCCTCTTGCTCCCTTCTACAGTGGTGCCTCGCAAGACGAAATTAACTTCGTCTAGCGGTTTTTTCGTCTTGCGAAGCAACCCTATTAGCGGCTTAGCGGATTAGCGCTATTAGCGGTTTAGCGGCTATTAAAGACTTAGCGGCTTAGTGGCTTAGCTGCTAAAAGGCTATTAGAGGCTTAGGGGCTTAGAAAAAGGGGGGGGAGCGAAAAAAAATCTCAAGACTCGCAAGACATTTTCATCTTGCGAAGCAAGCCCATAGGGAAATTCGTCCTGCGAAGCAACTCAAAAACGGAAAACCCTTTCGTCTAGCGGGTTTTCCGTCTTGCGAGGCATTCGTCTTGCGGGGCACGACTGTATTAGATTCACTGCTCTCCCTCCCCCCTTGGGGAATGCTTTCTCCCTCTGAGAAACTGGAAACTTCTAACTCTTCCCTGACAGCCACATTGCTTTAATTCTTTTTGAATGTACAGTTACATGGTGTGCGAGACTGAGGATAATTAACTTCATAACTAGCTTGTCTTGTTTCTAGCTAAAGTCATTCTAGTTTTGGTATCCTGCTACTCCCAATAATTTTCTGTCCCTCCTCCTTTTTGCTATGCTAGAATGGAGTACCTTATCTTGGATATGCGAGTTCCTATCCTGCAAAATAAGATGCATTTTATACAATTTCTTCAGTGTTAGCAGTGGAATTTGTAGCCAAATTTTATATGCAATCTCCCCCCCCCCCCCACTGTCAAAGGTACCTGCTCCAGTAACCTACCCACTGAATACACCTCAAGTGCCTGTGTATGGAATGGTAAGAATATTCACTCTTTATATTTATATAATACATTGAGAAGATGTTCTATTTTGAATGTCATACATCGTAATTTGCAGCAGCCTAATGAGCCTGAAATCTCAAGTACTAATTCTTTTGTTATTCTGTTGCATTGTAAAGTTGTCTGAAAAGCTTCTGCATGCACAAGGGAAGTCACTGAAATGTTTTTTATCTTGCTTCCCAATACTTACCAACATTTTAATCAAAGTGTGGTATAAAGTTTTTCCCACTGCTTTACTTGGATGTCCTAAGAAATGTCTTTTATATTATCCCCACACCACGTTTTAAGATTTGCCAGTGTGGTCTTAACATCTTTTAATGGATGCAATTTTAGCATCCCCTTAGAGCAAGACCTTTTCACTAGTTTGTCCCTCCCCAAGGAAGTTATCTTAGCCTCCTCATCTCTTTCTTGAAACAGACACAAATATTCTGTCTCCACCATGTTTTTATAATGATGTCCACAATAGCTTAGGGATGGAAATCTGAGGCTAAAACAGAATTTTAGTCATATTTTATGTAACTGATTCCATTCGTTTGGTGGTGTTTATTATTTGGTGCCCATTCATTTGGTGGTGTTTAAAAGTGCATTCAAGTTGTAACTTAATCCACCCCCACCATTTATGTACAAATTCCAAAGAGGTGAAATACCTTGGCTGTATCTGAACTCCTGCATTTATAATTATGCTCATGTTGCTCTATGACAATTTATTATAGAAGCTGGCCATTACAGGTGGGTGGAATTATCTGGTCAACACACTTCTGAGGCATTTCAGTTCCTTGCAAGCAAATTCAGTCCTCCATCTCTCTCAGATTTCAGGCAGGGAAAATTATCTTCTCTGTCAGACACATTGGAAAGCTGCTTCCCGTAAGAATAGATGTCACTGGGCTAGATGGATTAGTGGTCTGACTCTGTTGAAGACCACATGAAACCACTGTCTGAAGAGTGCAGAAACTGGCCGCTTCAGCAGTAGGAGTACTGTGTTCATGCATAAGCGGCTTCTGCACCTAGCCTCGAGAGCTTTGGCGTTAAGTTGCTGAAAGGGAACTAGAATTTGTTTAGCTTTCAAAATATATAGATAGAGCAACCATGTTCAAGCTCAGAGTATCAGTAAATGACCTTATACATTCCTGTTTCTGTCTGACATTTAGGTACCTGCTCAGATTGGAGCTACTCCTATTATGGCACCCCAGCCTATGATATATACCCAAACCAGCCTAAGGCCAACAAATCCTTTTGCACCTATCTCTGGAACACAGGTTAGTGTATTCCTTAGCATAAAGATGAAACTCTTCATGATTCCTGTAGACTGTTAACAGCACTTGCCACTTTAAAATATTTATATACTGCCCCTGATTGGTCAAATCTGCTCCTTAGGCTGCAAAACATCATCACCATTACTATTTATATTCAACTGTCCGTGAGCTTGAAAGGATACTGGTATGTTCTTTTACCGTCTCAGATCCTAAAGTACTTGCCCCACAGCACTGAGACCCCCTCCTGATGAAAGTTAGGCAGGCTAAGGCTTTCAGATAGAGCTTGATCAGCTCCACTCAAAGAGTTACAGAATGAATCAAATATACATTTATTTAAAATGTTCTTTATTTAAAAAGCAGTTATGGGCCCTTCAGCAATGGGTCTGTCAGCAACTGATTGTGCCTGGATGTTGCTAGCAGGAAACAAACCAGTTCTTTGTTTCTTATTTTGTTTTTTTGTTGAAAACAGACAAAAAAAAAGTTTGCCTAATTTGCAATTAAGATGTATTTTATTGTAGTTAGTAGAGTAGTGGAACTTTTATTGTGATGAACGTTCAAAAGTTAAGACTTGATACCTTGTAGTTCAACTTTAAGAAGCAGGGCTTCAACCAAGCCTCTGACTGATCAGCACAAGTTTTTAGAGATATTCCTGGGATATTATTAAGCAGATGGAAGGTAATCTGTGATTTTAAATTTTTACATGGTTTTAGTGTGTGTATGTGGGACGCAGGTGGCACTGTGGGTTAAACCACAGAGCCTCTTGGGCTTGCCAATCAGAAGGTCGGTGGTTCGAATCCCCACGATGGGGTGAGCTCCCGTTTCTTGGTCCCTGCTCCTGCCAACCTAGCAGTTCGAAAGCACGTCAAAGGACAAGTAGATAAATAGGTACCGCTCCAGCGGGAAGGTGAATGGCGTTTCCGTGTGCTGCTCTGGTTCGCCAGAAGCGGCTTAGTCATGCTGGCCACATGACCCGGAAGCTGTATGCTGGCTCCCTCGGCCAATAAAGTGAGATGAGCGCCGCAACCCCAGAGTCAGTCATGACTGGACCTAATGGTCAGGGGTCCCTTTACCTTTACTAATGTGTGTATGCACAAAAGAATTGTTGTGCACCAGAATTTTGTTTTAAAAAATATATGAAAAAGCAGTTTACAAGTATTTTGTGAATAAAAATATGTAACCTTAATGACTTTCATTCAGCTTGTTTTTCTTTATATATGTTGCAGATACAATTTATGTAGACCCGCCAAAGCAGCAAGACACTTTGACAACCAAATATTGGTAGAAAGAAGACAGAACTTTTGAACTGCGGTCCTCACTAGGGCACATACCCACTTCCCATACAATATCAATTACTTTGAATTGCTGTGCTTTAAAGATTATTGTTATAACAGTCACTATGGTATGAAATCATGTTTGGTTTTGGATAGCATAAGACTGTTTTCAGTGGAAAGCTGAAGTATTCTGAAGCTGAAGGTCAGCAAAGTATGTAAGGAGAATCCTGACTTTCCCTTTTTAAATAAGAGCTTACTTGGAAACTCTTTGCAGCATTTCCATGCAACAGCTAGCCTCTAGTAAGCTAGTGGAGGGTATAATTATTCTATTTATTTTCTCCCAGAATTCTGTGGCCGTTGTTACCATGGCACCACTTAATGAAGTTGAGCAATAAACCTTTCAGATACTCTTAAGCAGTACCTGATACAATAAGACTCTGAGAAGAATCTTGCATTATCAGAAATGCCAATATTGACTGCTTTTTCTCATGCTAGACTAGTTTCTTCTAATTCACAAATTTTGTACTGTGAGTTTTAAATGCTGTGAATCAACTTTTAACTAAATGTAGGCCATTAACAAAAAACTATAGTCAATTGGCATTTCAGCAGAGCGTTGCCTTGCCAAGTGATAGAGTTATGCTTTGGCAGAGACTGGGGCACCTGACCTATTTTGAAGAAAATAGTATGTTACAAAGTAGAGTGTGTGCAGTCCTGGCATGGATGGCAATAGCTGCACTTCCTTATGCAGCCTCTTATGTACAGATAGCAGCATCATTTCATACTTTAGCTAGAGTTGCCTTCATGTCCCAGAAAAAAGTCTGCAGGTGGCCAGCAGCAGTGAGTCTGGGAAGCTTTTTGCCCTTAATTTAAGATGTAGGGCACCAGCATTTTCTTAGTCATTCATCATTTACAGTGCTGCACTTTAAGAACTGGAAAATTGTGTTCCTGAGCTCTTCTATCCCTCTATAGCTTGCGACCCATGTTGTGGGTAAAGGAGCAAAAGAAAATTTTAAAAGGGCCAGTCACTACATAAAACAAACTTTTTTTTGGGGGGGGGAGGAGGGAGTGTAAATATTTGTAAACCCTGAAATACAAAAAAAATCTAGTGCTGCATAATCTTTTCTTCTTCTTTGTAACACATTCAAAATGCAGATATTGTACTGCTTTAAGACATTTAGCTCAAATTTCTTTTGTATTGAAAAGTTCAGACCATTATCCTTCAGGATACTTAAGATATTATTGCAGTGTAGGAGAATGTAAGATGGTCCGTGATTTTCAAACACAATGCCCCAAAATAATGAAAGGATTACCTTAAACATTATTTTTAAATTTGTCAGATGGAGTCCAGGGCATACCTATGAGGGGAGATGGGAAGCAAAAAATGATGATGATGATTTATTTTTTAAAAGAACATTTTAACTGAAGAAAATGTGCAAACTGGTTCTTTCCTTTCTATCACTGCTGTGATGATTTTCTTGTCTTGAGCTCATTGCGGTAGCAATAACAGCAAAAAGCCTCTCTCTTAAATGTCAATGTGGCTTTCTTTCATTAAGCTTGCCCCTTTTTATCATTTAAAACTTTTTGCAGCACTTGAGCTTGATTTTCCAAGTGTTTTTACCAAGTTATTGGCCCTTGTTCCGTGGGAAGGGATTTGCAGAAACAAAAAATACTTTTGTGGCTCAGGCTGTGTCAAATTCTAGAAAACCAGTCTTTTCCCTGTAAGTGTCTTTTGTGTTTGTTAATATTGTGCCAAGAATGTAAATATATATATATATGCTTGCTTCAAGAAAGATATACTTGTTTTGTCAAACTAAACATGATTTTTTAAAAAAATCAAATCGTTTTTTTACATATGTGTTTGCAATTTGTAACCACTAACTTTGTATGGATTAAATGTTGCAAGTTGGAAAAAACGTTTCAGACCAAATCTTGGACATGTACTGGCAAAGACATAAACTGGATGCATGTACAGTAATTAAATGTGGAAAGTGAATTTTCAAGGGCTTTGGGCTTTAATGTTCTCTCCTGGTTTGTCCAAAACCAATATTTATTGTAGCCCTATACAAGCTGGAGCAGCTTACTTAAAGGCCTTGTTTTAGTTGATATTCTAGTGAGTTAATTCAAATGATCCTCATTTAGGATTTTAAATCATGCTTCTAACCAATTTTCTGTCTTTTAATCCAGTTTGGATCAGTACATGTATTTAAATTACACAGATTTTATAATAACTAGCTAAAATATTTGATCTCAGAGGCTGTGACCATGTAAAGTTTGGGGTTGTAAAATAGGCAGCAACCTTTTTTATCCCCCAGATATTATTTTCTAATAATTCAGTTTAACTGTGCTTAATTTATTGCATTTACTGGCTGCAGTCTTACAGCAGGGAACTTCATGCAATACCCACCTCCTCAGAGAGAGGGCAGCTTCAACTCTCCAAATGAATGGATTTATGTATGATGTTTATGTGCTTTCTACAACATTATACAGTAATCATTTATATATCCATTAAAATCAGATTCAAAGCATAATAATAATCACAATAGTCCCACGGTAGCATAAGCCGCCAATGCTTACACATTCTTGCTTCTATTCATATGCAATTTAATTCATTAAGGAAGACTGGATTTTGTAATTTCTCTTTTCGTATCTAACTTGCCAGCTCAGTGACCTGAACTCAAAATGTTACTGAATATGTGCATCTTCTCATGCTTGCAATCTTTGTAAGCAGTGTGATACTTGCACAACCTAATTTAACCTTTTCCCAACAACAAATGTGTGGGGATTCCCCCATGCTCATACATGAAGGTAACCTGTAAACCCTAGTAATGGCATTACTCTTAACCTGTAATGATTATTTGAGGAATTCTTTTTAAGAATTGTTACCCACTATACTGGTGTAATTTTTGTCAGATTCAGTTTTACATTCTGTCTCCAATAACGCTAAACTTGGAGGTTGTGCTTTTATCCTATAACCAAGGACTTTGATTTTATAATAAATGAGCTTTCTAGACAATAAGTGATTATCTATTTGTTCAATAAACCAATGGCATCTTGTCCAAAAAAGTAAATAAATGTCAGTAGCTGTATTTTGGCTGTCAATATTAGCATTGAACCTTTGTAGGTAATACTTAGTCTGTAGTTCTTTAACTTATATATAAAATTCTCCCTCCTTTATCAGATCTTTAATGTGCAATTGGTGGGGTGGTTCTTGAATATGAGTAGAGTGCTGTCTTTGCTTCATATTTAGGTTGCCGCAACTGAGAACAGTGGCAAGGCTAGTCCAGTAGTGGAGGAAGCCTTTCAGGCACGTGGGGTGGGGTGAACCGCCCATAGGGGTGGGGCGCTCGGCGCTCTTAGAGATGGAACGGGGTGCTCAGTGTCCCGTGCTGTCCCTATGGGCACTGCCACACACCCTGTGCCATTCCTATGGGCGCCGAGCACCATGGGGTGCACAGTGCCCATAGGGACAAGACCGCGCCCTTAGAGACGAGACGGGGTGTGCGGTGCCCATAGGGACAGGGTGCACACCAGGGCCTCAGCCACCCTACAGCTGGGGGGGGGAGGCAGGCGGACAGCGCAGAGCCTGCGGGCGCTGAGATGCATGGCTTGTGCGTGAGGCAAGCCCCGCGGTGACAAGTGCCGCCCACCATTTTGTCACCCCACGTCAGGGTGGCACCCAGGGCGGACCACCCCCTCCCCTCCCTTCGTACCTGGGCTAGTCATCCCTGCAGCCACACTGGGTCCTTAGGGAATTGTCTGTCCTTATGGAAAACCAAAATAACAGTTTGGTCACAATTGCTAGTACCACTTTCTGTGCCAAATCTGGAGAATTGGAACTCTCCTATCTCTGTGGAGGTGGGTTTATCACTCATTTCCTTGCTGAAAGATTGCAAGGCATCTTTTTTTTATAGCTGACCCTAGCAGTTAGATGGTGGTCACTGTTAACATTATTGAAACTGCATTTGGGGTTGCTGTGGCCGGAATTACACTTTTATTCGTCTTGCCAGAAATGCTAAAAGTACAGGTAGCTGTACTATTTTCAACTTCCAGTTGGCGAAAGGTTGTTTACAGTGGTATTAGTGGTGTTTATAATTGAACTGTCTGAATAATGTTAGATTATATGTATTTAAAGGTTTTTAAAAGCCAGTAAGATGTCCATCATACATACTTGACATTTGCTGCTTCCCTATTAGATATATTAGCAGGTTAAAGCTAACTATAAAAATAGCAACTCAACTAAACTCAGGACAGGATTGCACTGCATATGACATCGTTTTGTAAATTTATTGTGAGAGTAAGATGCTGACCAACCTACTGCCTTCTCAAAGATACTGACTTTAGAGAACAACTCCTTCCTTATGAATATATTGGTATCATTTCTATTATTCATTATTTTAGGGCAACCTTCCCATGCTGACTGGGGCTGATGGTAGTTGTAGTCCAAAACATCTGGAGGGCGCCAAGCTGTGGAAGGTTGTCATAGTGTTTTGGCCATTAACGGGTTGATTGCAAATATGTGTTTGTGGTCCTGAAATATTTGCAGGTGAAGCAATGTGGTGGTGGTCTTGTCACAAGATTATCCTTAAGGCAGTGCTATCCTTAAGGCAGTGCTACAAGGCTGCCATTTTAAAAGCTACAAAACCAAGGCAGATTTATTTCATCTGTTTTTCTTCCATTGTTTCCATTGTATTTAGGGTCACAGCCTAAATCTTAAGATTGGTGTGTCCTGGCTTTAGTTGTGTTTGATACTTTTATAGTTTGATAATTGGACTGGTAGGTCAGGGTTGTAATTCCCACAGGTATTCAGAGAAAAAATGCATGAAGCTGAGGAGAAAGAAATACACACACACACACACACACACACACACACACACACACTCTCGTGGATTTCTGTGTCAACACCGTTTTCTGCATTTCCCATATTCAACTCCAATTAGAGATTTATTTTTGCTTTAAAAAAGACATATAGGTTATTAAAATGGCAAGAATTCTGTCTTAAAAGCTTTGGGAAGCATGGACAGTTCGATTATAATATTATGATTTCGTATATTCTTAAAACAGGATGAGAGCGATGGCAGTTTCATCATGCGGCTTGTAGGAGAGTGTGTGAGAATCTGAAGGGTGATAGGTGCCCTTGTACAGAGAGTGCTCTCTCTAAGGGTCAGATTAGACATGATGATAGTGGCTGTGCTTTTTTTGTTCACATCTCTGCCTCGTTTTCATATAGAATGGAAGGTGGCGTCTGAGCTTAATATTAGAAAGCATGGACAGGCATGGAAACCAGAGCCCGTTCCCTCACGTAGTCCATTGCCCACATGTGCCCCTCCAGCTCTGCTTCTACACTGGAAATGAAATGAGCTGGGAGTAAATAATGGGCAATGAGCCCCATGTAGTTAATGCCACGGACTGGGAAGAGTCAGTCCCCTTTATTGTTGCAAACCTGTTGCAGTTAAAGCCAGCCTCCACCTTACCCCACTTTATATGAGACCCAGGAATAAATAAGCATGGCTGCTATGGTCACATTAGTTGGCCATAAGAATAGAAATGTGATATTAAGGGGTAATATTGTCATACTTGAAAATGTCTCTTCTAAAGCTGTTGCTCCTTTTCCTAGATATACATTCATTTTTTAAAAATGTAATAAAGACATTTTCAGTCTCTGATAAGAATGTGTAGAGCTTAAAAAGAAAGCAAGTATACTTTTTGGGTTTTTTTGTAAAATGTTGTATTTGACTTTAAAATTAAATACAGGGTGTACCTGGATCTGTTTGGGGTTTATTGATGTGTGGTAAGGGTGGACTACAATTTTAGAGTAGAATGCACTGTGGATCAGTGCTTTTATTTGTACATAAAAGGGAAAACTTCTTTTCTTTTTAAGTAGCCTGCATTTTGAGAATAATATTGACATGCGCTGTGTACCAGTCACTTATTTCCATTTTAAAGATTATATTTTTGAGTAATGGGGAACTGTACATGCTATCTCTACAGTTTCTAGAAATTACTTAGAAATGTTGCTTTTGAATATGTAATTTGACTTCTTGGCTGTCCCATGTACTGCTTTAGTATGTATTGTGTACCTCATACCCCCAGCTTTCTGATGATAGCATTTATTTTAAAATATTGTAATAACCAATGCAGTCTTTATTCTTCTTCTCCCCCTACCCTACCAGTTTGGTAAATAATTTGATGCAATTGTATTCCTTTATAAAATACTTGGCTGGAATTTTCTTGAAATATTGGAAGCAGGGGGAAAAGGTGTTAAATGTGTATGTTGTTCTGGGTTTGGTTTTCTAATTGATAATTTCAATTCATTGTTCCCAATATTCTCTTCCTTGCCCCACCCCAATGCAATAGGTATGTGCCTTTATATATATATATTAATTTGACAGGTGCTTCCTGTTTGCAGGATGACTCTTTAAAATTCTTGTATAATTTTTGTCACAGCAGGGCAGTATTGATAATCCATATATTTGTATTTCAAATATGATTTAAATTGCATATTGTACCTGATATAGAAAATGTATTGGGGTTTTTTTCTGTAGTATTTGATCATTTTCTATTCTGTAGGTAGAACAAGCAAGGAAAACCTCGTTGTTGGAGAAGGTTGGAAGTTTAGTTGGGTTTTCAAGCAGATATTAGGTCCCATGTGCTCACTAAACAACATGCATGCAGCGTTGGTTCCAGATAGTTAGTAGCACATAGCTCCCATTGTAATTAATGGGACAAGTTAGTAGTAACTTGATTACTGCCTTAGTCTGATATAACTGCCTTAGTCTGGGATCAACCTATGGTGTTGAGTTTGTTGAACAAGCCTCCTTGCAATCAAGAGCATATGCCACTAACTCCATTAACTATTTCCTTCACAGAATAGCAGATTGGGGGTGAGTGGGTGTCAAGATTACTAGAGTGTAGGGGAAAGGCTTAAACCCTACTTCTTGCATATTATAACCCAGACACCTGATTCTCACTATTTCCTCTCTTTTCCTTTTTAAGACACATGAAATTGGGTTACTCATTTATTGCATTGTCTAACATGGTCCCAAGAGGTCAGCTGAAGGGAAGGAGCTGCTTAGTGAGTCTTACAGTTTTTGCAGTTCGGAAAGCAACTGCTTACATCAATAGTGCTAGTGCAGGCAAGGAGAGTCTCAGCAAACATGGGGACTTCATGACACACTAGTGCCATTTACCAGCTATTGGTGGAAGCAACAGGATAAAAGTTTCTGAGACAAAGCATTTGATTGTCACTGTGGTATTAACAATATTTTCCCCTGTGAGTCAGTTTTTAAAAGTCTACTACACCTTATTCTCTGAGAAATGGTATTGGTGAGCATTATGAGCCGAATCCTTAATTCAGTGACCTCTTTGCTTCATCCGTCTCTTATCAGAGCTAGGCAGCAGGAACCACAGCTTAAAGGCTAGATGTGAAGCTGTGGTTCCTGTTGCCTGGCTGTGATAGAGACAGACTATATTCAGAAAAATAATGTTGAATGCAGCTGCAGAGTTGACTTCTTATTTTAGAAAAAGAGGAAGTCGTCTTGTGAATTCTTGTTTTGTTTTGAGAGCAGATTATAGTAATACCTGCCACATTAATTGAATGACAAACAGCAAAATGTTTGAATGCTGCATGAATACCTAGCAACCCAAATTTTGTTTAGCTAATAAAATACAAGTTTATAGCCATTTGCACCTGCAGGAAATTTCTTTTAATGTACCATTATGATTAATCAACCAATAGTTCTGTTGTGGTGAAGGCCACTAAACACCAAAATGATTCTAGACTTCAGTTTATCAAAGCAGATTCAATAATTTCCCCTCAACTGACATAACAAATAGCATATTTAATTATCTGTAAAACAATTAAAAACACAAGTACAATTAAAAATTGCAGGTTGTACAAGCATTGGTAAGACATTACTGAATAAATGCATTTAGCAATTTATTTTGAAAACAGGGTTTCTGCAAATGTTCTCATATTTTGTATTTCAAATGTTTCTCAGTTTATTTCATATTTGAAATATAGTTTAATGGAGTGTATTGTGTTTTTTATTTAAACTACTCAAAAAATGTATTTTGCCCAGCTCTGCTTGTTCTTACGTAGATTGATTTTGATATGCTTTCCCTTTACAAAGTTGAAGTGTGAGAACATGGTGCATCTAGCCATCAAAAAAAGTAAATAAATTCCTGCCTCTTCTCCCCGCCCCCAGCACTTACTTTGCTGAAGCACAGGGCTTGCTATGTTAACATTTTAATGATCCTTGACAGTATGTAAAACAGGAGGTGGTTGAGAGTCCTCCATTTTGTTAATGAAACAGGTTTTGGAAAATAAACTGGCACAAAGTGTCTTGGGTGTGTGTTTTAATATCTTTCTTAAAAGCAATGTTTCATTTCAACCAATGGTGCGGGTCAACCAGCAACACTTAAAAGCTTTTATTGTTTTATTTGATGCCATTGGCATTGGGTGTTTAAGGATGATCAGCTATGGCTAATGAACCAAAGGGCTTTTCCAAAAGGGATACACTTTTTCATTAATGGTTCAGGTAGCCATGTCAAACCAGTAGAATAAAACGTTCCTAAAATCAGTAGATTTAATCCTTTTGAGTAGGACCAGCTAAGAAGCTACCAAGAAGTGAATGGGCTGAAAGTCTGTGTGACCTTTCAGTTGAACCTATCAAATCTATTATTGTACTGTCACTTTTGGAATTAAGTAGTTTTGTCAATGTTTGTGGTTGGCGATTCTGGTAAATTACTTACATTTTTCTTCAACTTAAGAACTGCCTTACCCTTTTAATTATTATTTATATAGCTCCACCAGTGACTAGTGCCTTACAGATCACAATAGGACAGGTCCCTGACCCATTCCAAAATTTGTTACAGCAGAAATAGCATAGGCAGTAAAAAAGGATGCACTACATGGTTGTTCCAGGTATATGTGCATATTTACAGGCTGTTACAGAATGACATGAAAGCTAGGAAGTTGTGCTTCAAGTTTTGCATACATATAATGAACCTAGCTATCAAAAACCAAAGTACATCATCTCTCAATGCAAGCAGGTGAGTGTACACACCTTCCCCACCACATTGCCTAACTTCTTATTTTCTTGGCCTATAACACCTTGGTTGTGTATTCTAATTTTATGTTAAAGTAAAATTTAGAGCTTATACCTGCATTGTTTGCCTTGGAACCAGCTGGAAATTTGTACTATATTAGAGTTGCTTTCTAAGTTTAGCTTTGTCTACTGGAAGCTATTCCCATGTACAAAATACATTCATTCTCGTACCACATATCCATATATGAAATGAGGGCCTTAGGCAGAAAAATGCATATAAACAAAGACCTAGGGTTTTAACTATCTCATCACTCATTTATTTTCCCATTAAAAGCCTCAAATTATGCCCCATTCATAATTGCATTCCTACTGGAATCGGTTTCACAGTACAGAAACTTATTTTTATTGTGTTTATGTGTGGCCCAACAACATAGTTCTCTGGTTAACTTAGCAATAAATGTCAAAAAACAATTGAAATAGTACTCTCATTTTGACTCAAGAAAATCACCATTTTATAGTTCAAATCGGGAAAAATAAATACATTAAATGGACAAAAGTACAAAGATTCACAAAACGTTTAGGGGTAATTGTACCCCTGCGTATCCCCAGAAAAAAAGCTGTGTGTGTGTGTAATACGCCCAGATTACCTAGGGCTTTTAGATAATTTAGGCTATCGGAAAGATCTTCACCTGAATCTGAAAAGACCACAGTGATGGTGCCAAGCTAATCTCTCTGTGAAGGCTAGTCCATAACTAGGGTGCTGTCACTGCTGAAAATGCCATCTCTCACTTCACTTGGTTTCGTGAAACACCCAAAGCAGGGCCCAAGCTGTGAAGTTAGTAAAAGTTACTAGTATGTATTAGCATCAATGATATGGTAAGCAAATTGTGTACATCAAATGTATATAGACTTGAAATTCCTATGGAACAAGAATGGATGTGTGTGAGAAGAGAGGTAGCCAGCTTGAAAACCACATATCTGGGTGGGTAGCTGGTTATGAATAGTACATGTTCTTGAACATGATACAATCCCCATCTTCTACTTCCTCCTTGTCTTATTTATTTAGTCAGTATACTGCCTTTCATCCAAAGGTCACAGGGTGGTTCACAACATAAAAATACAAAATTAGAATTCAAAATACATAATACATGAAAAACAAACCAATAGCCCCCCCCCCAAAAAAAACCATTTAAAAAGCCATGGTTGAAGAGAAAATACCTAGTTGAGATATACGTTCCTGGCATCTAAAGATATGTAATGAAGGTGCCAGGTGATACTCTGTATAGAGAGCATTCACAAATGGGGAGCAAATCGCCATGGCATGGATGCTGAAGTTGCCCAGAAACAGCAGTCTGGGAGTCCTCAATGCCAGCTCTGAGCTCAGGCGAGGAGACTGCTGGGCATTGAGGTGCTAAAAAGAGGAAGTGGACTCTGGTGCAAACTCTGGCTGATCTTAGCAGAGCTGGTTCTAGATTTGAGGGAGGCCCTCAATGAAAAAAACCTCATGGCCCTATTTCCATGTTCATGAGAACTCTGGCAGGCTTACATCAGAGTAGCAGGGCCCTTATCAGTCCTGGGCAGCTGGGGCTGGGAGACATATTCTCACAGTGGCCCAGAGTATTCCAAGGGGACATCATAAACAATAGAGTTGAGTGCAAGAGTTCTATGAGCATCACTCAGGTGGTCCACAGCATGGCTGTGAAGAACAGTGGGTGCAGCAGCTGCTCATTCTGAGAACCCAGCAATCCTCTGGCAAGGGAAGGGGACTTGAAAGAAATGAAGAGGATTAGGATCTTAAGCAAGAGGAAGTGATTTAAAAGGAGTGGGGAGGATTAAGAATACAGAAGAGCAGGAGGGAGAGATTTAAAAGGAGTGGAGAAGATTAGGAGCCAGGAAAACAAGTGAAAGGAAGCAAACATATCAAAATAGAAGCAATAAAATTAAAATGCATATGGCATCTAACACAAATGCGTTACAATTGCTGCAATGGGCAGAAAAACTATTTTAAGTGGTCCACCAACACACTCAGCAATTTTCAAGTTTGGGAATCACTGATACAGGGCTATTTTACATACTTGTTACATTATAAGCTTTTGTTGGCCAGAGACCACTCTCTGAGTCTCTGAGGAGTCTTCAGACCAATGCTCCATCTAAGCCTGGAGTTGGCAGTGGCTTATGATCTCAGGCTAAGGTTTGCTTGCTGGAATTTGTATAAAATGTCACTAAACCACCTAACAACTGTGTATCACATTGTTTGATACTATTTTTCCTTTCATTTATATAGTAAATCATGTAGAATGAGACAACTGATGTTATTATTTATTGAATTTATATAGAGTGGTACCTCGGGTTAAGTACTTAATTCGTTCCGGTAGTCCATTCTTAACCTGAAACTGTTCTTAACTTGAAGCACCACTTTAGCTAATGGGGCCCCCCGCTGCTGCCGCACCGCCACCGCACGATTTCTGTTCTCATCCTGAAGCAAAGTTCTTAACCCGAGGTACTATTTCTGAGTTAGCGGAGTCTGTAACTGAAGCGTCTGTAAGCTGAAGCTTATGTAACCCGAGGTACCACTGTACAGTTCTATACCCAGCGGTCTCAGGGCAGTTCACAGAATAAAATCAAAATATAAACCACAAAATACATAATCAAAAACAACAACCCAATAACCCCCCCAACCCATATTTTAAAAGGGCATAGGATGTCATATGATAACACATGATAAAAAGTAACTAAGTAACTTAAATGTAACAAAAGGGGACACATGATAAAGAGTTAAACCAGGCATAGGCAAACTCTGCCCTCCAGATGTTTTGGGACTACAGTACAATTCCCATCATCCCTGACCACCTGTCCTGTTAGCTAGGGATGATGGGAGTTGTAGTGTGGTGTAGTGGTTAAGAGCGGTAGCCTCATAATCTGGTAAACCGGGTTCGCGTCTCCGCTCCTCCACATGCAGCTGCTGGGTGACCTTGGGCTAGTCACACTTCTTTGAAGTCTCTCAGCCCCACTCACCTCACAGAGTGTTTGTTGTGGGGGAGGAAGGGAAAGGAGAATGTTAGCCGCTTTGAGACTCCTTCAGGTAGTGATAAAGCAGGACATCAAATCCAAACTCTTCCTCTTCTTCTATGCCTGAGTTAAACGAACAGCAGAGAATGAAGGATAAGAAGCCTTAGGTTGAAACTCCATATGCACTTGCCTGAACCTAAGTCCCATTGAACTCAATCAAGCTTACTTCTGACTAGACATATCTATTAAAAATAGTTGAGATCTGTTTATCAAAATGCTCCCCCTCTTGTAGCTTGTATTTGCTATTTTTACATTTATAGTTTAATATTACTATGTGAGAGTCACCTGAAAAGCCGTTTAAAAAGATCTTCTACATCTATGTGTAAAGGGGAAGCACCATGGCTCAGTGGTAGAGCACCAGGTTCTCAGGTTCAAATCATGGCATCTCCAGGCAGGGCTAGCAATGTCACCAGCTGGAAACTTGGAGAGCTGCTACCAGTCAGTGTGGACAATACTGAGCTAAACGCATAGCTGTCAACCTTCCCTTTTTTGGTGGGAAATTCCCTTATTCCAGCGCCGTTTCCCGCTGCTATCCTGGATTGTTAGATATCCTGTAGACTGTCCCCTGGACAGATGAGGCTGCTGATCCCTTATTTTCAAATCTGAAAGTTGACAGCTATGTAAACGGACCAATGGTCTGACTTGGTATACGGAAGTTTTTCTATGAAAGCCACCAGTGTCATATATCAGAGGTTGGTTCATAAGGGCTAAGGCGGCACTGCTACGCCAACCTCAGTTCCTTTCCTTCTTACAACCAACCTAGGAGGTGGTGGAACTACCTAGTTGTTACTTTCCTCTCTTACCAGCGCTGCCCTTGTAGAATTCAGCAGGGATGGATGGGGGCAAAAACAGAATCAATCGGCTCTACCTGTCTTTGACTCTGGCTCCACCTCTTGTTGCCCTGCCTCCCTTTCCTCCCTACCATAATCAAGGAGCATTTGCCACCGCTAATGTGATGTAGTGGAAACGAGGATTCAAATCCCCACCGGCTCTGACAGTGGGTTATCGCGCGGATAAAACGGGGAGTGGGAAAACCGAAGAGGATGAGACCCTTAGTCTTGGCGTCGTGGGTTTAACCCCCCCCCCCTTTGGGCGAAAGATTCCTGCAGTGGCAGCGCAGGGGATGAGATTATTTGATCCTCGTGGTCCCTTCCAACTATTCTAGGACTCTGTAATGATACATACATCATACTGAGCTCTTGGAAGGAAACGTCTGATATAAAGGTAATAAATATTCGGGCATCCCTCATGGCGATCCTGTAACTGCAGTTCCCAGGATTCTTTGAGGGGTGAAGCAATGTGCTTTAATGACCCAGTGTGTACACAGCCTTGCTTCTATGCAATAATAATAATAATGATGATGATGATGATATCCAATCCTATTTATATGGTAAATCACGAAGGGGCTTTCGCTTTCTTAGGGGGGTAGCTGCACATTATCACCACCATCTAACACCAACAATACAACCTTCACACCAAAAACGAGAATGGCAGGGCACGCTCCTCCCTTACCCTCGGGCAGTCAATCAAGACCTATCAGGCAACAGGGAGACCCTCCACTCCCCCTTCCCAGAACCCGCGCGCGCGACGTCTGGGCTACGGTTAGCTCAGTTTCGATGCCAGTCCGCATGCGCGAGGGAGGAAAAGCACGTCGGGCTCTGTTCCCCACTCCCTCCCCATTCTTTTACTCCCTTCATGAAGATGGCGGCGGTCACAGTCGGCGAGGCAGTTTGCGGCGACGGACCAACGGGCGGGAAACGGGCGCACCTGGGCATCCCCGAGGCCATCTTCGTAGTAAGCAAAAATGTGGGCGCGGGGTGGGTGGGAAATGGGGAGCCACGCGGAGGGGGCGAGAGTCGACCTCGAGTACTGAGGTGAACGTGGGGTGGGGGGGGTGTCTTGCGTGGTGTGCTGGTTGCGCATGCGCTTCAGTTTTGACAGGGAGCTGGGGGTGGGGTGGGGGCCTCCTCAGGAATGATGTCCGGGAGGCTGTCAGCCCCAAAGACCCTCTTTTCCGACCGGCGCCCTCCCCGCGGGGCAGGAGGCTCTGCGGCACCTGGCATTTAGGGGTAGACTGCCTGTTAGTAAGGAGGCCCTGATCCCTTCATGTAGCGCCGGCGGCGGCCTTCCCTGCAGTAACTGGCGTTTTAAGGTAGCCTATTGTTATTATTATTATTTTTTATTATAAGGAACGGGCAGGAAGCCCTGCCAAGTTAGCCGAAGACAGCAGCCTGTTTTTAGTTTGGGAAAAGACTGCCAGCAGGCGAGGCAGGAATGCGAGGACTCCGCTGGTCTTCAGAGGCAGGTTAGGTGTCACGCCTCTGGGGAAATAAATCCAGCAGGGAAGATGGGGGCAAGAATGTGGGGAGGGGGCAGCCTCTTCTGCTTTTTGCGCCCCACCCACTTCGGATTTCAAGAGTGATTGCCTTTTAATGCGAAGGTTCCGTGGTCTGTAATATACCGGTACTTACTGCATCCCACCTTTCCTCTCAGAGAGCCTAAGACACTGCCCGTTGCTCTTCCCCCCTCATCCCTATTCTTATAGCAACACTGCAAGGGAAGCTAGCTTGAAGAGATACTGCCAGGTCCCAACAAGCTTCACGGTTGTGCTAGTCTTGCGAACTATAACTGCTATAATGTCATGGTTTAATAGGTCTGTGTACCATGGATTTGTCTTCTGTAAGAAGAGCCGAGCTGGCTCGGATCAAGTAAGAATTGCTTCCAAGTGACCAGGAAGTGGGGGCTTTTATACTGTAAACAAGGAGAGGGAATGAAATAGTGTAGTCAGTTCTGAGCACCATGGACTAATGGTCTGGCTCAGTGTAAGGCAGTTATGCTTCTATGAGCGCCAGTGTGATGCAACAGAGACTGGTTTATTAGGCCATATGCTAACATTTTGCTACCAGTAGTTGAGTAGCCAATTATACACGGAAAGCAGTAATCTTCCCTTGCTATTGGCTCCCCCCCCCAAAAAAAAACCCCTTGTAGTCTTTAAGTTTGCCTATCTTATGAATCTAATTCATTATGAAGAATAAGAGGCCTGCTGGATCAGATTGAACATTTCTCTAGACAGGCATTTGTTTGCTTTCAGTGACCAGCTAGATACGTCTGCATATTCCCAGGGGGGAGGGGGCTGGCTGCATAGCTGCCATTCCTTTCAGGCAACCTGTTTATGTGGGATTGATACTAAAAGGAGAAACTAACCTTGGACTCACTTCCCAAACATTTTACTGCTTGACTATGCTGTTTATGCTTTTGAATGTAGAAGAGTAAGCAAAATTATTGTTATTTGTTCAATTTTAGTAGCCAGCTGACATATAAGAGGTCTCTAAATGACTTAGGAAATTTAAAAGCAAAAAAGGGTAGGCAAGCAAGTGGTTAGAAATGGTGAGGAGGGCCAGGGGACTCTCGGTAGTGGGTCTCATACTGGAGGAGGGTCTTTGGCTGGTGCTTGGCCATTCCTGTCCCCAATGCCAGCCCTGGAAGAAGTCAGAACAGGCCACGCTTTGACCAACCAACTCTTCACATGGTTGTATGAATTGAAGCTTTGGGAGTTACTTATGTATAATGTGTTTCTACTCGAAGGAAGATGTAGATTCCTTTATGAAACAGCCAGGAAATGAGACGGCAGACACCGTACTCAAGAAATTGGATGAACAGTATCAGAAATATAAATTTATGGAGCTTAACCTTGCCCAGAAGAAAAGAAGGTAGGTATTTTCTGTGGTGTCCTTTATAAGGATTATTCTAAAGTTATAATGCTACTCCCCATGTCATCATGCAGACTGTTCTTTGGCTAAAATTTAATAAGCTACTACCCTTTAAGAAGCTAGACAGTTGTTGCTACAAGCTGATGCACTGGTAGGATACTAAAACAACTTACAATACTAGGACTGTGGTCCAACTTGTGAGGAATGTCTGAAAGACACATAAGAGTATTTGACATGTTTGCAGTTAATATTTTTCTGCTTTATATCATGACGTAAATGAGCTGGTTTTTACAGTAATGATGGGGCCACTGTATTAAATAATTAGGTATCTGCACCCACTGTTGCTTTTTGTCATGCATTATTTTGCTTGACTAGGAGTTAAAGTAAATCCAGGTGAAAAATTAGACAATGAGCCTGGCCATACCATCGAACAAATTTTGATGGCAATAATTATTACTGGAATAGAAAAAAAGCAATCACATCTTTGCATTAATCAACAGAAGCGTTCATTCAAAAGAATAGGGTCAAGTTTCCATATGCTATTGCATGTACAATCACATTGTATACTTCTGGGTTTCGCCGCGCATGCGCAGAAACGGCGCATCATGTTGTGGACTTTTCAGGGTATGTAAGGACCCTCGGAACGAGTTAAATATTAAGTGTACTGGTGTCCACCTAATTCTATTGCCTGCAGTCACACCTAAGTTTGCATTAGAGATAAATTGAGTTTTGGGGGAAGAATTGTTAAATACTGGGGCTACTAGTACCATTGTTAGAGGTAAATGATCGCTTTCAATATTATTGCCCAGCTCTAACTCCATGACAACCTTATATGCAAATCACAAGATCACAATATAATCTATCACACTGCCTCCATGCTTTGTAAAGTGGGTATATTCTCTGGGTTGATGTCCCTCTATCATGCTGTTCAATATTAGCAAGTCCCTCCGCCATACAACTTGGGCTAAACAAAGCTCTGAATAATTGCATTTATGATGTAATTAGACAGGTGGGAGGTACCTCTGGCTAAGTAAATACCTCGTTTCAGAATCTGATTGTAATGGGTGTACAAATTTACATCGTTAACTCCCATATGTATGTTAAAACCCCCTGCAATGATAAACTGCGGTAGGATATAGGGATTCCATGGATTCTATATAATTCTCTACGTCTGTCCAGATAGTATTTACAGTAGTTTTTTTGTTTGTTTTGTTTTTTGACAAGGTGGTATGTAGACATTAATCAGCATTAAACATACTTTCAAAACTACAACCAAGACAGCAGTTGCAAATGGGTTACATGGAATCATGGCTGTTGTAGTTGCATTCAACTTTGTGGAGATGAAACATGCTAGACCCCCCACTGACCCTACCACCTTTCATTGAGGGAGTGGTTGTCAATGAGTGACATTTGTTTCTGTTAATCATTATGGAGTCATTGTGCCATGTTTCTTGAAGCAGAATAATATCAAATTGCACAAAATAGTTCATCAGTTGTCTATTGTGACAGCCTGCTATGTTCCATGACATCCGTTTTAGCCCCAAGTCCTTTAAGGCTCTGGCCTTTTGGTTCCACTTTGTCCAGGTACCCAATTTCATCTTTAAAAATGCTTCAATTCCTCTTATCAGTGGGAACCCATTCAACGGTGTTGGTATACTTTTTGATTATCGGGAGAGGACTACCTATTTAATTTGGAACTAATTTCCAATAGCTCAGCCAGGAATTTGTAGTCACACCATCAGGATTGTCCCTAACCATATCATCTTCCAAGGGGGGTTGAGTTTGCAGTTTGCATCTATACATTTAAAAGTTTCTCTGGTAGTCCTCTTTTTAAGTATACATTTTGGAGAAACAGTTTGTGGGCAAAAGGTTTGATTGTCAGTTGTTTCACCAACGTTTTGTTGTCCATGCTGTTGTATTTGGGTCAACCTGGACTGAAACTTAGCTAGTTTGGTGAGAATACCACTTTGCTCTTTATCTGGTAGGTTAATAAAATTACTTAGCAAATCCTCTTTTTCTGGGCTATCCAGTCTGCTAAATCTGGAGGGTAATTTTTATTCAGAACTGCTATAGATTGATTAGACCTCTTGAATTTTCCTTGCATAATATCTGGAGTTTCAGATAATAATTCTTCACATTGACTGTGATCTTCTTCAATAATAGGACAAATGTCAGCTTTAGTTGAGGTGACTTTGTTCCTCCTGATCGCCCTTTTAGGTACAAACAGTAGCTTAAGTGATGTGTCTTCAAAATGCTGATAAGGGAAGACTCCTTTCCTGGCTAAATGAGCCTTTTTTTTTCATGATTATAGCTGGAATTCTATGGGTGCTGAAAGTTAGAAGAGTTGTCTTGCAACATGCATTGTTAAAGAACCCCTTGGTTGATTTTAATTCAATATTTCCAACATCACAACTGAGGCGTAAGTTCAAATGTAGGCTGACTCCCAATAAGGCAAGGGTCCCTTATATGGAAATATCTGTAGAACAACCTCACATGCTGGACTGAGTGTTTCTGCCCTACCTCCAAACCCCAATTATATATAAAGCAGATTAGATTGTTTAGTAAGTGTAGCAGAAATAATATTTTATATCTGTTTTATTCACAGGTTAAAAAATCAAATTCCTGAAATTAAGCAGACATTAGAAATCTTAAAACACATGCAGAAGAAAAAGGTAAATACCTTTTACAATGTGGTGGGTATTTATCTTATCTACAATGCTACATCAATAGTTATCACAAATCAATCTTTATTTGGCTGTAGAAAATTATTGATAATGACTAATTTTAACACAAGTGCTCTAGCCATGTTCATTTGTCATCTCTCCTTTCGGTAGGAATCCACAAAACTGATGGAAACCAGATTTTTATTGGCAGATAACCTCTACTGTAAAGCTTCTGTTCCTCCTACAGATAAAGTTTGTCTTTGGTTGGGGGTAAGTAAAAACATGTTCACACTTACTAAGCATCTATTTTCAGCCACAAACATGGCTGAAAGGCTACATGAGTTCTGAATATTACGTTAACATTTCATGATGTTATTTGGCCACGCAGCTTGGTATCAACCTCCCCCCGCCGCAATGGAAATCATTACCCATTTCCAATCTCTGGAATTTTTTGGAACAGCAGGGACAAAAGCCTCTTAGCAACATTGCAAAAGAATACATTTCAGCCCAGATCTTGAAAGGTGCAACAATGGGCACAGTTCAACTGATCCTTCAGACTATGGAAATGAACTGGGTTCTCCTCTTCCTTTGCCCTAATGATCCATTTCATCTTTTGTGTTCAATATTAGCCATCGTTTGCTGTGCTGTCCAAATATAGGCTTTGGCTTATACTTGCATGAATTGGAGGCTCCTCTGAATTCAGTCACTGTGCATTGTTTCAGGTGGTGCTTTAAGTTGCATGTGCTTAAAGTTAGCATGTGAGCCTAAGGCTCCACATGAGTTATTCTCAATAACCCAAACTGGGTCTGGAAAACCAGTGATGTGCCAAATGTTGTTGGACTACAGCGTTCCCACTATCTCTAACCATTGACCATGTTGGTTGGGTCTGACGGGAGTCCCAACAACATCTGCAGAGCCAGAGGCTCCTCATTTCTGACCTAAACAATCATTTAAATGGTTTTCTGAACCGTACTTAACAGTAAAATAACAAGTGATGAATTGCTTGCCTGGATTAAATAAGAAACATGGAGTCTGCTAAACACCTTGCTTTACCCCAAATCTGAAACATCCAACAAAGGAGCACATAATCCCAGATGAAATTGGCAGGGAATGTCTGGCACTCCTGCAGCAGAATATTTACAAAATATGTTTAAATCGCAACAGTTTCTGATTAGTTAATTTTATCTGCTTTTTGTAAAATTGAGTTCCCACAACGTTCTTTTCCCAGACCAGTACTATTTAAGTTGTTTTAAATTATCTGCAGTTGGAGGTGAGCAGTGAGTGAGCAAAATTTTTGAATGACACCAGGCTTTTCAGGAGATCCAAAAGTGTCTCTCCAAACCTCTTAAATGGGCAACAAATGCAGCAGATAGCTACAGTGTAAATAAGTGTAAAAAATGGCACATGAGCTTCACATACTGTTTTTGAACTGGTTGCAAACAGTACCACCTGCAATATTTATAGCTACATATGCCTGCCTGCCTATCTATCTATCTATCTATCTATCATCTAGCTATGCTATGCTTATGCTATTGCTTCTGTATTCAACTTCCATATTCAATGTCCAAGATCAGTCTTTTAACTGTAATGTGTCAAGGGTTGTGCTTAATTTGCTATTTTAAATGTGTTTTAAGATAATGTTCTCTGTCAGAAAGGGTAAAACCAACTTAGGCTCTTGAAGGTGAATTTGTAGTCAGTCATTCATTCATTTTAACACTACTTAATTTCAAAAGCCATTGAAGGTTCCTCAACATAAATGTTGTTCTTAGGCCAACGTAATGCTGGAATATGACATTGATGAAGCCCAGGCATTGCTAGAAAAGAATCTCTTCACAGCCACAAGAAACCTTGAGTCTCTCGAGGAAGATCTGGATTTTCTTAGGGATCAGTTCACTACTACAGAAGTCAGTATCCTTTTAAAAAGAGAATTGAATTCCTGTTTCACAATGTTTCACAATGTTATGTCCTCTATTTCTTAGTATTCATCCACTTTCTTTGAACGAATCTGCTTGTGGAAACAATTCAGGTCAAGGAATAGTGAATCCAGTAGCAGATGCAGGTGTTTATTGCATTTCCCCAGTTTGTTCAGTCTAGATACCACTTGCTGTGAAAAGATACAATATCCTTTTTTCATGCTGAGGGCCACATTGACCTCTCTGGTGTCCAAAGTGTAAAAGTGGACTTTTTTAAAGGACAAAGCGGGGCAGTTAGGGTCATAAAAGACTTTTAGGATCACAGGAACCACCCATGGAAGTGGTCAATAAATAAGAAAATACTTTAAAAAAAAAATTTTTTCCCATCACTTTCTTCAAAAGAAGGTGATCTTGGAGGGTCACAAAAGAAAATCATTTAGCATCACAGTGAAAAACCGGTTAGAGCAAAATATACCGTATTTTTCTCTCTATAAGACGTACCGACCATAAGACACACCTAGTTTTAGAGGAGAACAAGAAAAAAAAATTCTCTCCCTCTCTGCTCAGCGCCTCTCTAGCAAAGTGGGAGGAGAAACGGAAGGGGCTCCATTTCTCCTCCCGCTTCGCTGAAGGGGCGCTGCGCAGAGAGGGAAAGCTGCGCAGTGCCTATCCAGCGAAGTGAAGCCAGGAGAGCAAGAGGGATCGGTGTGCACCGATCCCTCTTGTTCTCCTGGCTTCAGTGAAAGCTGCGCAGCCTGCATTCGTTCCATAAGACGCACACACATTTCTCCTTACTTTTTAGGAGGGGAAAAGTGCGTCTTATAGAGCGAAAAATACAGTAAACATTTGTGAGGAGACTTTGGAGGGCTCAAAAACATCACAGTGGGAGACATATAGAGTAGTAGAAAAAAGATTTGCACTGTCTAAAAAATGTTTTGTAGGGAAAATAAATCAAATTTTGGGGTGTGGCTTTGGGAGCTGAATTTTGACTCAAGGCTCCTTCTCCAGAGGAAGAGCAGAGAAGGAGCTAGAGGTGAGCAATACTCCTGAGTTCATTTAGGCTCTTCTTTGGAAAAGAAAACCTAAAAAAAGAACAAACTTTCTTACGATTTTTATGCAAAGGTTTTCATAGACGATTTCTGGAAGTCTAAAATGCACTGGATTATTCAGTACATTTGTTAGCACCTTTTCCTGCCTTTGTTCTCCCTTAATCTTGTCGCACTGTTGTTAAAGCCAAAGGTTTATCTAGCTTTGAACTGAGGACAGGATAGTTCTCATTCAAATTGTGATAAGCTGGTTGTCTACCATGCAGCAGAGAGAGTTTTAACCACACATCTGCATCCAGTCAGAAAAACCAGAGAAGCAGAGAGTAAGAATTTTTTTTAACCACTTCTAAAAACATAGGCAAGTGGTTATTTGCCAGCCTTTCCAAAATTACAAGTTGATAAGTGTTCTGGTTATCTGCAGGTAAATACAGTCTAGTCATTGAGAGCCATCTTATTCTTTCCACAAGCATGTGCTCAGGTGCTTAACCAAGTGAAGATGTGCTGGCTGCAGTCATTTCCCATGGTTTGAAAATGGAGTTGTGATCATGGAAAACGCTGCCTGTTGTCCAGCCAGGTGTCACAAGAGTGTGTGCAGGGCAAGTTATTGGCAATTTGAGAAAGCTAGTATTGTTGCAGGTATTCGGGAATAAAAACCTTTATGATCAAGCTCATGCTAAGGAAACTGTAGGGCTTTTTCCTGCTGGCCCTGCACAGTGTTATTTGTGATCTATTTTCAGAGCACAGACTTACATATTTCAGATGAACAGATTAGACATTGGTTATGAGAACAGCACTGTCTAGTATTCAGGAATCAAACTGCTTGTGCTAATTATGGGAAGCAGATAAAATCCAGGGAGAGGAGCATCTGCTTTCACCTTACAGCACAATAATTTCCTTAACTGTGTTTTCAGATATGGCTAGAGTTTATAATTGGGACGTAAAGCGAAGAAACAAGGATGACCCTTCCAAAAGCAAAGCATAGTTATTAATAGGATTCATTAGTTCTGTTATATTAAATGTGTTCTCAACTTTAATCTTAGTTAGCAGACATCTTTTTAAAAATTGGTTTGCAAGCCCAGTTTGGTTCTGTGCATGTTCTATTATTGCTGCTTTGGAACATGAGCCATAAAGCATTTTGGTTCTTCCAACATAATCTGTCATAGGAAAATGCTGGCTACAAGACTTGACTGAAAATCTGAAGTGCATTATAGGAACTGTCTTTTGCAAAGGGTTGTTTGTATATATGAGTATTGAGGTATATCAAAATTTGGTGCTGGGAAGGTATGGCAGCAATATGGGGAACAGTCTGTTGTAATCCTGCCTCTAGCTGCTTTAGCTATCCTCTAAACACTTCACACACACGAGCTCATGTTTAGCTCTTGAGGAAACAAATAATTTAATGCACAATGCAATCTGTATGTGATCTTACTCAGTACTGTATTCACATAAATATCTCATCCCAAGTCTGTAAAACTGGAGGGATCCAGGAGCAAATGGCCTACTATACACATTCAGTGCATTTGCCATCTGTTCTAATTCAGATGATTGCAAAGATACTTGGTGGAACCTGCATTTAAACATGGATGGTGTATTTGAGCCCAGCTTCAGTTGGTTAAGAGGCTTAGTGTTATTCCTTTTTTACTTCATATGAAGCTTTGCTAAAGTCTTGCCTTGGCGTCTTCCTTTTTATTTGAAACCATGATGCACATTTTAAGGTCAAAAAAGTGCTGTACTTACACTGCCGAATAGGTGGCAGTGCAGGTTTTATTTTAAAATGAAAAGCAAATGTTAACTGTGTTTTAATTTCTTCTAATAAACAACACTTCTGAAGTTTTTGTACTTTTATTTCATTAAAGGAATTTTATATTTTTGGGAAGCCACCCAACACTGCTGCTGCTGCTGCTGCTTCTTCTTCTTCTTCTTCAACACTGAAACTTGAAAGACTTATAGCAGAAACCTCTAGCGCCTGTTCCTTTCAGCAGATGGGCACCAAAACTTTTGAAATAATTGTTAATGTAAATGTTGATGATGATGGTGGAATGGTAAATAGAGATTGCTTTAGTTCTTAAAATGATGGAGAGCTTTCAAGTTTACCCAGTGTTGGAGGTGGCATCCCAAAGTGCTATACCAGGGGTCAGCAAACTTTTTCAGCAGGGGGCCGGTCCACTGTCCCTCAGACCTTGTGGGGTGCCGGACTATATTTTGAAGAAAAAAATGAACAAATTCCCATGCCCCACAAATAACCCAGAGATGCATTTTAAATAAAAGGACATATTGTACTCATGTAAAAACACGCTGATTCGCAGACCGTCCACAGGCCAGATTGAGAAGGCGATTGGGCCGGATCCAGCCCCCGGGCCTTACTTTCCCTACCCATGTGCTATATACCTTAAGATCCCAAAGCATATTTTTGAACCTGTAGAAAATAAATGCATGTTTAAAAGACAAATCTAATATACTATGGTAAAATAAAAGGACATTATTTTATTTAGATTTAGAAGAAACAGAAGACAGCAATATTTCTGGTGAATAAGAATACAGAACTTAACATCCAAATAATGCAAAAAACATTGATTATGAAACAAAATGTTTCTTTCTCATTTTTCCTTTTGGATTACAGAATTTTTGTATATAGTTTCATCTCTTCAAGCTATAGATTTCCCCCTCCTCCAAGAAGTTAGTTTTTGCCTTACTAAGAGACAAGATGGTGCTCTTGTGAGAGTTTGAGTTGATGGTTGAATAAAATTATATGTGTTCAAGCTGTAGTGTTTATTATAGATGCTGAGTAAGGCTAATAGTGCTTCAGCTAAAAGTTCCATATGGACATTGGATCTCCTAGATATGTAAGGCACGTCTTGCCTGAGCTGTTAGGGTGGATGTAGGTTGGCATCTTAAAACTTTAGGGATGAGCATGTTTCTCTTGTGTTTGTTGCTCACCTATCTTAACTTAGAGAATTGCTACAGTTCATGAGTTAGCACATTCACACTTTTCATTTAGTCTTGGCTTGTTGCACTGTGCTTTAATCAGTGTGTCCATATCTGCTAGTGTGCATGGCAACATAAATGAAAAAGGCATGAGCAAACACTAAAACTTCTTATGGAACTGTCTGAACACAGTGCAGAAATAATAACAAAGGATAGTGGATCCTGAAATGGTTCTACTGCTGCACAAATGAGGTCAGCTAATCTTGCAGCCCTAAAATCATGTTTTGCATGCCTCCCACACTTCTAAAAGATGGGTGAAATGGCTATCCAAGCATCTTGAATCGTCACGTTGCCACAGAGCATTGGTGCCTCTTGGTTGCAATGGGAGCAATCAAAAGAATTACAAGGGCACTTCTATACATCCAAAGGGTGTTTGGACTTGCTTGAGCAGTCACTGTCCTCTTGTTTTGTGGCACACTTTCATTGGAGGCTTTTAAACAGGCCAGGGGCCGTCTGTCAGATTGTTTTAGCTTTGCATTGCAGATGATTGGGCTAGATGACCAATGAAACTCCTTCCAAATACAATTCTATGATTCTAGGAGAGTTTTAAAAGTGTGCTTCCTAAGCATGTGCACAACTTGGGGATGACTTAAAGTAATTCTATGGATCTCTGCCTGTGAATGTCTCCCTTTATTTCCCGAAAGTTTCTGGTTATTCCACAGTGGCCTAACACTGCTACTCCGTGTACCCAATAACTCTTGATTGTGTCTAGCCATGATGCAGCATGAGGGACTGAGAAGAGCTGCGGTGCCTTTGAAAGAGCTGAGAGCCCTTTACTATCCTAGGCATGATTTGTAGCCAGAACTGCTGTCTGGTAGCAGTAATCCCACCTCACTATAGAGCTCAGCCAGTTGAAAGCCCACTGTTAAAATGCTTCAGAATGGGTCAGAGTAAAGACAGTCTGAGAGCTGGTCACTTCCTGGATGGGAAATCTCACATACCCTATCTTGAGCTCCACAAAATAAAGTTGGGATATACAGTATATTTGTGTATGTGTGTGTGGCAAGCACCCTCTTAGGCGATGATAGTCCAGAGAAGAAATTCCTTTTCTAAGACTGTGCTTCAGCAAGTTGCTGTAACACCAAACTTCCAGTGCATTGCCCCAGGACTGCAATAATTCTAGGATTCAAATCCCTGCAGTTTAAAGGAAGAGGTAGGTGCTTACAAATTCAGTCATTCACACAGGGTCATCTCAGCACAAGATCTTGAGGCAAATGATGTGACATCCTTTCTGAAGTTTCATCATAAGAGAAGAGTTGCTTATACCAAAGGCCCACCTACTCCAGCATCCAATGCTCACAGGGGTTCTCTACAGGTAACAGGATGCTTCTCACTTGTGAATCTTTGCAACAGACACTGGGGCTAATACTTGGCCATCATGCCTAGTAACCAGATAGCCTTCATGAATTTTTATTAGCCCTATTTTAAAGTCATGCAAGTTAGTGGCCATTACTAAATATTGTGGGTGCAAACTCAACACTTCCAGCTACGCACTGTCTTTAATCTTCCACTATTACTTGACTGCAGTTTCTCCCCTAGCCCTGAATAATTCTATAAACATTCATCATTCTCCATCCCTCAATTTACTCTCCATTTTTTCTAAAGCAAACAGCTCCAACTGTTGGAACATTTTCTCATATTTATGTACTTCCATGCCTTGATCATTTTGGTTGCCATTTCCTGATTCTTCTCTGGTTACATTTCCCATCTCTCATAGGAAGCAATGTATTCTCAAGAGGATACATGTACATAACCTTAAGAAAAGAAAATATGCTTATTGCTTCAAGAACTATTTTCTCCTACATACAAATATAACTAATTGACTCAGATTCTATAATCAGGTGACAACTCTTGTCGTTTTGGTGGACTACAACTCTCATCACCCCTGGCCAATGCCCTTACTAGCTGGGGTTGCTGGAAGTTTGAGCCAAGCAACATCTGAAGAGCACCATAGTTGACTGCCTGTTTTAAACCCATGATCTTGCAGGGATATATCCGGCTAAGACTGGAACATGTCCAATGTCCGTCCACCATCCATCATCCAGTTGGTAGCACTGCTGCACAGATGGACACTTTTTTTGGTTCCTAAGAACACCACTCTATAGAACGTTATCTTTAATCCTCACCTTCACCAGCTGTGACCAGGGCCAGGATTAAAGGGCCTGTGTGCAAAGTGCCTTCTGGTTCCTTTTATCCAATTGTGTTTCTGCTCTGAGCTGTACCAGGCCTACTGAGTCTAACCACCATTTGTCTGTCCAGCAGTTCTCCCAATACAACATTGCTCTGAGACATTGTGGAAAGCTAGGAAGATCCTGCCACTGCATACCCTAGCTTTATTTCCCACAAGGCCCATTAGTGTTCCTGTGTCAGTTGGGTGTTAAAAGCAAGAAGCCTTTTTTTAATGGGAGGGGGGCAGCTAGAGTGTGGCAACAGGCACTGCAAGGATGTTGACTCCCAACATTATTTCTGACAGGATGTACATTTGTCAGCAAATGTTTTCCACGGCTGGATTTTCAAAAGTTTGTGCAGCTTGCACAAATGACATTGCAGAAGTGCAGCAGTCCAATATACCAGCAATTCCTAGGTCATAATTTGCTTGATTTCAGTTAAAATGTCAGCTGTGTGCAATACAGGAATTAGCGACTTTCCTGTAGTTCACAATGCATTGCCTTGGCAGTGATTCAAATGGACTATTTCCCATCCTGGCTCTATAAAATAATTCGTTCATTGTGGATTTGCACAAGAATACCAGTTTGAAAATGCCCAGGATAGTGGGAGACAGACCTTGTTCATATCTGCACCTTAAAAACACCAGTGGATTCTGTTAAAACAGTGCATATGTTTATTATTAATCTACTCTGTACTGGGTTTTTACCACCATGGTTGCTGTATACAGATGTTTGATGGGGTGGGGTGGGGAACAGCAGAGGAAATAAAAACACGGATTTTCCTTTACAAGTTTTGAATGTCACATAATCACATTAACCATTTTGCTAGATACAAGCATAGTTTTCATTCACACACAGCTAAATACAGCGGGGGTTTTTTTGTCACATTTCATTACAGTGCATATAACAGAAAGCTAGGGAAAGTGTACAGTATAATTTTAATCTGGAGGTACTGAGAGATTTTTATATTTTTTAATCCAGCATGCAGACTGAGATTGTGAGTTTACCAACAGGCTTGTTTTTATTTTGTCTGTCTTTGCCAGAGAGTGAAAATGAAAGAAAATGCCTTTTTTAAAAGTATTAGCCTCCAGTGTATCTTGCAGTAGTCAAAATGCTAAAACAAGTCAAGAAAAAGATGAGGTTTTTCATTTTACAAAGTCAAACCCCACTTCTATTTGTACAGGAGGAAGTCCCCCTCCCCAGATGATCATTTATATAAGTTGCCTAAAAATATAAGGCATTAGAAAGAGATTACATCATGAGTTTCGATCAGAATTATTGTACGTTTAAAGGTCTTCAATCAAATTTCCTATACATTTTACTTTCTTTTGTAACTCTAATGCAGTATACATTATAAATCAAAGAGTCCAAACATGACCAAACTTTATTCCCTCTATGTATTTAAAATGTATTTATTGAGGCAGGCAGCAATTGAACTATATCTATTATGGTAAAAAACAGCAAATGCACTGGGGGAAAGTGAAATTTGCCAGTATGCTAGTCTATGGATCCTGACGTAAAACGATGCTGGAATTCTTCATGCTAGTTGCTTTCTTTTGGATTCAACTGTATTTTTGCAGCTAAGAGGGCAGTCCAAAAAATTTTAGAGCCGAAAATCAGCATATAAATGTTTTATAAATAGAGAATTGTAGCAAATGTTGGTCCTACTCAGAGCAGGTCCCTTAATTTACATGGGTCCATTGTGAGTAATATTGGTTATTATGCAGAATGTTTAATTCTGAATTCATTTTTAAAGCCAACTTGAAACATACCTGAATCTGGGGTAAAAATCAATGCTTGGCAAATTAATGACAATGCAGAAATAAATCTATAGCTTTTCCTGGGGTATTTATTTGCTGTTAAAAATGTTTTCTCACTACACTAGAATGACTTTGGATAAATAAAGAGTAAGATTAATTAGAAGATTAATTGATGAGTAAGATTTTTTATCATGTCCCTTACAGAGATAAAAAATGTCTTAAAAGGTTTGAAGCCATGAAGGGAAATAGTATTTGAGTACTTTTTGAGGGTTGGGTAGAACTGAAATGTATCCAATGCTGATTTGCTTATGAAACCTAAATTTTAATACATTAAGGTTGCAGTCCTAAACACACCAGGGAGAGAGTCCTGAAGAATGCAATTGGCCTTGCTTCTTAGTAGCCACACGTAGGTTTGTACCATCAGTACATGAAGGAGAGAGGTCATTCTTGGCATACAGAAGCCCTTATGCTCTTACTGTCTCTGGTTAAAGGGATTTTAGGAGAGCCCCCTTTCTGCAACTTCAGAAAGCTGGTACCAGTCCAAATAAACATGTTGTCATCATAATGGTTTCAAAGGAATGACCCAAATCCAGAGAAAGTTAAATGTGCTGCTCTGAACTAGGACGATAGGTTTCTGAAGAGGCTCTCCTGTGAGCCTCAGCAAAGTGAGTAGGAGCTTTTAAAAAATAATAAGGGGGAAAGACACACTCCCAGAAAACAAGCTTATATCCCAGCCAGATAAGGACTCCGGGAGTCACTGGACAGCATTTTAAGCACCCTCCCTTCCTTTGAGGCTCTTCCATAGCCCCTTTGAAAGCCATCCAAAACTCCTTGAGGTTATCTAAAACTATTTGAGGCTAATTACAACGCTTCGAGTTTCATTCTCAATCTACAGATATTCCATTCTATCACCAAAACTTTAACATTATCGCCCTTCAAGAGACATGGGTGGCAGAAATTCCAGTTCTGGAAGGTTTTTATGCTTATTCAATTAGGGCTATCCTGGCAGAGACCCAGGAAGGCTAAAAGGGGGGCTTTGCATCTTGATTTCTCAATGTATAAATGCCATCTGTAAAGAGCTGCCCTCTCTAGACCAACTAGCAATGGCCTTACTTATATCATGGGGAAGATCTAAAGTGTTATTTATAAATGTTTATATTCCTCCAACTAGCTTAAATAATGACATCGATAGCAAGTGGAAAAGATTAGAAACCTTTGTTAAGTTGCTGATTTCAGATTATCCAGGGGCAAAGGTCCTGCCGGTGGGTGATCTAAAGGCAAGGCTAGGGCCAGATGACTCCAGTTTAGCAACCAAATACAGGTGCAAAATCGGGTTTCCCAAGACGTCTAGCCCAGAAGACCACCAAACCCCAAGGCTATCTAAGGACCAATAGTAAAATTACGCTGGCGCCTGCCTTTTCAAATTTCCGAGGACAAGTGCCGTTGTGACTTATTTATGCCTTGTTAATTTATACCAGTCCTTGAGTATCATGGCTAACTTTCTTTGGATTTGAGCCAATATATTTGCATTAAGTATGTTGTGTAGAATTTACATAAGACTGTAAGGAGAGCCCTGTTGGATCAGGCCAAAGGCCCAATCTAGTCTAACATCCTATTCTTTCAGTGGCAAAAAAAGGGCCACAATGGGAATTCCATAAGCAGCACTCGAGTACAACAGCACTGAGCCTACTTTTGACTCCCAGCAACTTGTATTCTGGGGCAGAACACAGCTGTCATAGCTAGTAGCCATTGATTGCCTTATCCTCCATTGAAAGTCTTCTCCCCTTTAGAAGCCATCCAAAGAGTGGCCTCTACAATGTCTTGTGAGAACGAATTCCATAGTTTTAACTATGCGCCGGATTGAAGATGTACTATCTTTTCCCTTTCCTGATTCTTCCAAAATTTTAACAGCTAGCATATGAATTAGTTCTGTGCAGCATATTTATGAAGTTAAAAAGGATAAATTATTTTGCTGTACTAAAAAAAATAATCACAAAGATAAAGTCAAGGTAAGCGATAAAAGTTGCAAGGAGCTGCACACTTAAGATGCTAGGCATATCTGGGTTTTTTAGAATTGAAAATAGGAACCACCAAGGCTTTGGTTAAAGAAGAAGAAACAGTAACAGTATCTTATTTAGGTTATAAATAGTATGAAAGACCACAATATTATCATACAAAAAAGGGAAACTTGTGTTCTAAGACGAAAAGTTTGAAAATGAACATGCCTGGAATGAAATGAACATGTCAATTTAGCAATCTAAAATAAAATATATATTCAATTCAATTCAGTTATGGTAGGACAGAAAATGGGAAGTTTTAAATTAGACTTGGTTACAATGTTTATGATATAACTTCAGTATTAACTGATACTGGTTTTTTCTAGAGGGCTGCAACAGTTAAGTTAATTGCTTAGATTAATTGATTATAAAAGCTTTTTGATCAACTAAAAAGGAGCCCCTAAGTAATTGGGTAGTCATTTAATCTTACAATAATTTCTAATGCAAGCTCTTCTATAGATGGAAAGTGCCATTTCAGAAGAACCATGATGCCTGCTGTCCATTCTCTAAAACTGCTGTGCATTATATCTAATACAAGTATATGGGCATCTTTGGGCTTCCAGATGTTGTTGGACCACAACTCCCATCATCCCTGACCAACATATGGAGGGCCACAGGTCCCTCATCCCTGCTCTAGTCTAAAGCATTTATGGCATATTCACTGAGCTCAGTTTCTCCCATTCACTATCAGGGTCAGTTCTAAGTTTAGATCACCATCCGTGATCATTGGCCATGCTGGCTGATCTAATGAAATTTGGGGTCCAACAGCATGTGGAGAGCCACAGGTTACCCCACCCTGAACTAAAAAGAATGTATGTTTTTTTCTTTAGAAAACTTTAGAAACTTGTAATCTGTGACACTTTAAAAAGTGACATTCCTTCATTCTTTAAGGTGTCACAAGATACACTGCTGTTTTTGCAGTAACAGCATTTAAGCAAGGCATCTCTAGAAATCCATGCAATAAAAATTCATAAAATTGACTAAAACAACTTTATTTGGGTGACAACCCCAGTTTTCTTCCACCCTAGAGTTTACTAGGGTGTTAACTTCAAAATTATTTTGATACCTGGGTTCAACCCTAATGTCAAGCCCAGAAAAATACAATAATTTTCCTTTGATTTTGTCTGTGGCTCCCTTCCCTCACTGATTGCATTCTTGTTTTGCAATATCTGTATGGGTTGGGCAAAACATTTCTCCTTAACTCCAATGAAAGCGGAAGTCAGGATGGACTAGATTAATTGGGGATTGTTTTTAGCTATTTTTTTGACTCAAGATTAAATGCTGTTCATATCCCATTGCTGTTGCAAGTCTACAAAAGCCTGGCTGGCAGTGAATGTCATGTGACTATTTGTGTAATTATTATCATCACATGATGAGAAGCAAAATATTATATGGGCCACTGTATATAAAAGTAGATGAGAGCTAGTTTGAAAAACGTCACCCCTCCAAAAAGTATGTGTGTGTGTGCGCGCACACACATACACACACACACACTTGATGGGGAGGGCTTTTTCAAACTGCCCCTCGTCCACTTTTTCTCCCTGTCTCAAGGTGGATATTAGTGGTGTTTATTACAAAGCTAGTTACCCAACTAATTATTGAAAATAAAGACATCGGTATTAGCATTACCCCTATTATGACCTCTGTTGTGCCAAACTTAAAATTCTGTTTCCAGTTCAAACTCACCTGCATCTTTACAAAGTAATGATGTGGGCGGTTCTCTTAAAAGGATCTTCTGTAAGTATAAAGTGTGGAAACGCATGTGAAGGTATAGATTAATTTCATTCAAAATAATTATACCACATTCTTCCCCAACCTGGTGCTCTCCAGATGTTCTCTCTCTCTCTCTCTCTCTCTCTCCTCCCCTTTCCTGCTTCCAGGCTTCTTCCATCTTAATATCTATCTAGACCATTACACACATTAAGCTTCCTTTCTTTGCACATATGTATATCACTGTGTATCTTGCCAACACATTAGTTTCTTCCTAGGTATTCAGGGTGGCTGTTATTGCTTACTTTAATTCATTTGGACTGCTTGCTTTCTTAATTCAGAACTCAACAAGTTTACCCTGAAACAAAGGCCCACTTGCAGCTTTGTAGGCCAGCATTTTATCCAGTTCTACTTTCAAAGTAAAAACGTTCCTTCTTGCACTTCTGACCGCTTTCCTGTGGGTTTCCTAACCACACACCCTCTTCCTTAGTTCTCTCTCTCCTGCTGTTCAGCTTCACCTTCAGATAGTCCTTTTGAACTTGTTTTCCAAAAAAAATCACCCCACAAAACAAAACGAAGAACACCCCCACTTCCCGCTCTTTGGGAAAAGTCTGTGCTCTACATTTTGATGAGTCCTGCTTCCCTCCCCAGCCTTATTTGCAAGAAGTTTGTATTTTAAGAGACCCAAAATTGCCCACTGCAGCTTGCTACTGGTGCGAAGGCTGCATCCCTCTCTGAATTAGGATAAAATAATTTCCCATTTAAGAAATACCGTATGACTGCATATGGCTGAGAATTTCACCATTGCTGATAACAGATTTTACAGCAAATTCAGAAGTGGGGAGCATTTCCAGTTCAATAACTGAAGAAGTAGCACAAACGTTTGGTCTGTCAAATTACTGGAATTGGAACCACCAAGTCTGGCTTGATCAGGAAAACACCAGTCTGTGTTCTATTCATTGCACCACATTTTAACAGTTCTATTCATTGCACTGCATTTTAACAAGAGTGATCTAACACTTCCCCCTTTCCTTTTAAAGAGAGTTGGATTATACTGCAGCAATATTGTAGGCATGAAAGCCTTTGCCCCTTCTGCAAAATATGCTTTCCTCTTTGTGTTAACCATCAAGTTCTCATAAAAAGAATGGCAACCATGTTATGTTTTAATCTTCCTAAAAATATATAATAATAAGCCAAGATTTCTGTCTCTCCTCCTCCTCTGAATATGTTTCATATTAATAGGCTTCAACACAAAGCACTGAATGACAGATTTATTTAAAACAGGGTTTGTAAAATTCCCTGATATTTACTACCCCTATCGGATCTTTTCTGCTCTTAACATTACCCCATCTCCTACAATATAAGCATGCATCTGGGTTCATTCCTACATAACAGGGGGTTACAGCCCTTCACGATTCTATTCTTCAGAGGTTCAAAGCACCAGGCATTGGTACTTGCCATACTACTGTCACATTCTCTTCTGTCACACGACAAGTTTGTATAGCAGGGTATGTTTTGGTTAGTAAAGTTCAGCAATAATCTCTCCTTGCTTTCGTTAAGCAATTAGCACAGACATCTCCTGTCTGATTTCACCACCTCTTCTGAGGAGTGGACTACGTTTGGGACAAACCCACTCTTCACCCCTTCCCAGCCCTCCTGGATAGTAATTTCGCCTCTCTTAACAAGCTCATATATGTCTCGAGTCAGGTCGGTGAAAGCTTTTTCCACATTAATGGCATCCCGGGCGGAGGTTTCAATGTACTTCATGCCATAAGCAAGGGCCAGTTTTTCAGCCTCGTGCCGGGTGACTTGCCGCTGAGTGTCTAGGTCGCATTTGTGGCCCACCAAAACGAACACGATCTGGTAAGGCTGGACGTGCGCTTTGGTCTCCTCTAGCCACTCGTGAACATTCTGGAAGGACCTGCGGTTTGTAATGTCAAAGAGGAGCAGACCGCCAACTGAGTTCCTGTAGTAGGCTCTGGTAATTGATCTGGAAGAGAGCAGCAGCCCAAGGAAGGAAATGAGAATCATTTTCAAGAGGAAAACGCTGGTGGCAAAGGCTGGTTTCGAGCATCTGAAATAGCCAGTTAGGTGCAAATCCACCCAGAACACAGCCCTTTTGTGCTACACAGCAAAATAAAGGGGGTTTGTACAAGACAACACAAAGATTCTCTGCCCCACCATCTTTTTCTCTTAGACAGTCTGCAAAGTTGTTTGTCTGTGCATTATGAATCTGGACACCTCTTAAGATATTATGTCCAAAAGTTGCATGATGGTTGCTAAGACCAAGGAGCAGGTTTTCTATGTTTGAATACAATATAGAATCAAGAAGACTTACTGAACCTTTCAGAACTGTATTGATTTAAAAAATAAATAAATTCAAGAGCAACACAGGGTTTGCGGTGGTTAGTACTTTTATCTTTCAATGGGCAGTCTAGAAACTGATTCTAGAAAGTGTCTGGATTCTACTCCAATGTCACTGTTGCCATAAGACATTGGAAAATGTGACTGTTTCATTCCCTCTATAACCACTTTTTTTTTGTTTTACTTTTCATCTGTCCCAAGCCTGCTCTGCACAGGCCACATCTACTATTTTGCAAAGTAAAAAATATCCCAGATTTTCCTAAGTAGCAGTTTCCTCATTTATAAAATCTCAGCTGAACAGGTGATGAGAAAGAGGACCAGTAATCGCTGATCAATTTCAAACCAGCAACGCCCCAAATAAGGTGTACAATTGGGGGGGTATACCCTCACTACAGAAATTGGACCATTTGCTTGGGTACCATGTGGGCTGTAACATACAATGTATGTATTGGGCTGGAGGAAAGAGAAGGAATGGATGTATGGATGCAATTTATATGTGTTTGCAGAATCACACGGTAACTCTGTCTGGGCTATACCGCTCCAAGTTGCAGGTATGAAGCTGTATATCTTAATGCTGCTCTGTTGTTGTTGTTTTATTATTATTAATTGAATTTCTATACCTCCCTTCATCCAAGGATCACAGGGTGGTTTACACAAATATTCACACCATAGTAACAAACAATAAACCCCCTGTTGTGGTTTAAAAGGCCACAGATTGTTTAACTAGCGAAAGGTCTAATTACTCAATGCCCACCCCATATAATATTTCCCTTTTCCCTGATATACTAGATTTCTACATGTGAGAGAACTTCTTGCTTTTATTACTTGTGTTGGGGGTGCAATATTGTTAACTACATTTACATTCCACCCACCTCCAAGGAGCAGAAAAAAAGGAAAATGAATCTTGCCCTCTGCTTTATCCTCATTAACAACCTTGTGAGGTAAGTTAGGCTAGGAGACTGTGACAGACTCAAGGTGACCCAGTGAGTGGAGATGTGAAGCCTGGTGCTCCAAAGCCTAAGCCCATCACCTCATGTTGGCCCCGCGTTCAAACATGCCAACCCCCACATGCAATCTGAAATTTAGGGACATAAAAATTTAGGGACATAAGAAGCTGCTGCCTTATATCATGGCTGACCACCAGTCCACCTGCCTCAGTATAGTTCACACTGAGTGGCAGTGCCTCTTCAAGGTTTCAAACAAGAGTCTTTCTCCAGCCCTACCTAGACATTGAACCGGGGACCTTCTGCATGAGATGCAGATAGCTTTGTCACTAGATTCCGCCATAGGCCTAAACAGGGCAATAAAGTCTTGGTGTTTCTCCCAGCAGGCTCTGCTTCCACTAAACTGATGGGCCAAGAGTCGGCTAGTTCAAGTCATCCTCAAAATATATGGAGAGACTAGAGTCACTTGGAGGTATTTGTAAACAAAACTCTTGACAATGCATACCCCGTCACCCCCCTCACTGCATGTGGTATACAGAGGTTGGCTAGGTTTTAGGAATTGGCAAGTGAATGGTGTATATAGAATACTCAATAGACTCCTAGGTTCCACACATCTCTATGAATCTAAGGAGATGTCCAAAGGTGCCCTTTTGCATGCAGAAATTGTATTCTGGTCAGGGAAGCTTTGCTTTTCATGAGCCTTCCATAACCTAGAGCTTTCTGGATGTTACTACACTTCAGCTCCCAATAGCCCCAGCCATCATGGCCAATGGTGAGTGATGATGGGAGCTGTAGTCCCAACAATGCTTGAAGGGGACCGGGGGGTGGGATGGGGAATGGAGCAGAAAACTCCTTATGTCCTTATTTTTTCATTTAGTACACAAATAGTTTGTGAAACCTGCTGCCGAATGATGGGGTGATGGCTTTAAGCAAAGCAATGGTTTTCAACCAGTGTGCCGTGGGGTGCCTTGAATGATGGCCAGGGATGCCCCAGGCAAAACTGGCCTCAGACCCTCTTTCCTTCCCCCTGATGCCTAACTATCTACCAGTCAGTTGCTAATCTCCCTTTCCTGGGCAAGGTTCTGAAGCGAGTGATCACAGACCAGATCCAGGTGCTTTTGGAAGAAGCTGATTTTCTGGATCCATTTCAATTGGGGTTTAGGCCTGGATTTGACACAGAAACTGCTTTGGTTGCCCTGTATGATGACCTCTGTTGAGAGAGAGAGAAGGGAAACATGTCTCTTCTTGACCTCTCAGTGGCTTTCGAGACCGTTGACCATGGTATCCTTCTGGAGTGACTATCTGAACTAGGGGTGGGTGGCACCGCTTTGCGGTGGTTCCAGTCCTACTTGAATAGTTGTTCCCAGAGGGTGTTGCTTGGGAAATGCTTTTCAACCCAGTGGAACCATCAATGTGGGGTTCCGCAGAGCTCAATCCTATCCCCAACATTGTTTAACATCTACATGAAACTGCTGGGTGGGGTTATCTGGAGGTTCGGAGTATGTTGTCAGCAGTATGCTGATGACACTCAGCTCTATTTCTTCTTTACATCTGCAGGTGAGGCAGCAGAAGTGCTGGACCAGTGTCTTGCCTTGGTAATGGACTGGATGAGATCCAACAAACTGAAGCTCAATCCAGATAAGACTGAGGCAGTTAGTGGGTGGTTCCCTAGACCAGATTGGTGGGAAGTCGCCTGCTCTTGATGGGGTTACAATTCCTCTGAAGGAACAGGTTCATAGCTTGGGGGTCCTCCTAGATCCTTTGCTGTCACTCAAGGCTCAAGTGGCCTCAGTGGTCCAGAGTGCCTTCCATCAGCTTCAGCTGGTGGCTCAGCTACACCCCTATCTGGGCAGGGATAGCCTAACTACTGTTGTCTATGCTCTGGTAACCTCAGGGTTAGATTAATGCAGTGTGTTATATGTAGGGCTGCCTCTGAAGATAGTTCGGAAACTTCAGCTAGTGCAGAATTCAGCAGCCAGGTTGCTCACCGGAGCAAGACAGTTTGAGCATATTACGCCGATTCTGGTCCGACTGTACTGGCTACCAATTAGTTTCATGGGCCCAATTAAAAGTGCTGATTTTGACCCATAAAGCCTTAAATGGTTCAGGACCGCAATACCTCAAGAACTGCCTCTTTTCATATGAACCTACCTGGACCATGAGATCATCTTCTGAGACCCTCCTTTGTGTGCCCCCTCCTCGAGAGGTCCGGAGGGTGGCAACATGAGAAGAGGCCTTTTCTGCAGTGGCTTCCCATCTGTGGAATGCTCTCCCCTGGGATGTTCATCTTCATTATACACCTTTAGGTGCCAGGCAAAAACATTCCTTTTTAACCAGGCCTTTGGTTGATCTGATTGACATCCTATGCCCTTTTAAAATGTGGCTCTTTTCTTGGGGGGAGGGGTGTTATTGGGTTGTTGATTTTATTTTGATTATATATATTATGTGTTTTATGTTGATCTTGTTCTGTTAACCACCCTGAGACCTCTGGGTATAGGGTGGTATAATAATAATAATAATAATAATAATAATAATAATAATAATACCCTCTCGTGTCTCTGCCTCCCAAACAGCTTGCACAGCTGTTTGTTGCAGCAGCCCTGGCTACAAGCTCCCCAGGTGAATGGTGCCTCTGAGGCTGGTCAGGGGGTGCTGGTTGCCAGGAGCTGAGGCGGCCTCGGAGTAAGCAAGCAAGTGGTTGAGGGAGCCCAGCCAGCCAGTCCACCAACCCTTGCTGTTGGGAATGGACAGACACGTCCCAGGCCCCTGTGGGGCAGTGTGAGGAGCCACCTCTCTTTGGAACAGGGAGGGGCAGCAGAAGCTTCCCGGGGGACTCCCAAGGAGATGGGAGAGGAGAGGAGGCTGAGGGGACACTCTACAATGGAGGGTGTTCCAAAAAGTGTGAGAAGCTGCCAGTTCTGCAGGCAAGGGATGACATTACTGGGCTCCTGAGCCCCACAGGGGTGCTGCAGAAAGAATGTAGTTGGTCAAGGGAGCCATGGACTCAAACAGGCAGAAAACCTCTGCATTAAGGGGGTTAGATAAGTTGATGAAGGATAAGTATAGCCAAGATGGCTCTTTGCAACTTCCAGGTTCCCAGCACTATGGCACTTAGTGTTGTCTACTGGGGATAGTGGGTGCTTGCCTTTAGTCTGTGCTTGAAGGCTTCCCAGATGCATCTGACTGGCTACCATAGGAACCAGGAAGCTGGACTGGATAGGCCTTTGATATAATCCAGACTAAGTACACCAGAGAGCTGTGCACTGCAAGTGGAAACCATGAGATTTAAATCAAATAATAATGGGACAGCCCAAGACTAGAAATCAGGGTCCAAGAGGAAGGTGACTCAAGAGAGCATCTGTTAAGACCAGCAGCACAGCTGGAATGGTCACAGCATGTCATGTGATTTCTCGGGGAGTAGGGAAACAACATTTTTATTCTTTATTCTTTTTTGGCATTCAGTTCAATTGCACTCCTTTTCTGCTTTTCCATCTGCCCCATCATTTATTTCAATGGGAGACCCAGTAGGTCTTCTGCTGCTTCTAACTTCTGTCTTTTTCATCCTAATGTCATGCAGTTTTCAGGCATTCTGCCACCTCTTCACCTCACCCACCCTAAGCATCAGACTTGCTAATCTTCAGACAGATTGGACAGGTTATCTATTTTAGAGATTTAAAATATATATATATATCTGTCAGTTTCCCCGCTCTCTGTCCCCATTCTTCTCTATAACCTTTCTCTGACCTGCACTATTTCTTCCCCAGGCTGTTTTCTATATTTCATCCAAACCAGGGGGGGGGGCAACTTGAATAAAATATGGGGGGGCAGTTAAGTGCCACCCCACATAATTGATCACATGACATGGCACCCCCCCATTTGAATGGCAATACCACTCATCTTTGTGAAGTGCCAGCACCCCATAATATTTCATTGGGTGTGTGTGTGTGAAGGGACCTTGGCCCCTAGGAGTTATGTCCTATGATCCCAACAGAAATGAATGACGAATGAACCAAACAAATTAAATAAAAATATATTTCTGAGCTCATTTTCTTGAATTTCCATCTGTTTCCATAACTAAAGTGAATTGGAAGAATGGGACTTGTTTTTTCATTAAAAAAATGAATTCAACCCTTGGTGATCCTAAATGGAAACAGTCTAATTAAGCATCCTGCAGCGTAATCGCTGGTGAAACAAAACCATTCTTTCTCATGTAGCAACTGGAGATTGGCTTCATCCTTGTCCAAATGTAGCTCATGTGTAGAGGGCAAGCAAAATTCCTAAATTCCTCCTCTAGGCCTTGCCAGAAATGGAGGGGAAGCATGCAAGCCTGTGAGAGGCTTGTTCCCAGCATAATAAATAGCTTATCACAATGTCTGAATGCAGCAGCGTTACAAAGTCACAAGATATATTAAGCTGAAGGTTTATTAGTTTTGTGGGCACTAAAAACTTGACACTGGAGGCCAATGTGCTGTTCAAATCCCCACACAGCCATGAAACTCATTGCGTAACTTTGGGCTAATCATTCTCTCAGGCTAGCCTACCTTGTTGGGTTGCTGGGTGGATAAAATGGATGAGAGGACAGAACTGGCTTAGAACTCCTTGGAGGAAATGTGGGATACAAATGTAATAAAGAATTACTGAACTTTTCCGTATATAAGACTAGGTGTTTTTTTTTACTAAAAAACTAATGTTAAAAAGGGGGGGTAGTCCTATACACAAGGGCAATCTCCCCCCATTTTCTTAATTTTGTGTTCCCAAAAATAGGGGGCATCTTATACACGGGGGCGTGTTATACACGGAAAAATACAGTAGCTTGCTTTCACCTAAGAGAATGGAGACACCACGTATACAGAAGCAATTATACATCCACACCCAGGTTTATTGGGGAGGGGGCGTGGAAAAATGAGATGGTGCACAGTTTCCTTCCTTCCTTCCTTTATGTAGGGTCAGAAATGGGTGGAGAAGTGCAATTTTAGTGAGAGAAGGTTGCTTTGTCCCTCATAAACACATTTTTCAATCATGGGGCAGGAAAAAGGACAGGAGGGGCATCTGCTGACTGGGCAACATTTAGTCTGCAAATCACATGTTGCTCCCTCAAGCCAGTTTGGTGCTTGGCTGCCTGCTCTTGACGTAGCTCTGAGATTCAGCATCCAGGAACATAGCTTAACATTTTATAGTTCTTGTGGTTAGTTATGGAGAAAGATTTGGAAACGTGTTGGCCAAATAGTTTAGCAAGGGTGTTGTGGGGAGGAAAGCGACCACAATCCACAAAGTCCTCATGGTGACACAATTTCAGAAGTCGTTATATCCTCAAGGCCTTGTTCAATGAGTAGCTCATGTATGTGCATATCAGGTGCGGGAAACCTTTGGCCCTCCAGAACTTGCTGAACGACAAGTCCCATCACCCCCATCCACTGGCTGATGGGAGCTGTAGTTCAGTGACAGCTGGAAGGCCAAATGTTCCTCACACCTGGTGTCTATTAAGAATGGACCTAGATGTTTTTACAGGCATGTGGTACAGTACTCTCAAGGGAGGGGGCTGTACCACTTGGGAAGACACACTGAGAATCTTCTGTTTGAAGGCACCACTGCATCAAAGCTCCTTGACGCATGTGGAAAGCCTGCATATGAGATACCCAGTGGCCTGGTTTTCTTCTCTCTTTACATTAGGAGACTCTTACTTGGGCAGGTGGGACAGGGAAGCGAAGCCCGACCCTGAGAAATTGTTAAGGCCAGAGTGTCTTTCTTCCTGTCCAAGATTGGACAGGAAGCTTGTGGCTTAAAAATCTGCACTGTGGGAAAGTTTTCTTGAATAAATCTAGTACAAAACCTCTGCAGTATCAGCCCAGACATGGAGCATGGAGAGTGAAGGGAAGGGCTGGAGCTCAGCAGCAGAGCTACCAGAAGACCCCAGGCTCTGCAGGTAGGGCTGGGGAGACCCCTGCCTGAAACCTTGAAGAGCCACTGCCAGTCAGTGTGGACAACATGGAGCCAAATGGACCAATATTCTGGCTCGGTAGAAGGCTGCTGCTTATGTTTCTTTGAGAGGAGGGGCGCTCCTCAGCAGCCTTTGTTGTGCTTCTGGCTCCCTTCAGGATTCAATGAACAGCTGTTAGGAGGATAGGGGTGAGGGAGGGGAGGAAGCTGGGTGTTGTTGTGTGACCTGCTGTGAGATCGCACTTGGAACCCGGACCCCACCCACCCCAAGGCCCCCCACCCGCAGCAAGGTGTCTCTTCTTCCCTCCTACTCTGGCTCCTCCATCTTCAACGACAAAGCAAAATCAAACCGCCACCCAGCCGTCCGGATCTTCCACCATCCTTCACAATGAAGGCTGTTTTGCAGAAGAGCAAAGATGTTTATGATGGTGGCGGGGGTTAAAAGGGACAGAACTCGGGGCGCAGTTGCAGCCTCCGCCGCGCCGACCTGCCACTCGCCCTCCATCCGCACACGACATCCACCCCCCGGTCCCCAAGCCCCATCCTCAAAAGTGGCTCCTCCTCACCTGAATCTCTCCTGTCCGGCGGTGTCCCAGATCTGCAGCTTGATTCTTTTGCCTGGCTCTATCTCCACCAAGCGGGAGAAGAAATCCACACCCACGGTGGGGTCGGAGACTTGGGCGAAGCGCCCTTCGGTGAAGCGGCGGATGAGGCAGGATTTGCCCACGGTGGAGTCCCCGATGACGATCAGGCGGAACTGGTAGAGCCAAATGGCCTCCATGCTCCACCTTCCCCAGGCGGGGTAGCTCCGGAGCCGGCGCTTGGTGGTGGTGGTGTCGGTGCCGCCGCCGCTGCGTCTTCGCCCCCGGAGAGACCAACCACGCGGATGCCGGAGGCGCAGCGTCTTCCGTCGAGGCACACAAGCTTGGCGCAGGGAAGCAGGAGCGAGCCTAATACAAGCCTTTCATACCCGACCCAGGAGGGTCCCCCGCCACCTCTAGCAACTCGAGGCTGCGCTCCCGGCGGCCCGCAAGGCGGATGGGGCGCCGCGTTGGAGAGCGAGGACTGGTTGAGGAGCGCGCCGGCGCGCACGCACCGGCCACTGGGCGGCGTTCCTCTTCCGTCCCCTTTTGCGGCTTCTTCTCGTCTCCTGGGAGAGCGAGCGAGCAGGGGAGAAAAAGGGGGAAGCGACGCGGTCCTTGTCGCAGGAGGTCTTCTCTGGAGGAGGAGGAAGAGGGGCAGGTCCTACAGAACGTGGCCGCGTGGGAGTAGACTCCTAGGCTGGTGCTGCCGGAGTTCTACACACACACACACACACACACACACACACACACACACACACACTTCACAAATGTTCCCGCTGAAAGTGGACGGAAAGGTCAGGGGGTTTGAGACTCCCCACCTAAGCGCCTTCTCTCCCCTTCCCTCGAGCCAAAGCAGCACATTTCTTTTAAGCAAGACAATAACAACGCATCCTTTCTGACCGTCAGCCCGTCACACCGCTCAGCCGAAGAGCCGCCCCTCTCATTTTTGCCAAGGAAGGGGTCTTGCCGTTTGCAATGACAGAAAACGCGCGCGCGCCCCTCCTCTCCTCTTTCTCAAGCCCTTGGCTTCGGTGGTGGTGGGTTGCTGTTCTTGTTTAGTTCTTGTTTCTTTGTTTTTACCCCAAGCCCCCACAAAAGGCTCTCAGCAAGACGACCTCCTGGCTGCTGTCTCAGCGCTCCCCCAGGGATCCGCCAGGCAACCGGTCCTCGGAGAGCTGCAGGAGGAAGGCTCTTAGGAATATTGTCCTCAAACAAGGCTCCATCCTCCACCTAAGGCAGGCCGGATGCTCCAAGCCCGTCCGGGCCTTCTTACGAGGCACAGGGGAGCGAAGGACCTGGCAAGGCAGTTACCTTGAAGCTTTCCGTCGGAAATATGTCAGGAGGAAGGAGGGATGCTTCTCAAGGACATCTGGTTAGCACCAGGTGGGTTTCGTTTGCCTCCAAGAGAGTAGAGAACATCCACCTTCCTGTTTGCGTTCTGAACCCCCCCCCCCGGAAAAAAAAGATACCCAGCGCTTCAAAGATGGAGGGGCAGCGAAGGGGAGAGATGCAGGCGAGATCACAGAACTGATGAAATGGCAGCAGCATCAGCACCAAACAGTCTGACTCATCATTGGCATCAGCAGCTTACTGTACTGCCCAGAAGAGAGGAGCCTGCAGGATATTGTTGGTTTTGCCGTTACCACATTGTTTAGAAGTGAAGCGCCCTTAAAATAATAAAACTCAGACAACCTCTCCCAACAAAGAATAAGATCTCTATAAAAACAAAAACACCCCCCCCCCCATTTGCTAACAGATCAGCTCCGGAGAATCAAGAGTCACGGAGAGCAAAGCAGAGGTTGAGACTGGCAACTATGCCCGGTGTAGAATTAATAATAATTGAGTGACTAAACCACGCACAGCCCGCTCAAGATAGGAATAGTATGCAGTTCAATGGCGCTGGGCTGTAAGACACAAACCATTCTGCCGGTCACTTTTATGGCTGAATTTACTTGAGCGGGCTGTGCTGCACGTTGCACTGTGAGATAGGTAAGAATAATACTAAAAAAAAAATTCATACCAGATACAAATAAAACAACAAAAACCAATGTCCACAACAAATTAGCAAATCGAGCAATAAGCCTTCAACAGCACAGCCTCTGTACCTCCCCACCCCCAATAAATTGGTCCCAAGTAAATGGGCATAGGATTGCAGACTAGAACTTTAATGCAGATTAAACATAGCCATTAAAAATGGCTGGTAAATAAAAATGTAGATTGTAATCCTGTAGGCAAAGGACTGTGTTACCATTTTGTTTGGAAACCTTTATCCAGTATTAAGCAATGCTGAGATAGATGGATCAGTGGTCAGATTCCCTATAAGGCTCCTTATAAGCCATGTTTCGACTCATGCTTGAAACATTAGTGTTGGTTTAATTAATTAAATTAAATTAAATTAAATTGGTTTTAAAATTAAATTGGTTTTACTTTTACTCTTTTTAATACCTGTTTTTAAATTTTAATTCTGATGTTTTTATATCCTTAGAGATGTTTTATCTGCTTGGAGATTTGCTGCTTGTTTGTTTTTGAAATCAAGCAATATTATATATGTCGTCTACCTCCTGGTGCATCTGTAGGCACTGAATGCAGCCTTTGAGCTAATGAAACACAGGAACCTGCCTTACACAGAGTCAGACTACTGGCCAATCTAGATCAGGAAGGCTGTGCTGACAGTAGATGCCCAAGATGACACCTGCGTGCAAAGCAAGATCTAAGCCCCTTCAACCCCCTTTGCTTCCTTTTGAGAAGCCTGGGTGTTCTTGATTCTAAGCACTGCCCTCCCCCCTTTTTTGTGACACCATAATATCAGCACATTTTTGCCAAATGCCCCAAAGTGAGCATGTCTTCGTGCTGATGCAGGCTGGGATTTAACTCCCTAGGGATTGCCAGCATTTTTACGGTCACAGGCAGAAATGAAAAATAAAATAAAATGCTAATTTCCCCCATCATCACATCTCCATGGCAGAATAATGTTCACATGTTGATTTATACTTCTGTCCACTTAAAGAAGCAGCAGCTGATGCTACAGGGTAATTATAACAGCGGTTTGGCCCAATGGAAGCTGTAAGGAAGAAAGAGTAAACACACCAACCCGCCCCAAACCCAAAGCTGCTTAGGTCTTCTGTGGCCATTTGGGAACACAAACAAGCATTTCATTTTAAATTCAAGAACCTCGTCCTTAAGAACTATTAGGAATTTGACTTTATTTAAATCGTACGCCACTTCTTGTTGTTGTTTCTACATATGATCCCGAGAACACTTATACGTAAGAAATTATCATTTTAAAACACTACACATTTTAAAACATCTACACAAAGGTAAAAAGTACCCTCTGAGCTATATCCAGGAAGGTTCATTCAGTGCCATGTCCTGTAAATTTACGTGTCAGCATTTAACCATGATTATAGAATTGATAAGACAGAGTTCAGCAGCTCATTCTTACATGAATTAGAGATCCAAAGATTAAGCGGCAATAGTTAAATCTCATTACATGATCTCATTATGGATTTTGCTATCTAAGGCACTGGGAGATTTAGCAGTTACCTCTTCTGGGCTGGGGCAGAAGGATTTTTGCATAATGGGGGGGGGGAACAGGATATATTGCATTTCTGCATACTTCAATCAATCAATCAATCAGTTGGTCAGTATGTCAAATGTGGATTACATTCAACTAACCATTAAGCAAAGTACAAACTATGAAGCAGGCAGAAATCATGGCCTGAATAGAACTGATCATTATATTAAAGTTGACAAGCTAAGGAGTCATAGCAGGTCTAAAAGATATTACAGCATTTAGATATCTTGCCACCTGGTTGGTCACAAATATCTTAAGCCCCTCAAAGAAGATACTCATAGGGGCTTTAAGGCTTGACTAGGACAACACCTCATAAAGGAATAAATAATGCATTATCTTCCCCTTGATAAGATCTACAGTAAAAGACAATGTAAGAGATGATTTGAGCTGAATATTTACAGGCCAACAATTACAGGCCAACAGGATTTGAGATGAGTGTTTACAGGCCAACAATGACCTTGGAAAGTTCTACATACTTCAAAATGAATGCAGATCCAGGAGTACTATCCCCATAGCTGCATTCTCAGCTGCCTGAGTAAGAAGACCTTCCATGTTGCGTAGTGGTTAGGACAGTGGTAACCCACATGGTATGTTGCTGCACTCCAACTCCCATCAGCCAGCATGGTCAGGGATGATGGGATTTGTGGTCTAGTATTCACCTGAAGGGCACCATATTGGCTATTCCTAGGTTAGAGTACCATGCCAGGACTGAGCCTTAGAGTCCATTGGGTGAAATTGGGCCACCCATTAACTCTCAGTGGCAAAATGTCCCAGGCTGGCCCTGCCTATTGGTCAGCCTGGCTTTTAGCAGGGTTTAGCTTTTGACCAGGAACTCTATAATGCAGCAGATCCCAGCAGGGCTTGCTATGTGCCTCACTTGCCAAGGACTATAGAGAGGTTTTTTTTTAAACTGTGGTATCCAACTAATGATAATCTTTGTGCGTACTTGCATAGTATAACTTTCTCTCCCTCTCCTCCTTTTGCCCCCATGCTGTCTCCAGATCTGCTCTTGAGGGCTGTGGGGGGAAACCTAGAACAGATTTAGGAAGGCATGGGTTGTGCAGGCAGAGGAAAGAGGGGGCAAGTTCCATTGCACAATCAAAAGTGCCGATGCTGCTGCAGCTGCTTCACTGGATCTTGCCCAGAGGCTCCCAATCATAGCTTTGTGGTTGTGTTTGCACCTCCTCCGTACCTGATGTCATGTGATGTCAGGAGTGGGCAGGTGGTGAATTCCTTCAATATATACACCAACTGTGATGTCTGAGGTGACTTTATTTGGTCAGAACAGCAGCCGCTCATGGGGAACCCAAGAAAATGGGAGTACATAGGTTTATAAATTACACAGGCTTATATAGAGGCAAAGGGATGCGGGTGGCACTGTGGGTTAAACCACAGAGCCTAGGACTTGCCAATCAGAAGGTTGGCGGTTCGAATCCCCGCAACGGGGTGAGCTCCTGTTGCTTGGTCCCTGCTCCTGCCAACCTAGCAGTTTGAAAGCATGTCAAAGTGCAAGTAGATAAATAGGTACCGCTCCGGCGGGAAGGTAAACGGTGTTTCCGTGCTCTGCTCTGGTTCGCCAGAAGTGGCTTAGTCTTGCTGGCCACGTGATCCAGAAGCTGTACGCCAGCTCCCTCGGCCAATAAAGCGAGATGAGCGCCGCAACCCCAGAGTTGGCCACGACTGGACCCAATGGTCAGGGGTCCCTTTACCTTTATATAGAGGCAAAACTTTGGGGTCTGAATTCAGTGTGTGCATCCTAACACTTTGCTAATTGTATTACAAATAAGTTGTTTCCGATTTAAATAATACTTTGCATTTATTTCACGCACTGAAACACTATGCATCCTCCCATGTTTTCTGATCACTTAGAAACTGCAGTTCCCACCCCACCCCAGCCCCCAGCCTTCCTTTGTTCTCTGAGTGCCAGAAATTTAATTAAGAAGCAAGCAATCGTGAAAGCTGATCCTTGGCATTTTATGAAAACCACCACATGGTGTAATAAAAGCTATGATCAGCTCAAGTGGGCATGTCTGTACGCATTAGAGGCTTAAAACACAAGGAGGTTGTTTCCCCACCCCCCTTCCTGATTCAAGTCTCATATATACTTTGCTGTACACACCAGAGAGGAGGTGAAGATGTCTTCAGTCAATGCATATCACCAGTTTGATTCCCCCGTGCCTGCAACCCCCTAAACTCCTATTCAGGGCTTATCTGCATTTATCTTTCCTCTGCGATTTCCAGACATGGTCCACATTTTAGAGCTCTGTGTCTGAGCACTCTCTCTCTCTCTGCTCTGGAGCTTTCTCTGTGAAAACCTGCTCTTTACCCCTGAATCTGCAGAAAACTCGAATTGCCATTTGTTGCACTTCAGTTTTTAAGACCAGGTTTCTGCGAGGAAAGCTCTGTGGCGAAAAGCCCTTAATGAAGCTGTCGTTTGCACATGTGCAACAACTGTCTCAAATGCACACCACCTCAGCTGAACCACAGTCAACACTTTCAAATCACTTGACAGCTGGTCTGTGGAAAAAACACACCTAACAGCAGTATTTGCCAAGAAACCAAAGGGTGCTTGTGGATGGTTGCTAACGTCATGTGCAATTGTCTCCACACACCTGTGGTGGAAGCACATTAGAGTCAGAGTAAATGGTAATGTGCACACAGCTTGAAACCCTAGTTTCTTGGAACTCTTTGTCATACATCTTTATAAACAACCCTTGTTTCAAAGGCATACCTGTTGTATTAAAGTATTTATCATTTGAGAGAGGAACTGCCAGCTGGAAAGGAACCGGGCACTTTGGGTCTAATTCTGTTAACAAATTGTAACCGTACAGCTAAGCAAAATCACCTTAAGTAGAAAAAGCTGTTTCTTAGAACAACCAGCTTGAGTCATGCTGGGCTATGAGCTACACAAAGTTTCCCATTTCAGTGTGATTGATGGTGATCTCTATGGTGATTTCTGTGCAATTTATGAGACATGGAAAGCATACAGTAACTGGGTGGCAGGGGTGCTTTGAAAGTTAATTTGCTGCATTTTGCTCAGAAGCAATTATTTCACTTCTCAAGCTTGAGCTCAGGCAAAAAAAAAAAAAAGTTTGAGTTTGCAGCAGGAGCAAACTATGTACAGTACAGATTGGCTAGCATTGGTGCCATCAAAAACCCCTCTCTCCTTTATCCCTGAATAATCATTATACAAATCTAGGGAATGAATGAATGTTGAAATGAATAAATGGACTTGCTAAAATAACAAACTAAAAAGCAGAGAACACATAGAAACATTGGGGTGGGGGCACAGGAAGAGAGAGAAGGAGGGCAATGAATCAGCCTTTGGATTGTCAATGCCTGCGTTTGGAAAATTCCAGTCTATCACTACTTTCAGGCAAGATTCAATCACATGCTATCAATTCAATTGTAGTTGATTGGGAGACCTTGTGTAACAATACTGCTTCCCTAAAAGTTCAGGCTTTTTTGCGATAAGGAAAGTGATGGGAAAATTCACTGGGAAGTGTGGGTAGCAATTGCTTTGATGCAGTATCATTTGTAAACAAATAAGAATGAATACTCATTAAACAACCAGAAATATCTAATCTTACCCTGCATAAAGATAAAGTTGAATGCTGAAGAAACAGGCTGTCTGCAAACCCCCTTTGAATCATTGACATCTTAGCCTAGAATAATATTTGAACAGTTGATATGTTCACTTGCCATGATTCTGAGTGATGAAGGAAGCTAGCTTTATTTGATGGTGCAAAACCCTCTCCCAATTCCTGTTTTACCATTACTTCTATATGCATCCATAGAAGGGAAATGTCTTTCGTATTGTCCCAAAACTTTATTGTTGCAGTCAATGACCAGCATTAAAGAAGCAAAATAAGAAGCACGTGGAACACATTTTCCTGAGGTCTAAAGTAGGGCAAAATAGAAAAATAAATATAGTATAGAATAAAATAAAATGGACCTCAAAATTTTTAAAGTTGCAGTCATATCATGAACTCCAAAGAGGAAAAATCATGAGATGTCTGTCTGGGGTCAGTTCCAGGTGGGTTTTGCCTGCTGCAGCGCAGTACTTGCCTACACTGAGAGCAACAGATGCATTTTAACCTGAGAGGAGTAAAAGGATGCAAAATTCATTGTTTTAATGAGCAGCTGGATATTTTAGCAATCTCCTGGCTGAAAAGAAGACTACAACAACAAGCGCTGTAGGACACCATGCATGCAACAGTGCTTGCATCTGCGTTACCTGGGAGACAGAAACAATAAATCAATTGAACTGCAACTATGCGTTTTCTTTTTCAGATGTCACTATGCAACAGCAGCCCCTCTGTTCCCAGAACATCTTGGAAAAGGCTGTAACCATCATATTCAAGAATCATGAGCTGAAGGTGTTCAGTACTATGGCTGTGTGTACACACTCATTCATTTGTAGCACAAAGTAGCTTTCTCAACCCGAAATTGTTTGTGTTCTTCCTCAATGTGCTACTTTCAGTCTAAATTGATTCTAAACCCTGCCATCCACAATGGAGGGAGGAGTCACTTGATATGCATTTGATTAGGCTACCCATGCTTTCCCCTCTCTGCACATTCCCTTGGTGAATGAAGGAGGAAGTGCCATTGGGCAGGTGTGGATATACCACCCATAGCTGGGAGAGTCTATCTGCAATGATCCCTAATGACAGTAACAAATAGCAACCTGGAGGTCTGCATCTCACAATAACCTCTGGGCCACCCCAAATCATACATGCATACTTCGGGAGACTGCCCTCTATAGCAGGCCCCACCCACCACTCCAATGTGGCCCTTGGGAGGTTGCCCAGAAGGGAATGCAGCCCTCAAGGCGAAAAAGCCCCCCCCCAACACTGCTAGAAAGCACGAAGCCCACTGATGGGGCTAAACAACAGCTAGCAGCCACAAACATGATCTTCAGGTTTATTATATATAATTAACATTCAAGGCACATATTCACAGACCCATATCAGGAGGGGTACAGCATTAAGAGATGTTTATGACTTACAGGTAACATTCATAAGCATTGCACACCATGAAACATAAGGATATTTTAGTTTACATGTTACAGGCTACCGGACCCACCCCCCAAAAATAGTGGGAAGTGCTGTACCTACTTTTTTTTTTTTTTGGTCTTATCAAGCATTTCCCATTTTTAAAGTGAAACATAAAGGGTGTGGCAACACTGAAAAAGAGAAGTTATTTATATTTATTTGTGACATTTCTTACTTGCCTATCCTCAATAATCTCCCACAACAGGTTTCAAAATCACAACATAAAGTTATAAAAACTGATTGTATTCAACAGATTGTATTCAACAAAGTCGTTCCTGTGATGGCACAAGGGACTTCCACTTGCTCAATGGAAGTTCTCCTTCCGCTCCTCCCCTGTGTGCCCCCAAATCTTTCCTTAAGGTTCCAACCATCGTTGGTATTTAGGAGGAGAGGGCACAAAGGGAGAGGGAAGTTCTGTTGCTAAAGTGGAAGTCCTTGTGGTAACAGGATACCTATGCCAGATACAACCCCAAGCTGTTCCAATTATGAAAAATAAACAAAACCATTTGAACCAGGACAGAACAATATAATAAATTCAGCAAAAGAGATATTGTGCTCGCTGATGAACGCTACACCACAGTTTTTATTATAACTTCCTCTGCCCAGAAAAACAAACAAAACCATCATGGGAATAGTAATAGAACAGAAAATTCAAAAACCTATAAAATATTTACACCTCTTCTTCCTTGCCTTTTGGGTACATATCCAAAATCTAATTAAAGACAAAACAAAACTTAATTTGTAGTACATAAAGTTGTGGAGGTAAACAGTAGTTCTTCCGTGCTTTTTACCTAAGCTGAAATGTGATATCAGTATTATATCTTTTCAGATCTCTCTTGGGATAAGAAACAATACTTAGCTTCTTTGGAATATGTCACAAACATGATCTAAATAGCCTTATGCTTACTGGCAGTCAACAGTCCTTCCCTGTCTGTCACCTGTACTCAAAACTTCATCTCAGATGATTCATAGAGTTCCCAGAGTTTCATTTATACTTCTTTTTCCCTGCCAAGGAGCGCAAAGGCATTGATCCTTCAATCCATTCATTTGGTGTCGTCATCATTTCCCGCCAAAAGACCACCTCCTCTTGTGTGGAATCCATCCAATTAACACGAAACCCGTAGCTAATACCTTTTTTGGGGGGTGGGGGAAAGAAAGATGTGGTGAATCACTGTAGAAATAATTGCAGGAAGGGGCTGTCCTATGCTAAACTGTTTCTTTTCTGAGTCTCCTGCATTCTCTGCAGGACTGTTATATACCTAAGGAGCAATTACATTATGAACATCATGGAGGAAGTAGATAGAGAAAAACTTCCTCTCTCTCTCTCAACACAAGAACTCATTGAAAACCAATGGAGCTGAATGTTGGAAGATTCAGGACATGCTCTTCACGTAATATGTAGTCAAACTATGGAACTGGAGGCAGTGATGGCCACCAATAAGTAATTTTATTTTCTTTAACAGTATTATTTGAAAATTAAGTTATTGGTGATGAGAATGGGCTGGGACTTCCATTAGGGTTAACAGCCTCTCCAGGTCTCTTCTAAAACCCCAAGGCAGACTTGGAGCTTCAAAGGAAAGTAGGTTGCTAAAAGCTGCTGAACCTTCTTAAAGGGAAAGTAAACTGTAACAGGTTTACAAGTTTAGATGGAGAGAGAGCTTCTGGATGGGATGCCAGACTCCAATTTATCTGAGACTTATCCTTTGCAGGGACAATCAAATAAGTAAAAAATAGAACAAAAGCAACCCACTGCAACCACTAGCTTTCAAATTAAGTCCCCCCCCACAACCGCCAAAATCTGGAAGTCAACTGAATCTTACAAAAAAACCTACTTTTCAGCTAAGCCCTCTCTTTGAAGAAAAGCCTTCCCAGCACACACACATTTTCTTTCTTATTTAAGAAAAGAAAGAAAAAAATCAAAGGTATAGTAGTAGGATCCAAACAATACAAATTAAAAACCTTTGCTGATTTGGTATTGACACTTCAAGAACCAGATTCCAGTGCAGTAAAAGCACTGGAGATGATACAGGAGTTTGGGCAGGTAGCAGGATTTAAGTTAAATAAGAGCAAAACCAAAGTCTTAGAGAAAAATCTGGACAATGAGGAAAGGAAGTTATTACAAGAAAAGACGGGCCTAGTCTTTGTGAAAAAAGTTAAATATCTCGGGGTTAATTTGCCAGTGAAAAATTTGAATTTATATAAAGATAATTATGAGAAATTATGGAATGAAATTAAGAGAGATTTGGAGATTTGGTCGAATTTGAAATTGTTATTAATGGGCAGGATATCTGTAGTTAAGATGAATGTATTGCCAAAGATGTTGTTTTTGTTTCAAGCCCTCCCAATTACTGACAATATGAAATATTTTAAAGAATGGCAGAAAGCTTTATCTAGATTTATCTGGCAGGGGAAAAAACCCAGAATTAAATAGAAATTACTAACAGATTCCAAAGAAAGAGGGGGACTTTCCCTGCCAGATTTGAAGATCTATTTTGAAGAAGCAGAGTTTTGCTGGATTAAGGAATGGATACAACTAGAAGATACTGATGTTTTAGATTTGGAGGGATTTGACAATGTGTTTGGATGGCTTGCATATTTATGGTATGATAAAGTAAAGGCCCATAATGCTTCTAAAAATCATGTAATTAGGAAATCTCTATTTAATGTTTGGATTAAATACAAAGATCTTTTAGAAAGGAAAACACCCAGATAGCTTTCGCCAATGGAGGCAAAGGCTCAGAAAAAGTCAAACATGGAAACCTAGTGGTTGAGATATTCAGATTTGTTACTAGAAGATAATGAAGGATTTAAATTAAAACCACTTGGTCAAATTAAAGATAAAATAAATTGGTTACATTACTACCAGATTAATGAATTGTACAAAATAGATAAGAAAAATGGTTTTGCTTTGGAAAAAACTAAATTGGAAACGGAGTTGTTAGATGTTAAAGTTAAAAATTTGTCTAAAATGTATAATTTACTGTTGGAGTGGCATACAAAGGATGAACAAGTTAAATCCATGATGATAGATTGGGCAAGAGATGTGGGACATAACATAATGTTTGAAGATTGGGAAAGGTTGTGGAGGAAAGGGGTCAAGTTCACTGCATGTCCAATGTTAAAGGAAAATATAATGAAAATGATGTATAGATGGTGTTGACCCCTGTAAAGCTAGCAAAGATTTATCACAACAGTGATAATCTATGCTGGAAATGTAAAGAAAAGGAGGGTACCTTTTACCATATGTGGTGGACCTGTTCCAAGGTAAAAGACTTCTGAGAGAAGATTTATAATGAGCTGGAAAAAAATGTTGAAATACGCATTTCTTAAGAAACCAGAGGCCTTTCTTCTTGGAATAACAGGTTTGGAATTGCCCAAGAAAGATGTTAGATTGTTTTTGTATGCCACAACTGCAGCTCGATTTTTATTAGCTAAGAATTGGAAAACACAAGAAATACCAACAGTGGAGGAATGGCAGATGAAGATGATGGACTTTTCGGAGCTAGCTGACCTGACTGGAAGAATCCGTGACCAGAAGGAGGAGGAATACCAGGAAGAATGGAAGAAATTTAAAGACTATTTATTCAAATATGCTAAGATAAATTAAATAGAAATACTTGCAAAATAACAGATAGGCTAAGGATATAAATATGTGAAATTATAAAACATTATGTTTAAAGTTAAGATGAAAATTAGATAAAGATGTTAAGAGGATTAAGTAAATTTTATGAGATACTATTTTGGAAAACCGTTACAATGATATTCAGTCAAGGGAATTTAAGGAAGTCATTTAACTATGATATTAACATTGGACCAAGTCCAGTGATGATGTGTGTTGGTTGGTTTGTTTAAAAATGTGGAAAATTAATAAAAAAAATTGAAAAACAAAACAAAACCTACTTTTCAGCCAAGCCCTCCTCTTGAAGAAAAGCCTTCGCAGCACACACACATTCTTTCTTATTTAAATACAGTCCAGGTCTAACATTCTGATGCCAGCTCTTTGTAGTCGTAGTAATTACTTGATGACAGACTGTGTTCCATGTTCCCATAAATGAAAATCAAAGGATGAGAGCAGGTGACCCACTTACCTGTCCCTACTCCCAGTCGGATGCCACCAAGGAAGTGATTGGTCAGCTTTTCATGATCCCAGACGGTCAGCTCCACACAAGCATCCTTCAGATCTTCTGTGTGAAATCCATCATACACAATGGTGTGATTGAAGACAGGGTTTGAATCTCTCTTGATAATTCTGGTTTTCTGATAACTCTTCTTACTGGTGTCTGGAAGGATGTAGCTTAAAAAGAAGCAGTGTTTCATGTTATATATGCCAACAGTTCTTTATTTGCATGTTCCTTCAAATACCAACCCCCTCTCCTGCAAACAAATAATAACAATAATAGTAATTACACCAGCAGTGGAATCTGAGGGTAAGGGGGCAGAGCAGCAGAAGTAGGTTGACCCTCCTAGTGGTATAGCTGCATTTGTTGTGACCAGGGTGGGGCGGGATAAGATGGGGGGCGGTGAGGTCAGGAGGACCAGAAGGGCAGCAGTGCCATCAACTTGGAGCTCCCCCAAACTTGCCTTGCCTTGGCAAGGGGCAGTGAAACTGCAGCAAGGAAGATGCTGCTGTCATTCTGAACACCCTGTGTGATGATGCTGCGTACTACTTAACACTGGAATAGTTATTTCAATAGTTCAAAGTATATCGCCTGCATAGTCCATAGAATTGTAGAGCTTGATAATTACTATGTTTAATGCTGAATTGGTAAGAAAGAGTGATGTTAAGTGATTAAGTTAAAATTATAAGAACTTTGATTTGGAAAACCGTTAAAATGATATGCACTGAAATTCAACTAGGGGGAATACGAGGAAGTCACTTAACAATGTTAAGGAGATTAGTTTTAATAAGCTTATGATTTATGTTTGTCTGTTTATTTGTTAGTGTGTTTTTAATTTTGTGAAAATCAATTAAAAATTTTGAATTGTAGAGCCTGAAGGGACCCTGAGGTCTAAGTCCAACACCCTGCAATGCAGCAATCTTTCTGTCCAACGTGGGGCTTGAACTCGTGAGCTTGAGATTTAGAGTCTCATGCTCTACCAACTGAGCTATGGAATGAACTTCAGGAGAAGGGTATTGTGAGAAGGACTGCATTTCCTCAGGGCCCACATGACAGTGGTGGGTAAAGCCAGAGCCAAAAGAGAGCGATGCCTGTGCCCCAGCACTCTAGCCCAACTCTCTGGCTTCGCTTTACCTCTCCCTGTCCCTTGCCACCCAGTAGGCTGCTATGGGATGGACTGTTTACTCTAGTCCATGACCTGGACCAATTGCTTGCAGAGGGCTTTCCCCCTCTGTTCATTCCATCACTCCATCCATTTTGGCTCCCCTCCTTTTCCCTCTCTGGGCTTCCCTTCACCTGAGTGGAATTAGTGGCCACATGAGATTAGGTTGAGGGCCACCAGATTCCAGTCCCTAATCTTCCTGTAATCTTTGCAACACAACGCTGTAAGGGATATTAATATCCCCCATAATGTAATGGGGGGGAAGGAAACTACTGAGGCTGAGAGAGGGGGGTTACCTAAAGCCATCAAGCGAGTCCACAGTGGAGGGGAGCTTCAAACCATGGGCCTCCTTATTCTCAGCTCTATCCAATGGAGGCTGGCCCATTTGGTGCCCCCTCCAACCTCATTCTAAGCTTGGCTGGCTCCCACCTGCTTCTTGCATGCAAAACAGTCCAGGGGGTGGCACTGCCTGCCAGGTTCCCCCTCTTTAATCGCCCGGTTGCCCTTGCAGAACTCAGCAGGCATGAGGATGGGGACAAAACTTGAATTAGTTGACCCTGCCTGTCTTTAGCTCTGCTGCCACCTACGGTAGGTCTCCCTGCCTTCTGCCCAATGAGAACCAATCAGCACTGGCTCTGTCTCAGTCCACATTTAAATATTACTTAAGGGGTTGCATCTTCCTAATATGACTAATTCTGCACTGGGATTATAGATGTCCCTGGTCAGAAAAGGAATTTATGTTAACTGCAAATACATCTCTCTCTCTCTGTGTGCGCACATGCACAGCAAATGACATACATACCATTTCACAAAGGAATCCACTCCAGAAGGACGTAACTGTGGGAGGTCTTTAGCGTCTTTCACCCAGATATGGACCTCTCCAGTTGGAGGAGTTAATGGACCTGCCATGAAGTAGGCATTGAAATCCTTAAACTTTTAAGTTTGCAAGTGCCACCAATTCATAGTTATAATAAAACAAGTCTAAACAGAGAGTGAAATGTGGTGGAGCAGCCAGAACATTGGACTTGATGGTGGACAGGGCCTAGGAAAGGTGCCATTAAGTATAGGGAATACTGTAGCTCAGTGGCAGAGCATCTGTTTTGCATGCAGAAGGTCCCAGGTTCAATCCCCAGCAGCTCCAAGTACAGTGGTGAGAGAAGACCACAGCCTTAAATCGTGGCGAGCCACTGCCAGTCACTGTGGACAACAGTGGGCTAGAGAGACCAATGGTCTGACAGCTCTTTATGTTCCTATGACAAGGATATATCAAACCCCCACTCAACCATGAAGCTCGTTGGGTGACCTGGGCTCAGTCGCTGTCTCCCAGCCAACTCTAACTCGCAGAGACAGTTGTGTACAGCTAGGAGGCTGCTGCTAACCACCAGAACATGCCATCTGAGGGGGTTCTCTCACTGCTTAATGGTAGAGCTGGCCCTGCATAGGAAGCTGACTTAGACTGAGTTAGAACATTGGTTCATCTATCCCAGTACTGTCTACTCTGACCAACAGCGGCTTTGAGGTCTTCTGTAGCCTTATCTTGAGATGAAATTGGCTGAATCTGAGACCTTTTCCATGCAAACCACTGAGCTATGGCCCTCATCCCATTGAGCCACAGCTCTTTCACCCCATGTGCTGAAGAGAAAAGAAGTTTGCTATGACAAACTTGCAAGGTAGCCCATTCCATACCATGAAGCTTACTTCTGACTTCACATGCATAGGATTGCTTTGCTGGTGATCATGAGCCAGCCATTCCCTCTCAGCCTAACCTACCTTACAGGCCTGTTATGAAAATTAAGAGGGGAGAACAACATAGACCTCAGCATGAAAGGACCCCATAGGTCTTTATGATTCTGTTCTCAGGTGGTCCAACTATTCTTCCTAATTGTCCAATATTTAGTGCTGTTGGGCTGCGGGGAGAATTCTAAAATTCTCTTCTCTCTTTTGAGATCCTTAGGGATTCAATTTCAGTCATCAGCTTTTCTCCCTCCACACACTGTCCCAGGGTGACATTTTAGTACAACTTGCGTTCCAAAGAATTCAAATTGCAGTATGATAAAATAAAGTATGTAAGAAATAAAAGCAGATAAAAAATCAAAATGAATATTTGGCACGCTGTGAAACACCTGAATGAAGCTCAAGGACCACTGGTGGTCCATGGAACACAGTTTGGGAAGCCCTGATATATGTAGTGTGGCTTGCAGGGGCGGGGAATCCATTCTGATTCCCAACAATATATAATAATGAGAATGGGTGGTGCACGGTACCCAACCCTGTAGTAACATGGAGACGCTTTCTGAAATCTTCACTGTTGTGGTTTTTACCTAGACTGCTTGGTGGGATATACTTGATGGACAGGTTCATCACACCCCGATGGTCGACATGATTGATGGCTGGGAGGATCTGAAAGAGAAAGGACTGTGAGAAGCATGGTGTGCAGAAAACCACAGCGAGGGATTTCAAATCAGCTGGTGATCAGAAAACCTATGCTGAAAATTCAATCAAATTTCTCTCCATCAAAATCAGCAAAATTGCCTCTGGGCAAAACTAGATGTGAGGGGCAATGCTGATCTCTTTTCCATGGCAGTTGAGAGTAGTTTTTAAATGAAATGCAGCCCTGGCAGGCTGTGATCAGGAGTGGAAGCAGAAAGGCAGGGTGTGTGTGTGTGTGTGTGTGTGTGTGTGTGTAGGGGAACGATGCTAGCACTTGAAGAACATAGACAAAGTCCAGAGAGAGAATGAAAACAGGGTCAGGTTTGACTAACTGTTCCCACCATTGGAAGCCTGCACAAGAACTTCTGCTAGCACAACAGGGCTTTGGGTTGTCCCCAAATTGGCTCAGGAGGATCAGTAAAGCCACCAGAATAGCGCATGAGGGGAGGAAAGGACAGTAGGCAAGTAGAAATGCTGCACTAAAGGAGATCTTTGCTTAAAATTATGTTGAAATTCTCCTTGTTGATCTAAGGTAAGCTGGACAAGAGTATATAGTTTGAGGAGAAATGAGTTTGCCTTTCTTAGAACTGGCCTTAAGAAATTCCACAATACATACTGAGGATAACTCCCTCAGAGCTACATAGCCAATCAGAGCATGAGTTACCTCAGCAAGGATCATGCCATTCTAACTGGTTGCTAGGCAACACCCCACCCCTTTTATACCCCACCTTGTTCTCCAAGGAACTCAAAGTGACGTACTGCACATGGATCTCCCCCTTTTTATTTAATCCTCACAGCAACTCTGTGAGGTGGGTTAGGCCGAGAGGCAGTGGCAGGCCCAAGGTCACCCAGTGAGCTTCATGGCCAAGTGGGAATTACAACCCTGGTCATCCAGGTCCTAGCCCTTCCATGCTAACCACTACAGCACACTGGCTCCGTTCCAGAAATGTGTGTGTGTGCGCGCGTGTGCGTGAATGACTGAAGTTTTCTTAAAAGAAAAATGTGAATGTATGATTAAGCCCTTCACCCTATATAAGAACCTATATTTATCAAGATCCCTGCTGAACTATACTTACCCGTGGCTTGAGCGTATACCAGTTCAGTTTATTGTTCTGCCAGTCCCAGCTGGCAAGGTCTATTTCCACCTCGCCCAGGAAACTATTGCGTCCCAAAGGGTCATTGTGCCAAATGGAGAGGTTTAGTTTTTGAATCAGCAGGACCATTTTCTCTATTTTGTACTGAGGAGAAAGGAGAAACGACTTTTATCACTTTGCACACATTGTTTTTACTTCTGTTCTCTTAATGGTCACCATCTCATAGTGCTGAGGGGAGGGTTCTGGGGGCGGGGGCATAGTATTGATGGAATTAAGCAGCACTGAGCTGGCTAATCGCTTGGATAGGAGACCACCAGACAGTTCACAGAAGAACAGGATGCATATGTGTATATCATGGGTAGGCAAACTAAGGCCCGGGGGCCAGATCTGGCCCAATCGCCTTCTAAATCCAGCCCGCAGATGGTCCAGGAATCAGCACGTTTTTACACGAGTAGAATGTGTCCTTTTATTTAAAATGCATCTCTGGGTTATTTGTGGTACCTGCCTGGTGTTTTTATATGAGTAGAATGTGTGCTTTTATTTAAAATGCATCTCTGGGTTATTCGTGGGGCATAGGAATTCGTTCATTATTTTTTTCAAAATATAGTCCAGCCCCCCACAAGGTCTGAGGGACAGTGGAAAAGTTTGCTGACCCCTGGTATATAGGGATCATTGTTATCCCATTCAACTGAAGCTAAACACAGCTTTTGCTCACAATAAATTAAAAGAGGAGACACTTTGTTTATGTAGCCCCATGTAGTTCACACTTCTACACATTTGTTTTATAAAACAACAAATGGGGCCTGAAACTAAATACTGCTGTGTATCATCACCTCTTAATTCCTGTTCATGGTCCCAGCCAGCAGCCAGCCATGCCCTCTACAGGATATTCTCAGTAGTGGTCCTGAGCTCTAGTGTGATGGGAGCCTGAGATTGGATTCAGAATTATATCCTCGATTCCACCTCCTCCCTTGCCACAAATCCTAACCTTCCTAGGTATTTATTCCTTACCTGCAACACCTCATTGAAAACGGGGTTAACAGTTCTTCTCTTCACAGATGACTTCCTCTTGCCCATCCGTGCTTTGTCTGGAAGCAGGTAGGTTTTGACGTACCTGTGAAGAGGCAGCCACCGAGTTAACATTCAACACAGTTAGGATCTTGCATACAAACAGTCATGCCTGACAGGATCATGCCTGACAGGATCATGCCTGACAGTCAGCAACAGCTGGGTTGTCAACATGGTGTCTGTGCTGAGTTACAATTCATCTGGTGGAGCCAGGGACAAATGTAGGGTTGGTCACCAACTTAAATGCCCTTAAAAAGCGGATAAGAGGATGCCCTTTAAATGCCCTTAAAAAGAGGATAAGACCCCATATATACCCATTCAACCACTTGGATCTGCAGAACTGGCAGTATAACAGGTGCCACATACTGTATTTTTAGCTCTATAAGACTCACTTTTTCCCTCCTAAAAAGTAAGGGGAAATGTGTGTGCGTCTTATGGAGTGAATGCAGGCTGTGCAGCTATCCCAGAAGCCAAAACAGCAAAAGGGATTGCTGCTTTCACTGCGCAGCAATCCCTCTTGCTGTTCTGGCTTCTGAGATTCAGAATATTTTTTTTCTGGTTTTCCTCCTCCATAAACCAGGTGCGTCTTGTGGTCTGGTGCGTCTTGTAGAGCGAAAAATACGGTCATAATACTCAATGCACATTTCTAAGAAATTGGTACTTTTTAGAGTGGAGGCATCCAGACTTTGGAACTCCCTGTCTATTTGACATCAGGCAGGCACCTTCATTATGGTGCCTGTGATAAACAGTTTTGCTTAGGCAAGATGTTGACTTGTGCTTTAGTATGTTTTTAGCTTGTTTTTTAAAAAATGTTGCAAATGGTTGTTTTAAACTGTTGTTACTGATAACAATTGTTTTAGTACTTTTTGTAAGCCACTTGCTTTGAGGGCTTCTTTGCAATCAAGAATATGAACTTTAGGAAATTAAAATAAATGAAGTAAATAAATAAATTCATGGAGGAGAAGGCTGTGAATGACTACTATCCATGACAGCTATGCTCACTGTCAGAGGCAGTATGCCTCTGAATACCAGCTTCTGGAAACTGCAAGTGGAGTCAGTACTGTTGCAATCAGGTCCTGCTTGCAGGTTCCCCAAAGGCATCTGTTTGGCTACTGTGAGAACAGAGTGCTGGACTAGACGGGCCTTTGCCTGATCTAGGAGTGCTCATATTATAAGAATGCTTGTGATTCTTACTTTCATGTTTAATTGGGACTGGGAAGGTGTGAAGGAACTGGACTTTGCTGATATTGACAGTCTGTATGGGCTATGCTTTTATATGGACAGTTCTGTATTAAAGGAGAATGTATATTTTCCTTTTTGTTCATTTGGGGGTTAGGGAGTTTATCTGCGAAGCCTGATATGCCCTGCAGCACAGTTTGGAAGAGAGAACTTCATGGTGGATAAAGATCCCAGAAACTCCAGCCGGTGCAGAATGCTGCAGTGAGGCTCCTCATGGGGTCTCTGCCATGGGAGCATATTCACCCAGTGCTTTTCCAGCTGCACTGGCTCCCGGTGTAGTACAGGGTCAGATTTAAGGTGCTGCTTTTGACCTATAAAGCCCTTCACGGCCTAGGACCCTCATACCTACAGGACCGCCTCTCCTGGTATGCCCCACAGAGGACCCTAAGGTCAATAAACAGCAACACCCTAGAGGTCCCGGGCCCTAAGGAAGTTAGATTAGCCTCAATCAGAGCCAGGGCCTTTTCAACACTGGCTCCGGCCTGGTGGAACACTCTGTCGCATGAGACCAGGGCACTGCAGGATCTGATTTCTTTCCGCAGGGCCTGTAAGGCAGAGTTGTTCCGCCAGGCCTTTGGCTTGGAGTCAATTTGATTCCCTCCCCCTATTTCTTTTTCCTTTCTCCTCTTGTGAGGAGGCTGCATTTATTGTTTTAATGTTGTATTTTAATCTTGTTTTTTAGGTTGCATTTCAATCAACTTGTTTTTTATTGGTTGTTAGCCGCCCTGAGCCCAGTCTTGGCTGGGGAGGGTGGGGTATAAATAAAATTTATTATTATTATTAGAACTTCATGGTGGATAAAGATCCTGACGTATCTCCCATCTGAGGTCCTCCATGACTTCCTGTTGCCTGTGACCTGCTGGGCAGAGATTGTGACTGGCAGGGGGCGGGCAGAAAAAGGATATATCTGCAGGTAAGCAGGCTGGAGACACCAGTTCATGCCAGAACTCAAGAGACATCAAAAGCCTTTTGTATGCCTGGGAGAGAGGTGGCAAAAGAGATATATACTGGGGTAGGGCAATGAAATAGAGTGTTCTTTTACAAGGAACGTTTGCATTCTTCCTCTCAAAATGAAGGATGTTTCATTTGCAAAGTTGTGCAAAGTTTGCTGGACTATTCAGTCAGCTAAAGGCTGGTTTGGGTGCTAGCTCTCATCAGCCCAGCCCACCAGCCATAGAGAAAAGCTAAACGCACAGTATTATTCAGTCCGGATCCTCAGATGTTATGTTGGACTACAATTTCTAAGCTGGCTGAGGATGACGAGAGTTGTAGTCCAACAATCAACTGCTTCCAGTTACAAGAAAGTAGATTCCAACTAAACATCAAGAAGAACTTTCTGATGGGAAGAGCTGTTTGGCAGTGGAACAGACTCCCTTGGAAGGTGGTGGACTCTGGAGGTTTTTAAGCAGGGGCTGAATGGTCATCTGTCATTGATGCTTTAGTTGATCTTCCTGCATTGCAGGGGGTTGAACCATATGATCCCTGGGGAGCCTTCCAACTCTACAGTTCTATGATTTTATGAACATCTGTGGACAGGGGGCTGAAGATGGCTTTATAGCACACCTGCCCTCTATGCACACTCTGAGTGCTTGATTACTTCCCTCCTGGGATGTCCATTTGTGGCTGCAATTTTTCACCTATATGTAGAAAATCCAATGCACATGGCAAATTTCCCAGATAATCTCTGGTAACTGACCATGCAGGCTGTTCCTACGTGTACTAGATATTACTTGTACAGTGGTGCCCTGCAAGACGAATGCCTCGCAAGACGAAAAACTCGCTAGACGAAAGAGTTTTCCGTTTTTTGAGTCGTTCCGCAAGACGAATTTCCCTATGGGCTTGCTTCGCAAGACGAAACGTCTTGCGAGTTCTTGCGGGTTTGTTTCCTTTTTCTTAAAGCCGCTAAGCCGTTAATAGCCGCTAAGCCGCTAATAGCCGTGCTTCGCAAGACGAAAAAACCGCAAGACGAAGAGACTCGCGGAACGGATTAATTTCGTCTTGCGAGGCACCACTGTACAGGCAACATTTGAATCTTATGGTCCTGAGCAGATGTCCAAGGATGCCAGAGACCGGCATGTAACAGAATCAAGGTCAGCACTATGCTCTGGTCCCCTTCCATATGTATGAGACTGACCAGGGAGCGATACTGTCCAATCCAGCCCTAAAAAACTCTTACAATTAATTGGAAGTGATAGTGCCGTTTCCCTCCCCACCCCAATTCCAGAGTTTAGAATTTTAGCACCAGGTCCCCAAGGGGAACTGCTGGAATGCCTCAGCAACACTTATGAAATGTATGCTTTGCTACAACATTACTTCAACATTTTAATCTCCACTTACGGGTCTGTCCTTCCTTTCTTTTCATCCACAATGGCCAGGTCCTTGCACTGACAAACGAAAATTTGAAATTCCCGGTTCTTCTCATCATAATCCAGGGCAAACTGAACGTGTCCCTGGGCATCGACACTCCCAAAATCACCACTGTAGACACTCAGGACACTGCCACTCACCTGTCCAAGGTGCAAGAGAGACATTCATTCATTCATTGTTAGAAGGTCTATAGGTTCAGGATTGCTTTATAATGTGGAGAAATGACCCAACTTGGTCTGTGTACACAACATTCTTTTAAAACACATGGATTCCCCCAAAGAATCCTGGGAACTGTAGTTTACCCCCTCCACAGAACTACAATTCCCAGCATTCTTAACAAATGACAGTAAGAGACAGTGTGGTATAGTGGTTAGAGTATCAGACTAGGACCTGGGACACCAGGGTTCAAATCCTCTCTCAGCCGTGAATTTCATTAGATGATCTTGGTCCAGATCTTGGTCCTTGGGGTCTTAAATTTCAGCGGCCCCCTGTGTGATGCCAGAATTAGACCCCCCCATTCAATTCTAAATAATAGTTGCAACATTGCGGCACCCCTGAGGTTTCACGCCCAGTGCAGCCAAATCAATCACGCTCCTCTAAATCTGCCTCTGCTTACCGAGGAGACGGAGGCCATATCAGAGGAGTGGCTCCCCACACTGGGTGTCTTCTTGTGCCTGCTGAACTGGAAGCTGATTTCTGAAGCTGTGTCCGATTCCGTCTGCAAATCAAGCCAAGGTGGATATTAATTATTGGTCATGGAATGTTTGAGTGTTTTGCTGCAATGGGAATTGAAAGGATGGAGGGATGTGATTGGTGCAAGCAGAAGATGATTGTTGAATGACTATGGTTCTTGACTTCCCGATTTTTATTAGTACATCAGAATGCTTTTTGTGGGAAGGGGGATATCCATCTGATTTTTCTTATTAAAATAGACAGGGCTTGGAATAAAGTTGTTCGGTTTAATTAAGTTTAACTGTTTTAGTTCAAAAACATCAGAAAGCAGTTGCCATAATTGCCAGGCGCACTAAATGTGAATTAAGTTTATCTCGGGTAGAACTTTAAACAGTTCCTACTTCATTTTCAAGTCCATTCCCTTGAAAGTGGTTCTTTCAATCTTTCCTTCGCCCTCTAGTGGCTATGGTGGGTCATTTACCAGACGTAACGTACTTATCCTTAACTCTGGAAGTGCATGCTTGATTCTGACCAAACTAAGCCTCCGGCTAGGAGGGACTCATTGGTTGCATGTGAATTATTTCCAACTTTCCTACCCCCACTACCCAGGGAGTTCTGAGAAATCCTGTCCTGTGAGGGGAAATAAGGGTTTCCTAACAACTCTCAGCACCCTTAAACAAGCTACAGCTCCCAGGATTCTTTGCAGGGAAGATGTGACTGTTAAAGTGGTATAAAAGTCCTGTAAATATTTGGTGCAGTTTTAGCCTGAGCAGCAAAAGGACTTAGTAAACATGATACAGGCAGACCAACATAGTCCTACCTCAGACAGCAGGAGAGGAGTGGATTTGCTAAAGTCTTTGGCCCTCTCAGGCTCAAGGTACTGGTGGTTTGGCACCTGAGGCTTAGTGTACGCTGGAAACAATAAAAGAAAACATATCAACATGAAGATTGTATCCTGTGCTCTGAAGCAACAGAACCTGTTTCATTATCTGTATAAACCATTAGATATAGAGACTGTGGCAAACCAAGCAGCTTAAAAAAATCTGTGTTGCATTGCACTCACATATTCTTAAGCCTGTTTCTTTTTTCTTTTTCTTTTTTAAATATAAATAGCCATTTTCTATTTCTCTAGAAAAAGAGGTGCTGGAACTCACCATGAACGCCTCCCCCGTTCTCTTGGAACAGAAATGGCACCTACCTGAAAGTCGCCGGAACTGGGTTCCAGTGAGTTAATTGCCTTTAAAAAGCCCATTACAAAGGCATGGCAACTAAAACAGTTAAAGGGGAATATCTGCATTTACGCGTGGATTCAGCGCCATCTGTTGGTTGAAATAAAAATTGCTGTATTGCCAAAAGCATTCGGTGAAATTAGTGTAAATAAGCCAAAGGATTTAATAAATTGTGTAGATAAATAGTTAGGAGTCTGTTACAGAATCGGTGGTGTTCATGATCAGAGGGGTTGTTGCTGTTGCATTGTCCACGTGTTGTCTTTATCAAAATGTCATCCTGTACCACTTCTGCATTTCACTGGTAAGTAAAAACAACCCCTTATAAATCCACTACAGTGGTACCTCGGGTTAAGTACTTAATTCGTTCTGGAGGTCCGTTCTTAACCTGAAACTGTTCTTAACTTGAAGCACCACTTTAGCTAATGGGACCTCCTGCTGCTGCCACGCTGCCGGAGCACGATTTCTGTTCTCATCCTGAAGCAAAGTTTTTAACCTGAAGCATTATTTCTGGGTTAGCGGAGTCTATAACCTGAAGCGTATGTAACCTGAGGTACCATTGTACTGGTGTGGGAGCTCATAAGAAAGGATTCCAAATCTTCAGGAATCCTTTCCCCCCCTTGCCAAATCATTTTTAATTGATTTCCCACATTTTACCAGATCAGCCACAAATTAAAACAAATTTAATACAATTAAAAAAAAACTGGTTCCCCACACTCTATTCTTGAAGAATCCTTTAGGTGTGTTCAGCCAAATGGACTTACAATCTTCTAACAGACTAGGGCTGTTTAAGCCAAGCCAGTCTCAGCTGGGTGATACAGAATTCTGCTGGAAACAGGTGCAGGAATCATTGCAATGCACATGTTCGTTTGAGATCAGGTGAGTATGACCGATATTTGATGTAGCTTTTTTTTTTTTTAACTTCACAATTGTTACATTAATAATTATGTTATTTTCTGCACTGTGTTTGATGTTCCCCTTCCACTGAAATTAATTATGTAATTAATAATGTTAGCTTTGGCCATAGCTCTTAGCAAAACAAACAACTTCCTCCAGCAGGAACAGCAATGTTGTGGGGCAGGGAAGGAGTAGGGCTAACATGCACAGCCCCCACTCCACTCTAAGAGCATATTCCTTTTGAACACCTGAAGGCAGGTGGTCTGCAAATGTCTTGAAAGGCCTTCCAGATGGTTGGGCTCCTTATTCTCCTTATTCTCCAGCAGGCAGCAAAACCAGGAGATTTGTCAAGCCTGCTATGTATGACTGATAGGTTCAGCTCCATGTGTTATACCATATTTTTCGCTCTATAGGACGCACTTTTTCCAAAAATGAAGGGAAAATGTGTGTGCATCCTATGGAGCGGATGCAGGCTCCTTGACTTCAGCGATAGCAACGGGAAGCCTCCGAAGCGCAGAGGAAGCGCTCCCTCCGCGCTCCGGAGGCTTCGCGTTGCTTTCGCTGAAGCCTGGAGAGCAAGAGGGGTCGGTGCGCACCGACCCCTCTCGCTCTCCAGGCTTCAGGCAGCTATCCGCAAACCTTAGGAGCGCGGCGGGAGTTCCCCCTGCGCTCCGAAGGCTTGCGGATAGCAGCCTGCAGCCTGAAGCCCGGGGAGTGCAGCACCAGTACATTTTTTTTCTTTATTCCCCCCCCCTAAAAACTAGGTGCGCCCTATAGTCCGGTGCGCCCTGTGGAGCGAAAAATACGGTAACTTTTGCCAGCTTGCTTTGTTAGAAAAAGCCAGACCAGTGGATTGAAGCAAGCTACTACTTACTTTCTGTAGTAGTATAAATGTTCACCAAGCTCTTCGTAAGGCTATAGCCATTGGCACATATTAAATTCTTGGCAGCCGGAGAATGATGTTCATTTCCCTCTGGAATAAATTGGAAAACAAGCAGGTGTGTATTAAACAATGTAAGACATTGGCATTATTGTAACCAAGGTTTGAACAGGGTGGCTTCCACCTCACCCTAAGCTTCCCCCTCCTATTCTTTGTTTATTTGATCTAGAGATTACGGCTTGTGGTCCTGGAGCTTGTGTACACAGCTGGGCCTTCTGACTTACATTGTTCTGCTCCAGCAGCTCTCCCAGACACTGGGTTAGTTTGTATTAATGCACTGCTGGCCACCCAGGTCAGTTGCTGCCAGCTTGCAAGTGAAGATGAGCTCTTTGTAATATTGATTCCAGTTTTTTAGTCCATGGCTAAGCAGACTAAGGGTGGAGAACCAGTGGCTCTCCAGATGTTGTTAGACTACAACTCTGATCTTCCTGGACCATCCACTGATGGAACACTCATAGAGCTCAGGTTCTCTCATTCACTGTCAGGGTCAGTCCTCATAGTAGATAATTGTCTCTGATCACTGGTCATGCCAGCTGGCCTGGTGAGAGTTGAAGTCCAACAACATCTGAAGAGGCACAGGTTCCTTAGCCCCTGGAGAAGACAAGCCTAGAGAAGGGGTAACTGTACTGGAGGAATAATTATGGTGGCTGTATTTCCGTAAATAAAAATGGCTGTTTATAGGTAAGCTGAGATAAGGCACCAAATTGTAGATTAATTGTTGTTTAAGATGTATATGATGGTAGCTTACTATCCAAGATGTTTTTAAACAGATGACAATATTTTACTTAATATTTTCTATGTTTGATTGGCAATGTGGTATGTGCATGTTGGTACAGGGTTGCAGCTCATGTTAGTCTTACTCAGAGTAGACCCAATGGAATTAATGGAAAAGACTAACTTAGGATCATTAACTTTAATGAGTCTACTCTAACTTATCTGGGTACAACCTCACGTTTTTGTGTTTTTTGTATTGACCAGCACAAAACTATGTATAACTAGCAAAGCATCAGTACCTGAAAGCATGGAAGAATCCACTTCCTGAGCGACTCCTCTTTCATCTACAGCCTCGTTTTGTAGTGGGTCCTCTGCAAGGCTACTAGGCCCATCTTTAAGCTGCTTCTTTTCCATTTCCAGGTTGTCTTGAGAGCCCAAGTCAGAACTTATTTCCACAAAGCTACCAACTTTATCAACATCCTCTGAAGACACAGACTCTATCAATATCTGAACCCTACCTGCTAAAGAATCAGTCTTACGTTTGCTTTCATCAGCCATAATAAACTCATCAGCAGGGGTCTCTGGCTCAAAAATGATGCCAGTCCGCTCTTTAGCCGGTGCCTCTATTTTGACTGATGGCACTCGAATCGGCAACTTTGATCTCCTTGTGCAACGTGGTACCTTCTTCTCCTCCTCCACTGGAGACTGCTTCCCATTCCCATCACTTAGGCTATTTCTGTTGGTCATTGCCCCTTTGCTTCTGCCATACGTGGACCGGGGTATTGCAGATCCCGATCCTTTCCTAGGAGGAGCTATGTAAGTGGGCTCATCTTCACTGGAAGACAAGGCAACTGGCTTCCTGTAGGGGATTCTGGCTTTGGGGTGTATATTAGAAGTGAACTTGTCGTCACCATTTTGGCTGTTATTAGACTGGGCTGAGAGAGATCGGTTCAGTCTTGATGGCCTTCCATTGGCCTCTGTGGTGCTGGCCTTTTCTGCTGAGATTTCAGATACATCATTAGTCAAGAGGGGCTCCCCACCCTTCTCCCAAAAGTTCTTCAGGTTCTTAAAGTGTTCCCGATCCAGACCAATCTCCTCATCTTTATTGTTGCTAGAGGAGATTGTATAATTGGCTCCTTGTTTGACAGAACGGCCATTTTCCCAATCTAGAGTGGGTAATTTTGAGCTCTTTGGTGAGTCTCTCTTTGCTAGACCAAACTCGGGATTCTCAGCTCCATTAGCTAAAACTGTGCTAGGTTGGAACGATCCTTTGTTGGACATCCTCTTCACGGGTATTTTGCTGGAAGGGCTAAATTCTTCCTGTGGAACTGGTGAGAATGTGTGGCTTTCTGAAGGAGCATCTGCAACATCCCCGCCAGTTGAGTAAGAAAAATCATCAAGATCCTTTTCAGAAAGCTTTCTGGATATTGTTGAGGGTATTTCATGACCTGCAACAAAAATAGAACCCCAAGGCCCTGTTCAGAGCATCATTGACAGAACTACACCCAACTGCTTTGCAATTACAAGGTGTTCTGAACTAGTGTTTTCCAGTCTGGTTTCCTCCAGAGGTTTTGCAATACAACTCCCATGAACCCCAAGCATCATTTCCAATGCTCACAAATGATGGTGGCTGAAGATCAAAACATCTGGAGGCAGCAGGTTGGGGGAAGCCTACTCAGCAAATACAGTACCCTATAATTTATTATGGGCAACTGACTGTTATCAGGAAGTGCATACCATCCAACTGGGCTATGTGAATGTCCTCATTCTGTGCTCTCCTATGGTTCTCTCAGCTCTGGAGAAAGCAGTGCATTCTGCCCCAGCCGCAGGGTGCACCTACACATTGCAAAGCAAACCTGGGATTCCCAATTCCAGTGGAAGTGTGTACGGTATGGTGTTGCTGAGACCAGCATTTGCTGCTGCTGCTGACGTGGGTGGGGCTGGAGCAGAGGTGAAGTTGGGACTGTATGGGTGTATCGGTGGGGCCACCCCCACCAATTTAGTGCTTCTGCTGGTTCAACTCACAGGAGCCTGACCTTGCAGTGGCCCCATCCAGGTAAGCTGCTACGCTCACCTACCACCTGATCTCAGATGGCAATGCAGGGATGGAATATGGACTAGGAAGAATTACTGGGTAGGAGGGGAATGTTTTACCCTTCCTTCACCTGCTGATTCTCCCCTGTAAATGTGCCTCCCTGAATAGAAGCTCCCAATGCTTAACTTCAAGAAATAAAGCATGTTGTTGTTGTTTAGTCGTTTGGTTGTGTCCGACTCTTCGTGACCCCATGGACCAGAGCTAGCCAGGCACTATACCTTTTCCATATCCTTGCGAGTTGCTTCTTGTAACCAGGAAAGGGCTTATACCAACGCCACTGTCTGCTGGAGAGATATCTTCTAGGCTTGATCTCTGAAGAGGAAAATACGACTTATTTATTTACTAAGAGAATCTGTACCCTGCTCTCCAGCCAAAAAAGGCTCTCAGAGTAGCTTGCATACGATCTAGACAAGACAGTCAGCCCCTACCCATAGGCTTACAACCTTAAAAAAAGAACCACGACACACAAGGGAAAAGGGACAGGGAGGGAAGAGGAAAATCAGATTCACAACTCAGGCCCACAGCTGTCAACTTTTCCCTTTTCTTGCGAGGAATCCTATTCGGAATAAGGGAATTTCCCTTAAAAAAAGGGAAATGTTGACAGCTACGCTCAGGCCCCAATTTCTAAACAGTTGTTCTTGTAGTAACCAGTTGGCACAGTTCAGGGGCAGGAGATGCCTGGTGGAGCTGGGCCTCCAACAAAGCTGATGAAATGAGCTCCAAATCCCAGCTATCCCACTGAGGCAGTCTGGTGGAATTACTGCCCTCAGATGACAGAGATATTTATTCAGGTGAAAAGTGGTACAGGCTCAGCAGCAGAAGTCATGATTCCAAGGGAAGAGATTCATAATGAAACAGAGGCTACAAAGATGTCCCAATGGTTGACATACCCCACCCACCAAGCTTTTAAAGACAAAGTGGATGTGAGCTCACTCATGAGACTCTCCCTCTCTTCCTACAGTTCTGCTGCCTGTGCACACATACACATTCCATCTGGGTGCAGTTGTTGTGTTTTGGGGGGAGCCTGACATGTAAACTACTTGCAGGGGTTTTTTTCCAATCAAGTGTTATATACATCGCCCAGGAGAATCTCTCTCTTTTCTGCCTTGCCCAACTGTGCTTTGGAAGCTCCACCTTGGGACCAGAAAATAACACCTGCCCTCCCTGAGTACTCCCTGTGTACCACCTCCCATCTAAGCCACTGGCCATCACCACACCTTGTGACAGCAGATTCCATATGTTCTGTATACTTTATGCCAGGTATGGGGAACCTTTGGCCCTCTAAGTGTTGCTGAACTAACATCAGCCCTATCAAGTATGGTCAATGGCCAGGAATGATGGGAGCTGCGGCAGGTTCAACAAGGTTCCCCATCCCTACCTATGTTAAAGAGGACTTTCGTTTGTTTGTTCTAGATTTACAGCTGCCAATTAATGCCAATTCCACTTCCATTGGACACACTACCTTCTCTGCAGAGGATGGAAGAGTAGACAACCTTAGCCTTGGCTTTGGTTTGGATCTGTGTCCTTCTGCTGAATCCAAAGAAGCTTCACATGACCTGCAGAGAAAGAACAACATTTTATCACAAAGACACAAATCCTGAGATGATGGTGATGTATTGGATAATCTCATTGGATCATGTATTCGTTACAACAGTTTGAAAATACTAGGGACTGTTACCCTGCTTGCCTTACTCACCCCCCCGCTATCTCTCCCATATTTACTCCCTAGAGCTTCCCCTTCCCACACCATACAACTACTAACCTCACTTTTACCTTCCCAACCACATTTCTGAAGCCACTTCTCTCTTCTATTCTGCAGCCTCACTTTGCACCCATTTTTGCCTTCACACTCATGTCTCTGCCTCCCTTTCCTTTTGTGCAACCCTTTTTTTTGCATGTAAACCACCCTTGCGGTAACTTCATGCATCTTCCTCCTCCCACAGACTACAACTACTAAGAACCCTTTTTCACCCTCTCCCCAGTTATGAAGCTACCATCCCTTCCTCTTCTCCAGACCCTTTGATGTTCCCTCTTTCATGATTCCGCCTCCCTCTTTTTTTGCAATCCCCTCTGGACTCTCCTATTTGTAGCCACCTTTGCACCCAACCACCCCATGCTGATATACAGCATGCTACTGTGTCTTGAAAGTGAACAGAATCCTGCCAGCTTGTTCCATTACAGAAGGTTAACTTCAGTTGATGGGTGTTGTACAAAGATGGGGGTCTGCTCATTATTAAAGTATCTCTTCTAAATTACAACAATGGATCTGGAACTTCATGTTGAAGGCAATTCACAGTACCAAGAGCAAAATAGTTTTTGTGCAAAGGTGCTATGGGATATTTGAGGCTAATACAACAGAGCCTTTCCTGGCTCACTTCTCACGGTAGTCAAACCTTGTCTTAAACTGCCACTCTCCGCCCCCCCACTCTACTCACACCTCTGCCATTGTTTAAAAATCACCACTTTCCCCACTGCTCAGTTTCCTTTATTCAAACCTCCACTGTTGTCTAAAACCTGCCTTCTCTTTTGCTCCCCTCCCCCTGCCTGGCTTCATGCAAATCCAGGATTGTGATGCAGCCCTACGAATCCTCCAATGGGAGTTGAGTGATGATATTCTGACATGGACAACATTGAAATCAGTAAAAACAATTTACAGTCAGAAGTATAGAGGAGGTCCTAAATCATATAATAATATGAGGTGTCACAGGCCAAGATACAAACAATGTTGTTCAATGCAGATGGTGGGTGCTGTTACTGTACATGGTTGAGTGGGTGTGTTGTGTGTCAACATGGGGTCTATCACAAGGTCTATCACTTGTAGTGTATCACCGAGTTAGACTATTGGTCCCTCTGGCTCAGTACTGTCTACAGTGATGAAGCAGCATCTCGCCAAGCTAAGAAGGTGTCTTATACTGAGGCAGTTCACTGGTACATCAGTATTGTCTACACTGACTGGCAGCAGCTCTCCAGGGTTTCAGACAGGTTCCCGGTTCTACCTAGAGCTGTCAAGGGTTGAACCTGAGACCTTCTATATGCAAAGCTATGCCCCTTTGTTAGAAACAAGAAACATCAAAATTTGAACAAAAATAAAATAAAATACACAAAACATAAAAACACCAGCTTCTGCTGGTGGGGGACAACCAATCAGCAATATGGAGAGGCACTAAAACAAAGCTTGTCCCAGCAGGATCAAATTCCATCCAACACCTGAATGAAAAGGAAGGTTTTTATTGTGGCACCAAAAATATGTCAGTGTTGGTGCCAGGCAGGCCTCATTCAGAAGATAATGCTTCTGGCACTAGTTACAATGCTGCAAGTAACAGGCAGCACAAAAATAGTGTGAGCTTATAATGAACTTTTCCTCATGTTTGTTCATCACGTTAAAAACTTGCATTCAAGCACATTATAAACTGCATTTCTGTCTTACAAACAGAGAGAGACACCAATAGCTCATAAGTACTTTAAGTGCCATTGGTGAAATAGTTCCTTACTCTGCTTCCAGTCTGCCTTCTTTGAATGTTTTGGATCTTGGGAGCAGTAGATGTGAAGGAGTTGCTTCCTTAGCAGGGAACAGTCTGGATTAGTTGTTTGAGGCCAGACATAGTCAAATTAGGAGTGGCCCCCGATGTTTCTCCATCAGCTGATTGGATTACAAAATGCTTCACCCTGCACTAACTGGCAAAAAAGCCCAATTTGCAAAAGGGAAGCAGTTACAGCCTTAAACAGTTTGGCAAATGGCATCCAACTGTTTCGGCATCTCAGGTGCTAGTGCCTGTTTAATGATTAACATTTGGTTGGAATTGTTGTATTTGCAATTGACAAAATGGGGAAGCAATCAACAGAAAATTCCTTGCATGGTTTATTTTTAGCTTTTAAATAGCTGAAAGTAGCTGTGACCATCCCCCAAGTCTTCAGTGGGTAGATGTCTTCTGAACAGAACAGTAAACCATGAGCCTTGTGGCTGGACCAGGACAAAGGCCCATCTGTTCAGCATCCTGTTCCCACAGTATCCAACCTTTGGGAAGCCTGCAAACAGGACCTGACAGTCTGCAGGGTTCAAACTTAAGTTCAGAGCATGAATTAAGGAGGCGATTTCACTGTGAATAGCCAGGAAAAATGGCAAGACTTTCAAAAACAAAGCTAGGAGGAGGAGGTTTTCTATAGTACTTGATTGCAAAGCTTTATATGATAGAGCAAGGATATCCACCCTTCCTGGGCCTAGGGGCACATTTGGAAATCAGAGAAATTGTTGTGGACACGAGCAAGATACTCACTTCACAGAAGAAACACCAATGATGCTGAGGAACCCCCACCAAAAAACACAACACACAAAACTACATCCTTCCCCAAAAAAGGCTGGCATGCCCTCACCCCAAAACGGACCACCCTCATCAACCAAACACAAAAGCCTTCATTTAAAAAGAAATGAATGGGTAGCACAGGGTGCCCTGGTTGGCTCAAAGTAGGGTATCTGAGGACATGGTGGTGCCCATGTGCTCCCCATTGGGGAACCCAGTAACAGAGTCATAGGTAAAGGTCCCCCTGACCATTAGGTCCAGTCGTGGCCGACTCTGGGGTTGCGGCGCTCATCTCGCTTTATTGGCCAAGGGAGCTGGTGTACAGCTTCCGGGTCATGTGGCCAGCATGACCAAGCCGCTTCTGGCAAACCAGAGCAGCGCACGGAAACGTTTACCTTCCTGCCGGAGTGGTACCTATTTATCTACTTTGACGTGCTTTCGAACTGCTAGGTTGGCAGGAGCAGGGACCAAGCAATGGGAGCTCACCCCATCGCGGGGATTCGAACCGCCGACCTTCTGATCGGCAAGTCCTAGGGTCTGTGGTTTAACCCACAGCGCCTCATTATTAGTGTCATACTTCATCTAACTAGTAGCTGAACAATAATGGTGAAATTGTCAATTAGTTTTCCTCCTCCCTTTTTTAAACAAAAAAGAAGTAAAAATTTTTTTCCCAGAACTTTCTCAGAATTATATTAGGAAATAATCTTGATTTGATAAGTACATAACCAGACACCTATTGGAGAAGAGGGATAAAGTAAAGGGAAAGGGACCCCTGACCATTAGGTCCAGTCGTGACCAACTCTGGGGTTGCGGCGCTCATCTCGCTTTATTGGCTGAGGGAGCCGGCGTACAGCTTCCGGGTCATGTGGCCAGCATGACTAAGCCACTTCTGGTGAACCAGAGCAGCACACGGAAACGCCGTTTACCTTCCCGCCGGAGCGGAGTGCATACTTGCACTATGACGTGCTTTTGAACTGCTAGGTTGGCAGGAGCAGGGACTGAGCAACGGGGGCTCACCCCGTCACAAGGATTCGAACCACTGACCTTCTGATCGGCAAGTCCTAGGCTTGTGCCGGATTTTAAATATACCTTACTTGCTATCAATAGGCACTGGCAGTTCAGTTAAAGAGGATGGTCCTAATGTATTTAATACATAATAGCTTTTCCTGCTGTCCATACAAGATGACAACAGACTTGCCAGGCCAGGCAACTGTGGGGTCTTGAAGTGCTGGCCTCTGAACTTCAATGCTTCAACCCTCTGGTGGAGACCTATGGGAAAGGCCTTAACTGCAAGCCTTCTTTGGGTGTTCTCACTGATGCCAGATCCATTTCGGACCTTCTCAGACCAATGTGGTGCCAATTGTCTCCTTTTTCTAAGTATGTGTAATTTCACTGGCTAGCAAAGGGGTTCCCAAATTGTGGTCCATGGGCCACTGCTTCATTTGTGGAGTCTGCAGTGTGTATGTATGTGAACAAAACCTACCCATTTGAATCCTATGGAATTCAAACTAAAATACAATATATAAGAAATAATTTTAAATGTGCTTGTGGGAGGGGGGGTTATTGGTTTGTTTTTGTTTTATTACGTATTTTGTATTCTCATTTAGTGTTTTTCTGTTGTGAACTGCCCTGGGGTCTTTGGATGAAGGGTGGTAAACAAATTAAATTAATAGTAATAGTAATAGTAGTAGTAGTAGTAATAATAATAATAATAATAATAATAATATACACTTTGAAATGATTCAACATATAGCACATCACATCACAATTGCTGCAGCAGGCAAAAAAAAAAAACCCCATTAAGTGGCCCACCGAGACCCTCAACAATTTTCAAGTGGTTGGGGTGTGTGTGTGTGTGTGTGAGTTTGGGAACCATTGGACTAGCATACACCCCTTGTTGCTTTTGACTTTCTGTGTTGTCTTCTTCCTTCCCTCCCCATCTATAGTTAAATTGCAGGTGCTTGGGGCAAATACCTCTCTTTTGATGGTCAGTGAAGTGCCGCATATACAGATGGAACTGTATGAATAAGAATCTCAACAAGCAATATCACACCAATTCCTTGACTATCACATTTTTCGTTGACAATGAGTTCCATGTGTGTAGTTCTCTTCTGTTAATATTACCTTTCTTCTTCTGAGATAGCGGAAGGCAAAACTGTTGCTTCTGGTGGTAAGAATGATTTCCTGTCTTTCGGACTCTCTGGGATATGTTCATTATTCTCACCTGTTAGAAAGGAGTCAGTGAGATTAAATCAATTATTTTTTAACGTTGATGGCTGTGGTATTTTACATAAGAAAGTGTTTTCTGTATGATTAATGCCAAGCTAAGGCACATGGCTTCCCCCCAAGAATCATGGGAGCTGTCGTTTATCCCAGAGCTACAATTCCCAGCACCCTTAACAAACTAGTTCCCAGGATTCTGGAGCTAGAACTGGGATTCTGTGAGCAACTGCCCCATACAGTGGTACCTCTGGTTAAGTACTTAATTCGTTCCGGAGGTCTGTTCTTAACCTGAAACTGTTCTTAACCTGAAGCACCACTTTAGCTAATGGGGCCTCCTGCTGCTGCTGTGCCGCCACCGCGCGATTTCTGTTTTCATCCTGAAGCAAAGTTCTTAACCCAAGGTACTATTTCTGGGTTAGCGGAGTCTGTAACCTGAAGCGGATGTAACCCGAGGTACCACTGTATTGAAGTTTGGAGGAACTTCCCGCATAGTGAAGTATTCTAGGCTCTGCACTGGCCCTACCCACCTGGGCTGGCCACTGGGACCTTCTAGACAGGGAAAACTATATAAGACTTCCTGTCTCGGCTGGAACTTTGCTTGAGCAACTGTGGTCTTCCTGAGCAGAACTTTATTTGTTTTTGAGCCTGGCTTAGTTCCTCTGTACTGAGTAGTGATAGATTCTGCCCCCTCCCACTGGTTCTGACCCAACTCCAAGCACACAGCTCCTAGTTCCAGCTATGGCTCAGCCTTAAAAGAACAGCAATGGCTGAAAGGACTGGAGGAATGTGCTGATGTTGGGGGAGCAGGGGAGTTATTTGTTCAAGGAAGCAGTGATTGGGGGAACAGATATCAACTGGGGAGTGGGTAGCATATGGCCCTTGCAGATCAGCTTTGTGAAAACTGCCTCACAGGGTTTAGCCATAACCAGAGACACAGACCACCCTTTTCCCCAGGGTGGCAAGCTAACAAACCCAGCTTGAAAGCTAATCAGGACGTGGCAGAGAGCTGTCAATGAAATTAATCCACTCCAGGATTTTAAGGGAGCTACTTCCTGTTTTGAGTCAAAGTCTTCTGATCTTGGCAAATACAGGAGGAGGCAAAGAGAGCTAATAAAAGGAGGACCCCCCCTTTGTTTGCTCTGGCACAGGAAGAAGCAATGAGTTGGGACTTGTGTTGTACCTACCGGATGAAAGGAAAACAATGCAGCTCACACAAATATTTAAGAGAGCATGGAGGCATCGAAACTACCCAGGTAGGTGCCAACTGGATGTTTGGCAGTAGACCAGGGGTAGGGAAACTTCAGCCAAATGTGGACCTCTAAGCTTTCCATCTGACCCTCAGGACTCTCCCCAGGACACTCCCTGTCCTCCCCAGCCACACCCCTCAACCACCCTGCTGCACGCCCTCCTTGAGTGTTTTTGCCTGTCTGGAACTGGTCCTAGGACTCTTGTTTACCTGGAAGGAGGATGGAGAAGAGTGTGTGTAGAAAAGGGGTGGGAAACACTGTTCAATCTGAGGGCCGCATTCCACTCTGGGCAACCTTCTGAGGGCCACATGCTAGTGGTGGGTGGGGCCAGAGTGAGCAGAGCAATCCATGTAAATTTTACCGTTGAACTACACACACACACACACACACACACACACACACACACACAGACCACTTTCTATCCTCCACCCAACCAAGCAAAAGGCATTATTAGAATTCAAGGACACATTTCAGCCTGGCAGAAACACTTGTGGTTCAAAGCAGAGCCAGTGAGAAGCATGGTCGAAAGCTGTGAAATGAAGGTACCAAATGCAGCTCTGTCAGAGGGGATTTCCACAGCTTAGGGGCACCCACAGAGAATGCTCTTTCCTGGATCACCACCTTCTGAGTTTCTGAGGATAGAGGAACAACCAAGAAGGCCTCCTCTACCGATCTTAGCACCTGAGAGGATAAATGGAAGGAAGGAGGGGGTCTTTAAGGCATTTGGGGCTGGAGTCATTTAGGGCATTAAACACTAAGATGCACACCTTGAATGAAATGCATTGGTGCAATTGCTATGTTCTTTGGCAAGAGTGCTTTACTCAGTTCAGCAATGTCAGGGGTTGGCAATCCATTCCACAAGCGCCCATGGGGGTCGTTTAACTGGCCCACGAACCAGACCCAAACCGAGCTGCCCGCTCGGCGAGTCCCCGCGCGCTGCGCTAAACCGGCGCAGCGTGGCAGGGGGACTCGCTTCCGCGGCGCCAGAAATCGTGTCTGCGCAGATGCGGATGCCAGAAATTGCGTCTGTGCAAACGCAGACACTGGAAATCACAGGCGCATGCACTCGCAAGCATGCACAATCCGGCCCACAGAGGGATCTCCGCTGGAGTCAACCGGCCCAGGCGAGGTAAACCTTGCCAACCCCTGAGCCATGTCTTACCAGTTAAGAGGTTCAAAAATGCACACTTGATTTATTGCTATAACAGTGGTACCTCTGGTTATGAACTTAATTTGTCCAGGAGGTCCGTTCTTAACCTGAAACTGTTCTTAACTGGAGGCGTGCTTTTGCTAATGGGGCCTCTTGCTGCCGCTGCACCGCCGGCACAAGATTTCTGTTCTCATCCTGGGGCAAAGTTCTCAACTCGAGGTAACTCTTCCAGGTCAGTGGAGTTTGTAACCTGAAGTGTTTGTAACCTGAGGCATTTGTAACTCGAGGTACCAGTGTATTTATTATGCTTATAATAATATTGTTTATTACCGGTACTTATTCTGCATCTTTTCCAAGATACAATGGGCAGGTTGCTAGTGGTTCTAATAATAATAGCAATGAACCATCATAAAAACTAATTGTAAACACTGAAGTCAGCCCACCCCTGTGTAAATACTCAATGCGTCTAGACTGGGTTACACCACACCAATCAAAAAGGTGCCACTGATCTTGCATTGCACAATATTTGTCCTTTACTGTAACTTTCCTCCCTGGGATCATTACAGAACTAAAACACCCACAATTCACTGGATCAGCAACACATTGAGAAAACTTTAATGCATATCAGGTTGGAGATGAGAAGGATTTTCCTTTTATGGTAAGTTTTGTATCTAAAAGCATTTCCACGAGCTATTTTGCTTGTTTAAAGAAGGTGCTTTCAGTATACTAAACTTGCCTTAGGAAATAGTGTCATAGAAGGAAGACAGCTAGAATGAAATGGCAAGTGACACTCTGGCTCACTGTTGCCCAACCAGTTTAACTTGCTTAGTTCTTTGTTGTGTTAAAGGTCCAGCTCTTCAAAAACTATAACCGCTTTAACAATTTTAGTATCCAGTTGAAACAAAGACCTGATGAACAGTAGAACTTCGGAGATGCATCAATCCAAGTAATTCAAGTTGCATTTATTATTTTTGTTATGCTCTGTCAACTTCAAATTCTAAAAGTATGTAGGGAACAGTGGTGAAATAGTAAGAGGATAGAGCTGGTGTGCCATGTGGTTCCTAAACTAGCCTGCTCTCCTCACGCAGGGTGGAAGACCCTGCCCCATTGCCAGTGATGAAGTAAGACTGAACAACCTGCTGGGCACCTTCTGCAGCCAAATGTCTTGAGCCAGCCCTGCGGCCATGCTCCCAAGCTTAGCAAGGCTATGCGAGCTCCAAGAGAGGAGCTTGCATTTATAAGCCAGGGTTAATTATTTCAATCTACTATTTTTATACCTGGGCAGAGCAAATCCAAGCTCATAGTTAGTGCGGAGAGAGCTTAACCATGGGTCCTTGTTTAGATATCACGCTAAGTTAAACTTTGGCTACATTCATATAGGAACAAAAAGAATGGAGAAGGAGTAAAGTGGCTGCAATATCCACTCTGGAAGCCCGCATGCTTGCCCACAGTCTCATTAAACCTAAGGTTGCCTTAGAGCAGTGGGTTTCAACCAGTGTGCCATGGCACCCTGGGGTGCCTTGAATGATGGTCAGGGGTGCCATGGGCAACACTGGCCTCCATCCCTCTTTCCTTCCCTTCCTCCTCTAATGCCCTCTTGCGTCTCTGCCTCCCAAACAGCTTGCACAGCTGTTTGTTGCAGCAGCCCTGGCTACAAGCTCCCCAGGCGAATGGTGCCTCTGCGCAGGCCAAGGGGTGCTGGTTGCCAGGAGTTGAATCGGCCTCAAAGTAAGCAAAGCAAAGCAAGCAAGCAAGCAAGCAAGCAAGCAAGCAGGAGAGGGAGCCCAGCCAGCTAGTCTGCCAGCCCTTGCTGTTGGGAATGGACAGACAAGTCCCAGGCCCTGCAAGGTAATGTGAGGAGACATCTCTCTTTGTGGCAGGGCAAGGCAGCTCAGAGATCAGGGGCGGCAGCAGCAGCTGTCTGGAGGACTCCCAAGGAGAGGGGAGAGGAGAAGAGGCTGAGGAAACACTTCACAAAGGAGGGTTTCAAAAATGGGTGAGAGGCTGCCAGCTCTGCAGGCAAGGGGTGACATCACTGGGCTCCTGATCTCCACAGGGGTGCCGCAGAAAGAATGTAGTTGGTCAAGGGAGCCGTGGACTCAAAAAGGTTGAAAACACTCTGGCTTAGAGTGTTTCATGAATTAAGACTCTAGTCTTACAATCTAGAAGTCTATAATTACTATGAAAACTGTTAAGTTTTGTTAAAAAAATGAAATGCCATAGTACTACTTGGCAAAGAGAAGGGCTGGGGATTCAAATGCAATGTTTGCTGCAGTTTAGTTTGACAGTAAAATCCCTTCAAGTGACCTTTGGGTTATTATCAGTGATGTGACAAAGAAAATGCTATTGACCTCGAAAAGAGCAACATTCCTATCTGCTGAGCTATTTAAACGTGCACAAGTTCAGGATGACTTTTTTTAAGTACACTTAATATCTGAATGAAACTTTTCATGCAGCCTAACTGTCCATTTCTGAGCACAACATGGTTGGGACCTGAGTACCTGAAGGAATGAATGAATACCTATTCCCACATCAACCTACCCACATGTTGAGGTCAGGGATTAGCAGTTTTGGTTTGCCTCATTTCTGCATCTGTTTCTAAAGGTCACACACATTTCTACATTCCTTTCTCCTAACATAAAAGAAATTTTCTCTAGTATAATGCACTTTTTGTATGTTGTTTTCACATATATTCATTTTGATGCATACCTTTTCATAATTATGATGTTCTGCACACATTTGTGTTTAGCGAACTGGATTGCAAAATTCAGAGATGTGTTTCTGTTTGTAAGGATGGGTGAGAAATGTGATTCAGTTAGCATCTTAAGGCAAACTTACCTGATTTGCACTTTCCTTCTAAATTTGTAGTTCTCTGAGTTTTGCAATGCAGTTCACCAGCAAGATAATGTGTGCAGAAATGCATGTTCTAGGGTAAAATGCACTATATTAGGCAAAGCTGCTATTCATCTAACAGTGCTACAATTCCCAGAGGTCCCTGGGAAAAGGAATTGATTATTAAACCACTCTGGGAATTGGAGTTCTTTGAGGGGAACAGGGATCGCCTAACAACTCTCAGAACTTTTAATAACACAAATGGTTGGGTTTATTTTTGTCCCACTTTTGTTTTGCTGTGGCCTCTCTGAACAAGAATAATCTGGTTGCCCCGAGGAAGCATAAAAAAACAAACAAAAGCAGAATATCCATCACTAATGCACTATTACTGTGTCCAGAATGTATTGCAAAATACATACATATCCTTAAGTATGTGTAATACTTGGATGGAGTGGGAGAGAGAGAGATTGTTACCTGCTACCACAGTCTCTGACAGGTGAGAGATTCCAGGGGTTCCAAGCATTTACACAGGGTTCAGTTTCCATGGAATGAGGGTCAATGGAGACTGTGGTATCTTTAGGATATATGGTTTATTTACACACATACATACAAACTGAGCCTACAATGGAGGGGCTCACAGCATTAACACGCCAAGAGGGCCTTGCTTCTCTCATAGTTTCAGCCTTGGAATCAAACATAAATCAAACACAGTTCTGTCTCTATGGCTTCCACCTGCTTCTAGCTCAGCTAACACCCACACACTGGCCCCTGAACTTCAATATACCAGCCAGGTGAGTGTGTGTGTGAAGCCCACCCATTAGCCTGTGATTATGGCTCTTAATTGCTCAGACCAACAGTAATTGCTTAGATGAAGGGACGAATGACAGTACTTAGCTGGTAAGTTATGGCCATTATCTTGCAAAGGAACTTGTTCCACGAGTTCAAAAATAGACTCAACCATTAGATTTTAATCCATGCTGGATCCAGGGCCATGCAAACTGGCCCCCTCAAATGAACTATATATGTGAGAGAGGGTGAAAGTGAGTGAGAAAAGTCAGGTGAGATGTTGGACAACACTTATTTCAGTTTTATTATGTATGTAAGCGCATATGTACACAAGCAGCAGTTGACAACAGATTGCAGGTAGGGTGGAGGGCTCAATTCACCTACTGTGTACATCCAGAAAATCCTGTTGTCAATCCATAGCTCTGAAGTAAACCCTGACAGCAAAAATCAGAATTTGTCTCCACCTCCAGCCAGGAAGCGGTCTAAATTTGCATCTTTATGTAAAAAGTAAAATGTGCAGCTTTCTGCTATGGGGCTGAGTTCTGGATCTTTTAAGTACCTAGCATCACTGTGATATCAGGTTGTTGCCATTGTTAGTATCCGTCTTGTCTCAGGAAACAACGGAGGAGGAAAGTCAAATCGCTGGAGTCACAGTGCCTGCTGTGGCTGTAGAGACTGATACGGAAGAGACATATTTTGTTGCAGCTGGGGTAGATGAAGGTGGCCGGTTATACTACTCCAGATGCACCATGACCTTTCTTTTCTCTGTGCTCCTTCCAATGGCCATTCCTCCTCTGGTCACCACTATGGATGCACAACCTGTCTGTCTGTCTCCAGGCACTGTGGTTGTCTGCAAGGGATTCCCATACGGCGGGGTTAATGTTGCCAGCCTTCATGCCATACTTGCAGACATCTTTGTAACGCAGAGTTGGTCTTCCAGGTTGGCCTGGTGCCAGCAGCCAGTTCCCTGTACAGCAGGTCTTTGGGGATCCTGTCATCTTCTATTTTGTCGACAAGACCAAGCCAGAGTAGACATGGTTGACAGGAGTGTGAACATAATGGGACTGTGGGCTTTGGAGAGCACATCTCTTGAAACTCTGTCCTGCCATGTGATACCTCAAATCCTCCTGATGCAGCACATGTGAAAGGCATTGAGGCACCACTTCTGATGGTTATAAGTTGTCCATGACTCACTTCTATAAAGCAGGGTGCTCAGCACGCAAGCCTGGTAGACCTTCATATTAGTATTAACATCACATTCTCCCATGCCCTTTTGGAGAGGCAACCCATAGGCATAACAGCCTTGCCAATACGCTTGTCCTACTCATCATCAATGGAGGGGTTGCTGGTTATGATGAAACCCACAGAAGACAAAATCATCTACCACCTCATCAAGTGTGTGGTCACCAATGCTGATTGGTGTGCTAGTGGTATCCTGACCCAAGATGTTGGTCTTTGTCAGACAGAAGGTAAAACTGAACTCCCTGCAGACTTGGGTAAAACAGCTGATGAGTCTCTGCAGGGCTTCCTTGGAGTGCACTGTCAAGGCTGCAACATCTGCAAAGAATAAGGATAAGGACCCGCCACACTTTTGTCATGGCCCAGAAACATGCCCTGTTGCTCCTTGAATGAAAGTACATACCATCTTCAATTGAGCTGAAGCATAGGAGAGCACTGGGGAGAAGAATATGCCGAAGAGAATTGGGGTGAGAACATAGCCCTGTGTAACACTGCTCTTTATAGGGAAGGCATCAGAGGATTAATGGACGTCATCATGGATGGTGCTGTGCATGTTCTCCTGGAAGGACACAATCTTCTTGTGGAGCTTAGGTGGGCCCTCTAGCTTGTTGAGCAGGGTGAAGGGTCTTTTTCGGCTGACGAGGTCATAGGCCTTCGTCAGGTCTATGAAGGCGATGTAAAAGGGGTGTCTCTGCTGTCTGCATTTCTCCTGCAGAGGCCTACAACTCCCTGGCTTCAGAGGAACTTTTATTTTATTGTGAGTCAGAACCTACAAAAGGAAATACTCCTACAGGTCTTCTCCTCGAGTTTCTTGGAGGGAAGGGGGAGTGTAAATGACACACATTTCCTCATTGGGAAGATAGATGTTAGAAAATAGAAGTACATGCATGTGTAGACAAGATTCCCACAGTGCACAATATGCTATGGGAGAACAGGGCAAAAAGTAGTATCCTCCCTGAAAACATCCCTCCAGAGTACTTAGCAAGGCTCTAGGTTCCTGGAATCAACACCTAACCTTTTTCAGATTCTACTGTGTTCCATCCTCACTAGAAAGAAAGAAAATGAATTTGTCTAGAGGCTAGGCAACATTGCTCAGCAGTCCTGTAATATTTCAGCCAAGGCTTAATTGGCCTGCCTCTGTGATCATATGAATCATCCCAAAGTGTTATTACCCACCAGTGCACCCTGATAGCAAAGTGCCAAATTCAGGCTGGCGGGATTTGGATTCAAGCCCAGATTTAATGATCTACCTCACAAAAACTCCGTCAGGTCGGATTTGTTCCATTTCAAAAAGTGCAGTGCATTTCCAAGCAAAGTGCAAGGCAATAACCCCCCTCTTTCTTTTTTCCTGGAAAAAAGGCAAGGCCCCAGAATGCCGCTGAGGAGTACAATATGGCTCCCCATCAGTGTTTTAGAAGAACGTTCACTTGCACTTGTTTTGCTCTCAGAAGTAGGGACCGTTTGGTTCAGTGGTTAGAGCTCTGGACTAGGGCAATGGGACTCCAGAATTCAAATCCCTGCTCAGCCAGGAAGCTCTCCTAGGCCAGTTACTGTATCTAAGCCTAGCCTACCTCACAAGGTTGTTGTGGAGATAAAATGGGGAGGGGGGAGAACCATATACTAACTATCTTGAGTTTGTTGAAGGAAAGGTAGGATATAAATGTTGTAATAAAATTATCATCATCATCATCATTATCATCCATCTTCTCTATTATACTGGTATCCAAAACAGATTATATTTAGATCCAATAAGGTGACAATACTTGCGGTAAATTCTGAAGTGAATTTAACGACCCCTAGAGCCGTGATCTCAAAGGGAGTCCAAAAATGTAGGCGACAGTATAATAGTAGTAGTGATAGTAACAACAACAACAACAACAACTTTATTTGTACCCTGCCCATCTGACTGGCTTGCCCCAACCACTCTGGGAGGCTTCCAACATATAAAAAACATAATAAAAAATAAACATTTTGAAACTTCCCTATACAAGGCTGCCTTCAGATATCTTCTAAAGGTTATATAGTTACTTATCTCCTTGACATCTGATGGAAGGGTGTTCCACAGGGAGGGGCACCACTACCAAGAAGGCCCTCTGCCTATTTTATATCCCACCCTTCCTCCCAAAGGGGTCCAGGGCAGCAAACAACAAGAGAGAAACGCTAAAAACATCTTAAAAGCACACTTCCCATACAGATGCAGAATGGGAAAGACCTCAACTTAAAAGGCTTGTTGAAAGAGGATGGTCTTCATTAGGTTCCAAAAGGACAAGAGAGATGGCACCTGACTAATATTTAAGGAGAGGCAACTCCAAAGGGTAGGTGTTACCACACTAAAGGCCCAGTTTCCACACTTTGTGTAATGGGCCTCCTGATAAGATGGTATCAGCAGGAGGCCCTCGCCTGTAGAATGCAGTGATGAACTGGCAATACAAGGCGAGAGATAATCTGTCAGGTATCCTGGTCGCATGCTGTATAGGGCTTCATACACCAGCACCTTGAATGTTGCTCATGTGTTCTGTGTTGATCCCTACACACACCCAAAAGTGTTTAAGGGCAAAGTAGAATACCCTATTCATTAGGATCACCATGACTGCAGTTTTATGCTTAGTTTCCTGGAAATAAAAGTCACTGAACTCATTGGGGTTTACTTCTGACTGCACAACTTGCAAAACACACTGAGTTTTAACCAAAGATGTTGAGCCATCTGAAATGCCACCTTTCGCTTTTATTTAGAAATGCATATCATCTAGCAAAAAAAGTGTTGCCGTTGACCCTGCTCATGCGAAAGCAGGAACTCTATCAAAGAGAAAACTTGAAGTATTCAGCTACTACTTGATTGCTTTCCTCACTCTGACTTTCCATATGCTAACCTGATGCAAACAAACTTGAAAGCCTTGTTATCTCCTTTTTCACTTGCTAGAGCAGGGGTAGGCAACCTAAGGCCCGGGGGTTGGATGCGGCCCAATCGCCTTCTCAATCCAGCCCGCAGACAGTCTGGGAATCAGCGTGTTTTTACATAAGTAGAACGTGTCCTTTTATTTAAAATGCATCTCTGGGTTATTTGTGGGGCATAGGAATTCGTTCATTTTTATTTATTTTTTCCAAAATATAGTCCGGCCCACCACATGGTCTGAGGGACGGTGGACCAGCCAAAAGGTTGCTGACCCTTGTGCTAGAGCAAGGAGAGCCTGTCAATTACCCTGACATTGAGGTAGATAATGTCATTACCTGTATTCTGGAAAAAGTCTGCCTCCATTACACCACTGGAAAATACAAATGACTAAACTCCAAAAAATATTCCATGTGCTAAAGCACAGCCAGAATATGAGAATGAAAGTTAATGCATGTGGATTTTAGCTGGAAGGTATAGGTGAGAGAGCAGAAGCGGGAATAACTGTTTCCATCTTGTTTAAAGGAACCCGACATACATCATCCTCTTTCCTACTTTTGGGGCCAGCAAAACCCCAAAACCATTATCCAAGTGTTTGGGTTTCTAGAGCTGCAAATGAAGCAAACTTCAGGTGCCCAAAACATCACTTTGAGTTTTAAACCTTCTTGTATGTTGTTTTGAGGTTCTTTGGCCATAATAATAAATAGAGAAATAATAATGTTGATAATAATAGTAATAATAATAATAAAAGTAGTATTGTCACCATTATTACATTCTTAGTCACTTTTCTTAAAATGACCCAAGGTGACTTACAGGTAACATACCTAGCATGCTTTCTAACCACAGATTGCTATGATGACAAACAATGGTTAGTGCTCCAACAACAGGAATTAGAATTAGAAGTTATGAAGGTGGTTTCTGTAAGACACGTGTGAGAAGGGAGGAGAAAGGACATGAGCTGTGGTGTCTTTCTGCCATCCAAACAATGTTTTAGAGCAGGGTTTCCCAAAATGGGGGACACCTGCTGTTTTTGGACTACAATTCCCATCATCTCTGACCAGTGGTCCTGCTTAGCTAAGGATGATGGGAATTGTAGTCCAAAACCAGCTGAAGTTTGGGAAACACTGGTTTAGAGGATCATCTGAACCGTGCCTCTGGCTTACTACTGTGTACTTACGGTCAAAGTTACCCTTTTTCTTTTTAATCGATGCTCGGAGTAGTTCTGAGCCTTCTAATGCCTCCTGGAAGCGCTGTGCCTTCACCTCATGGAACCATTGTCCAGTCACAAATTTCTTCTTCTTTTCATCCTTCAGTGAGCCTTCCAATCGCCTTAGCAGAAATGAAAAGGAAAATCAGTGCCAGAGCCTTGCATTTACACAGTGCACAGAGGCACTCAGAGAAAACCTGCATTTTACTGCTGAATTGGAGCAAACAGCAATCTGTGGGAAATCTGATTGCCACTGCTCTGATTCAATAGCAAAACATGTTGTCCCCCCCTCCCCCCAGGGAAAGCACCAGGACCAAAATAATCCAAAACAAAACCACTTGGATACAGATCTGGCAGCCATGAATGTCTGCCTAGAAAAGGGGCACAAAATGAAGTGTGGATGAGCCCTATGTGTCAAGGCAGTCTTGCCTAAAAAAACCCACCTTTTTTTTGCTGGCGTCAAAAATAATCCAGAGAAGCTGCCTGCTTAATATCAATAAGCAGGGAGTTCCAGAGAGCTTGTGCTGCCACACTAAAATATGTATTTCTCACAGAATATTATATCACACTTGTAAAAGTGCCAGTTTTGCAGTTGAAAGTGGTTGAGTGGGCAAATATATATGGTAAGAAAATTCTTCAAATAAAGCGGTCACAAGCTTTGGCAAGCTTTATCTGTTACCAGCAACACCCTAAATTTGTCCCAGGAACAAACAGTAACAAATCATTTTATTTCTATTTTTCTACTGGCCGAGCCAAAGTCCTGAATTTAATAACATATCAGTCTGATTTTATTAATTTTGAATGAACATTTTACACCATTTTTTGTATGCCACTCAGAGATACTCTTTGATTAAGTGGTATATAAAGGTAAAGGGACCATTAGGTCCCTTTGACCATTAGGTCCAGTCGCGGACGACTCTGGGGTTGCGGCATTCATCTCACTTTACTGGCCGAGGGAGCCGGCATACAGCTTCCGGGTCATGTGGCCAGCATGACTAAGCTGCTTCTCGCGAACCAGAGCAGCGCATGGAAACACCGTTTACCTTCCCGCCGGAGCACTACCTATTTATCTACTTGCACTTTGATGAGCTTTTGAACTGCTAGGTTGGCAGGAGCAGGGACCAAGCAATGGGAGCTCACCCCGTCACAGGGATTCAAATCGCCAACCTTCTGATTGGCAAGTCCTAGGCTCTGTGGTTTATTTATTTTTTTATAAGATATTTATTAAGATTTTTTTAAATATTACAATAAAAATGAAAAAAATAACAAAAATACAAAATAAAAATGGTTAAAAACACACAGATTTTCCATTACTTATTTTCCTTTAGCTTGTTTCCCGGACCTCCTCATACTTCCCTTTTTGTATTCCACTTCAATCTGTTGGTTCAGCAAATCCTTACCCTCTTTAATTATCCTAATCCTTGATCTTAAAAATAATAGCATTAGATTTTTACCTATTTATAACCCTTTTTTCATATGTTCTTGTTCTGTCGATGGTGTCTCTTTCTCTGGGCCGTGCAATCCAAAAGATAAGTTTGCTATGTCTAGTATTCCTTTTACCAGTGCTTTTGGCTCTTCTCCGGATTCCGCTTCTTTCTGTAGATCTTCTTCGTGGTCTTTCAAAAACCTGTCTTTATCGTTGACTGATCTTATTTTTATCTTTCTTCCTTTGTATTTAAAGGATAGGCCTTGAGGAAATTCCCACCTAAAGAGAATTCTATTTCTTCTCAACAGGGCAACTAGGTCTCTGTAGTTAAGCCTTAAGTCCAAAAGATGTTTTGGAATGTCCTTAAATATCTCCACACTTGAGTCGTCAATTTCCAAAGTCTTTCGATAGTGCAGATTCAAAATTTTGTCTCTCTCCTCTTTTGTTCGAAGAGTAATCAAGCAGTCCCTCACCTTGTTCCTCCTTTGTCCTCTTCCAAGTCTAAATGCACTCACTATCTTAAATTCTTCCTTCCCCATGTCCTGTTGCCAAAAATCTGTGAATTCCTGTGTAAGAAATTCAGCCAAATTGTCTTTCTCATGTTCTGGTACAGCCCTGATTCTTAAATTTCTTTGTTTCCCTTTCAATTCAATCATAGACAGTGTCAAACCGTGGTCTTCCAATTGCTTGTATACCGGTGGTAACTTCTCTTGAGTAGCAGTTGCTATATCTTTTGCTTCTTCAGCTATCTTTCGGGTCGAAGCAGATTCCTGTAATAATTTTTCAATAGACTCTGTATTGGTATTCACCTTCTGTCCCAAATTATTTATGCTTGTTGTATTCAGGTCAATTTTAACTGATGCTTCAGCTACTTGTTTATTTGTCTCAGCTACCTGCTTAGCTAAATTTTCCAAAGATTCATTAATTTTTCCAAGTGCATGTGCCAGAACATCTTCGGACGACATAACTTTTGGTTTGACCTGTGGAGGAGCTCTGTGGTTTAACCCACAGTGCCACCCGCATCCCAAGTGGTATATAGGTCTTGCTAAATAAAATAAACGAAAAATATATGGGGATGGTTGGGAGTGAAGCTTGCCATTGTGAAGCCACTCCCCCTCCGTCTTGTATGTACATTCATTCAACATGAAGAAAACGTCTGTCAGTGAATTATAACTTGTGTTCCTAAGCCAGAACAGAGTTTGCTAAGTCACTACGAACAGCTTAGCCATAGGAAGATTTTTGCCTTTGGGGGGGATATTCCAGACCATGTCTCTGATCGCTCAGAGCTACAATCCTCCAGAGTAGCTTAACAATCAATCCCTCTTCCCAGAGAACTCTGGAAATTGTACCTCTGCTTGTGGGTTTCTCACAGGCGTCTGGCTGGCCTCCTTGAGAACAGGATGCTACACAAGATGAACCATTGGTCTGATCCTGCAGACTCTTAACAAACTACAGCTCCCAAGATTCTTTGAGGGAATTCATTACAGTTAAAGTAGTATAATAGAGTTTTGATTGTATAGCATGGATGTGGCCCAATTGGAGAATGGCTGAAAAGAAATTGGAGAAATTCCCAGCTCACTGCTAATTTAGGACTACAGTTGCTGTAAAATCCTTTGCACGAGTCTCCTAGGGCCAAATTTGTTGGGGTTTTTTGGCGCCAAATAAAAACATTTTGATTTATTCGGGATGTGCAACATTGTCAGTTGGTTTTCATTGTCTCTCTTCCCACTTTCTCTTCTGATTTTATTGCTTTATTGACTTTTTATTGTGTTTCCTCTGCTCGACTATTTTGTGTTTCACTTTTTTATACCGGTGTGCAAATATTAGACTTTATTGGAAGAAGGTCCAATAAAGATTTTCCCGCCAACAAGAAACATTCAGTTTTTGAAAGTAAACGAATAGGTTGGGAAGGCGCCGTTCGTAGAAGCGACAGTAAACCTCCCCCCCCCCCGTCCCCTGAGCAGCCTTTGACAACTTGGTCCCCTGCAGGAACTTTGGACTACAATTCCCATCAGCCCCTGCCAGGCCTCTCTAGATGTTGCTGGACTACAACTCCCATCACCCCCGACTATGCTGATGGCAGTTGGTTCAACAAACATCTGGAGGAGCACAGTTGCTCCATCCCTGATTTGCAAGAATTCATGAAGCCTGCAGCCATAAGGGCAGAGATCATCACCACACAGGTAATTGAAAGCTGGTTTGGGCTAGGTCATACCAGTGCTATTTTTCTAGGAAAAGAGGTGCTGGAACTCACCATGAAAACTTCCCTTGTTCTCTTATAATGGCAATTGCACTGAGAGGTGCCAGAACTGAGTTCCAGCTTAAGAAAGCCTTTGGTCAAACTATTATGTAGTGGGGCATAATGGGTTGAGGGACAGGTGGGGCTCGTCAACCTGGGAGGTAGCTCATCTAGGAGAAGGAAAACTCTGACCCTCCAACGCTTTGCAGGATATCTTTGGGAGAAGAAAAGGTTAAGGAGTAAACCCTACACAAATCCAGAGTAGAGTCCCTAAGCCGGTTGGACACTACCATGTACACCAAGCTGGTGCCGAACACATTGCTCTGCTTTCCTTTGGACCATATCAGCAAGACCAGGATGGGGGTCTTGTTGTCTCGGCAGCCCAGAACCTCCAAATACCCTGCCTGGGCTTGTGCCCTGGGGAGGTCACTGCAATGCTGCTAACACAGTGGTTTGACTTCACCTCCGGAGACACACTCCATTGTCTTTTGAGACAGACAGGTACTAACAACAATAAGGGGTCTAGGGCTGGGATGTCCTGAATTAAAATTCCTACTCAAGCTGAGTAATCCTAGCCCCCTCTCTCTAAGCCTCCCCCTACCTGGTGGCGTAGGAAGGGGGGTGCGGGCCACCCCGAGTGTCATCACTGAGTATGGTGACCACGGGGCCTGGCCTGCAACGCGCCCGAGCCACACATCTCTCCTGGGGAGTGACGCGGCGGCTTGGGCACCTGCAGGCTCCGCGCTGCCTGAAACGGCAACGTGGGGCTTGCAGACTCTGGGGAGGTTCTGCACTGTGTGCTCTGCCCCAGCTTGCCCTGCCCTGTAGGCCCCCAAGCAGCTAGCTATGCCTACCTCATAGGATCATTGTGATAATAAAAGTAGGAGACACATACACTGCCCCAAGCTCTTTGGAAAGGATGGAAGCATAAAAGTAGTAGTTTGGGGGGTTTCTTTTAGAAAAATGGACAGCTTCTCAAGCATGAATATGGGAATTTGTCCTTTTTCTCGCAGCGCCGTATGCTGATTCATTCACATTTCAAAAAGCAAACCTGCTGTCACAGGGAGAACAACTGAACTTCAGGTTTTGGGGCACATTCAGATTTTTGAGCAGGTACTGTAGGTGCCACCTGCTTTGGTCACTTCTCTCCCACTTCTCCCAGATCAGATCCCCACCAAGACAGAAGAAAGCATGTACACACACACACACACACACACACACACACACTTTATCTTTCCAGGGGATCTGGGTTAAAGCCAAATCCAGTGGAATATGAGCTCAATAAAGCACATGGAAATAAAAGAGGAAATTGAGAAAGAGCATCACTTGAGCAGTACTTTTCAAGGCGCAGGGGAGGCAACCACCCTTACCAACTCATGAGCAAGGGGGAAGTGAGTGGGAGGAGTCAGAGGCTTCTTGGATGCCAGGGGCAAATATTAAGGGTGCCACTGTGTCTGTGTGCACCATGCTGGTGACCCTTGCATCAACATCATCATCACCATCATCACTACCAGGAAACTTAACCTCTCAGAAATTGTAAATACTTTGCTACAGCCCTGACTTCTTACCTGATACGATCTCCATCCCTTTTCTTCAACTCGGCATCCCTCTGCAGCACCTTCATCAGCTTCCCATACTCCTCTTCTGTGAGAAAGCTGAGATCCAGCATCTTTCCCTTGGCGTTCTCTGGGCAATCAAAGCATTGGCACTTTGGAGGCAGTAGCTACAGTGGTGAGGGGCTCATGAAAAACCAGAACAGAGAGCCTGAAGGGATACAGTTTTTATGTATTGAGTCAGAATGTACAGGGAGCAGTAGGGAGCACTTTACTCTGGCATACCTTGGGGAAGAACCCCCTGCAGGATCCAGGCTACCGTTTCAAAGCACAGATCTGTTCTTCCAGGCTCTGGTCCTCTATACGGCATGCCTGTGTTAACCAAAACAACTGCAGCCCCCAGTGAGTTTTTCCTCCTTTCACTCTGTCCACGTGCAGGTGGAAGTGTAAATGAGTCAGCTTTCCCAGGCACCCAAATGAGAAGACAGGGCAGCTGTTGGATGCAGGAGAGAATTAAGCATCTGCTTCCTTCAACCAAGAAGTCTGTCAGTTTGGTTCAGTTGCTCCTGAGAAGAGAGGAATAATAATAAAAAAAAACCTCATTGAGATGTCTTTTTAGATAAATGCAGTGATCGCATGTGAACATCAAGGATGTTTACTTACTCCTGAGCACATGAGCCTCGAGCAAGCAACACTGTGTGTGCGTTTAACTGTAAACAATCTCTCTGTTGTAGCAGCCTGAGAATGAGATATAATCTTAGCCTAAGTTTAGTTGCATGGAGAAACCAAGTGAGTAGGCAGGCAACACAAACTGCCTTAATGTTTTGTTTTTGTAGAGGAAAGACCCATTGGCTTCAGCCAGATCAAACTTAACTGTAAGAAGGAGGAAAGGGCATCTGCTCACTATGAGGATTACCAAGAAGAGCCTTGTAGTCAAAAGGATAACAAGGTGATTATGACACAATGCTAGCATATGTCAATTTGCAAGCTGCCGCAAGACTCCTTGTTGTACTGCAGTTCAGGATGGGGGGGGGAGAGAGAGAAATTCAGTTCAGTTCACATCTGAAGGCGAACATACCCAATTCACACTTTCCAAAACAATATGCAAACTGCTGAAGCACAATCACAATTCAAAATTCATACTTCTCCACACTTTCGGATAAATGACAATTTATCCTAAACACACATATTCGTGTGGGATTTTGCAAAGCAATTTCCCTTGATATAATTCACATTTGTGTGTTACATCCACTGACATGTGCTTTTTAATGCACACTTCACCCTAGTGCATGCATTTTTTTGGTAAACGTTACTTGGCTGGAGAAAACTTGCAATGAAAATTGCAAGAAAAAAAAGGTAATGAAAATTTCGATGGCTGTTTGGGAAACTGCAAATGAAGGAGACTCACCTTTACATTTCTTACTCATCCCTGATTCTATGGGCTTATTTCTGAGGACAACATGTTAACATACTTTTCCAGGACTAAGCGCCATTGGACAAAAGGGGAATTACTTCTGGGTAACTTTCATCAAATACATAGCTCTGTTTAAGTTAAAAATTGTAACAAGTTGCAATACTTTACAATATTATTTTAAATTGTCACTATTTATTTATTTAGATAGCAACCGGCCCCATTAAAGGTCTGAACTATGTGTGCTAAAAAAGATCCTACTATACATAATTCTGAGAAAACTCATCGGACCAAAAAATGCTGGGGTTTCAGGAAACCAGTCTTTTGGACCCTTCTTTTCAGTGCTGCTAAACTCACAGTATCCAGCTGGCAAAAGTAAACAGAGTCTGAAGCTGTTTGCCAGTATGGCGTACATATCGTGCATTCAGCCATAAAGATGAGGCTTTTGTACACTTTGTGCATTTCCTGTGCTATATTTGTTCTACATGCTTCTGAGCCTCCAGAGGCCTCAGAAAAAAAAGAAGAAAAAAGAAGCCATAAAAGTTTTCATTGCAATCTCCTGTTCGCATGTTGTTGACTTAATAGCATCTGCAGGGCAAAATCACCCAGCCAATGTCATAAATACAACTGTATTTCTGTCTAGCAGTCACAGTGGGAGCAGCAGAGTCATTCCTGCTTGGGTAAAGGAGGCATCTGCTCCACCAAGGTACTTGCTTTGTCCCATTTCCTTCCATATTAGTACAGACAGCAGGCAGAGAGGTCTGGAACCTGCAGTCCGGATGCACTTTAAGCTGGATGCACTTCTCAGCCCGCACCAACTGTGGAACTCTTTGCCTATTGATATTAAGCAGGCACCACATGGGTACCTGCTTTTGACACCTGTTAAAAACTGTTTTGTTTAGGACAGCCCTCCAACCTATAACAATGTTTTGTATATCACATTTGTTTTTAAAACCGTTGATCTGATCTATATTTTGATAATTTTATTATATCTAACATTTTGAAGTTCATTTGCAATTGCTTTTTTTAAAAAATACATTTTATATTAGTTTATGTAGTTGACTTAAGGAGGTTATTTTAATTAAGTGGCATATAAATATTTCTATAAAAGTAAATACAGAGCAGCTATATAAGATGTTCAGTCCAGTGGCCAACCTAACATCTCTCTTTAAATAGACCTCTAAACCAATTCATACCACTTTGTTCTAAAGCCCATTCTAGCAGTTAATAAATAATTGCTTTTCAAAAGAGAAGACATTTTTAATCTTGCCTGCCATGCTGAGATACATTTTGATCCTGCATGCTGCTAAGTAGCTCCTATTTTACCTCCCCATGTCCTTGTGTGACTTGACAGCTTGGCTTGCCATGAGTGTATAGCAGTACGAATGGTGAAACAATGGAATTACTTGAAAACATAGTACAATCCATTCTACACTGAAACATCAAGTTGTTCCCAGCAGGGACTGAGCAAAAACTGATGCAGAAACAGATTCTGAAACTTTATGGCACTTGCAGGAGTAAAATGATATAATTATATAACGACAACAACAGTGTTCCCCTACATATGTAAGGCCAGCCCTACCATTAGGTAGGGTGCAGCGGGTGATTCTGGGAATAATGAAAAGGTAGCAAAGAGTTATTATTGCATTTTCATTGCCAGGAAAAGGCACTTTTCAGATTTTCTGACTCGGGTTTTCTGACTCAACTTGACTGGTCCTGGGCACTGTGTGTTTTTATTTTTTTAAAAAAAAATATTAATAATATCAATATAAGACACTGCAGCAAAATCAATTCATGCTTAATATATCCACAGAAATCATTTAATCAGTTTTGTTCTGATTCCAATGGAAAACAGAGTAAGCGTTTAGTTTCTTTTGAAAGTTATTAATCATTCAAATTCACCTCTCCCATGTTATTTACAACTTGTAATTTTATTCATGAACATAAGGTCCTAGATCTTCCTTAGCCATGGATCAGTTGTGGGAACTGGCTAGCACTTTCCCCAGTTTTAGCAACCATGAGCCAAGTCCCTTAGTGCTTTAATTAGCATATGGGATGTATCTCTCCTGGGCTGCTACTTCACATGCCTTAGAAGCACTCAATCAGGTACATCTGTAGGTCACATTTGCTACCTTTCTTACAATACCATTATTTTTCCTCCCTCTCCCCAATATTTATTAATTCCATTACCTTCTTACCATATATTGGCAAATACGTCCTTATTTGTTACAATCCCTATATAAGCTACCCGGCCCCTATGTATATGGTAAGAAGGGAAGTCCAGAAGGTGGTGATGAAGAAAAGGGGTCTTTTCTGTAGCAGCTCCCTATCTATGGAATGCGCTCCCTGTGGAGGCCCACCTGGTGCCAACTTTGTCATTGTTTCAGTGCCAAGCAAAGATGCAGTTGGAGGCTGTTCCAATAGGCAGAATAGAGCATTGCCCCATCAACAGCAAGTCTGGGGGTGGGGTGGGGTGGGGTGGAACGGAACAGCCTGTCAACTTCCTCCTCCTTGTTCTAGGTACTGTCACTGTAGAACTCCTCAGGGAGGAGGGTGGGGACGAAACTTGAATTAGCTAGCTTTGCCTGTCATTGGCTCTAGCTCAACCCACTGTCAGCTTCCCATCCTACCAGTTCCAATGAGCACCAGTCACCACTGCAAAGTTGTTTTTGTTTCCTGTGGAGAACACAAATGACTGGATGTTTTCACCCTGACTATGGACTCATCCAGGCTTCCTTTTGCGCTGAATTTCTAGGCACAGGTCTGACCTTTAAAGCGCTGTGTCTGAGTGCTGCTTTCCCTACAAAATCCTTAATCTGAGAAAACAGCAATCTGTTTTGTTAGCAAATGGTGAATTGTCATTTGTTCCAATTCAAAGAGTGGGTTTTTGCTGGGAAAGCACCAGGGCAAAAACCCTCTCCAAAACCACACATGGAGATGGTGCTTTAGAGCACCGGGGGTGGAGGTGGTAATGTGGATGACCCCTATGAATTCTTATTTTTTGCTTTCAAACTTCATGTAAATCACTTCAGGGAAGTGGTGCATACAACCAGAAAACCTAACCTATCTTGTGCAGGACATGTGGTTGTTATGGGTAGGTGCTGTGCTATGAGCCTGAAGAAAGAAAGAAAGAAAAAAGAGAGGAGAGAAAGGTACGTTAAAAGTAAAAATCAAGGCCTCTACTGTGTTGGGCTTTTGCTCTCTCAGTTTAGTACTCAACTGCCAATCAATAGCATGTCGAACTGTCACCTAGTTGGGTGCCCTGGATGGAATATTGTGCTGCTTGAGGCAAAGAACAAAACGGTGCCCCCTCAGTTTTGTCAGTTGCATCCAACAATGCACAGAATTCCACTTGTGCAATGGGACTTCTGTTTCCCTCCAGCTCCCTAACACTCCGGAGTTGACTTTGAAAGAATGTGGGAAGTTGAAGAGGACAGGAGAGGAAGAGGAGTTCCGGCACACAAAGGTGTCTTTTGTGCCAGTGGAACTTCAGCATTGGATGTAGCCCTATTTGCAGAAGATGCCTGGACTGGCTGGTGAATTTGAGACAGCGTCATCCAACACATTCAAGGCCAGGAATATCATGTAGTTGATATAGGACAGGCTATGAATCACACACAGGTTTTCGAGGGTGGAAGCAAAACTCAGGTGGAGGAAAGTGACTAGCTGCAGAGAGCAGGGGCTGCTCCACTGTTCTTACATTGCAGCAGCAACATAGCAGTCATTTCTCTTGATGCAATGAAAATAGCATGGAGAGAGCAGAAACACATCCCCTGATGGATCTGTCCATATGCTGGGCCTGAAGGTCTGAGATAGGAAGCCTGGCTCTTTTTGTAGGTCCCCTGTATAATTTAGACCCCAGAATGATCATGCTTCCCCCAGGGCATCCTGGGAACCATAGTTTGTTATGGTCCTGAGAGTTGTTAGACCTACAATTTACAGAATGATCAAGATTCTAAATCATGCAGAAAGTCTATGGTCACATCTGCACCCTATATATTTAAAGCACTCTTGTACCACTTTAACTGCCATGATTTCCCATAAAGCATCCTGGGAACTGTAGTTTGTTAAGGATGTTGAGCGGTATTAGAGATACACCCTGCCAATTATCCTCAGAGATCTACAGTTTGGTTTAACAAACAGTCCTCCCTCCCTCTAGGATTTTGGATATCTGTGAGGGGAATATGAGGTCTCCTAACAGCTTTCAACATCCTTAAACTACAGCCCTATTACTCTTAAAGTGGTATAATAGTGATTTAAATATAAGGTGGAAGTGTGGCATAGTCACACAGAGCAGGCATCTTTCTTCAGCCCTTCGGCTCCAGTGAATGGGCAGCAGGGGGTGGGGGCCACAGAAAATGGGATGGCAAGGGAGGGACCCAGCAAGTATTACTCCTCCTTCCTCCTCACGTGATTCTAATTGCCGGAGGGGGAAATTAGTGGAAGGGGGTTGTGTCAATGTACTTAAAAAATAGTAGCTGGTAGCGCCTGAGTTTCATACTCTCCCTCATAAATTTCTCTCCACTTCTGAGATGTGAAGGGGTACAGGTTTACTCTGCTTTAGCACCACCCACTCCCCATATTGAAGCAAAAGTTCTGAGCAGAGGTTAAAAAACCCTCTCATTTAATCTATTGCATCCTACCCAAGACAGGCCAAATTGTGAAAAACCAGTCGTGCACATCATCTCCAACCAAAGGTGAAAACGTCCATTATTGGCCAAAGTGAATGAGGTGTGCTTCAAACGCCTTAAAACTCCAGCTCAGTGTAGAAGGAATTGCTGAGCTGGCACACACTCACTGGAAAACAAAGAGAGCTGTGTGGTTTATCACAAACAGCAGCTCTCCCCATTCCACCTGTGTTTTTTCACCCCGAGGGTCAAGGCCTGACTCTGTCAATATCAAGAAATAATCTCACCCTTCAGAAATGCTCCCCTGAAAGCTTTTATTGTTTCAGTTATCCAGCTTCAGGTGGAAGCAATGCAAAAGAAGAAGCAGCAGCAGCAATTTGTTACTTCCAAGCTGTCAAGACTTCTTATTAGGTTACAACAGGTGGGACCTGCAATAAAATGTTCCAGTACATCTCCCCTTGTTTAATGGACGAAAGGTGGAAGGAGAGGGGTGTAGATCTGAAATGCTGATCATTTGGACTTTAGTGACTGGAATGTAGCCTACACTAGAAATTAAAAACTACATCCATTCCTCTGTCTACTTTTGCCCCCTGCCTCATCCAACACCAGCATGTGACAAACACACTCCTCTGAAGGTTCCTCACAAGGGACTTCATTCCTACACCATTTGCATGGATACAAAACGCTACTCAGAACCCATAATGGCAGTGGAACATTAAGAGACTTAACTGCTGTAGTTTAAATATTTGGAAATAGTGTTGATTTTATAGGTGTAGCATGTTTAACCAGCCTAGGCCACCGGATGTAGCCTCTTCACTTTCCATATTGTTAGATGGAACAATGAGACACTGAACAGATCTCCAAGCTGTTGTCCTATGCAACCCTGGAAACTGGAAAGCTCTATTTCCCGTGCCTCTGTTTTGCATACAAAACACACATTGGCTGGAATATGCAAATGAACTCCCTCAGTGGTTGAGTTATTAGAGATTAGAGAAGCCCTAGGTGCCTATGGGTAAGTTCACGTCACCTGTGACCAGGAGACTAGCTCCTGGGAGCACCCACTGGAGTAGCACACCTGTAATGTGTGTAAATCTGATGTAGATTTTCAATTTCGTTGTTCTGTATGGGACAATGATAATAAAGATTATCGTACCGTAAAGGTGCATGTCCTGCAACTGGAAGTGGCTGAACAGGCATGTATGTAACATCGCTAGCTCCACCTCTGAGCCACTCAGTGCTTCCACCTCACAGGTTCAAAGGAGCTGACCTTTGGCAAGCAAAAGAGAACAAGCTGCAACTGTAACTAGTGCTAAAAGTTATGGTTTGCATAGCATTAATCAAAGCCTTTAAAGGTTGCACAGGTGTAACAATCTGCAGTTGCTCAAGGTGAACAATCTGAAACAAGTCAGTTTATTCAACTGCACCAGCCGCACATCAGTCAGCATAATAGTGGTGCCTGCCAAATGGCAGCTTCCATAAACTGTTGCCCCAATCTGTATCATCTCAACATGCTCCTTGAAAGACAAATGGCTGCATTTGGCATCACCTCCAAACATTTATTTGATTTCTCAGTTCAAGGGGACCTGTGCTTTACTCCCCAAGGTGTATTTACAGCATGCTGACAATGGTCAGAATGGGCTTTTATTCACTCGTGTGACTTTATTGGAAGGTTACTCAAGATAATTTGCTGCTCGTTTGGTTGCGCTACAATCTTTCTGAGTTGCAGATAACACTATTGATTTATAGTGCAATCAAAAGTGAGGCAGCGACACAATGAGCACATTGTCCTTGCCAGGTGGAGAAAATTCATTATGTGCATGGAGAATACATTTTCTCAAGAAGAAAATCATGAAATGAGCCCTGTAATGAACAACAGGAAAGTGAGAGAGGCTGGGGCTTAAACGGCACCTCGTTCAGATAAAGACGTCAAGCAGAGCTTGGGATAGCATAGTCAGTACAGGATGAGACACTTAGTCTCATGGTCGTGGGTTTGAAGCCCACATTGAGAAAAGGATTCCTGCACTGCAGAGGGTTGGACTAGATGACTCTCATGCTACCTTCCAACTCTACAATTCTACAATCCTATGAAACGTGCACAGTTTGTGCACAGTTTGACTGATGCATTGCAAGTACTGAGCTGGGACGGAGGACTAAACCAGGGATGGGGAGTGTGTGACTCTCCAGACGTTGCCGAGCTCCCAACATCCATCACAAAGTGCTCACTAGCCAAGCTGGAGGGGCTGATGGGAGTTGGAGCGCAACAACATCTGGAAGGCCACAGGTGCCCCATCTTATCATAGCCCTCCAAGCGCACTGAAAAATCTTGGGAGCAGGGCTGTTAGCCTCCCACATCTTTGGAATCTTCTATTTGGACTGTGATGCTCCACTTTCATAGAAGGAACAAGGAAGGCAGAATCAAACAAACCTTACTGCAGAATCTTAACTCCTTTGACAACAATAAGTACTTATGCCTGAATGCAGTGGTGGCTGATGGGACTGATGGAATGCAAGACAGGACAGAGGGCAGGGCAGCTAAAAGCTAGGGCTAGGCAGAGCACACTGACCCCCACACAAAATTTAAGCAGTGGTGATGGTGGTGGTTAAGAGAGAGAGCAAGCTTAGAGGCTGGGAAGGAGAAGAAAAAGAGGTTATGTATGAGAAAAAGAAATGAACAAGAGGTTGGGTGGCAGGGAGAAGGAGAGGTTAAGAGCAAGAAACTCAAACAAACTCAAATCCATATGAGGGCAGCACCTTTATAAGGCTAATGAAAATTGGCCAAAATATGTCACAAAATAGCTTGCAAGCTTTTGCGTTTCCCACAATGCTTCATCAGATTAGACTGTAAACAAAAGTAGGAGTTCTGGAGAACTCCCAAGCTTGCACATTGTTTTATAGCATTTTGACTGGCCTAATAAAAGTATTACCCTAACATGGTTTATTTGTTTGTTTGTTTGTTTCCTGTTTCTTATGGACCAACACAGCTATCTTTACTTTTCTATATACAGTGGTACCTCGGGTTAAGTACTTAATTTGTTCTGGAGGTCTGTTCTTAACCTGAAACTGCCCTCACCTGCCTACCTCCTTATTTACCTGCTACCAGTCCTGGGGGTGGCATCGCTGCCTGTCAGCTTTCTCCTCTTTAGTACAGTGGCACCTCGAGTTAAGAACTTAATTCGTTCTGGAGGTCTGTTCTTAACCTGAAACTGTTCTTAACCTGAAGCACCACTTTAGCTAATGGGGTCTCCTGCTGCTGCCGCGCCGCCTGAGCATGATTTCTGTTCTCATCCTGAAGCAAAGTTCTTAACCCGAGGTAATATTTCTGGGTTAGCGGAGTCTGTAACCTGAAGCGTATGTAACCTGACACGTATGTAACCTGAGGTACCACTGTAACTTGGGAAAAAACCCATAGCAGCATATATAGAGTTTGTGCACAGTCTCCCATCCAGATGTTGACCAGACCAGGTGCCTTCAGACCAAGTCCACCCTCCTCCTTTTATCGTTAGGCACAAAGCCTTCTCTTGCCTCCCTGTCTCAGAATAGATTTGAGAGGAAGCGCTTAGGAATGCATTCCGCGAGCAAAGCTTTTCATTCAGGAATGCCCTTTCTGAATGGAAGCTTTGCAGCTTGGTTTGTTCTGGTATTTCCCATCACATATCAATCCCAAAGGCACGATAACTATGTTCGTACTCCCCCGGCTATTTCAACATCAGATTACAGGAAGAAGAGACATAACTGTGTATTTCAGATGGAAACTCCCACCCTGAACATTTTTTTGCTCCAGTTGTGGTTTTGATGAGAAAGATTTTCAATAAGCACACTTAGGAAGACTAGAGATGTATTTTAATTTTCAGGTTCATGGTTCTGTTGTAATTTGTAACAGGTGAAAGCCCATGTCATTTTGCTGCCTGAGACAGATCAGCAAGTGTTACCCAAAGTCAAGGGGAATGGTACATAAGAACATAAGCAGCTGCCTTATGCTTCGTCAGAACATTGGTCCTACCAGTCCTACCTGGAATCTGGATCCGCCTGCATTGATGGATGGATTGATTATCCCACCTTTCTTCCAAGAAGCTCCAGAGAGCATACATGGTTCCCCTCCCTATCCCTATTTTATCGTTACAACAACATGAACAACTCCTGCAAGGGAGGTTAGGCTAACACAGAGTTCAAACTGAGCTCAAATAGGCTTACAACATAAAAAAATGCGTAACTGCAACATAACAAAATAGTCATAAACAATAAATAAAACATCAACAAATACACAACCAAACTGAACAATTTCCACATAAATCACAACATCTAAAATGAAGATATAACAACAACAACAACAACAACAAAACAGAAACCCCAACAAAAACACTCCAACCCCATTTTATGCTGGGAAATGTGTACTTGGAAGGACATTTCATGTGATCACTCCTATGATCAGTGTGTCTCTATGTGTGTACATAATATTTTTTTGTATTTACTTGTTTATGATCTATGTTTCCTTCAGACCTTTGAGTATAAGAATGACCCATACATTACATCATTATAATAATTTGAAAGTTTTATTTTGGAAATAAAATCCAAAATCTTTTTATTATGTTCAATCAAAATCATCACAAAATAGTGTACAATCTTTTCACTCCACCAGAACTCCTATTTGAAGTGAAAGTTAAACAAGGAGGGTAGAGGGGGCAGGAAGGATAAGAAGGTGATTTGCCACTGAAACCAAAATGTCTGCCTTGGTCAATGTTTCAATTCTGTTGCATAGTCGTAGAAGGCGCACAGCTACAGAGGCATAACTATGGGGGTTAACCTGGTGTCATGCTCCTTATCCAAATTTCCCCCTACCCTTACAGCTGCAGTAATAAAAGGTAAAGGGACCCCTGACCATTAGGTCCAGTCGTGACTGACTCTGGGGTTGCAGTGCTCATCTCGCTTTACTGGCTGAGGGAGCTGGCATACAGCTTCCGGGTCATGTGGCCAGCATGACTAAGCCACTTCTGGCGAACTAGAGCAGCACACAGAAACGCCGTTTACCTTCCTGCCGGAGCGGTACCTATTTATCTACTTGCACTCTGACATGCTTTCGAACTGCTAGGTTGGCAGGAGCAGGGACCGAGCAACGGGAGCTCACCCCATCACAGGGATTCGAACTGCCGACCTTCTGATTGGCAAGTCCTAGGCTCTGTGGTTTAACCCACAGCGCCACCCGTGTCCCTAGCTGCAGTAATACTTATTCATTTATTCTCTACTCTTACGTTCACATCCCATCTTTTCTCTACACTTCTCTCTCTCTCTCTCTCCTTGTTATCCTCGTAACAACCCTGTGAGGTAGGTTAGGATGAGAGGCAGTGACTGGCCTAAAGTTACCCAGTGGACCTAAAGTTACCCACTGGCCTAAAGTAACCCAGTGCTCGCTTCAGCAACACATATACTAAAGTTACCCAGTGGGCTTCACTGGCTGAGTGGGGATTTGAACCCTGGTCTCCTGGCTCCTGCTCCAGCACTCTAACCACTACAGCACACTGGCTTGGTTCTGCATCCCTACTGATTTGGCTGTGAGAACTAGTCCAATCACAGCTCCCCCACCAGTAACCTGTACATGTATGGTGGAAGCTCAGCCAAAGGAGCCCATCTGGTCCAGCATCCCGTTCTCACAGAGACCAATCAGATGCCTCTGGGAAGTCCACAAGCGGGACCTGAGTGCCACAGTGTTCTCACCACTTGTGATTTCCCAGCAACTAGTATTCAAAGTCATAATGCCTCCCTGGTATTAAACTAAGGTTTAAGAGCAGCTTAAGAGGGTGATTTTCATCAGGACCGTGACTGCAAGGGATAGTGTTAAACATTGCTCCCTGTGCTTCTAAGTCCTACTCCTGGTCACTTCTCATTCCACAGCTATTCTTTAACTTCTAAAAAATTAGACCCGTTAATTGTAGTCACACATGTAACGTCACATGCGCTACTTTAGTCTTTGCACATTTGCAATCAAGTGCCTGTCACATGCATAAGCAGTTGGATCATTCGAGGTATAGGCTTAAGAGCATATTAAGTCATATTTCTCTTGAGCAAACAAACCTGCAATGTATGATGACTGCATACACCTGGCATTGCCGACATGACAATCACGTATTTGTCCCAAACCCAGAGTGGCAAGTCAGAAAGGAGGAGGATGTGTGAAGCAATCAAAGAAAGATAGGTCACACCTGAGCACTGCTAAAAGAAAGAAAATGCATCACCACCTGCCTCCCAAAAGGATAACGATCTGCATGAAGAGCTAAGAGAATATTTGTAACTAAGAACTAACGCCTGGGGTTTTCTTTTTCCTCCTCCCTCCCACTCCCTTTCCCTTTTCTTCTGTGTCTTTCAAACTGTAAGTTTGAGTGGGACTTTCTTATTACTGTATTCTTAAGAATAAGTTGCTCTGGGAGCCCCCACTTTTTTGCTGAAGGGGGATAAAAATGCTGTTCATATGCCAATTATTTAATACATGCAAATTTTGAAGTAATAATACTAGTCATTTGAACACCCAAGATCTCACCATTCTGGGGATGGCTGTGACCATATGATCTGTGTACCTGTTTTATCTGCTGCCCAGGTGATCCCTGGTGATGGGCAACTTCAAGACTCTCCTTTTTAGAGTTTCTTTTAAAGGGAGAGGGGTGCTTCCAAGCAAGTGTGTATTGTGGGATGGGTGCTCGTCCTCATGCATACAATTTTTTTTTTGCAACAACTAAACAAAGTCCTTGGGGTGAAAATGACAGACTGTATTGCACCCCGCTCCCACCCACCCCTTTAATCCAAATTTACATTTTCTGGGAAATTTTTGATAAGACGTGTTGCTAACAAGCCATTTTCAATAGCTGAATGAAACTTCACAATATGCACACTTTCAAGACTGCTTGAAAATAGCAACATTTATATATACCTGAAAATTCAGGTTGCCTAATTATAGCTGACCAGGTGCCTATTGCACAACAAACCCAGTCCACTGCGAAAATTAAAATAAATACATCACTGTTTGCATTAAAGAAAACGATGGGGAAACGATGTTGTATAAGAACTGCTTTAGGCAACATGGTCTAGCCCCCGCAGCAGACAAACCAGGATGAAAATGTGCAATAAATAAACGGAACGTCATGAGAAAACGGGGAGGAAGTCCGCTTGAACTTTAAAACCGGGTCTGGACCAGGCTGCCCTTCAAACACAGGACTGTCTCTGTAAAGTGGGGCACATGGTCCCGAATGGAAGAAAATGAGAGCCAATAGAACGGTGAAGAATGTTGCGACTATGACTTTGGAGGAGGGAAACCAGAGTTCGAATCCCTCACTCAGCCATAAAGCCTGCTGCGTGACCTCGAGCCACTCACTGCCTCTCTCAGCCTAACCTACCTCACAGGGTTGCTGCGAGGATAAAATGAGAAGGAGCAGAACCAGGCGCAGCAGTTCGCGCTCATTGGAGGAGGAGGTGGGCTATAAATGCAATAAACAAGAGAAAGAAGTGGGGGCGGGGAGAGGAGGACAGAAGCAAGCTGGCAAATGCACCCCTGCTGGGCAAGGCGAGCTGGCTAGAAAGTTACCCGGCAAGTTTCGCCCGTGCCAGGCTGAACTAAGCTGGGCGCTCCCTTTCGCTGCTCCCTTACCTGGGCAGCTGCTGTTGCTACCGTCGCCGGCCAGACCTTCCCGATGCCGGGGAGGCAGCAGCTCGGTGGGTTGAATCAGCAGCAGGAGCGGGCGCGCGCTCCCAAGTGCGCAAGAACACCCCTGGCGCTTGCCGCCGGCGACCAGCCTTCTTGGCAAAAGCGCAGCCGCCTCTGCGCCTCTCGCCCTCTGCGCTTCTCCGCTCCTCCTCCTCCCAACACAGCCAGACCTAGCAGCCCGGCTGCAGAGGCGTGAAAACCTGGCCTGGATTCCAGCATCCAGACCTTTGGCCAGAACTCTATGCCTCTTTGTGTGTGCGCGTCTCGCGCGCCTAAGGAGCAAGCAACAGGCGGAAAAACCTGGACTGGGCGCAGGGGACAGCACGAGCGACACTCCCGCTAAGGTGGGCTGGGCTGGCCGGTCTGTGCAAACAAACATTGCAACACTGAAGGCAAAGGAAAAAGCCCCGCTTCCATCTTTGGCTGTCTGGAGAATGGGCAGCGTTGCACAGACTAAAGTGGAAGTCGAGGATAAATAACTAAAGGGATAGTGGTGGGGGGAAAGGTGGTGGTGCCCCCTCCCCACCCAACCTTGTCGGTATGGATCACTTGTGAGGCTTGGGTTGCAATGTTTTCAGTTTGCTGAATCATAGAATTGTAGAGTTGGAAAGGATCCTGAGGGTCATGTAGTCCAACCCCTTGCAGTGCAGGAAACTCAACTAAAGCATCTGTGACAGATGGTCACCCAACCTCTGCTTAAAAACTTTCCTGAAGCAGACCATTCTACTGTCAAACAGCTCTTACTGTCAAAAAGTTCCTCATAATGTTTAACTGGAATCTCATTTCCTTTAAGGGACGCAGGTGGTGCTGTGGGTTAAACCACAGAGCCTAGGACTTGCCGATCAGAAGGTCGGTAGTTCGAATCCCCGGGACAGGGTGAGCTCCCGTTGCTCGGTCCCTGCTCCTGCCAACCTAGCAGTTCGAAACACGTCAAAGTGCAAGTAGATAAATAGGTACTGCTCCAGCGGGAAGGTAAATGGCGTTTCTGTGTGCTGCTCTGGTTCGCCAGAAGCGGCTTAAGTTATGCTGACCACATGACCTGTACACCGGCTCCCTCGGCCATAAAGCGAGATGAGCACCACAACCCCAGAGTCGGTCATGACTGGACCTAATGGTCAGGGGTCCCTTTACCTTTCCTTTAACTTTAAGCCATTGGTTCGAGTCCTACCCCCCAGAGCTGGAGAAAACAAGCCTGCTCCATCTTCCACGTGACAGCCCTGTAGATATTAGAAGATGACTACCGCATCTCCGGTCAGTTTCCTCTTTTCCAGGCTAAACACACCCAACTGCCTCCTCAGGCTTGGTTTCCAGACCCTCAATCATCTTGGTTTCCCTTCTCTCCACACATTCCAGCTTGTCAATATCCTTCTTAAACTGTGGTGCCCAGAACTGAATGCAGTACTCCAGGTGATATCATAGTGATTTGTATTTTTGTTTGCTATTTTATTATATTATTAGTTTCATAAAATTTATATACTGCTTGGGGGTGGGAGCTCAGCTTCATAGTTATGCTTTGTGGACGGAGTTTCACTATCCCACTATTGCTTAAGGAAGGGAGATAATTGTTTTCCCCAAATAAGTGGGGGACATCCCTTCCCCACTCTTTTCAAGACACTTCTATTTTTTCTTGTTCCCCTCACTTTATTTTGCATTTCCTCAATTTCCTTCTCTTTCCTTCTTTGCCATTTTTCCTACCTTCTTATTTCTGCCTGTTAATTCTTATTTTCTCTTCCCTCTTTCATGTTTTTTCTTTTGGTTACAAATAGTATGTGGTGGGTGGGCAGTGTGCTGTCTAGTCCGACCCTCCCCCTGCCAGGACACCAGGAGTGCAGTTAGGTGATTTCGACCGTTCTAGCTTCAACATCTCTCTTCATTTCTGTATTGTTTCGTGGTCTCTTACAGTATAAAGGTAAAGGTAAAGGTACCCCTGACCATTAGGTTCAGTCACGGACCACTTTGGGGTTGTGCGCTCATCTCACTCTATAGACCGAGGAAGCCGGCGTTTGTCCGCAGACAGCTACCGGGTCATGTGGCCAGCATGACAAAGCTGCTTCTGGCGAACCACCAGAGTGGTATCTATTTATCTACTTGCACTTTGACGGGCCTTCGAACTGCTAGGTGGGCAGGAGCTGGGACCGAGCAACAGGCGCTCACCTCGTTGCAGGGATTAGAACCGCCGACCTTCCGATGAGCAAGCCCTAGGCTCTGTGGTTTAGACCACAGCGCCCTCTTACAGTATATCGATTATTAAATATTACATTACATTACAGGCTCAAGCCCTCTACTGTATATATGTCAGATATCCTGCTTGAGTTCTATGCGGGCAACAGCAATACAGTGGTACCTTGGGTTACATACGCTTCAGGTTACATACGCTTCAGGTTACACACTCCGCTAACCCAGAAATAGTACCTCGGGTTAAGAACTTTGCTTCAGGATGAGAACAGAAATCGTGCAGCGGTGGCAGCAGGAGGCCCCATTAGTTAAAGTGGTGCTTCAGGTTAAGAACAGTTTCAGGTTAAGAACAGACCTCCAGAACGAATTAAGTTCTTAACCCGAGGTACCACTGTAAGATAGATATAGGTACATACACAAGCTTCAGGTTAGATAGATATAGGTACATAGATAGATATAGGTAGATAGATATAGGTACATACATATGCTCAGGTTACATACGCTTCAGGTTACAGACTCCGCTAACCCAGAAATATTACCTTGGGTTGAGAAATTTGCTTCAGGATGAGAACAGAAATCGTGCAGCGGTGGCGCAGCGGCAGCAGGAGGCCCCATTAGTTAAAGTGGTGCTTCAGGTTAAGAACAGTTTCAGGTTAAGAACAGACCTCCGGAACGAATTAAGTTCTTAATCCGAGGTACCACTGTACTAAAGAGGAGAAAGCTGACAGGCAGTGATGCCACCCCCAGGACTGGTAGCAGGTAAATAAGGAGGTAGGCAGGTGAGGGCTGGCTAAGGGCAGACTGAAGTTGGTGGGGCAGTGCCCCATTTGTCCTAATGGAGCAGCTTGCATGTAGGATATGTTTCACTGAAAGGCAAAAATGCCATGTTTTACTACTGTTTAAAAACCCCATGCTCGTGTTAAGTAGGGATCTAGTGCTCTCTAGTGGTAGGAAGGAAGCATCACTACTATTACTAACTTCTGAGCTGCCTTTCAAGAGTGGGTAACATTTGGGCTTGTCAGTGGGATTTACTTTGTTTCCCCCTGAAATGCTGACACCCCCAAAGTGAAGCCAGGTGGAAAATACTGACTCAGGAAGGGGGACATAATTTTTTTGGAACAAGCTGTCTCTTTGAGTGCATGCTTAGCCCAGCAGTTTATTTTCAGTGCCCAAACTGAAACTCTCTCTCTCTCACTCCTTTCAACCACGTATCTTTTACTGCTTCCCCTAAACTTTTTTTTTTTAATCTCAGCGGCCTAATTTAGCATGTGAGGGCAAGAGGAAGAAGAGTGACAATTGTTGTCAGTATTGGAAAACCACTGGGAGGTGGAAAGCCACACAATTTTCAAGGAGATACAGGTGAAACTCAGAAAATTAGAATATCGTGGAAAAGTTCATTTATTTCAGTAATTCAACTTAAAAGGTGAAACTAATATATGAGATAGACTCATGACATACAAAGCGATATATGTCAAGCCTTTATTTGTTATAATTGTGATGATTATGGGGTACAGCTGATGAAAACCCCAAATTAACAATCTCAGAAAATTAGAATATTGTGAAAAGGTGCAGTAGCTATTGAATCCATAACATCTGCAATGGGTTCAGTAGGAAGCACAATCATGGGGAAGGCTGCTGACCTGACAGTTGTGCAGAAAGCCATTATTGAGACCCTCCATAAGGAGGGAAAAGCCTCAAAAGGTAATTGCAGAAGAAGTTAGATGTTCCCAAAGTGCTGTATCGAAGCACATTAGTGGAAAGTTATGCGGAAGGGGAAAGTGTGGAAGAAAAAGGTGCACAAACAGCAGGGATGACCACAGCCTGGAGAGGATTGTCAGGAAAAGACCATTCAGATGTGTTGGGGACTTTCACAAGAAGTGGACTGAGGCTGGAGTTAGTGCATCAAGAGCCACCACACACAGACGGAACATGGAGATGGGCTTCAAATGTTGTATTCCTCTTGTCAAGCTGCTCCTGAACAAGAAACAACGTCAGAAGCATCTTGCCTGGGCTAAAGAAAAAAAAGAACTGGTTTGTTGCTCAGTGGTCCCAAGTCCTCTTTTTTGATGAGAGCAGCTTTTGCATCTCATTAGGAAGAATGGGGAGGCACACAATGCCAGATGCTTGAAGTCCAGTGTGAAGTGCTGATTTGGGGAGCCATGCCATCAGCTGGTGTTGGTCCACTGTGCTTCATTAAGTCCAGGGTCAACACAGCCTTCTACCAGGATATTTTGGAGCACTTCATGCTTCCTTCTGCAGATGAGCTTTATGGGGATGCTGACTTCATATTCCAGCAGGACTTGGCATCTGCCCACACTGCCAAAAATACCAAAACCTGCTTCAATGCCCATGGGATTACTGTGCTTGATTATCCAGCAAACTCGCCTGACCTGAACCCCATAGAGAATCTATGGGGCATTGCCAAGAGAAAGATGAGAGACATGAGACCGAACAATGCAGAAGAGCTAAAGGCTGCTATTGAAGCATCCTGGTCTTCCATAACACCCCAGCAGTTTCACAGGCTGATCGCATCCATGCCATGCCGCATTGAGGCAGTAATTGATGCAAAAGGGGCCCAAACCAAGTACAGTGGTACCTCGCAAGACGAATGCCTCGCAAGACGGAAAACTCGCAAAACGAAAGGGTTTTTGGTTTTTTGAGTTGCTTCGCAAGACGATTTTCCCTATGGGCTTGCTTCGCAAGACGGAAACGTCTTGCAAGTTTGTTTCCTTTTTCTTAAAACCGTTAATACAGTTGCGACTTGACTTCGAGGAGCAACTCATAGCACGCGGTGTGGTAGCCTTTTTTGAGGTTTCTGAGGACTTTGGTGATTTTTGAAGCTTTTCCAAAGCTTTTCCGACACCGTGCTTCACAAGACGAAAAAAACCGCAAGACGAAAAAACTCGCGGAACGAATTAATTTTGTCTTGCGAGGCACCACTGTACTGAGTACATATGCATGTTTCTGCTTCTCAGAGGTCCAATATTGCTCTATTTGCAATCCTTGTTTTGCTGATTTCATTTAATATTCTAATTTTCTGAAATTGTTAATTTGGGGTTTTCATTAGCTGTACGCCATAATATCACAATTATAACAAATAAAGGCTTGACATATCTCACTTTGCATGTCATGAGTCTATCTCATATATTAGTTTCACCTTTTAAGTTGAATTACTGAAATAAATTAAATTTCCACGATATTCTAATTTTCTGAGTTTCACCTGTATACCAGTACATCCTAATCTAGAATGCTGATTAGAATGTTGGTCTGCGAGACCAGGGTTCAAGTTTCAGCTCAGCCATGAAGCTCCCTGAGTGAGTTTGGATCAATTGCTGTCTCTCAGCCTAACCTGCGTCACAAGGGTTGTGGTGAGGAAACAATTGGGGGAGGGGGAGAACCTCCTCAGAGGAAAGGTGGGATGTAAATATAATAATAATAATACAGTACTGTAAATACCTTCAGCCTACCATTATTTTATGAGGCCAAATACATTATTTAGGAGATGTTATGATAGGATAGGGACGCGGGTGGCGCTGTGGGTTAAACCACAGAGCCTAGGACTTGCCGATCAGAAGGTTCGAATTCCCGCGACAGGGTGAGCTCCCGTTGCTCAGTCCCTGCTCCTGCCAACCTAGCAGTTCAAAAGCACGTCAAAGTGCGAGTACATAATTAGGTACCGCTCCAGCGGGAAGGTAAACGGCGTTTCCATGCACTGTTCTGATTTGCCAGAAGCGGCTTTGTCATGCTGGCCACATGACTTGGAAGCTGTACGCCGGCTCCCTTGGCCAATAAAGCAAGATGAGTGCCGCAACCCCAGAGTCGGTCACGACTGGACCTCACGGTCAGGCATCCCTTTACCTTTACCTTTATGATAGGATATCCTACATATTTACTTTTACAGTATTTGAAAGCATGTCCCTCCTTTCCTCAGCTGGATCAGGGCATGGAAGTTAATAATGTTTGACTCTTTCTCTTGCACCATTTTCTTGATCTAAATCACTAATGCAAGATCTTGTGACAGCTCCCTTCTGAGGGCAGGCATGACTGGGGCGCCATCAAAAGGAAGGTTTTCAAATGTTAATATATGTTATGCACTGCCAACAGAGCTTTCTCAGAGGACGGGGACAAAACTAGAATTATTTAGCTCTGTCTATCATTTCGTCTGACTCTGTCTATTGTTGGAGCTTCTCAGTTCTCGGTCCTACCAGTCCTAATGGACTAAGCAGCTGGGTGAGAAATCAAGGCATCAGTCCTAAACTTTTACCTAGTAGTAAGACCCATTTACTTTTGGGGAGATGTGTACAGGATCACAAAATAAATTGCATTAGTACTTGACCATGTTGAAACCTACACATTAAATTTGCTTTAAAAATTCAGACAAGTAACAATTTTTTAAAAAATCGATATGTTTGGAGTATTGAACTTTCCGCCTGCATACATCAATAGATATGACACATGCTTTATAGTTGAATACTGTGAAGATTAGTTTTCTGATTTCCTCGGCTGAAGGGTGGTATAGAAATTTAATTGTTTAAAAAGTTTGTAATGGCAGTTCAAGCTACGTGCTGCTCTTCATTTTTTTCCTATATCTATGGGTTCACCTCGGCAGCGGCAAGGCTTACAGTATCTTGTTTAAGGGCTCAACGTAAGGGAACCAGCCTCGGAAGTCGTCTTTACGCATGCTCAGTTCGGTCCTCCCTCCTTCTCTCCGGGGTGACTCGCGCATGTTCTGTTCTGAGCGCTGGGAAAGAGCGGGGAACTGGGGGGGGGGGGGGGCGAATCATAGCTGTCAACTTTCAGATTTGAAAATAAGGGATCAGCAGCCTCGAAAATAAGGGATCAGCAGCCTCACCTGTCCCGGGGACAGTCTACGGGATATCTAACACTCCGGCATAGCAGCGGGAAACGGCGCTGGAATAAGGGAATTTCCCACAAAAAAGGGGAAGGTTGACAGCTATGGGAGGAAATACAAATCTTCGCGAGCGTTTGTAATTAATTAATCAGTTTGGTGTTTATGCTAATCGTCAGTATGATAACATCATCATGATAAGTGTCGGAAGTTTAAAACTAAGGGAGGAAAACAACGAGCATGAGTTAAGACTGTCTGGATAGGGATCGGTATGCATGTAAAGCGATGGTGTGGCAACGGTTTGAAGATTCCTTATTAACTTCCCCCTCCCATGCAAACGTCCACTTTTTAAATTGCTAGTAGGAAAAACCCCCAACCACCTCTCAACAGATATCTATTGTTGCTTTAGCACCTAAACGCGCTGTAAATGTATAAAAGATAAAGGCAATTATTAACAGACAAGAGGAACTTTGGAAGCAACACCTTCTACTATTAGTATTTATTGTCTTTATAATATACATTACATACATATATGTGCTGTATGAAATCAAAGGACCGGACTGTTCACAAAGAAAAGACAGCTGGTGAAATTCAAATATGGAAGTAGGAAGTTTGTGTGTGTGTTTTTGGGGGGTGGGCGAGGGCTCTGGGTAAGCACTACAAGCATCAACAGCACACCCCTTGCAGGGCATTGGACCCAGGTGCAATGTCTGCCACCCCGCCCCCCATCAGAAAGCCTGGAAAGCTGCTGCCGACCAGTGTAGACAGTACTGAGCCAGGTGGACCGTTGGTTTGACTTAAGCAGCTTCCCGCCTCCTTACGAAAAAAACAATACGGGAAAAAAGAAAGCGAGGAAGGAACCTAGAACCAAAAATAAAAATGCTCAAGCGGGACTAAATGCTATTAACCGGTATTGACTATTAAAAGCGCGACGATGCCGTTGGAAGCAACCCTTAAAATTCGCCCCTGCAGTTTCCCAAAGGGGGAGGAGCTTCCTGTCTCGCGTCACGTGCTCCTCCGAATCCTAACAACCACAACCTTGCCTTCCCATTCCCGCGCGCGCGAAGGCGCCCAGCGTCGTTCTCGCGGTTTCCTGCGATACCCGTCGCTGCCGAGGGAGGGCGGCGGGAGGAAAAGGAGGGGGAGCCAAGGGAGGGGGGCGGGTTTTGAGGGGGTCCCTACCCCGCCCCCCCTCCTGCCCCCACAACTCCTGCTCTACCGACCGGCGGTTGCCGAGACACAAAATGGACGCTGCCGAGGCTGACGTCGTTGTCCCGGTGGCGGCGACAGCACTGACAGCGGCTCAGGCCCCAGCCGCTGTCAGCCCGGGCTGCGAGGAGGTCGAGGAGGAGCCCTCCACCTCGGCCGCTTTCTCTTCCTCCTCACAGGAGCCCGGCGGCCCAGAGGAGGTACGGCGCGGGAAACGGGGAGGAGGATGAGGGCGGCGGCGGCCTCTAGATCGCGCGCCGCAATCACCTCAAACCTCTGCGTATGCTCAGAGGAACACTTTATTTTCATTTTTTAACAACCCCACCCGGAGCGCTAAGCTCCGGGGAGCCAGCATACGAAACTGCATCCGTCCTTTTGAGAGACCATCACCCCCCACCTTACCCTCGCGCGCCCATTTCTTTATTTTTCGTTTACACCAAGGCTGCGGCCCTCCAGATGCGTCCTCCCCATCAGCCGCCCAGCCAGCATGCCCAAAAAGTGCTCGGGAATGACAGGAGCGGCTGTCCAGCACATCTGGAATGGAGGATCGCTGATCTTCATCAGCATAGCTGTCAACTTTCAGATTTGAAAATAAGGGATCAGTAGCCTCACCTATCCCAGGGACAGTCAATAGGATATCTAACAATCCGGGATAGCAGCGGGAAACGGCACTGGAATAAGGGAATTTCCTGCAAAAAAGGGAAGGTTGACAGCTATGCCTCATCAGTCGTTTTATGCCCATCGTGGTCAGGGACTTGGGAAGGTTTACCATGCTGAGTCCTTGCTTGCCTGAGTAATCTGCTGTTTGATACTTAATGTATGGAAGAAACGCCCTCAGGCGAAGTGTATATCCTCCAGGCACATGTTTATTCCACTTGTGGTGTGGGAGGGAGGGAGGGGTTGGCTTTGCGAGGGCTGATGCCAACCCATCATGTGCGGGTTTTATGTGGCTTCCCAGGGGCACCGGGTTGGCTGCTGTAGGAGGCAGGACTAGAGCAAGGGTGAGGGACTTGTGGTTCCCAGCGTGTGTTAGTTATTGCTTGTTGCATTTCTTTCAAGGAGCTAAAGGTGATGAATGTATTTCTCTCCCCCTGTTTTATCCTCACAACAACCCTGTGAGGTAGGATAGTCTGGGAGTGAGGGACTGGCCCAGTGAACTTCATGGCTGAGGCTGGGATTTGAACCCTGGTTTCCCAGATCTTAGTCCAGCATTCTATATCTGCTATACCATCTTCTTGGCTAATGACAGTGCTGCCTGAGACTGATTGTGTGCAGCAACTTCAGGAGCGTCACAATTTCCCCATCCTTGGTTTAAGATTCCTTGAAGAGCATCGAAAGGTCCTGGGAGCAGGACTGTGAAGCTCAGTTATGGTGGGAGAACCAAGCAGTCCTCCTTGCAAGTTCTTGACCTTCTCTTGCTTATGCCTAAATGCAATGGCGGCAGCTGTGCACTGAGGCTGTCCACAGGACAGGTTGAGAGCAGGAGTGGGGAAGCTGTGGTCCTCTAGGTGTGTTGGTACTGAAACTCCCATATTCTCTGACTATTGGTTATGCTGCCCAGGCTGATGGGATGTGGAGTTCAACAAAATCTGTAGACCATCAGGTTGTTTATGATTTTTGTTAACCATCCAGAGTGTGTTACAGCAATATAAACAAACAATACCACAATCAGTTAAATAAACACACAATCAGAAGAATAACTAACATAAGCTAAAAACATAAAAAGCCAGGCAGATTCCATATAGTTAAACATTCTTTAGGAGTTTTCATTAGGTGCAGTTACCATCATTGGCCAGTTGCCCAGGTTCTACCTACTTTCTGTCCACTATGGGCACAGAGACCTGAAAAGAACAGATGATCAGTTTAGTTTGCTGTCCTTGTATATCCACCTAAACTATAACTCATATTTAAGGTATGATTGTTGGCTTATTGTGGTTCAGCAGGAACAAGCAGCAATACTTGAGCATGTTGCAGTTGCTCAAGTTTTGCTCATTCCCAGCCCACCTTTCCATTCCTGCCCACCTGTCAAACTAGCCCAACCCCTGACCTAGAGAGTGATCTAATTTATTTATTTATTTTACTTATATTAAGTAAACAAAGATGAACATTTTGAAACTGGAAGGTGTGCCTAATATATTTGTAACTAGTATCCATTCATTGCTGTTAATGATCTTATGGAATGGAAAATGTTCCTTGGAAAAAATAAAGCACTGGAATTTTCCCTGCCCCTGTGTAAGAGCCTAAAGAGCAACTTCAGGCATATCCAGTGCAATTTTGACTTCCCTTTTTCAACAGCCCACATGTCTCCCCTTGTTATACAACCATGTGTTTTTGAAATTTTCCTCAGTTTTAAAAGCAGTGCACAATATGTCACAGGGATGTGTTGCTGTTTGAAAATCTTAAGTTCAGATGCCCATAGGCACAACTACTTGTATCACTCTTTGAATCTTAAGCAATTTATGTGGTATCTGAGTGCAGGAAACTTTTCACAGTGTGGGTGGTGGAGGTATATGCATTGTTTTGAAAGCACAAACAAGTTCTTCCCCTCATTTCAGAAGTCGTATTTTCTTGATTTTTACAGAGGCAATGGTGGGGGGGAGGTGAGTTGAATGGGGAATTTGGTCCTCCATTAGACACACAGTAATTGTAGAATTTGTCATTTTGTTTACAGAGAAATGATCCTCCATTTCAACTAAAGCCCCCTCCAAAGGCATCTAAATCTGAAAAAGATGTTGATCCAGAGTATGAAGAAAAGATGGTAAATTTTCTGATATAGCAGTTTATCTGATAATATATTTGTTACGTTTTTGTTGAGCTTTGGTTGTGGTGAAAAGAGAAGTAAAAATATTAGCATACATAATATTAATTGTTCTAAAATAAAACAGATTGTTTTTCTAGACAGTTTTAGGAAGCTTTAAGGTGCATATATGTAAACATTAAAAAATATTATTTATTCATGATACCATCACAAAACAAATGTTTAACAGTCTGAGAGTAACACAAGGTGACATCATTTGAAATTAACCCAGACCCAAATAAAACTACATCATAAATGAACTTAAAATGCTGAATTTCCCTGGCAGATCACATGTGCCCTCCCTTTAAAGTTCCACTTTTAAGCAATATTTCAAGTAAAATAAATAAAAATAATACACTTGTATCTGAATAAAATTAGGATAATTTAACTGATGTTCATATATGCCAAAGTGAAAACAGCAAGCTATAACCCATTCAGGGGATCCTTAATACACCAAATCAATCACTAGAACAAGTTTGTGTATGTAGTATGTGCAGCCTGATCCCGTGCATGCTTATGTGGAATTCAATTTTCCCCTATCTCTGGCTTGCTCCCAAGTAATTGTGTGGTGAAATTTGAGGCATTTGTTTGTATCTTCACATATAATAAAGCTGAGGTGGAGGAGTCTGCTGTTACCCAAAAGAAGCATAAGACCCATCTTACTTTACTGCTTTCCATAGATTTTAGCAAATTTATCCCTGCCTACCCTATTTGTAGTATTGGACCCGGTCTGTTGGAAAACTGCTTAAAAGTTACAGAGTGCAATAAGGTAAGCCAATAAAAAGGGCAGGTTTTGGTCCACTTTTCTTTGTGCTCCTTTAAAATTAGATCCCTCTACCCCCATTTTATATGTGAACGGAGTAAGTGTGTGTTACACATAATTGTCTTACATGTCTTTTAAAATCCAAACAACATCATCTATTCGAGGTTCCGTCATTTGGTGTGAGAAGTTTTTACTACTGCTTAAAAGGTAAAAACATTTTCTCATGTCAGTAGCCTTGAGAGAAATCATTGTTTTGATTCTAAAACTGATGCTCAACAAATCTTCTTTTTAAAATTCTAGTGATCTTTCCTTAGGATGATCATACACAAGAGAAGAGTAGACTACTGTACTACTTTTAAAGACTATGTGGAAGATGCAGTTTGTCAGAAAAGTGAGGAAAGTTGCACTTCTGAAATTCTCTCTTCCACACATTAAAAGTATAGAGTAACATTGTCCTCTGTTAGATTGGTTACTCTCTGTTGTTCAAACAGTGACTGTATTTGCATAATCAAATATTAGCTTAGTAAGATGAGATAGGAACAAGCTTCATGCACAACCAGTTTGCTCATTCCTTTGCATGAGTGAGTAGAGAAGCCAGGAAGCTACAGTTAACAATAGGTTTCTATTATATCAGAATTGGGAAACTATGGTTAATGTCTTCCAAACAAGCCAGAATATGAAGCCATGATTTCAAGTTGGCTTCCAGATTCTGCTTTGTTTGGATGCCATTAACCATAGTTACCATTCCAGCCTGATTACATTACTTTTGGAAGCACTCAGTGGTTTTGTATTTCAAGCAAATCTGTAATTATGTTTGAAATTTATAGTAGCTTTTCACTATTGCTAGAATGTTTCTCGGTAGAGAAAAAGAAGAGATTTTCCCTTGAGAGGGAAAACCCCTAAAGATGAAGATCACTGTTGACAATAAAGTTAAACAATTTGAATAAAATATAAAATAGTATAGTATAAAATATAAAATAGTATAGTATAGTATAGTATAGTATAGTACAGTATAGAACAGAGATAGCCAGTGTGTTACGCTTCAGATTTTGTGTGGACTGCTGCTACCACCATTCTTGATCACTAGCCATGCAGGCTGGTGTGATGAGAATTGGAGGGCACCATGTTGGCTATTGTGGTATAGTAAGACCTAATGCTTAGGATCTGTCGAGCGAAAGTATAGTACAACGTAAGAAAATATCCATATTAGAAACTCTTATTGATATGAATCTTGCTAAATAAGAATTAGCTCTGAAAGTCTACAGATTCCATTGAAGAGGAAACTGAATGATAACCAACATTTAATCATTCACTTGTTTCTATGAAATTCTGTCAAGAATTAACTTCAGCTGCCCAAGTATGATAACATTATAGCAGCCATCCTGCAGTTTCTCAGAGCTGCTAATGGAATCGGACTTTTCAGTTAGCCAGTATTCAAAATCTGCCTCAAGAACTCCTGTAAGTAAGGAGACAAACATTAAGACAGTCTTCAAGTTAAAAACAGCTGACACCTGGCTGGTTTCCTGGTTCTTTGAAGGAGTTGTGTATTGTTGCTTCCAAGTTTGTAGAAATATAGTGTGGTTGTAATCTTATGCACATTTACTTGGGAGCATTATTTCTAAGTAGACATGTGTAGGATATTATTGTGTGCCTACTACAGAGTGTATGCTATTTTTGGACTTGAAGAAATTTGTATCTCCCCTTTGCTCATTCTTTAAAACCTTAGCTTCAGCATACTTCCTGAGCAGTGTCTCAAAAAGACAGAAAAGCAAAGGAAGAAGTAACCAGAAAATACAGGAAGCTCTTGCTTATTATTCTAAATAGAGCTCTGCTCAGTTTTAGTCTGTTCTTTTTCAAATCCTGTGTATGTATGTTAAATGTTTTCCCCCACAAAAGGCCTCAAAGCATCAAGAAATTTTATGCTGTGTTATGTTGCCCTCATGTGGTGAAATGTTATGCTATCCTTTTTAGCTTAAATTAAAATAAACTGCTTAGCATTTGTATATACATGCAGGTCCCGCTATCTGAATGTTTGTTGTCCATTTATCCAAATATAAAAAATATGCCCAAACCCCACTACACGCATGGCTGATTCAGATAGCTGGAGTTTCCCCATATCTTTGTTTGTTTGTGCTTTGCTGGTTGACTGCAACTATTTTCAGATGGAAAACATAGAGGAAGGTGGGGAGAGAGATCGGCCAGAGAGCAGGAGAAATCAGACAGATCAGTTTTTCCTTTCTCTTTTCATTTGCAGGTTGGCTGTAGCCATTTTAGAAAGAAACCATGGCGGGAGGGGAGAGAAAGATGGATGTCCCAAGGGTGACTGATCCAAGGTCATTCAGTGGGTTTATGGCTGAATGAGGATTTGAGTCCAGATCTTCCCTGTTCTAGTCTGACATTTGTCATAGTCTAGTTTCCAGGCTTTGGTCTCTAGTGGGAGGGGACAGAAGCAGCTACAGATAGACTTGTAGAGCTGGATAATGATAAATATTGCTACCATGCTGGAGATGTGAAGCAGAGAAAGTGTGGCTTGTTAGTAGTCATCTAGTGTGTTTGTGACAGAGACAGAATTTGAACTCTGGACTTCTTGGTTCACAGTGTAAGCATGTATACTCCTAAGCATGCTTTTATATCTGTTGGCTGGGGCAAGCCAGTCAGATGGGTGGGGTACAAATAAAAAAAATGTTGTTACTCATCTTAATGGGGCTTATTCTTAGGTAAATGTGTATAGGATTGCAGCTTTATTTTCATAGCCACTACAATTCACCAGCTGTTTCTTACTTAGGCCATCCTTGTCAGGGAAGAGTTAGAAGTTTTCAGTTTATCAGAGGGAGAAAGCATTCCTCAAGGGGGGAAGGAGAGCAGTGAATCTAATAGAAGGGAGCAAGAGGAACAACAGGGAGGGACTGGCTGTTCACAGGAAAGGCAAGGGTTAAGTTCTAGCTCAGATTCGGAGGAGGGGAGATACAGGCCAGCTCTAGCCAGGAGGTTAGAAAAAAGAGCGAAAACGAAGGGAAAGGCGCCTTCGCCATTTTGAGGGTGGCTGGTCACGGAGAAGCAGAGCTCAGAAGGTATCTGAAATAAGTGACTCTGAGGAATAATAGTTAAGAACTGTTTATAAGATTATTTTGTTAATACACAATAAAAAGTTATAAAAGAACAAGAAGCGTTTGTGTGGTGATCTGAAGAGGACAACGACCAGTCCTGACAATCCTTACAAAAGAAGAACTGTGTAGCATATGCCATGAAACCATGGAGCTGTCGCAGTATGTCACTGGTCCAATGCATGTTGCAGGTCACATTCTGGATCTTGTTTTCTCAACTTGGCAGAAAGGGTAATCTGAAGATGGGGGATATTGACATCAGTTGCTTGTTATGGTCAGATCACTTTCCTGTTGAGATCTAGACTTTCAGCACCCTTTCCTCTCTGCAGAGGCAGTGGACCTTTTGGAATGGTCCGCCCTCAGCGGGTAATGGAGCCAGTGGATTTCAAGACAGTTCTGTGGAATATTCTGGCTGATATGAAGGGTGCTTCTGTCTAAGCGCTGGCTGACCTCTGGAACATCTGAATAGATTGGGCTGTTGACACGATCGCTCCTGAGTGCCCATTCCTGCTTCGTAGAGCCATATTGGTTCCCTGGGGGGGCACCACTTTGCAGTGGTTCCACTTCTACTTGGATGGGGACTGCTCTTTGGCTCCATGGAACCTTCAGTGGATATGCTGGGCTGTTGTCTTGCCTTGATAATGGACTAGATGAGAGCCAACACACTCAAGCTCAATCCAGATAAGAATGAGGCACTCTTAGTGCGTGGTTCCCTAGACAGGATGGATGGGAGGTTGCCTGCTCTTGATGGGACTATACTTCCTTGGAAGAAGTGTATAAGCAACCTGGGGGTACTTCCGGATCTTTTGCTGTCGCTTAGGACTCAGGTGGCCTCAGGGGTGTGGAGTGCTTTCTACCAGCTTTGGCTGGTAGCCCAGCTGCACCCATAATCTGGACAGTGATAGTCTAACTACTGTTGTCTATGCTTTGGTAACTTCTAGGTTAGATTACTGCAATGTTTTATACGTAGGACTGCCTCTGAAGACAGTTCAGAAACTTTGGCTGGTGAGAATTCGGTGGCCAGGTTCCTCACAGGGCAAGACAATTTGAGCATGTTACACCAATCCTGGACCGACTGCACTGGCTGCCAGTTAGTTTCCAGGCCCAATTCAAAGTGTTGGTTTCGAACTATGAAGCTTTACATGGCTCAGGATCTCAATACCTCAGGAACTACCTCTTCCCAAAGAACCTACTGGGAACCTGCGATAATCATCACAGGCCCTTCTTGGTATGCCTCCTCCATGAGAGGTGCAGAGGGTGGCAGTATGAGAATGGGTCTTTTCTGCAGTGGCTCTCCCTTTGTTGGATGCTCTCTCCAGGGAGGCTTACCTGGTGACTTTATTATACACTTTTAGGTGCCAGGCAAAAAATTCTTCTTCAATCAGATCTTTGGCTGATTAACATCCTCTATCCTTTTAAATGTGTTAATGGGTGTGTGTGTTATATTTTTGTTTATGTTCTTGTTTTTATTACGTAATTTGTGTTTTTATCTTGTATTTTTCTGAGATTTTTCTGAGATCTTCAGGTTTACACTACAGAAGTTGAGAAAAGATTGTATTCTTGATTAGGAAGAGTGCAGTTTATATTGGATTTGATATATTATTTTGCTGCCATTCTTGTTTATGAATGGATTCTTGTAAGGCTTTGAGGTATTTTAAAAGTTTCAAAATGTATTTTTGTACTCTGTCGTTTGATCATTTTTCTACACTGCATTTGCCCACTTTGTGAGGATATTTTCTGAGAAAGTGGAATACAAATGTATAAAATAAAGATAAATGAAATAAATACTGTGTTTGTTGCCTTGAATATAGAAAACAGATCGAGCCAAGAGATTTGAATTCCTGTTGAAGCAGACAGAACTCTTTGCACATTTTATTCAACCTGCGGCGCAGAAATCACCAACGTCTCCCCTGAAAGTGAAACTTGGACGACCACGAATGAAAAAGGATGAAAAGCAGAGCTTACTTTCGGCTGGAGAGTATGTCTTTTTAATTTAAATTACTGTTTGATATTAAATGCTATGTGTGTTTAATGTAGTGCATCTTTTATATGCAAACCTGTACAGGTAACTTGCAATTTACATGGGAGTTACATTCCTGGCCATCAAACATATAAGCAAAATTGCCTAAAGCTAGAACACTCCCGGAAAACCATAAAAACCCTAGAAAACCTAAAAACAGAGTAAGCCATCATGTCAGTGACTGTGACTTTGTGGTACAGCCTCATTTTGCAATGAACCTTTGCCATAATATGCTCCTGGAATGGAAGGATGTTCTACTTGAGGCTCCCGGGGTATCTCCTTGCCCATGGCAACTGGACCACACCTACTATGCAGAACCTGTCTCCTCTTGATTTAGGTTTGCTGCTGGGGCGAGGATCATGGCTCGAGCCTTCATTAAAAGGGGTCCTGTGGTCTAGCTTCTTAGGCTAGGGTGAAGCTGATTAAGCTGATAGTTTGGGCTCTGATACCTTTGCTGCAGCCTGCTGCTTCCCCTGCCTGTCCCTGCAGCTTGGCTGCCTCAGGACTGTGTTATTCTCCAGCTCTGTGCTGGACGAATCATGGCTTTTATGCCTGACAAGGGTGTGGTGTGGTCTGAGAGAGTGAAAGTGCCATCTCTTGAAGCTGAGATGGCCAGCAAATTCAGGCATGGGGAGAAGAGAGCCAATGAGGATTTTTTTTTGCCCTTTACTGTTTTGGGATTGTGCACTGCCACTAGGCCTACTTCCCTTCTTAGGCCCACAAAGATCTACCCTCCAGTGAGAAGCACCTCTCTTTGGCCAATCCTGGGTTTTTGTTTTCCAGTAGAATTCGAGGTGCGGGGACTTAATAGCGGGAGGATACCCTCTTCAAGTATGAACGCCCTCTGTGGTCATAGATCAGGCCCTGTTGGCCACATTGAAGCAAACCATGACCTCACTGGCCTTTGCAATATCTGCCTCATGGCCTTGTTCTTTGCCCTAGTGGAGAGGAGAGATAAAGCCACTGCTGAGGATGGTTTTTGCTTTGCTGGTCTTGGCATCCAGGAGGCTCCTCAAGCCTCCGTGCCTCCTCAGCATGGCTTTGATGCATGGCTTGAAGAATTGTCCAAGATAGTTGAATTCAGCAGCTCTAGAGAGGGGAAAAGATGGTAGGCATAATGTCCTGACACTGGTCTAAATTCATCCTCCTTTCCTGTCCCATGAATGAAGAGTAGCCCCAAAAGGAAGGGAAGAGAGAAAAGAAGGGCTACCAAAAGTGTGAGGAAATGGCTGATTGAGTAGGCAGGAAGGAACTGGGGCAGGGGCTGTCCCACCCCTTAATGAACATGTTTCATATTCTCATAGTCCTTCCTTGTGGAGTGAGTTAGAGGAGCAACTTATTTGAGATTCCTTGCTCTACTACAGGAAAAAAGGCAGGGCTTTTGTGGTATACAAAAAGGTCCTTGTGGAAAGCACATCATAGGTTTGACTAGTTTCTTCATTTTTTCTTCAGTTATCGCCATAGGCGCACAGAGCAAGAGGAGGATGAAGAGCTGCTTTCAGAAAGTCGAAAAACCTCAAATGTGTGTATTAGATTTGAGGAATCGCCTTCGTGTGAGTATATTTATTAAAATCTTTTTCCATTTTCTTAAACGAGTTAGGAAATAATAGTATAATCAAGCATATAGATAAAAAGTCACATTTTATGTGCTTTGCAGATGTTAAAGGAGGAACGTTACGAGACTATCAGGTTAGGGGGTTGAACTGGATGATCTCCCTTTACGAAAATGGCGTGAACGGCATTTTGGCAGATGAAATGGTAAAAAGCTTTCTTTCTGGAGTACATCTTTGGGGTGGAAGTGAAGTGTATATCTCTTGGAAGAAGACAATTCTCAAAGCAGAAAAAAATGGTTTTAAATAAAAATGTAATTCTCATTGAAGTCAGTGGCCATAAGCCAGATGTGGACCTCCAATGATGTCTCCCTTGTCAAATCCTCAAACTACTTTTTAAACTCTCATGAATTTAAAGAACAGTTTTAGACTGGAGTCCACATTTCCTATGCTCTAAGTAATCCAGGTGGTTTTAGTACAACTTTGAGAATAAGTCTCTTCAGCGTACTTAGCCCATAATTATTAGCTAATTGGAGAATATTTGGAGTAAGATTTTAAATCCATTGTCTTCAGATATCATACAGCTATTACTAAAAGCAATGGTGTTTTTTATTATCTTTGTGATTCTGATAAGCTATGATTCCTAATAAGCTAGTCAGATGAAATTGGCTAGAAGAATGTGACTCCCTGATGGCATTCATGGAAGAACAAATTTATACTGTCATATGTCCATGTTAGTCATTTGTGGTGCCTGATTGGGGAGACAGGAAAGAAGAACCAATTGACCCTCAGTTTACTTGAGCTTTCTGTCTGGTTGCCTCTACATGATTGTTGCTTGCCCCAGGTAATGAAAGTACCGTATTTTTTGCTCTATAAGACTCACTTTTTCCCTCCTAAAAAGTAAGGGGAAATGTGTGTGCGTCTTATGGAGCGAATGCAGGCTGCACAGCTATCCCAGAATCCAGAACAGCAAGAGGGATTGCTGCTTTCACTGCGTAGCGATCCCTCTTGCTGTTCTGGCTTCTGAGATTCAGAATATTTTTTTTCTTGTTTTCCTCCTCCAAAAACCAGGTGCGTCTTGTGGTCTGGTGCGTCTTATAGAGCGAAAAATACGGTAATTAATGGCTGCTAAGATGACAACTATAAACAAATGGTTGCGAACTGTTCCCAACCCTTATTGAAATAAATAGTAAATGTCCCATTCATTTTCTTAGTTGTGAATTGTGCTGCCAGTTAAGGCATAATGATCTTGGTCTAATAAATCATGGTTTATTTGATCAAGAGTGTTGTATTATGAGCACCACAATACATTGCTTTTGGAGTTCGTTAAGCAACACTTTCCCATAACATCTGAACTGGGAAACTGGTTTATTAATCTTGAACTACAGACCAGGATCTGATCATGGTTTTGTTTTATTTTTATAGTTCAGGGTTAATAAACCAAAGTTTCCTGGTTCAGATGAAATGGGAAACTATGGCTTAACAAACTGCAGAATTAATACTGTTGTGGCATAGAAGACGAGAGAAGGCAGCACAATGCTTGCTCTCTCTGACAAACCATGATGTGCTAGATGAAGATCACTATGTCTAAACTGACGTATTATTGACCCAGCTCATGAAAGATTTCTCATGGGTTCATTGACAGCAGGTCTGTTGAACTTTGGTGGAAATAGAATTCAGTATGGTGACAGAGGAGATAAGTATCACAACGTGCCTGCCATTAGCATTTCCTAGTATTATGTGGGCATTTTCTCTTCAGTATGTAGAAAATTTACTGAACTCAGAGAGTCAAGGAATAACAATTGTGTGTAATTCAAAGAAAAGATGCATAATGCATAGCAGTAGTACAGACTGAGACTCAAATATTCAGTTGTAACATAGCTAAGAGCAAAATGTAATTAAAAAATTCATTCTCTGTAATAATTCATGCATATTGCAGAGGAATGCTTATGAGAAGCTGTAGTTTTATTATCTCAAAACAAACTCTAACCAGAGTTGTAATTTGCATATTGCAATATATTGAAATTATGGCAGATTTCTATTCCATAAATTGTACCATGTCCGTAAACTTTTCTGCTCATTATTATAAATGGAAATCAGTTCAGTGCTGCTAACAATGATGCATAAGTTTAAATAATTTTTAATACTATTGTAGGGTCTAGGAAAGACTCTGCAAACAATTGCATTGCTGGGCTATCTGAAACATTACCGAAACATTCCTGGCCCACACATGGTTCTGGTTCCCAAATCGACTTTGCACAACTGGATGAATGAATTTAAACGCTGGGTTCCATCTCTACGTGCCGTTTGTCTCATTGGAGACAAGGATGCCAGGGTAAGTGATCACTATGTAAAGAAGTGACTTGCTTTTCAAGTTGGGAGTGTAATGCCTTTCCCCCATTGCATTTGTATAGCATCATAATTGTGCACAGCAGTTTACAGGTTAAACCACACATCACTAATGTTCTTATTGTTTTACTATGATTTTGTTTTTTAACTTTTTATCAAATTTTGCATGGCTGTGTTGTTTATTCTTGCTAGCCACCTCAGACTCCATTTGGAGAAGGGGTGGGATATAAAAGTTTTGTATGTATTAATGAATGACATACTTCATTTTAAGATGCATATGTCACACCAAGGTTCATCTGAGAAGAGGCATTCACTTATCCCTCCCTCCTTTATTTTTAAAAATATATTTATCCTCATTGATTTTGATTTATTTATTTTTTTAATGATATTTATTAAGGTTTCCAAAAAAAAAAAAAGTTACATATATAAGAAAAAGAAAAATAGAAAAAAGAAAAAATACAAAATACAGAAAAAATAAAAGAGACTTAAAAAACAAATCAATCTTTCCATGCCTTACATTTCATTTACTTGTTTCCCTGACCTCCTCACGCCTCCCTTTTTTGTATTCCAGTTCAGTTAATTAATTCAGCAATTCCTTTCCCTCTTTGTTTTTATCTTAATCCTTTAACTTAATATATTATAGCTTTAGGTTCTCACCTGTTAACAATCCATTTTTACATACACCTTTATAACATTGCTGCTAAAACCACTTAACTTCATTCTGACATCATTCTAACATTCATTAATTTTACAGTATTTCTGTAAATAGTCTTTAAATTTCTTCCAATCTTCTTCCACCGACTCTTCTCCCTGGTCTCGGATTCTGCCAGTCATTTCCGCCAATTCCATGTAGTCTATCACCTTCATCTGCCATTCTTCCAGAGTGGGTAGATCTTGTGTCTTCCAATACTTTGCAATAAGTATTCTTGCTGCTGTTGTGGCATACATAAAGAAAGTTCTGTCCTTCTTTGGCACCATTTGGCCGACCATGCCCAGGAGAAAGGCCTCTGGTTTCTTCAGAAAGGTATATTTAAATACCCTTTTCATTTCATTATAAATCATCTCCCAGAAAGCCTTAATCCTTGGGCACGTCCACCAAAGGTGAAAGAATGTACCTTCGGTTTCTTTACATTTCCAACATTTATTATCGGGCAAATGATAGATTTTTGCAAGCTTGACTGGTGTCATGTACCACCTGTATATCATTTTCATAATATTCTCTCTTAAGGCATTACATGCCGTAAACTTCATACCTGTGGTCCATAACTGTTCCCAGTCAGCCATCATTATATTATGTCCAACATCTTGTGCCCATTTAATCATAGCAGATTTCACCGTTTCATCCTGAGTATTCCATTTCAACAGCAAGTTATACATCTTTGACAAAATCTTGGTTTTGGGTTCTAACAGTTCTGTTTCCAATTTTGATTTTTCCACCTGGAAGCCAATTTTCTTGTCCAAATTATATGCCTCCATTATCTGATAATAATGAAGCCAATCTCGCACTTTATTTTTTAGTTTTTCAAAACTCTGCAATTTCAATCTGTCTCCCTCTTGTTCCAAAATTTCCCAATATTTCGGCCATTTGGCCTCCATATTGAGCTTTTTCTGAGCCTTCGCTTCCATCGGTGACAACCACCTTGGGGTTTTATTTTCAAGTAGGTCCTTGTATCTTATCCAGACATTAAACAATGCTTTCCTGACAATATGATTTTTAAATGCTTTATGTGCTTTGACCTTATCATACCACAAATATGCATGCCATCCAAATACATTATTAAAACCTTCTAAATCCAAAATGTCTGTGTTTTCAAGAAGTAGCCACTCTTTCAGCCAGCAAAAAGCTGCTGATTCATAATAAAGTTTAAGGTCTGGCAGGGCAAATCCACCTCTTTCCTTTGCATCCGTTAGTATTTTAAATTTTATTCTAGGCTTCTTGCCCTGCCAGACAAATCTAGAAATAGCTCTCTGCCACTTCTTGAAGCAATCCATTTTATCCAAAATTTGCAATGTTTGAAACAGAAACAACATTCTAGGCAATACATTCATTTTTATCGCAGCAATACGGCCTAGCAGTGAAAGCTTCAAATTTGACCAGATTTCTAAATCTTTTTCACTTCAGTCCAGCATTTTTCATAATTGTCTTTAAATAGATTCCCATTTTTAGCTGTCATGTTAATCCCCAGGTATTTCACTTTCTTAACCACTGTTAAACCTGTCTCATTCTGAAACCTCTCTCTCTCAATCGCTGTTAAATTTTTCTCTAAGACCTTTGTTTTTGACTTATTCAGTTTAAATCCTGCAACCTGACCAAATTCTTGAATCAGTTCCAAAACTCTTTTGGTACTAGATTCTGGCTCCTGTAATGTCAGTACTAAGTCATCTGCAAATGCTCTCAATTTGTACTGTTTGGCTCCGACTTGTATACCTTTAACCAATTGGTCCCTTCTAATCATGTTCAGCAGGACCTCCAGGACCGATATAAAAAGCAATGGGGAGATTGGGCAACCTTGTCGTGTCCCTTTTTCTATCTTAAATTTCTCCGTCACCACGTTATTAACAATTAATTTAGCCTTTTGTTCTGAATAAATTGCACTTATACCGTTTCCAAAGCCTTGGCCTACCCCCATCCCCTGTAGATTCTTCTTCATGAAACTCCAAGAAATGTTGTCAAAAGCTTTCTCCGCGTCCACAAATATCAAAACTGCCTTGGTGTTAATATTCACTTGTAATTTTTCTAAAATATTGATTATGTTTCTCATATTATCAGACAAGTGTCTACCCGGGAGAAAGCCTGCTTGATCTTTATGAATCTCTTCCACTAACACTTTTTTTAGTCATTTAGCCAAAATGTCTGCAAAGATTTTATAATCCACATTAAGCAGTGATATGGGGCGGTAGTCCTTAAGCTGCGTCTTTTCAGTCTCTGTCTTCGGTACAAGTGTAATATACGCTTCTTTCCACGACTCTGGTGCCCTTTTCCCATCCATTATTTCGTTGCAGACTTCCTTTAAAGGTTCTACTAATCATTCTCTTAAAGATCTGTAGTATCTAGAAGTCAGTCCATCCGGTCCTGGAGATTTACCTAATTGCATATTCTGGATGGCACCTTCTACCTCCTGTTCAGTTATTTTATAGTTCAGCATTAATTTATTTTCTGGAGAGATTTTTTGTAATCCATTTATTTTCAAAAATCGGTCTACATCAATTTCTTTCTGTGGCCCTTGTGTATATAGTTGCTTAAAATACCTCTGGAAACAGTTTCTAATCTCAACTGGGTTCTGTATGTTCTTTCCTTCCACTTCTAAATTTATAATAGTATTTAGTTTTTGTCTTTTTTTCATTTGCCAAGCCAACAATTTTCCACATTTATTAGCCGACTCAAATGTCTTTTGTCTCATTTGTTTAATTTTCCATTCTATCATTTCTCTCAAGATCTCTTGCGACTTTGGTTTTGCTCTAAATTTCTTTTCACTTTCCTTTATTTTCTCCAATATTTTATCCTTCTTCTCATTTTGAATTCTCTTCTTTATTGCATTCTGTTGTATCAAGAACCCTCTCATAACAGCTTTGCTTGCGTCCCAGATTACTCTTTTTTCAACATTGGTGTTCATATTTGTCTCAAAATAGTCTCTCAAGGTTTTTTGGGCCTTCTTAGTCACTTCTTCATCTCTAAATAAGGTGTCATTCATCCTCCATCTGAAGGAGCCAGTTGGTGTTAGTTTCATCTCCATCTTCACAGCATTGTGGTCGGAGCAGGTTTTTGGGCAAATTTCCACTTTTCTTGTCTTTGGTGCCATTCCTCTAGTTACCCATATTTTGTCAATTCTTGTCCAAGTCATTTTTTTTTTTATTTTGATCATGATTTTGATTTATTTACTGGGGGGGGGGGTGAGTCATCATATTAGCCTTTATGGAACTTGATTTCCTCCCCACCTTCCATTTCTTCTTCATTTTTGTGAAATGCTTTCCCCTTATAACTAGTATATGGTTGCAGGAGCAGCTTCCAAATGAGTTAGGTGGCCCTATTCAGCTTACCTGTCTAGAAGTGTTTACCATGTTCATTTTTATTAGGCTGCTTTTATCCGCGATGTTATGATGCCTGGAGAGTGGGATGTGTGTGTTACCTCCTATGAAATGGTAATTAAAGAGAAGTCTGTTTTCAAAAAATTCAACTGGAGGTATCTGGTGATTGATGAAGCCCACCGAATCAAGAATGAAAAATCAAAGGTGAGCCTCAGTTTTATTTCTGTAGATACCTAGAGAAATACTACAGAATACTAGGATAGTGGAAAAATCTGGTAACTCTTGAATGGAAGGATAACTTTTTGTACATTTTGAGAAAATAGGAAGCAATAGGAAGTTAAAAAAGAATTCCTTTCAAAATGGCAGGCAGGGGAAAAAATGAAGAATTTAAAACACTAACTGTTACATCTGAACTATTAATAATGCTTGTAATTATTATGTTAGGTTATGGGAGTTTGGAGCTTCATTTTGAAATACTTTGTATGTACTTTCATTTGTAAAAAATGTATCCTGGAGTATGGTAGTAATGAAGTAGTAATAAGTGCTCTTCTACAAAATTTCCTAGCTCTCTGAAATTGTTCGAGAGTTCAAGACAACAAATCGGTTGCTATTAACAGGAACTCCCTTACAGAATAATCTTCATGAACTATGGGCATTGCTCAATTTCCTTTTGCCTGATGTCTTCAATTCTGCAGAGGTGAGATTGTACATTATGTTAAAGTCCTATTTTTTTGTTTTTGCACACTTTATATGGTAACCTAACTTTTGCCAATAACTTAAGTTGTCTTTATATCATATTATAATGGTTTACATTCTTAAGAGAAGGTAAATGAATAGAGAGGGAAGTTAAGGAAAAAATTATGTAGCAGATTCTTAATACAGTGGTACCTATGGTTGCGAACATGATCCGTTCTGGAGGCCTGTTTGCAACATGAAAAGAGTGCAACCTGCAGTGGAGCATCTGTGCACAGGCGGGTTGTGATTCCCCGCTTCTGTGCATGCGCGTGATGTCATTTTGCGCTTGTGCGCATGCGCGAACGGCGAAACGCGGAAGTATCCCTTTGCGGTACTTCCGGGTCTTTGTGGGTCATAACCTGAAAGAATGTAATAGGAAGTGGATGTAACATGAGGTATGACGGTACTGTTACATAGTGAAGTTGCATAATGAGGAATTGAAATGGTCACTGTGGGTAGAGGACATTTTACAGGAGGAGAGGGACTAAATCGTCATTGCATCTTTCAGATGCAAGTATTAGTTTATAGTATTGGTAGAATTAGTTTATAGTATTGATGTATCTGAACTGCATTGTTTCATATTGACTTAGCTTTTAGTCAGTGTATTCTACGCGAGCATTTGAAGGGAGGGGTAGGTGGAACTGCTTTGAGAAGTTGGTTCAGCCACTTTGGGCCACATTTTAAGGTGGATCTGCACATTATATGAGACACAGGGATGCTTTTCACAATTTGTAACATTTGCTTGTGCCTGTTCACGTACTCCCCCCTGCTAGTGATGCACATCTGTGGCAGAAATATAATAATGTCAGGGCATAGGTATGCTTTACTAGATGTTAAAGAAGGGAAGAACTTGACACACTGTTTCCAGTGGACAGCTTCGTTTCTAGTTTACTAAAATTTCCCCTTGAGTTTTGAAAGTACAAACACAGTAACAACAAACACAGTAACAACAACATAATTTTTACAGGACTTTGATTCATGGTTTGACACTAAAAATTGCCTTGGTGATCAAAAACTTGTAGAGAGACTTCACGCGGTAAGTATGGCAATTCTGCTTTCTGAAATAAATTTAATTTCTCTTCCATTGTATTGTACGAATGGTATATGATTCTTACCGTAACATCCTAATGTACGTTTCTGAGAAATGAAGGCTATGTGTTGTGTATATTGTGATGTGATATAAGACAGAATTTGTAGAATTCTGGTGAAGCAGTCATTTGTTTACTACTTATTAACATGACTATTTATGTGTGCCTTTGTGTCTTTTCCCAACAGAAACAAAGCATTCAGTTATTTATACTATACACTCAGTAAATGTATTTAGAATGAGGTGCATCTTGAAACTTCCCTTTCACAATTTGTGATACCAAGGTCTGTAGGATATACATTCTGTGTAAGGGGGTCCTAGTTGCTCCTGTTGGTCCTAGAAACACCATAAGAAATGGTCATGTATTCTGCATGTTCTCCTACCCGAAGTAGCCTCAAAAAATTAGGATTAGGAAAAGGCATCATAAGAGCAGTATAAGAAGTCTAGGACACTGGCAAAACAAATACTTGAAATGCTGACTTGTAGCAATGTGTAAAATGTGTTGATGTGTTGATTTTTAGGTTTTGAAGCCATTTTTGTTACGGCGTATAAAAGCTGAGGTGGAGAAGAGCTTGCCTCCTAAAAAAGAAGTAAAAATTTATCTAGGACTCAGCAAAATGCAGAGGGAATGGTAAAATTCTTTTTTAAAATTTAATTTAAAATCAGTCTATTATACTGGCCTAACATAGTGACTATAACATATTAACAGTAAAGACCCGCTTCAAACCTACATATGATTTAAGCTACACATTCATTAAATTGCCTTGGGCAAGCTACCACATCTCAGTCCCAACCCTGCACCTTAGTCTGTAATAGAGAAATAATAGTACTGACCTACCTTACAGTACTATAGTAAATATTACTGAGACAATGTATGTGAAGCACTTTGTACACTTGAAATGTACTATATAAATGCTAAGTATTATAATCCATACAGGTATCTATGTAGATGAAAAATAAAACCAATTCCCTATGTTCTGTTTGTGTTTTATACTGTGAGCTGTCACCTCAGAGAAACAGAAGACAGAAACTTGGTTTCAGGATGAGATGAAGCAAGGCCATTCTACATGGTGTGAACCTTAGGTATAAAAACAATTTTTCCTCAGTTCCAACATGGAACTAAGGAAATTTGTATACAGAGAATGAGTGGAATGGTGTCAGAGATGCAGTCCCTTCCCTGTAAGCCAGGAATTGGCTTGCAGGTGTGTGATGAAGGAGGCAGCATATATTTTGGTTACCACTTTAGTATCCAGATTCAGTAGCTTTGGGCAGGATGTTGTGTTTGAGCTAAGCTGGACATGGGTATTTGTGTTTCACTATGGTGGTGTAGCAGGGCTTCCTGCCCATGCTTGGCCCATGGTAGCACTTCAGGATAAACTCAACTGGGGGCTTCAGAATGTGCAGAAACTTGTCCCATTGTTTTCCTATCTTTCTCCTAGTCTGTGCTTGGAGTGGCCTCCCTGTCTCCAACCACTGTCAAATCTGATGGGTGTGCAGCTAGTGCTAATGAATCTTTGTTAGAATCATATTTTGCAGAAAAATAAAATAATATTAGAGACGCAAACCACATTTAAATAAATGCCAGTTGCCACTGTGTAAATGTGTAAAGCACTGGGATTTAGATGCCTTCATATTTGTATGCTTTTGTACGTCCAAGGACAAAGAGTTGTTTTTAAATTGTCCAATAACCTTTTAGGTATACCAAGATCCTAATGAAAGATATTGATATCTTAAATTCGGCTGGAAAAATGGATAAGATGCGGCTGTTGAACATTCTGATGCAGCTGCGGAAGTGCTGTAATCACCCATACCTCTTTGATGGTGCCGAGCCTGGCCCACCCTATACCACTGATACTCATCTTGTGACCAACAGTGGCAAAATGGTTGCTCTGGATAAATTACTATCAAAACTCAAAGAGCAGGGTAAGAAGGGCTTGTTATGAGTCACTGTTCATTTAGAAATGTATTTAGTCATTGTGGCATGACCAAGAAAACAGAACCCTGGGTGAAACTATGAGGGAAAGAAATTTTAAGGTTCTCTGGTAGATCCCACTGAATGAAAAGGGGCAAATGGGATGCATTTCTGGATGCAGCCTAGATGGGGAAAAACCTGGGGTCAACTGGGGAAGAGTGCAGATTTAGTTCCCACTGCAGGTGGGTCTATGAATTTATCCCTTTTAATTCATCCATCTATTCATATGGCAAAGAATACAGTGCCTAAAAATGGGGACCTTAAAGTAATGTATTGGGAACAAACCCTGCCATTCCTCTTGTAGAAGACCTGGCCTTCAGCAGGGCAGCCCAAGGTGATGTGCAATATGTCTGTGTTCTGCAGAGGCACATATTGCACCTACCCAGGGTTCCACATCTTAGCCAAATAGATGTGTACAAAGTGGTATTTTAAATGGACGAAAAGTAGTGGGTTGCAATTATCAGGATCCAAAATTGAGAAGGCCAGTTGTTACTGCTGTAGACCTTTGGGGTGGAATTCCTGAGATTAGGGAGATGCCAGTGAAGCAGAAGACATCAGATTGGAATGGGGAAAGCCAGTTTTTAGTATGGGGAAGGGACTTAGGAACTGAGAGAAAGTTATAGAGGGGAAGGAGCAGTACCAGAAGCTGTAGAAGAAAGGATAGAGTAAAATGGAGAGACAGTGTATGGGACAGAGAACACACTTTTATTTAATATAAGTGTAAGTTCAGCAGTGTGATGAATTGTATTCTTATAACTTATTTGTCTCTCAGGTTCCAGAGTTCTCATTTTTAGCCAAATGACCCGTCTGCTGGATATACTGGAAGATTATTGTATGTGGCGGGGCTATGAGTATTGTCGATTAGATGGGCAAACACCGCACGAAGAGAGAGAGGTGAGAAGGATTTATGTAGCTCATTGGATTTTCATTCCATTCTATCCTAGAGGCATGTTGGAGCCTTGACAGTAGCTGTCCAGTTGCTCTTATACGGTGGCTAGTCATTTCTCTGTTGGCATTTTAGCTTCCCTGAGTGCTATCTTGCTAAATAAGGATTTCTTTTATGGCATGCCTTATAAACAGGGATTGATCTAGGGTTATTAAATGGTCCTTTGAGTTTCTTTCATATCACTCAGTCTTCTAATTTGTGTTTAAACAGTCAAGTGAAAGGTGCATTTACACAGTACCTGTGAGGAATAAGCATTTAGAAGGTTATCTGTGATTCATTGGTTCAGGGGGCCTTGTGGTACTAGTGAAGTTGAAGGAAATTATTTTGATTCACGGTGATCTTACTTTGTCCATATTTAGCCCAACATCTTTTGCAGGGAAAATAAGCAACTTTTGCAATTTTAATACCCCATAAACAGGTTATTTTCATGAAATCCCCACAATTTTAAATTGTTTTCCCTTTATAGGAAGCAATAGACACCTTTAATGCTCCCAACAGCAGAAAGTTTATTTTTATGCTGAGTACAAGAGCTGGAGGCCTGGGGATTAATTTAGCAACAGCTGATGTTGTTATCCTCTATGACTCTGACTGGAACCCACAAGTCGATCTACAAGCAATGGTGAGTACTCTTGGTATGTCTCATGCAAAGCTAGAGTTCCTACTGTAGTGACAACAGGATAGTTAGAACTGATAGGCTGTGCCTGTGGAGCTGAGAGGCAGGCTTAGAGCAATCTTTTAGAGAGCCAAGAGCCTAGGAAGCTGGCTTTGGCTTGCTTCATGTGTAATAACAAACAGGTGTGGGTGAATATAAGAGGAAGGGGGAGCACCTGGGCCTCTCTTTCATAATACCAAATCATGGTTGGTGTTAAAATCATAAAATCATAGTTGGAAGGGAACCTGAGGATCATCTAGTCCAACCCCCTGCAATGCAGGAATATGCAGCTGTCCCTTAGGAGATCGAACCTGCGACATTGGTGTCATCAGCACCACATTATAGGTATGAATAGGACCTGCAGCTGTGAGGCCATAACAACTGCAGGGATCTAGGGAAGAAATGTCCAATTTGTTCCCTGTTAAGAGGGGGAGTAGCTGTCTATTCAGTTGTGGTAGATTTGGCAGTGGGCTGGGGAATTTATCCCAAGGAGCTATTCAAGAGTTAAAGGATGAAGTGGAGTCTTAGTATGAGTGGACTGGAAGGCACTGGGTTAGGGAGGGATGTGGAAGTGGTGACTTTGAATATGCCTGTAAACAGGATCAAGGACTCCCCATCACTTTTGTGGCAATTAACCACTCCAACCAAATAATTTCCAATGTCTTGTGTTAGATTTGGGGAGATCTTTTCCTACTGGTGGATCACCTGTAGGATTGATTCACCAGAAAGGAATCCTGATAGGCTTCTTCTAGTCAGGTTGAATCTCCCAACATACCCTAGACTGTCCAGTTTCTAACTCCTACAGACAAGGACCCTCCCTTCAGTCCATCTCTAGAGAAAAATAAATGGGCACTTTACTTTCACTTTTCCAAAGGCCAGAGGACACCAAATCTTTACAGAGCCTTGTGAACTCTCCTTAGAATACAAAGGTAGTTAGATAACTATGTAGTCTAGAACACAGGGACAATTTTAGTGAGAAATTCAGTAGAAATCCCTTTGAAGTCAGCTGTCAGTGTATGGAAAGGGGAAAGGAAGAAAAAGTAGGGGAAGGGAAACACATTTAAAATCAAATCAAAATCAGTCTAGCTTAGCTTGCTGCATTTTACCTGCTGGAGTAGAGTCTTGGTTTTCAGAGCTTGTGCAAAATTCCTTGCAGGAAAGAGATTCTGAGAGTGTAAGAGCATCTTTGGTCACCTGCTTGGATGTTTCCAAGGTGACTAAAAACTGGGTGATTCTTCACATATTTATGGGAGTGAGATTGGTAAAAGCTGACCCTTTACTGGAAGCAGATTATAGTTTTGCCCAGTGGTAAGGGAGGCCTTGAAGAGACTGAGTCCATGTCCTTAATGATTCTAGACTTCAGTTACAAACAAATGAATTAGACTAGTTGACTAGTGTGAAAAAAGGGATTAGCTGTCTATTCACCAGGTTTATTCAGGAGTTTAAGGGTGAAGGGGTCAAATGTCACATGCATAAAGTGATGCTACTAGTCTGCATCTCAATATAGGGGGTCTGTCAAATGCTAATAGAAAGAACATAGGTACACGTAGAAGTGCCAGTGCAGTGCAGCACATTGTCACACTGATGCATTTGGGCATAGCCACATTGCACAGACCCGAAAGAGAACAGTTAACAGAATATTTCTGAATGTGGATAATGCAGCAGTTGTTAGGCCTTTGTTGACTAGGAAATCAATTTTTTTTTAAAAAAAAATGGATATCTATATTCACTTTTCTGCTTTTTTTAAGCATTCAGGCTGTTGTATTTCCTCTAAAATCATAACAAAATAACAAATAAATAATTAAATATTAAAACAGAAGCACATAGAAGCCAATCATTTGGGAGAGCTAAAACACTATTAACAATCTGAGATAGTAGTGGGGAACATGTTGGCCATCAGATGTTGTTGGACTCCCAGCACCCATCAGCTTCTGCCAGGATATGGGACTATGGGTGTTGCAGCCCAGTAAATATCTTTTGGAAGGCTACCTGTTTCCCATGCTTCAGCTAAGCTGAAGACCTGCTGAAAAAGCAAAAGTTTAAAGGTGGTATCTCATGCTGTTAAAGAAAAAAATAAGTAGATTTTGCAAATGGCTTGCCCCAGTTCAAGTCTTGGTGCAGCTGCTGCCGTTAAAATGAATTGAGAAAAAGAGAAAACAGAATAACAAGCTGCTTATGTTAATACATGCCAGCTTTGAAGGACTTCTAAAAATAGGGTAAACAATTAAAATAAACAACAATGAAAAATATTTTCATTTGTGCTAACCTTAATAATTACAGGGCAGTGTGTGGTTTTTTTTTCTGCTGTCAGAATTTCAATTACAGATGTGCCAGGATGCTTTTATTTAAATTTGCTATTTTTGTGATTTAGGATCGAGCACATCGTATTGGTCAAAAGAAGCGAGTTCGAGTATTCCGACTTATCACAGACAACACTGTTGAAGAGAGAATTGTAGAGAGAGCTGAGATAAAACTGAGGCTAGACTCAATAGTTATACAGCAAGGTACTGCATAATATTTAACTGTTAGTGGCTAAATAGTCGCTCACCTGGGGCTCCGGGTGGGCGGCATTTGCCGCATGGCATGGCCGCGGCTGGTCCGGGGAGCCTGTCACCTTCCTACATGGCCGGGGGAGGGGATGGTCACCTGGTGCCACCCCCCTCCGGCTGCAATGGACCTCCAGGTAGGGGTGGTCAGTGCCTGCAAGGCCCATCAAGGGGAAGAGCATGGGGGCTGAGCCCAACCTGCCCCTGGCATATTTATGGGAGCGGCCAGGTGCAGGCCACCCTCTTTGTAGATTGACACAAGATTTTCCCACCCACTCAGACTGTTAAGGGATTGTCCATTGGGGAAAACGGGCAAGTTGACATATGGAGCTTGCTATGAGTTATGCGGTTGCCATATTCGGGGATAGGGAGGAATTTTCTCCTACAAACGAATTGGCCAGCTTGCAGGTTTTTGCCTACCTCATAGCACCCGTCACAACTTTGGTGGATAAAGCATTGGGTGAGTTCTTTGTTTCAAGGGAACCCAGTTAGAGGGGTCCAAGAGGAGTGACTGTCTGGGAGTCCACAGGGAGACAAATGGGCCAATTCAACTTTCCCAATGGCAGCCTGTGCAGTGTCATGGCACCCAATCCGTGTTGGGGGCGACAGCAGCACAAGGTCGACCTCACTGAGTTCCTATCAGGTAGCAGGCAGGCTGCCTGTTGCTGGATACATGCCCATTGCCATAGCCAAACCTACTCCTTTCCTGTAATCAATAAAGTTGTGGCATAATTCAACTCAATACCAGTCTACTGTGTCCATTCTGGAGGCCCTCCCTGCACCGGCCGCGGTCTTCATGTGCCTGAGGCGGCAAATGTTTGTCATGAAAAGGAATAGATAGTTAGATAGATATTCTAGTAGAGTGTTTTGCAATGCACCTAGGAAACCCAGCTTTTAAATTTTTTTGCTGGGCAAGCCGCTATCTGATCATCTCTGTTTCGTGTCATAAAAAAGAGTCACAGTGCCAGTTGTCATCCCACACACAATTATTTTGGAGAAATGAGTGAGTTGTTATACAAACAAAAAGCAATTATTTAAGATAAAATCAGGCTCTTTCGTAGCAAGGATATTTCAGCATAGATAATTATTGGCCACTCTTTACTCATTCACGCAGAAGACCTTCAAAACCAACAGGCCTTTTATGGTTAGGATATGTAAAGTGTTACTCTAAACATTGACTTAATGTTAGCAAAGATTAATTTTGTAAAGCAGATTAGAATTTAGCTTTCAGCTGGTGAAAGCTCTATTGAAGTAGTTGAAACTTTGTGACTATGAAACATTATGTAGGTCAGGCATCCCATTTGTTATCAAGTTTTTTTAAAAAAGAAATAAAATATATAAATGCTGGGTGGGCAACATAAAACTCATAAGCCATACATAAGCTCAAGGGATTTTTCTGCAGTCTGCAACATCTTTGTTAGAATGTCAGCTTTTGGATGCTCTAGGCACTTAAGGATTCCAGGGGGATGTTCTAAAAATACTGTGTGAAATAATTGGGATTGGAAACAAAAAATGGTTGTAAAAGAAGACTATTTTCTTTGCTCAACATCTCTTCTGATTTTGAAGTCGTAAAGATTTTCAAAGCCTGTCTCATATTTTTCACATATGAACCAGAATATTGCAAAATAAATGCTTTTGTCCACAAATGTTAGTTGAATGGCCACTGTGGTCATAAAAATATCTAAGTTATGTTAATGTAATACAGCTGAAACACGCTGAATGTTCAGCATCGTTCTATCTTAAATTTCTGATGTGCCCCTCAATGCCAAGCAAGTAGACTATGCCTTCCAAATATGTTATGTTCCTTAGCAGTGACAACAAGGCAGAGGTGGCAAACCTTCGACCCATGGACCAGTCTTGGCTTGCCACAGAGTCATGAAGCCATCTTCTCCAGACTGCACCACTCTCATCAGCTGATGTCCCTGGGGACATCAGATAGTGGGTGGGAGGAAAGGATTTAATCCTGCATTGGCTGCATGCCTATTCCTATCATCTGATGAACAAGGATTAAAGTACATTGCAAAAGCCCTGTTTGAAGCAGCTTGTGCTTCAAAAGTCAGTGGATGGGCAGTGACAGCAGTGAGGTGGGCGAGCACCTACCCTGCTACTGCTGCCCATTCACTTGCTTAAAGAAGAAGCGCCTCAAACAGGACACTTCTGTTTCAAGAGGCTGAAATGGGAGTGTAGGGGCTGTCTTAAAGCCTTTGTAAATCTTCCCACGTTTCCCTTTTAAACCTCAGATTGGCCAGGCTTGTAGGAGGAATGTTCCAAAGCCGCAGAAGAGATTTTGTCAGGTGGGCATCCTCACCCTCTGGTCAAATTTGGCCTCTTAGGCTGATCCTGATAAGTTTCTGATCCATGGAGCCAAAAAGTTCGCCATCTCTGAAGTAAGAAAAAATGCTCAAGAGTTAGTTTGATGAATTTATAAAATTGCATTAGTTTAATGTGATGCTTACTTTAGCTCATTACCTACACCTATAGAAATTATTTTTAAAACTTATGCATTTTTGGGTTGTAAATCATGTATTAGGATTCATTCTTACCCCTCTGCCTTACTACAGGTTCAAACTGGAGTCCCTTTATAACTCTGGTATGAAAAAACTGAGAAGTTTTGCATTAAAACTGTGACTTTGTTTCCTGTGTCAGGGAGACTTATTGATCAGCAGTCTAATAAACTGGCAAAAGATGAAATGCTACAGATGATCCGACATGGAGCAACACATGTATTTGCTTCCAAGGACAGTGAACTGACTGATGAAGATATTACCACTATTTTAGAAAGAGGTGAAAAAAAGGTGAGAGGATTTGGATGGTGCTGTATGTTACCATTACTTTCATTGTTGCTCATCTTCTGTCTCTATAAAAATCATCTGCTTTGAATTAAGAAAAAAGAATCAAGTCTGTCTGAGTTAGCTTTTCAAGTATCTTATCAAATCAGTTTTTATGTTTTATTGATGAAAAATGGCTTTTCTAAAGATTAACTTCATTTTATTTTTGATGGCCTGCTTTAGACAGCTGAAATGAATGAGCGTTTGCAAAAAATGGGTGAGAGCTCTCTCCGAAACTTCACTATGGAGACAGAAATGAGTTTGTACAATTTTGAAGGTGAAGATTATAGAGGGAAACAAAAGGTACCTTTCTGCTGTACTGATAAGTATAAATGTGTTTGCATTGTACTGTTAAGGGAATAAAGTTCCACTTCAAAGAGGTTAACAACAAACACTCCTAATATTCAGAGCAGGTTATGTAGGGAAGATGTAGGATTTCAATGTACTCCCCCCGTCCCCTTTGGTTCACTTTACCTATAGCACTTTTTAGGGGTATTAACCAGGCTTAGAGTATATCTATCAAAAAGAAAGAGTCCTGAGAACACATCTTTCTGGAATCTGAACATTCAGAGAAAACAAATGAAGCTTGCTGTAACAAGACATAATTGTATGTTTCACATTAGTTTCACATTAGAAAACTAACTCTGTTCCCTTACCTGTTTTTGAGGGAGTCCATAATAATGTAAAATGTAAATGTAAAATGTATTCAGCATGGACACTGTAGAACTGTTGCATATGCAGAGGAAAACATACTGTAAGACAGAAGTTAAAAGGATATGTAGGCAGATTGAGAGGCCTCTGTTTAGAAAGATACTAGAATGGGATTCTGTCCATAATGTGAGGGAATAATAACTGTGAAGAAAAGAAATGAATGAAAGCAATCTATCACTGTACGAAATGGGACAATAAAGCTATAAGAGCAGGAATTTATTTCATGGAAGATGTCTAGCATTCTTTTAAGAGCCTACAAATAAATGCAGACCTTGGATTGGAAGATTCTGTTAAAGCAAAGAACTGCTAGTTTTCTTAAGTGAAGTGAAAGAAACTTGCTGAAAAGTGAACTCTGTTCTAGAGTTCTGTTATAGTTCATGCAACAGGGCAACATAAGGCCTACCCGCTTCATTTAATGAGGCAAGGATTATGAGCCTGGTTTCAAGTTAAGGTGTTTGGAATGTTTTGTTGGTTTCTCTGCTTACAAGAGGAATATGAAAACATACAAAACTAATTTCTTCTGCTTATTCAAAAACTATCAGGTTTCAAAGAGGAGTTGGAAATTAAAAAACAAAACCTGAAAGAAATGCTATTCTAAAGTAACCCCTCTTGAACTAAGTGATTTGCTATATTATCCATTCATAGCAATGCAGGCAGTTTAATATCTATTGAAACATGCACTAGTCTTCATTCCAGTCTTCTGCATTCTAGTCTTGTCTTAAAACAAGTACCTCTGTCAACAATACCAATTGAGCAATTAAATATGTACTACTTAGAATTATCTTTTGGTATTTTTTAAAAGTTTTGATCTTATTTGTTTTCTAGCTGAGCATGATGGAATGGATAGAGCCTCCAAAACGAGAACGCAAAGCCAACTATGCTGTGGATGCCTATTTCAGAGAAGCTCTTCGAGTTAGTGAACCAAAAATCCCAAAGGTGAGAGGACAGTTTGGTAGTTCATACTAGTTACACCCACCTCCCAACCTCAGCCTTTAATAACCTTTTTTATATAAAAACATGTTGCAACATGTCCAAAGACAAACATGTAGCATTAATGGTATATATGTTTAATTTCAAAGGCTCCACGACCTCCGAAACAGCCAAATATTCAAGATTTCCAGTTCTTTCCCCCACGGTTGTTTGAACTCCTTGAAAAAGAGATTCTTTATTATCGCAAGACCATAGGCTACAAGGTAAGGATCTGTTTTCCTTCCCTTCCCTAATATGAGGCAGGAATGTGGATTTCCATGTATCCACATTTTGAAAATGATTAGATGACCTGCTCTTATGTTAATGGGGGACATTATAAATTACGTTGTTTGCTCAAGGGTGAAGCGGAGTGAGAGCAAACACAATCAAAAGTGATTTTAACAAGGAAAAGGAGGAGCAGTCTCCTCTCTGTGTAAGCTTCTGATCCCAGTTGTGGCTTCCTGCAGCTGCTTGACTTTAAAATTAAACAAAAACATTGGGGGAAGACATTAGAATCATAGAAAGCTTGATCCTAACCCACAAAGGAATAGGGACAGCAGACATTCTGGTGCCTTGAACACGCCTCAGCAAGAGTGCTGCCATTAAGGCTGTGTGAATATTTTGTGGTGACAGTGATGTCCCCCAGCTACCACCACTACACCCTTCTAGGATTACTGCTGTTGAGCTCTGAGTGCTATTTTGTCAGGTTGGGCCTCCACATTAGTGGTTCTACTGTCTGCCACCTTTGGTCCTGCTTGACAGCTCTGCCCCTACAACTTCTATGCATTGTTTCCAAATAAGACTTCCAAATTCGTCCCTTTAAATATTTGCATTTTTGGCACATTGTCAAAAGAAATTCAACCATAGATTACAGTGGTACCTTGGGTTACAGACGCTTTGGGTTACAGATGCTTCGGGTTACAAACTCTGCTAACCAGGAAGTGGTTGCTCCAGGTTAAGACCTTTGCCCCAGGATAAGAACGGAAATTGCGTGCCAGCAGTGCAGCGGCATTGAGAGGCTCCATTAGCGAAAGCGCGCCTCAGGTTAAGAACCATTTCAGGTTAAGAATGGACCTCTGGAACGAATTAAGTTCTTAACCTGAGGTACCACTGCAGATAGATTGTATGAATAGTAATATTGTGCTTGGAAAAGAACAATATGTTGGTATGGTCTTTCATCTTCAAAGGATAAAATCAGAGCTATTTAATTCTATGTTTCTAAACTTTGCTTCCGTGACTGACATGCTTAAATGGAAATATTCAGTAGCTAATTTATATAGTCACTGGCAAAATTACTTCCATGCTTTCTAAAAATGGTTTTACAATGGTAACAATTTGCCTCGTAACATGCTCTATATAAAGCCAAGATTATATATGTGCTGAAATCAGTGAAATATTTTGTAAACCAATGTCAGGGATAAGATAAGCTCCAGTTTCTTGTCCTGAAATAACTGGCATGAAGATATCTCTCAGGCTTCTTAGATATGATGGATAGGAAATGTGTTACTTTTCAATAGCAGCTATGTGAAGTTAAGTATCATTTTAAAATGAATATCAGAAGTGTGTGGTAGAAATGGGCACATTTTCCTCACTACAATAGATATAATTTCAAAAGCTTGCTGTGAATAAAAGAAGAAAACAGAACAAAATCAGCAATATTTCCTTCTGAAGAATATATTAGCTACATTTACCTATGTATAAGATCTATGTCCTAAGACTTGAATTCCATTTCACAATCCCAAAAATAACATTCTTTTCCATAGTGTACCTGGGATCTTAGTGACACAAATAAAACTATTTGTCCCATCCAGTTGGGGAGAGGTCATGTGCTCTGGACAATTTCTGATTCCTCATATTGTTCTGGTGACCATATGGTGTTCAAAAGACAGAACACATGTGGACAGAGTAGTGGGCTAGCTCAGCCCAGAACATCAGTCCCACCCCGGGTCCAAATAGCGTCACCTGCCTCCAGGAAGAGGCGTCAGAGTGGTGGTGTGCGGGTGTGGAAGTGTCTTCCTTATGGGTCTGACAGGCTATGGATGGAGAGTTACCAAGGTTTTGTTTTTTTAATACAGTTCTTACTGAGTTTTAATGTATTACAAAAATTACAGTCATTGGATATCTACAAATAAATAAAACTACCAAAAAAGCCCCACCCACTTCATTTACAGAGATAAACAGGACCAAGACCCCACACTGCAATTCAAGGTGCAATATGAAATATGACAGTACAGTTAATATAAGCTTAATAAGCTGTCAAAAACAGTATGTGCCAAGTCAAAATACTCAAATATCTTTAATACGGTCAATGACCAGCAAGCATTTATAAAATAAAATATGACAATATAAGTACAGTATGTGAATATTTAATGTTGAATGTGTTCCGTTGCCCTTCAGTTATTTTTTTTAAGAAAATACAGTTTCTGACTAGCAAATATGGAAAAATTAAAGATTGAATTTCTCCACATAGACTTCAGGATATCCACACCAATATTTTGCTGGGGCCATCTTGCTGTGCTTCTGTGCATTTTTGTATCCAAGGAAGGGAAACTGAATAGCCTCAAATTGATCTCTTTTCTGTTGCCCTCTCATCCCCTCTAGTTTATGAGAGAGACAATAATTTACTTGTTCTTTAAGATCCTATTTGACCTGTCAAACAGTTCCAGTAGTGTGTAATATGGGCCAAGTGTTTGGGTGTCAAATATCAGCTGTGTATTAATTTCAAAGATATCTCTCTCACAGAGGCAGAGATTGATTTATAGGTTGGCTTTTCCCACAGCCCTTACCAGGAGAGTTACCAAGTTGGTCACCAGGTCATCCACTATAAGACATTTATCATCCACAGTCTTATTGTGGAGGAAGGTCCCAACCTCTCATGTATTACTCAGACTTGGGTGGGCAAGCCAAGATATCTTGATCTAACCCTGTGTTGCTTTCCTGGGTTCTTTATGCAGCATCAAGACAAATGGATCATATGCCTCTTCCTTAAGAATCAACCTAAACCAGGAAACTGATTATGTATGGGGGCTGGCTTTGAGGATCTGTGCCTAGTGTCACTTCAAAGAACAAAGCAGGGATTTTGCTGGTGTACTATCCATCCCACTGCCCAACAGTCTCCATAGCCAAGATGGCCTACCCCAGATAGATCAGATACTGGGAGACTTCCAGCATCACACTGGATCTGCCTTAAAAGCACCTGCCTGGAACTTCATGGTCACCATCACAATCATGAGCTTGTCTCAGTACATCACAGCTCAAATGCATGTGGCAAGATAGGTCCTTGATATGCTTTCTGCTATAGTGTGTAGGGAGTGTTTTAGTGTTTCCGTTGCCATGCATGAGTTATTTCCTGGCAATGCCTGGCTTGACAGTGGCAGTTCTTTCTCCCCCACCCCCTGCCCATGCCAGGCCATTCCCGCAAGGTGGGGGGACTTACTGAGATGATTTGCTCATAGAGACTTAAGGAATCCAAAAGATTACTGAATGCTCTGGAATATTTTCCAGTTGACATGGCTGGTGCTCTTGTCAAGGCTCTTTTTCAGTTTAGAATGGTGAAGAGGACACAATCAATCCTATAGGGCCCTTTTTTGGTGACAAGGAACCTGTACTACTCCCCCTGCCCCTGTTTTCAGGAGAGTTACAGGCAAGGAAGCAGAACAGGTGACAGTGGGGTGCGAGTGCCAGAAATCTCACAGAGAATACCACTGAGCACATGATTGCTTCCATCACTGCCACATGGTAGGCACAAAGTAGGCTTATTTTTCCACCTTTTTCTTATTTTTCACATGCTCAGCTAGCTGCCCAGGAGAGCTTTTCCAAGTGGTTAATGAACTGTTGAGATATGCCCCAAAGGTTATGGGCAATGGAGCATCAGAGTGTTGCTCTGACAAATTTTCTAAGCACTCCAATGGTAAAGTTGTTCACTTTCACTCTGAACTTGATACCACTGTTGATACAGTTTCAGCTGAGGTGTCCAGAGCACTGACAGGTCCAGTTGCATGAGATCAATTTCAGTGATAGTGATTGTAAATGATGCCAGGTGTGGAAAAGGTTGGTGCTTGCCAAAAAGGCCTTAGGGTTCTAATAATCACTGTAGTTGGGGGAAAGTTAGAAATATTAAAAGAAATAAAGAGCACTAAAAACACATTTAAACATTCTTTTGATATCAGATAATTGCAACTTGTGTTCATTCCATTTTACCCTAACTGTACGAATTAATGTCTGCTTCACTGTTTAATCGCTGGAGTAACACACATACATTTCCTCCTCCCCTTCTCTTTCTTGTTTGTGGTATCTGGGAACACTGAAAGGCTTAAAGAAAACCCTCTTGAGGTGCAGTGGTTGCTTGCTAGTTGCAGTTATCATTACATTTCCATGGACAAGAGCCTGCAAGCTATAAAAGGACAAATATAGATGGATGAGTTATGATATGCTACATTCACCTTGCCTGAAGAACTTTCTGAGGACTGTAAACACAAGTAAAAGATGTTTCTCCACCAGCGGCCACATGCTAGCGAAATATTTCCTTCTCTAACAAATACTCAGTAGATGAGAAGCGCATCAATCCCACCCGACTAGTGTTTCTCACAAAGGCAGTAAAGGGAGATGGATAGGACTATATACAGAACCTTTAATAGCATTGCTCTTTTACTATACATTCATTCCACCACTGATTTTAGGTCCCCAGAAACCCTGACCTCCCAAATGCAGCTCAGGTACAGAAAGAGGAACAGCGGAAGATTGATGAGTCAGCTCCTCTTACTTCAGAAGAGACTGAAGAGAAAGAAAGACTTCTTACCCAGGTAAATGGCTTTTAAATTTCTTTTCTTTAACAAAAGAAGAACTTATAAACAAAGAAGAACATTTATAAGCTTGTGTGCTTACTGTGTGACAAGCTAGATTGTGATGATAAAAGGTTGATAACAGCCATGTGCAGTAAACGCAGGCAGTGATAACTAGTTTTCCTATGGAAAACTGCAGATACCACCATCTGATCTTACAAATTATCTCATAGTTACATTAATTTGAAGGGATTTAGTTACAGTACCTCTGTTTTGGATTGTGAGTGTGTGTAGAAACTGAGAAAGTTGGTTAGGCTCTTCTATTTTCAAAATGGCAGCTGCTAAGCTGTCGCTGGTGTGTCAGGTGATTTCTCTCCACAAAAAGGTGCAGGTGGATGAGAGTTCAGAGAAGAGAGCAGCTGAACTCAACAATAGTCAAGTTGAATCTCAAGTCCTTTGACAGTTCCTTTGGAAAGATCACATTGTTTCTCTCAGAGTGAATGGTTTTCTTCTTGCAATGATTACATTATTAATCTTCCTTCGAATAGCATAGTTGTGTACACTGCAGTGGATAGGTTCTGGCACTCTCAAATGAAGCATTCTTTAGCTGTCCACTTCAGCTTTCAAAACTTAGATTTACTTTATGCATTTAACTTGTCTTGTTGACACTTACATAATTATTTTTGGGTTACTCTGAAGATCATTTTTAGCTCACTTGACTTTTTAAATATTATAAGGAAGGAAGTGCAGGGTTTGCTCACATTCTCTGATACTTTTCTGCATGTAAGTAGTCACATTCTTGAGTGGTGTTCTTAAATGGTTATTTTAGTAATTGTCCTTTGAAAATTTAAATTGCCTTGTGTTGATTGAAGTGAATCTCTTGAAAGTACAATATCAGCTATATCACTCTTAGTTTCTGTGTAGGCAGTTTAAAAATCTTTAATGCTAGCATTGCTCTCTGGAAGTAGAGCTATACCAAAGTACCTGGAATTTTTCTTATTTCTCTGTAATACCTTTGATCAAGCCAAAGCCATATGACTCTATCTACTCCTTCGCTGGTTGAAAGCATTCTTCCTCTTTTTGTCACGTATTAAGGACAGAATATAAATAGAAGAGCTGCTTTTATAGGCTTCTGTTAATATTTGAAATACAAATATGCATTTCACTTCTTATTCACCCAAAAGCAATTAGAATTAAACCAGCAAAACCAAATGTAGATATGGTGCCTCTCATTGCCATTGGTTTTCTTTTCAGACATTCCTTGTTAAACTGTGGTGGATACAAACGTTCCCTTCCTCTGATGAAAGTAGATTTTATTTGATGGAAGAACTGCTTTTGTTGACCTATGAAGTTTTTTTTCCACCAGGGGAAGACTTTCTGTTGGAGCAATGGAAGCTTTGGATCCAATCTGTTGTATAGAACAGTTTGTTCTCCTGTATGCACAATGTCAGAAATAATTTACAGTTGGTTTGTTACAACCATGTGAATTGAGTGTCATGTCTGCAGTTAGTTCGACATTCATTATCTATGGAATCTAGGAGTAAAAATGATAAAGATGAAATTTGGAAGCTTTTTTTACTAGAAACTCCATGAAGTTCTTTTTTAAAAGTTGCCATTATTCTTGTAACTTATAAATCAACTTCTAGTGGGTTAAGAACCTGAGGGATTTTAAAATTCTGACTTAATATACAATGTTAGCTTTGGGGTATTTTGTTTTGTTTTGCATCTGCTACAAGAAGTTCTTGCAATTGTATTGATAGAGGAGGTGTAGGGAAATGGGTGTTTTGGCTCCATTTTCTTTCTATCCAGGTGTTCATTTCATTCACCATTTGCTTTGTAAGTATTCAAAACAGAATGTTATTGCATTTAGTTCCAGGATGCCCAGGAGATTGCCAGTGACATCTGGACAAGTGCCCTCATACTCTTGCAATTTTATTTGTTACTTGTGCTTGCTCAAGTGTGATATAAGTGAAAATCCATTAAGATTTGAATTGAACTTTGTTTCTTTGAAGAAATGCCATTTACAAGCGTGAATAAAAAGCTTCTCTCCCTGATGCATGGGGAGCTGTGTGCAAAAATAACTCGTTCAACTTTTTATGACTGAGTAATAAACCTTGGATAATAGATGTTTATGGAAATCCTGCAAGATCATTAACCCCTGTAATTATTATGTGACATTGTACCGAAGCATTAACGAGCAAATCCAACTGTATCCTTCTAAGATGCAAGATCTAGCAAAACATTTCCTCCTTCACCTAATGGCAACTCCTTGCTTAACAGGGTTTTACAAACTGGAACAAAAGAGACTTCAACCAGTTTATTAAAGCTAATGAAAAATATGGACGAGATGATATAGATAATATTGCCCGTGAAGTGGAAGGAAAGTCACCTGAAGAAGTTATTGAATATTCAGGTTTGTCAAATATATCTTGGATAATTAAAAAAATATTTCCAAAATGGTTATATTTGTTGGGTTACTTTTGTAGTTCTACAAGGGTTGGCAATTTTGAAGAATGTGTAGTGTAGAAAGAATGCATGGTCCCGCATGGAAAGATTTAAAATCTGCAGAGGGATTATGCTGAGAATGCTACTCTGTAACCCTTTAGCCATTACTATTCTGCACTGTTTTTTAGATCGTGACATGCTTCATTTGCCACCGCTGTGGATGGCAAAGCAGGGGCGGAGCGGCTAGATTTATTCTTCCCTTCTCTTGACAGCAATATAATGCTGATAATGATTTTGTTGAGTGATAGGAATTTGGAAGAACCCAAAATGCAGTTCTAATGTATGCAGACATAATTCTGTTTTGCAGCCTCAGCCGTACCTTTTCAAGGGTGAGGTGTGTTTTTAAATAGTTTCAGCCATTTATTGGAAAACACTAGAAATTGCTCCTGCCTCCCTACAAACACGCACATAACACCACATGCTGACCGCTTGTTGTTCACTGAGGTACAGCACTGGAAAAAAAGAAAAGAAGCAAACTGCTCCAAGGTCACCCAGCGAGTCTCATGGCTGAGTAAGGATTTGAACCTGGATCTGTACATCTTTGGCTGCTTCGGACTGGATGACCCTTTGGGTCCATTCCAGCTCTACAATTCTATGATTTTATGACATGATAGACATCCTGTGCCAGAGTTTAGAGTATATTTGCATGCTCATGTTTAATGAAAAGTTGTAATCGGAGGTTTTGATTGAGAGTAGAGAAGTTTAAGTGGGGGGGGGATTACTAAGCAGTTTGCTTCTGTCTGTTTTCTGCTCAATTCCACCCCCCACCCCCTGCCTAGCAATTTGCTGGGAAACAACTCAGCTCTATACAGTGAGCGGGAAAAGTATTTGATCCCCTGCTAAATTTTCCCGTTTGGCCTCTGATGAAGAAATGACCAGTCCATAATTTTAATGGTAGGTTTATTGTAGCTGTGAGAGACAGAATAACAACAGGAAAGCCCCCAGAAACCCAGAAGACAAAAGTCAGAGATTGATGTGCATTATAATGAGTGAAATAAGTATTTGATCCCTTTGCAAAAGATGACTTGGTGGCAAAACCCTTGTTGGCAATTACAGAGGTCAGACATTTCTTGGTAGGTGGCCACCAGGTTTGCACACATCTCAGGAGGTATTTTGTCCCACTCCTCTTTGCAGATCCTCTCCAAGTCAGTAAAATTTCGAGGCTGATGTGTAGCTACTCAAACCTTCAGCTCCCTCCACAGATTTTTGATGGGATTAAGGTCTGGAGACTGGCTAGGCCACTTCAGGACCTTAATGTGCTTCTTCTTGAGCCACTCCTTTGTTGCCTTGGTCGTGTGTTTTGGGTCATTGTCATGCTGGAATACCCATCCTTGACCCATTTTCAATGCCCTGGCTGAGGGAAGGAGGTGCTCACCCAAGATTTGACAATACATGGTCCTGCCCATCGTCCCTTCAATGCGGTGAAGGTGTCCTGTCCCCTTAGCAGAAAAAGACCCCCAAAGCATAATATGTCCCCCTCCATGTTTGATGGTGGGAATCGTGTTCTTGGGGTTGTAGGCAGCATTCCTCCTCCTCCAAACATGGTGAGTTGAGTTGATGCCAAAGAGCTCTATTTTGGTCTCATCTGACCACAACACTTTCACCCAGTTCTCCTCTGGGTCATTCAGACGTGCACTGGCAAACTGCAGACGGGCCTGTACATGTGCTGTCTTGAGGAAGGGGACCTTGCGGGCTCTGCAAGATCTCAGTCCTTCACGGCGTAGTGTGTTACCACTGTTTTCATGGTGACTATGTTCCCAGCTGCCTTGAGATCATTGACAAGTTCACCGTGTAGTTCTGGGCTGCTTCATCACTGTTCTCATGATCATTGCAACTCCACGAGATGAGATCTTGCATGGAGCCCCAGACTGAGGGAGGTCGACAGTTATTTTTTGTTTCTTCCATTTGCGAATTATTGCACCAACTGTTGTCACCTTCTCACCAAGCTGCTTGTCAATAGTCTTGTAGCCCAGTCCAACCTTGTGCAGGTCTACAAGCTTGTCCCTGACATCCTTGGACAGCTCTTTGGTCTTGGTCATGGTGGCTACTTTGGAATCTGCTGGATTGATTGCTTCTGTCAACAGGTGTCTTGTACAGGTACTGTAACGAGCTGGGATTACAGGTAAGACCTCTCCCTTATAGCAGGTGCTTCTAATCTCAGCTGGTTACATACAGTGAAGATACCAAGTAGCCTGCCATCTGGCTGGTTGATAGGCAATCAAATACTTATTTCACTCATTATAATGCACATCAATCTCTGACTTTTGTCTTCTGGGTTTCTGGGGTTTTTCCTGTTGTTATTCTGTCTCTCACAGCTATAATAAACCTACCATTAAAATTATGGGCTGGTCATTTCTTCATCAGAGAGCAAACAAGAAAATTTAGCAGGGGATCAAATACTTTCCCCCCTCACTGTATGTAACATTGGTTGTTTTCAGCGGGCCTTTTCTGGAGCAAGCACCTGGAGATTCAGATTATTTCATATATTTCCACAAAATCACATCAGAGATGCATTTGCTTTCTGTTGCAAATTTCTTAAGGGACTTAGAGCCTTTGTGGAAAAAAGACTTTCTGTATGAAGTCCAACTCACTACATTGTAAGATTTTAAAAAAATATATTCTAAATATATATATGATAATATACCTTGTTTAAACTGTGTTAGGCAATATTGGGAAAGAGTAAAAGCTTTAATTATATAAAAGTAGTTATTAATTTTATTTTATTACAAAGCATTTAAGGTGTTTTTTTTGAATGCTTGAAATTTTCAGCTGTTTTTTGGGAACGTTGCAATGAACTCCAGGACATTGAGAGGATCATGGCTCAGATTGAACGAGGGGAGGCCAGAATACAGAGGCGAATTAGCATCAAAAAAGCCCTGGATGTCAAAGTAATTTTTCCACAAATTAATATTTCCTCTGATTAATTTTTTCCCTAAGAAACCAGCATATGGTTATGTTCCCCACTGATAAAGTATTCTCAGTCCCCTTCTAATTTTTCAGTACAAAGCTTACACTAATTCAGTGGTGAGCAAAGTTATTCTTTTCTATGATAAGTAGTTTAACTTTATTAAGCCATATGGATTGAAATTCCCAGTATAAACACATTAGGATTGTTACACCAGCTGTAACAATTTTAGTCTTACAACTGGCTAAATAAAGTCTTGATTAGGGGCTGATTTAATGGCTGCTGACTTTAGTATAATCCCACTGCAGCTAAAATAGCATAAATGGCCATTGAATAATATTCATATGCACATTCCTAGTAAAAATCTTTTTTCCCTTTAGATTGCTAGATACAAAGCACCTTTTCATCAGCTGCGTATACAGTATGGAACAAACAAAGGCAAAAACTACACAGAAGAAGAAGATAGATTCTTGATATGCATGTTGCATAAAATGGGATTTGATAAAGAAAATGTGTATGAAGAACTAAGACAGTGTGTACGCAATGCACCCCAATTTAGATTTGACTGGTTTATCAAATCTAGGACAGCAATGGTAAGTAAATAGTGTTGATTTACAAGACCTTAGTTTTTGCATGTTTTTTTTATTTATTTATTTCAAAGGGTTTTAGGTCTTCCTGTGTTTCATTATGTTACACTGATTTATGTTTTGAATTTGTTAACTTTTATCAAAAAGCAATATAGAGATATTGAATCAATCATTATGTCAGGGGAACCTGAGCCCTTCCAGATGTTGATGGACTCCAACTCCAACCAGTCCCCCAGCATGACCTAATGATCATGACTGATGGGAGGTGTGGTCCAACAAAATCTAGAGTATACCAAGCTCTCCATCCCTGGTCTGTACAGTGGTGCCTCGCAAGACGAAAAGAATCCGTTCCGCAAGTCTCTTCGTCTTGCGGGTTTTTTCGTCTTGCGAAGCAAGCCCATTAGCGGTTTAGCAGATTAGCGCTACAGTATTAGCGGCTTAGCGGGCTTAGCGGATCAGCTGATAAGCGGCTTAAAGATCACCTGATAAGCGGCTTAGCGATCAGCTGTTAAGCGGCTTAGCCATCAGCTGATAAGCGGTTTAGCGGCTTGGGAAAAAGGGGGGGAAAAGGAAAAAAAACCCGCAGGAACTCGCAAGACATTTTCGTCTTGCGAAGCAAGCACATAGGAAATTCGTTTTGCGAAGCACCTCCAAAACGGAAAACCCTTTCGTCTAGCGGGTTTTCCGTCTTGCGAGGCATTCGTCTTGCGGGGCACCACTGTATGTATATTATACTACAAGAACAACAGAATGAGTATGTATGAGAGCGAGTGCATTTAAAACTCTAGTCTTAGAGTTCTTGCATATCCCTAGCCCTGTCCAGTCAAGATGCTGGCAAGTACCGCGGCACCCAAAGTCTTATGGGGTGTGTGTGGCTACGCAAATGGACAAGTAGGTGCACTACAGATTCAGCAGCAGTGGTAGTGTGAAGACAGCCAATATAAAACCAAGCCCACATGAACAGGAAGTACCACTTGGCTGCTTTCTCTTCTGGCGCTACCATATCTGGAGAAGCTGCCATCTGGAAGTTTGTCCTGATCCTGATATTAGTCACAGATGCAGTGTCTGGTTTAAAGACCGATTTTGGTACAATTGTACATTCACTCATTAACAGTAAGTAAACAAAATTACTCTATTTTCCAGTATCAGCTGATGCATAGACGTGCTCATTTAATATTGGTGTCTGATGCAGTTCTGTGGTTTGCTATTATAATTTGAGTACTTCCCAGAAGCATGCAGTGCTGCACAACTAACATCTGTTATATGTGGTTGATCCTGTAGTGTTTTTGTTTTTTGAAGGAAGACTGTATGGTAGAGTTGTTTCAAGGATGACATATTTTTCACAGTGGCAGTTTAGCAACGGTTCTCTTGATAATTAATTAAAGCCTTGAGGGAAAGATATACCACTTCATTAAGAGCAGAATTTCTGTTTTTGAACCCAAGAGTCATTTCATTTAGCCTAAGCTGAGTTTTTTTGTCCACTTCTGTTATTACATGGACAATTTCTCTTCTGTTCAGGAATAACTTTTAAATTATTATTATTACGAAAATAAATCTGTACTGCCCTCCCCCAAGGATCTCAATATGGTTTCAATGCTGTTAAATTGGCTAAAGTCTTCCAAGAAGGGTTACTTTGACTATGCTTCCCAAAAGGATCAAATATGTCCAAAGGGTTAGTAGTGCCTGAACACCTATGATTGGCAGGCAGTATACCTTTTACCATGTACTGTGGACAAGTAGTTCCTATGCATGGCGTTTTACATACCACTTCAGCTGGAGTTATCAGTCCTGGCTGTCACTATTCTTCCACTTGAAATTCCAAGCCTGATCATGATGGGATGCAATTCTCATGGTCACAGCACAAATCTTGTAGAATGGAAAACAACAACAACAACATGCAGTAAAGGGCAACCAGAATGGTTAAGAGGCTGGAACATGTTCCCTATAAGGAAAGATCACAACATTTGCAACTTGTGGGTTTTGCAGAAAGATAAGTAAGAGGTTAGGGAAGAGGTATACAAAATTATGCAGAATGTGGATAAAGAATTTTTTTCTCCCCCTCATTGGGATCATTGATGAAACTGATTGGCTGGAGATTCAGAACAGGTAGATGGAATCACATGCTGCATAGTTAAAGCATGGATTTTGCTGCCACATGATGTGAAGCTGACCACTAGCTTAAATGGCTTTACAAGGGCAGTAAATAAATTAATGGAAGCTGTGATCACCAGTGGGTACTAGTCACAATGACTATATGCTGTGTGCAGAAGCTTATGCCCCTGAATAACAATTTCTGGGGAACAGCAGCAGGAGAGGACTGTTAGTTTGCTTGTGGGCATCCAATTAGCTGCTGGAAATACTGGATGCTGGACTTGCATGACCATTTGCCTGATGCAAAAGGGCTTAGTTTAAAAAATTCTTTATTTTTAACCTGATTTACAGACTGCATTTCAGGGCATGGTTATTCAGTCATGTGTTCCGGTGTCTGATAATGTTGGGTTTGTAATCTTTTCAAAATGTTGTCTATCTCTTACTTGTCTTGTCAGAAATGTCTGGCTTAATGTTCATACCTTGTTTATCCAACCAAAATATGTATTTGTTTGCTTATTACATTTATATCCCACTTTTCCTCCAGTGTGCTCAAGACAGCATATATTTCCTACTTTTTATTTCCACAGCCAACCTGTCAGATAGGCTAGGATGATTTTATATGTGATTGGCCCAAGGTCTTCTAGTAATATTCATGGCAGAGTAGGAAATGGAACTAGAGTCCACCCTCCGTCCCAGTCTGTCACACCTCAGTAGCCCATGATATCATATCACAGCGGAGAGGTTCTTCCTAGAATTTTCGTTTTGTAAAGGATTGCTAGGTAGAAAATTTATAATCTTTTAACAATTATTTCAAAATGCTTATACTTAAAAACCAAGACTTCTATGCATTTTACTTAGAAATTCATCATTACTTTCTGATGGCCACTAGATGTCTCCCTAGTTCTGCCTAAATACATTGATTTTTTTTCCATGTTTCCCCTCTATGTATTTATTTGAAAATTTCTCTTCAGAAAACTTCTCTTCAGAAACCAATATAAATTCTTTTTTGTTTCTTATTTTCATGCAAGCATATGGCTTACACAGTATGAGCTCATAAATTGCTTGATGGTTTCTATAAAATTCTAGTTTTTCTGCACCAGACTTTGTACTTCACATTTAGGTGTTCTGCTGTCGTAACTGCCCTTCTTTGTGACTCTGAGAGGGGAATGGTAAGCGCACCGCTGAATCGCAGATCTGTTCTCTTTAAGGCGTGCATATGACTGTTCTCTGTATACTTCCTATCCCATTGGTGCAGAATCATTGGGCTGTGATTTCTCCTTTGAAGTTTTGGTGTTCTTGTCTTTCTGCTTCATTGGTGGTTTAGATTAGAGACAGAGAATGTGGTGGAACTGCAACTCCCATCAGCTCCAGCCAGCATGGCCAGTGGTCAGGGATGATGGGATTTGTAGTTCAACAACATCAGAAGGGAACCAGGTTGGCTGCCCTGGCTTTTGTCCATGGCAGTGGAGAACAGCACTTCCTCCATTGAGGTTTACTTGATACTTTCTGCATTTGCTGGAAGTTCCAATTTTTAATAAGTTAAATGATAATGTTTTTTTTAGCCTTGTGCCTGTTATGATGCCTCCTCTTCTTACTCCATTGACTATCCAGGGTGCTGAGTGCCAGCACAATGGAGTTTATTTTCTGGTAGGGGGATTCTAGTGTAAAAAGGGATAGCTGTAATTGCTTCATTAGTAAGATGTGGGTAGGAGAAGTACAACATTGTTTAAAGCCTAGGATACAAGGAAATATTGTGTGGTGAGAACAAGAGGTCTGTAACATTCACTGACTGTATGCTTTGGGGGTCAATAAGATATGGATGGGGGGGGGGAGGGAACACCATAGACAGAAATGCAAAAAATTGCTACTAGAGCTTCAGCAAAGCCAGACATTCTTACTTGCTGAGCAGGAGGGATATGATTTCCATAGGTTTAATTCACACAAGGAGGACCAAAAGAAGTAGTGCTGTATTTACTTTTTAACAGTTAGGAAATGTGAAAATTCCTGAATTCAGAGTGCTTTCAGAAACGGAGACTGCGGTTGGCACTGGAATGAAATATCTGTCCTTAAGCCCTGCACTTCAGCACATGTGGGAGTTGGTGTCCTATTCAGTGCTCCTCATAAATTCCTTTCCGGAGGCAGAGTGTTAGGCTTTCTGGAAGCACCAGCAGATATTATTGATGATTTTGTTACATGTATTGCTGTGGTGGTATCAGTGACATTGGTAATCTTCAGTAAATCATGAATTCTCCCTGGCCATACATAATGTATCCATTGTCACAAACACTGTATATGTTGGTATACCAGTAAGGAAGAGAAAGGGCATCTGGAAACCATGACATTTTAAAGAAATTGTGGTGTCTGTGTTTACTCACATTCCAGCCTACACAGAATAAAATGATTTCATGCATGTCTCTGATGCATGTTCAGAATGCTTCTTCCATCATGCATGCACCCCCCCCAAATCTAGTGCATGTTTCAGTCACACAGTCAGCTTAAAATTTAAGTATTCTAGAAAGTCTTATCAGCTCCCTGCTTTTGACAACTTTGAATGTAACAATTCTGACAATATGCTGTTAAGCACATGGGAAGATAGAACAGCTGTAAGCCATTTATATTTCAGTTACAGAATTGGGGAGACCAAATTTCTTCTTCCTCTGGTTTTCCTGAGGAAGAACAAAGGTGCTCCTGTTCGTCCTTCCCATGTCGTCTTATGTCAAAATCAAACCCGCAGGTACAGATTTGTGGGAGGCAAAAAGAAACACCTGTAAGTGATTTTTGTATCAATACTCTTGGTGTTCAGCGGGAGAAAAATCTAAAGGCAGTAAGTGCAGATAAGTTGCCTAGTCTCTCCCCCCCCCCCAAATCCCTTTGTTGTTTTGAGGTGGTTGTGTTTTTTGGTCAATCTTGCTCTTTCACTTCTGATCCTTATGTAAGTCAATAGCAAATGATTACTATTCGTAATCCCCGTACCTTCACAGCTGTCCTGTGAGAAAAGCTAAGCCAAGATTCAGCAGCTTTTGCTAAAGTCTTTCCCACTGATAGGAGTTTCATAACCCTTTCTCTGCTGACCACTTTTCTGCTCTACATCACCACCCCTGTTGCTTTTCCTACATATATGACACACACCCTTGGTGCAAATTAGTGTTGTGGATTTATTGAGAGAGAAAAGAAAGATTCTGGGCTCTGAACTGCAGACATCACTTCAATTGAAGAACATTTGTAGTCCAGAGAAATCATAGAATCAGAAAAAAAAGTCTTGTCATAAAGTGAAACCCTCAGATGATGCAGGAAGCATACTGCTAACTACATCCCCGTACAAACATATTGGATGGTTTCTTATCTTAATCCTACTCAGAGTAGACTCATTGAAGTTAATGAGCATGACTCATTTCATTTGGTATGCTCTGAGTAGGGTTTAGTTTACTACAACCCTTTATAACTATATCTTAAACATAAGGTTTGTAATGTTAACTTCATGTGACATTCACAATATAAGCAATGTGTTTTCATTTCTCTTGTATCCCAAATTTTAGTTGTATTTTAAAGAATACAGTCTTTTAATTCTTTTTTTTTGATGGGATGTTGGTTTCACTGGGAAAAGTGCCCATGCCTCTAATTGATCCTGTTCTTCCTCTCACCGCCCCTTGACAGTTGGGATTGTTCTACGTGTGTGAAATATTCAACTGAAAATGAGTTTCTGGCTTAGAACAGTGGGTAATTTTTGAGGCAATGTGAAGTGCTTGATATTCCAGAAAGTTTTATATTGTTACAGAGCAACTCCTAATAGCAGGTCTTTCCTCCTAAGAAAAGACGTAAGAAGCCAGTGAATCCTATAGCTTGTACATGCAGGACCCAGTTTCTGGTTTGCTTCAGTGCAAAGAAGATGCGGACGTGCAGCTTTTAAACTCAGAAGATGCCAAAAATAACTGAGAACAGCCTCTCTGTCCTCTGCCTGAAATAGAGGCTTTTAAGAAAACTCCTTTGTATGAGACAGCTGCATAGATACGGCATGACTTTTATACCCGCAGCACTGGGGTCAGAGACTGAGCTGAAAATGACTGACTTCAAGGGATCATTAGGTTACCTGCTTTTCCCTTTTTTCCTACAAATGACATTTCTTATAGAGGTTGTAGAGAAAAGCAGTTGAAAACTTTTCTGTGGGTTACAATGAGGAAAGTTAGAGCATGTGTTTTGCATGCCGTAGGTCTTGGGGTCAATCCTTGGCAGTCACTTTTTAAAAGGATCATGTAGCAGGCAGTGGAAAAGACCTCTGCTACAGAGACCTCATAGAACTCATGCCAGTCAAAGACAACAGTGGACATAATGGGCCTAACATACGATACGATAGGATATTATATTCTTTGGTTGGTTGATGTTATTGGTGATAATCCCTTATACATTGTAAGATCTTCACTTAACATATCTTAACCACCTGGAGCGTAGGGCGATGTTTCTCAAATTTTGGTCTCCAGCTGTTGTTGGACTACAGCTCCCATCATCCCTGACCACTTCTCCTGCTAGTTAGGGGTGATTCATTGCTCTCTGCATTGCTTGTTGGGCAAGGCCTGCTTGACGGATGGACTTTGGAGGCTAGGAATGCTCTTGTGGGAACTGATGGCCCTACAAGATGTTGTGACAATTTCTCAGAGAGCCTAAGAGCTCTTTATGCGCCGGATAATGCAGGCAGACCCAGCGTGCTTGAATTTAACTTGCGTAATTTCAACTAGCCTGCCTTCTACTACACATGGTTGGGATCATGCAAGTTAAATGCACATATTGTGTATTTGTACTGTACTCCAAAACAGGCTGAAAAATTTATTTATTTATTTATACATAATTTAAATTTCTATAAACATGCTTCATCCCAAAACGATCCCAGGAGTAGTGTACAGCAGTTGTACTCTTAATTGTTTTTAAAATTTATTTCCTTATTACATGTATATGCCTTTGCTTCAAGGAGCTCACTACCACCCCCATTGTTTTCCTTGCAGTGGCCCTGTGAAGTAGGTTAGTTTGAGAGAGAGTGACTGGACCATGGCCACTCAGTGAACTTAATGACTGATTATTTGAATCTGGGTATCTAAATTTAATAACTATACTACAGTGGTGGTGGAATCAGCCCATTTTTAAAAACATAATCTCAATTTATTTTAGCAGTATCTTGAAATTGGATATAAATGAAGTGTTGCAGGATGGTTTGAAGTGCTCTTTCAGAAGGTTTCTGAATTATTTTATATTAATTATTTTAAGAGATACTGTGTTTTATATGGAACTGAGTGAAAAGGTAAAAAGGCTGCCATAAAATGAATGATAACGGAATTTTCTTTCTGTGTGTGTGTTTGCATGCATGCACTTTTTGAAAACATTTTGCATGCCATAGAGCACATTTTCATTTGCATTTAGGTGTTAGTCATGCTTTTATTGCAGTTTGTTTTAGATGAGCCAGCTCGGCAAGTCTAAAGTGCAAAGCTCTAGAAGAGTCTTGTTGAAATCAGTAGCTGTGGCAATTTGTATTGTCTCTTTGTAAGTTGTAAAGCCCTTATAATACTTCTCTTTCTAAGTTGCTGTAGAATCTCATAGGACATAATTAGAGAAAAAGTCAACATCCCATTGAATTTTATCATTAAATACCCATTGATTTTAATTACTCTGTACTGCACCCTAAAGCTACAATCAACAATATGTTTTGCTAACATGAAACACATTTTAAAAGGACTTTGTGGGTGTCATTTTAGAATTTTGACAGGTATGAGTGATCTGCACCTTCTCCTCTGAATGTCTTGCTTGCTTAATGTCTCTGTATGTTTGGCGAGGTTGTCACAGAATTTGATATATATACACATATATATTAATCTTATTTCTCAGGAACTCCAGAGACGCTGCAATACACTCATATCACTCATTGAAAAAGAAAATATGGAAATTGAGGAAAAGGAAAGAGCTGAAAAGAAAAAGCGGGGAACAAAAGCTCCAGCGGTAATCAATCATCAGCACCCCTTCCAAACATTTAAAATACTTATGTTGCACTTTTCCAGCATGTTTTCAAAGTATCTTATAATGCAGAGAAGAATAACATAAAACAGTACTTAAATAAATAGGATTTTAAAAACATAAATAACCAGCAGATGAGTGAGAAGAGTCACTTTAGGAAGTCCAAAGGATGAGTAGAGAGGTTTTACAGTCCTTCTGGAATGAAAACAAGGTGGAATAATTCCTCACTTCCAAGGTCCCTGATTTTAGTGGCAGATGTTCAGATTACACAGAATATATGTTAACTGAATTGGGCCTGGGAAACCTGTGGCCCTTAAGATGGCCATGATGGCTTGGGGTGACAGGAGTTGGACTTCCCAAAAATATCTGGAGGGCCACAAGTTTTCCACCTTGGATGCAGGAAGAGACAGTCTCTAAAGTATGTGGGTCATAGGCTTTACAAGTTCAAGGTTCAGGCTTTGTAGATGAACTATAATAGTAGCTTACTTTGAAAGTACTGTAGTTATTGAGGTAGAAACAAATCATAGCACAGCATGCTTAGAGGTTTCCTTCTCCTTTTCCTTTGCCAGAAAGAGACCTGCTGTTATGACATCAGACCACAGCTTGCTTTCAGGTCCCTTGCTTTCAGAAAGGGAATAGATGAAGGTCATATTGGTGGCTTCTGTGTAAACCTGGTCCACTTGGTGGAAACCTTCATGGTTTCTGGGAAAACCAACTGCTGACTACTGCTATGGAGTGTTTTATGGGGGGCGGAAAGCTCTGTGCATGTGCCACTTTCCTATCCCACTTCTTTTGCTCCAGCTCCCCTCCTCTGTTCCACTTGGTGACAATAAGGCAAGTGGGAGGTTGGGGGAGGCCTTCCTGGTGATTTTTAAGTTTGCTGCAGTTGTAGACCATTGAGCCCAATGTACCTGTCAGGGTGGGAAAGTTCAGAAGAGATAGAGCTGTGCTTTTGTATCCCCTCCTTCCCACATTCCTGGCACTTCTGACTTGCTACAGCATGACAAAACAAAAATGCTAGAGTCAGAAACGGGAGTATTGATGAAGGCTTATCCTCAGTTCTCTAACACACTGGTTTCCACAAGGGTAGATAATAGGAAAGTAGAATGACAGGGGCAACCCCCTGTGTCATCCTTTACATTTACCGTACTTTTCGCTCCATTGGACGCAGTTTTCCCCCTCCAAAAACTGAGGGGAAATGTGTGTGCGTCCTATGGAGCGAATGCAGGCTTGTGCCATAGCCGCGTGCAACCCCTCCGGCAGGGAGAGGCTGCACGGGGCTATGGCTTCTTTAGCCCTGCGCAGCCTCTCCTGGCAGGGAGAGATTGTGCGGGGCTAAAGAGGAAGCCAAAGCAGCCAGCGGGATCCATCCTGCTCGCTGCCTTGGCTTGTTCCATAGCCGCGTGCAACCCCTCCAGCAGGGAGAGGCTGCACGGGGCTATGGCTTCTTTAGCCCTGCGCAGCCTCTCCCGGCAGGGAGAGATTGCGCGGGGCTAAAGAGGAAGCCAAATCAGCCAGCGGGATCCATCCCGCTTGCTGCCTTGGCTTGTTCCATAGCCGTGCGCAACCCCTCCGGCAGGGAGAGGCTGCACGGGGCTATGGCTAAGATTTTTTTTTATTGATTTCCCCGTCTAAAAACTAGGTGCGCCCTATGGTCCAGTGCGCCCTATGGTGCGAAAAATATGGTACCTTTCGTAGCACAGGTGGTTTAATGTGACTTTCCTTAGCGCTTCTTAGACCACTGATACCTAGAAACTGAATTCTTGATGGATCTTTCATTGCCCAGTCAATGGCAAATGCTATTTAACAAGCATAACCACATATGACATAGCAGCAGCATCTGTAACAATAAAACAGAATAGTGTATGTTTCTGATCAGCTAGCATGGTCAGTATTCTTGCTGATTTGAGTTGCAGTTTAACAAATCTGGAACGCACCAAGTTAGCCACTCCTTGCTTTATCAGTCTTATCCTTAACCTTTGTAGAACATCCACTCTTACTGGTTTTGGGAATAGCTGTGCTATACTCAAATTGGGTACCTTGCAAACTTAAGACTTAAAACTGAAGTTAGGACTCTTTAAAACTGAATCTTCTTTCAATGCCTCTGTTAGATTGCTTTTGAACTTACATGGATGAAATCCAGAGAAATCTAGGATCTGTTGTTATTTTAACTGGCAACTTCATGGTCTATTGGATTTCATTACCTTTATATACATTCAGCATCAAACATTGTTAAGATGGACAAAAATGTGACGACTTCTCTCCCTTCTCACCTTTTTTTTCCAGTCACAAAAAAGAAAAGCAGACTCTGCCATAGAAAGCTCTGGAAAAAAGGATGCCAAGAAAGTGAAGACGTAAAATTGGGAAAGGAAGCTCAGTTTAAAACTGCCATTTCCCCCCTTCTCTGTCTTACAGTGTTATTGACACTGTCTGTGTACTCATTATACCCATTCCCCCCAAAATCTTCCCGCCGGTTTCAATTTTTGCAAACCTGTATATTTTACAATGCTTTACCTAATGTGTAGTTTTTTTTTAATGCATTCCAGTATTTTTGTGCACTTGTATTTTACGCTTTTTCTGCATTTCTTGAGCAAAATTTTACTCAGTCCTTGTTCATCTGAAGTTTGTGCTGGGGCTTTTAGCTTTCATATGTTTTATATGCTTTGACAAAAAAAAATAACTTGATTATTCTGTTGTTGTATTATTGTTGTTTCCTACTTTATATGATCGTGGAAAACCAAAATGAATTAAAATGACCAGAGGAGAAATATACTTTTAATTTGTTTTGTTTTTTCTCTCTCTCTTTAGCCCACTCCATCTTGTAGTCCCCCCCCCCCACTTCCATACAGTAGCTTAGATAACATTTACTGCTAGGGTAATTGACTATAAGAGGAAGTATCTTTTTGTATGTGTGAACATGGTCCCGTTTGGGCTTTTTATCTATCAGTTCCTGGGTATCTCTTAGGCAGAAGCAGAAGCAGGTGGTAAACAGGCTGTACAAACCACAAACTGAAGGTTGTGCAAAAAGTATGTTTTTTGTTTTTATAAACGCCTCTCCATATTAAAAGCTCCCTGCAAATAGACAACTTAACATGAAGGGAATGGGCTGGATTAGACACCTTCTCTCTCAGCCGCAGGCATTTTATTTACCTCCCCCAAACCCCCTCCCACAACAACTCATATCTATCAGCAACAGTTCATAGTCCACAAAGCAAATAATTCACACAACTGTTGGAAAACAATATTTAAATGTTCCCAGTAGCAAAATCAGGCTTAGCTTTTTGATGTTTGCAACACAAAAGCCAGCCCAACATTTATTATATATATATTTGCAAAATCTAAACACAAGTGACTGTGGTGCTGTGCAAAATAAAGAAAGACGAAATCGCCCAGTGTGCTCCTTTCTATCCTTCTGAAGCAACGGGATCCCTTTATATTTCTGATCTTCATTGGTAGATGAAGTGCCGGCTGAGGTGGTCTTTCTTATTTTGGATTAACATTATGCTTTGCTTAGGTGTGAATGCTGCACAGAGGTATGCAAGAAAGGATCTAGTTCTTTTTCTGAAATGGGGAGTGAACACAACAGTATAGACAAATTAATCAGGACCCCTCCAGTCCTGAGGGAGATGATGTCTGGGGCAACATGCTGCGGCAATATTTTACATCCTGCCAGGGCTTTGTCATTGGGCACAGCGTCTGTTGGCAGAGCTGGATAAAGGCTCTTTCTGCAGGTGGAAGCTGCTTGCCCAAGTGCAATGAAAGGATTAAGTAAGTTCAGTGATCACTAAATAATTCCAGAGTTTGGAAAACACAGGGACCTTTTAGTTTGATGAGATGCCATCTGACAGGGCCTGCAAATAACATCCATTGTGCCTGCCCAAGTAAAAGTATAATGTCAGCTGTTCGTACTTTGTGGGCAGGAGGAATGGGTGGTCATTGAGGGGCTTCACTTGCACACATTCTGGTTATATCCAGGCTAAATTACTGCAGTGCATTTTGTGTGGGGCTACCTTTAAAGACTGTTCAGAAACTTCAGTTACTACAGAAAGCCTTCTAGGTTGTTTGCGGAGGTCAGGTGGGCTTCAGTTCCATACTAGTTTCATTGGTTGCCTATATGGTTTGGGGTTCAATTTAAAGGGCTGATTTACACAGCTTAAACCAGCCTTTCCCCAATCTGGTGCCCTCCAGATGTTTTGGAATAGAACTTATGTCATTCCTGACCACTGGCTGCTGGCCAGGGCAGATCAGTATTATACTCTAAAACATCTGGAGGGCACTAGGCTAAGGACGGCTGCCCTCAATGGCTTGTGACCAGGTTACTTGAAAGTTGTCTGCACCCATATGAAGTTGCATGGACCCTGAGTCTCAGAAACTCAGACCTTGAAGAACAGCTCTCAGTAGGAGTACACAGTATTTGGCTTAGATGGACCAGTGGTCTGGCTCAACCACCAGTCATGTACAAACCCCATTTGTTTCAAATGTGCTTGTGTGAACCTAGTCGCTGCTTTCAGTGTGACTATTAAGAAGGGAAAAAAAGCTAATAAGTACAAAATTATAGTAACAATACATTTTCATAAAGTAATAGCAAGGTCAACGTGTTTTTTAAGTGTAGCACTCTTAATGTTCTGCTTTAGTCCACAACGGAAGTACTGGCTAATTTAAAGGCTTTCAAACCATTGTGGCAAAATGTGAGGACACGAGTTTTGCACACAAAATATGATTGCCATTGAAATTTTCACATTCCAGGCAATTTGCACAACTTAAATAAATGATCAACCCTTACATTTCATATAGTCGTAACATTTGGCCTCTCCCTTTGCTGAAGCAATGACTTGAATGCAATTGAGAGTTCTTCAAGAAGTTTTAACCTAGTAAAATTATAATTACGTGTCAGTCAATTGAGGAACTGGATATAAAATGCTAGCATTTTACAGTAAAGTCAGCAACTTAGTAAAATGATTGTATTGGTAAGCCATAAGCTTTTTTATTATCTTTATGCCAATAGACTGTGCCCCCCTTTCTTCATCTGCATATTTTCAAAAACCTGACAGTGCTTTTTCCACTGTGTAGGATTTGTCTTTTAAGATTGCTTCCATCATCTATTGCCTTACTTGAATAGATCTTAATATCATGGTTGGAAAATATGATAGCTCTTTGTAGCTAAATTCAACAAAATGTTGCAGCATAGAGTGCTCCTATAAAGGGGGCCAGCTAGCCGAGTAGACAGCCATTCCTTCAGAATACGCCATTTCATTCCCCTTGCCCTTAGTTTTCCATTTCCCACTGTACAACAGTCAAACTATGTAGCCTCTGAGCATGCCTGGAGTGTTTTGGGATTTCCCTCTCTTAAGGATTCTTTTGTTTTGCATTTCTGCAAATCTTGGGCTTCCAAACATGCTGCTACTTCTCCCCTATGCATGGATGGTCCTCACTTGGAGAATGGGTTTGCTATTAGTATGCAAGATAACTAACGCAGGAATGAATATCTGTAATTGGGAAGCTGGGCTTCAGATTATTAGGGCATTTGCTTGTGTGTCTCTTGGTCTGTGGGTTAGCTTCCATCAAGACATATTCTACGGCAACCAACTTGACCAATCCTACTGAGCCCTCAGTTATGATCCAGTAGGGTTGCCTCCTGAAGGTCTCCTAAATGAGGAACACGTGTGACTACAAGAAAATGGTATGTTTACTGTCAGAAAATTAAAAGCACTTTATTAAAATATACACTCCTTGTCTTATACTAGATACGTGCCCATCATATTTTTGCAACACTGCAAGGAATTAATTAAGAAATTTGTGCACCCACAGAGATGCTTGAAGGCGGAGTATAGCACAGTGGTAGAACTTCTTTCCATGCCAAAGGTCCTAGGTTCAATCCCACATCTCCAAGCAAGGCTGAGAGCTGCTGCCAGTGTGGGCAATATGGAGATTGCAACTTTCTTATGTATTTTTTTTTATTGTTGTGGTGGTTGTAATTGGGAGATGTTTCATGGCTTAAATTTTGACTGTACTCTGCCCTTGTGTCACGCTGTGGTCTAAACCACTGAGCCTCTTGGGCTTGCTGATCGGAAGGTTGGCAGTTCAAATCCGCACGACTGGGTGAGCTCCTGTTGCTCTGACCCAGCTTCTGTCAACCTAGCAGTTTGAAAGCATACCAGTGCAAGTAGATAAATAAGTACCGCTGTGGCAGGAAGGTAAACAGCGTTTCCGTGTGCTCTGGTTTCCGTCACGGTGTCCTGTTGCTCCAGAAGCGGTTTAGTCCTGCTGGCCACATGACTCAGAAAGCTATCTGTAGAAAAACGTTGGCTCCCTCGGCCTGAAAGCAAGATGAGCACCGCAAGCCCATAGTCACCTTTGACTAGACTTAACCATCCAGGGGTCTTTTACCTTTAGCTTTTTACCTATAATATTAGAATTAAAAATAAATAACATTGTTAAAGGACTGGGTTTCAGGAACCTTTCAAATAACCAAAGATCTACCAGTAGTGCTGGATCTATCTTCTGCCTGTCCCTGAATGAAGGATTGAGTAAAGGAACAATTTTCTTACTCAGCCCCTTACATAATATGTAAAATTTCTCCAACCCAAGAATAACACATTTTCTTCTTGCTTAGTTCTTACCTTTCTGATATTTACTGATAATTAACTGCTTTTGCATGCTACAACTTATTGATGCTTTGTTTTCCACACAGACCTCGAGATTCCATCCCCCTCTTGAAAACAAAAGGGAAATCAATTTTGGCAAATTCAGTTGTTGCTTTTTTATTAGGTTAAAGTACTCAATGTAAATTAATGCTTTGAATTTATGTCCACAATCGATCGGTGGAATTATTGATTCTGGTCACATGAAGCAAAAAGAGAATGCATAAGATTTTCCTGGCATGGCATGTTTTTCTTGGTGGGTGTTTTTTTTTAATAGTATGAAAAATTATTCTAGTATCTATGAAGCTGTAAGCACAAGATCAAAGACATGGAAGATGCCCGATTCGTCTTGAGCTATGCAGTGGGGTTTCCATAGAATCCTGACAGCAACCTATAGTAGTTTTTTATATGCGTGTTTAAGTATAGTCCCAAGTGATGTGCGACTAGGGATGGGGAAATCTGTCAATTATGCTTTCTCTCAATTTCTTGCTCCCACCCCCAATATTAAGCTTTGCTTTCCACATTTCCACATCAGTTTGCATTTTTAAAAAAGCCTTCATGAAAATTATTCAGCATTTTAGTTCAAATTTATCCTACCATGCACATGTTTGCATGCTGTTTTGAGTAATATGCACATTTTTGCAAGGCATCTTTCCCTAACACAATACATTTTTGTACCCTTGCTTTGTAGGAGAGCTACATTGCAAAATTCAGAGAAGTGCAAATTTAGAACAACGGCTGTGTTTTGGTTCATGTATTGTTCCAGAAAGTGTGAATGTGGTGGATTCTGCTTTAAATGCAAACAGAATCTCTTTTTCTCTCCCCTCAGCAACATTCATATGTATGACTGAGCAGTTCAACAGTCTGCATCGAGATCTGAAGCAGAAAGCCTCAATGTGAATGCCTCCCAGGGTGGGGCAGCTCATTTTTAACATCATGATGTTATTCCAAACAAGTGGGAAGAAGTGGTGTGGTTGTTCCATTGCACCCTCATAGCGAATCAGTGGCAGAGCATGCAGTGGGCATGCAGAACACCATACAAAGGATATAGTGTCTCCAGGAAAAAAGGGAGATAGTGAGCAAGGTCTCTGACTCACTGCAGAGCAGGGGTTGGGAACATTTTACAGCCTTGAGAGCTGCATTTCCCCCATACAGGCAACCACCTGGGAGCCACATGATTGTAGTGGGTGGGGCCAGAGGCAAATGTGGGTGGAGCAATAAATGTAAGTACATACTTGGCCCTATATCTGAGGTTTTCTATCCCTGTCTTGGAGGTCATCTGTCAGTCGAAACAGACAATACTGGGTGTTAAAATGAAAATAAAAACTTGGGGAAGAGCCATATAGGAGGGGACAAGGAGGGCTCCCTAAACCTGGAGCTAGACTGTTCCCAAATAGTAGAGTGACTGTGGCCACCCAGGCTAGTCACAGGTCCTGGCAAAAAGGAAGAAAAGCTAATGGGCTTAGCAGGGTTTTCTATACCCAGGGACCCTTCAGCCAAAGCCACACTAGGCGTTTACACAGAAAGGCATCCTTTCTTTAGTCTGACGAGAGAGAGAGAGGGGGAGAGAGAGAGAGAGAGAGAGAGAGAGAGAGAGAGACGCTCTCATTTGATCAATACAGCTGAAACCAGTGGGACAAGATGAATCATCAGTGTTTGGAGAGGCAGGTGGCTGAGCATATGCACTAATGTGGCTTCCATGACTTTCACAGTATGTTGCTCATGCGCTAGTTTGTTTTATTTTCCCACA